TATATGGAAGTAGCGTGCATCCAGGAGCCGTCTCGCTTCGCTGCCCTTGGTTACATAAACAACCATCGAGCGGATGGATGAACCTGAAGCTAAGTGCAATGTGCCACGTGACCTAGGGATCGGCGGTCCAGTGCCGTGACACTAGCTGGGTGATTAGGCCCAGCTAGAACGTATGCAATGCGTTAGACTACCCGAAGGGATTTCGAAGGAGTTTCCCAAACTTGTACCCTATACTCCAGCTGTTGGACAGCAACAGTTACTGGCTCGAATAGGCATAGACCAACCAGGTGACACTGCATCAATTGAGGCACAAGATAAAGCTTGAATTGGCTGTCTGAACCTTCCGTCCTCTGTGTGTCCTCCTTCAAAGAACCGAGGGCTTCGGGACCCTAGACCCTGCTTTTGGGTGGGTGACGAGTCTTCCACGCTTACTGCATTGGGCAACCGTGCCCAGCCCCTGAATCCAGGTGCCATGGGGTCAGTTCAGTTCAACACCTTGCATTAATCGTCCTTCCTAGGCTCCCAGGCCTTCCACTCTTCGATAGTCGGCACATCTGCGTCTCGCTCTGTCCATTCCCTGCCTACTTACTGTACGGAGGTTACAGGCAAAAGTTTTCAAAGTGGGCCAGGTACCGGCAAGGGTCACGGTCAGGGGCCCACTCTCCCTTCCAATGTACCAACGCGTCGCGCGCGGCCGTCAATTCAGAAAGGATATACATTCCATTGGTATCAATAACAGCCTGTTGCCGTACAGGCATTGTATCTACACGCTCTCTAAGGAATTCCTCAGGGATTGCTTCCTATGCAGTATTTACTGCTTCCCATAGTCTGTCGTATGACATATTTGCTGGGTAATTGACTGCAATGTAATCCTTCATCCAGTTCCACGCGTTCTCGATCGGATTTAGATCAGGGCTATAGGGAGGATGGGTGTAAACAGAAACCCCTCGAGCTATAAGCTCGTCGCGAGTGACCTGGGCAGTATAAGGAGAGGCATTGTCATACATGAATACCTGGCCTAGATGAAGCCGAAACCACGCATCAACAAGAGGGACAGCTCTCTCCGAGTACTTCTCCCCAGTTATCGATCCCCAGTCCTTCTCCCAAAAAAGAGCAGGCCCTTTGCCATATTTTGCTGAATATGAACCCCAGAACATCCATCCCTTTAGCCGTTGTTCACGCTCAACGATGCAAGTTGGGTCGTATGCTTCGTCTTGACGGCGTGTAACCCAGACCTTTCGACGGGTACCAGCAGTCACCCAGGTCTCGTCAGTCCAGAGGATTTCGTGATATCGCTCGAGAAGCCAGTGTATACGCTCGAGAGCATTGTCGAGGCGGAGTTGTCGGTGTCACGGGATTCCCCGTTCCTGTTGTCATGGTTATGTCATATGCTTGCGGTTATGCATACGTCATGGGATCTGATCATACGTCAGGGTCATGCTAACGCATAGGCCTCTGCTCCAGTACTTAAGGTCTGGTTGCACGCCCATTCCTGTCATTTAGCTCTTGCTCTCGTTGTAGCAATATCAATCTTGTATGTGCGAGCTGACCAGACCTTGGGTGGTGCCCGTCACAGTCGGTTCTTCTCGGTAATCGGAGGCTTTCGGTATGCAACATAGCGTTTAAAGCCAGCGTTGCGAAGAGCGTAGCGGATGGCATACTCTGAACAGTCTCAGCCAAGAGCAAGAGGAATCTTCGAGTAAGGCATTCGGCGAGCGGCTTTCGAGGAGGTAACAAAGGTGATCAGCTCTTCAATCTGCTCAGGATTGAGAAGGCTAGGTCGACCAGAACGTTTCTTTGGTGTTGTGACGGGCACCACTCAAGGTCTGGTCAGCTCGCACATACAAGATCGATATTGCTACAACAAGAGCAAGAGCTAGATGACAGGAATGGGCGTGCAACCAGACCTTAAGTACTGGAGCAGAGGCCTATGCGTAAGCATGACCATAGACGTATGATCAAACCCCATGACGTATGCATAACCGCAAGCATACGACATAACCATTCGAACAAGGAACGGGGAATCCCGTGACAGGTGTAATATTTGGAGCGCGGCAAGCATGTCCAACTTGGTTGTAGGTAAGCCCAAGTTGTGCAACGATTTGCTCGTACGACATGCCAAGATTGCGGAGTATTTGAACTTGAAGCCGCTCATCGCGGGTAAGATCAGGGTTCTTGAACCGCTGGCCAGGTGGTGTAGAGGGGGGCTCTGAAGCCATTGCAAAGGTGGTGTTTTTGCTGAATTGACGGCTACGCGCGACGTGTTGGTACATTGGAAGGGAGAGTGGGCCCCTGACCGTGACCCTTGCCGGTACCTGGCCCACTTTGAAAACTTTTGCCTGTAACCTCCGTAGTAACGTCCACTGGCTGTGTTCACTGCCTGATGTGTGCCTGCAGCCACCCCTTGGCACACTCCTGGGTCCCACCGCCAAGGGGCTCGTGTTCCTGCGCCGCCGCAATTGGGATGTCACCGTTGTTGTTATTGTGGCCCACATCGGCTCAAGATCAGGGTTTCATCCACTTCGTTTTCTGTATCATGCATCATCAACAATGCAAGCAACTTCGTCTTCATGATCATCACTTCCGCTGGTTCCTCCCACAGCCGTGCATGCGGTGTGCAGAAGCTCCGTCATCCCAATCCTTATGCAGCCGCTGCTCGGCCTGCCACCCACCTATTGAGGTATAAGTCAATAGGGGGAACCCAGGCCTCGCTCTCCAGATTGCGGGCCGGAGTAGCCTTGTAGGCCCCGGTCACCACACTCAGGCAGCGCGTCTATATTGCTTGGAGGTTGCGTGCAAGACCCCACGGTGTCCCACCGAGTAGGATCGGTGTACGGAGCTCCGTCGATGCACGGTGCTAAGCTAGGGGCCAGGCTTCTGGGGATAGCGGCGGTGGAAGTTACGGACCACCTCTTTTGCATTTGTCAGGTGGTCTGCGGGCACCTCGGTAGGCTGATCGTATCCAGTCCACTTGACGGTGTACGGATCCGTATTTCAGCACTGCAACTCAAGATGTTTCATTCGTCGAACGACACCAACGCGGCTAGTCTTCTGTCAGGGAGGAGGCATCCGAGCAGGTGGGTGGCGTCACGTGTGGCATCAGGCTCTCAGGACGAGTAAAAGACTTGTTGTCACTTTTGGGAGCGGGGAAGGGGTGAGCTGGTGGTCATCAATGATACCGAAGACCTGCTTCAGCATAATGCGATCGAGAGTCATACACGTGAATTCCCAGGACCATGGTGCGAATCGATTCGTGCAGGGCGTTCCCAGCTCTGCAGCAAGGGGCTGTGCCCAATGACAGTGCTTCGATTGGCCGGTAATTACCTGCAAGCCTGAACGGTTGCACGGCACAGCCAGTTTCCACCGTTTTCTTGAAACGGACAGCACTAACAGAGGAGAAGAGGCGCCGGTTTTGGGATCCCGAAACCTCCTATTTCTTGAACCCTCCTACAGCAGAAGATAAGCTTTTTAGGGGGTGGAGAAATGGAGACGGGGTAAGGGGGTAGGGGATCTTTCACCAATGTGGTTGCCGCTGCCGTCGATTGGTGCATCCGGGCCAAATGCTTACCCGACTGGGCGCTTACAAATCTGGTTCTGTTCAGCCTCCTGGAAAAACGAACAGGTCGGTTCCAATGCCGATTCCTCGAGGAGGTGTACGGCCCGGGGAGGTTGTCGGGAGCCTCGTGCTGAACTTGTTTCGACACAAGTCCGCCAAGCTCGACGCTCCAGCTCAGGCAGGCAGAGATTGTTATTTTGACCGCCCCTTTCAGGGGCTTTGTGTCGACCGGAGTCTAGGAACGGACCAAAGTGCCCGAAGCCGGAGTGCGTTGAGAAGACAAGGGGCTTCCAATTGCATCCGGCGCCGAAAGGCAATCGGCGGCTCGAAGGATGCGACATCACTTTAATTAAACCTTGTACGGTTGGGAGGCACGCGCGGCACGGGAGCCCGTAATCCCGTGGCAGTCCCCCCTATCTTGTCGCGGAGTGACGATGCCTTAAGAAAGAAATTCCCGAGGATTCAGACGGCAGGCTGACCTCTTGTTCAGCAAAGCCCCGCGCCACCCAGGAACCTCCCCCCAAAGCATCTTTCACCATGGCCTTCCAACGATGTCGACTCGTTGCACTCGCCGCGTTGCTCGTAAGCGCGACTTCGGCACAGAACTGCGACTACTCCAAGAACGGCTATTGCATCAAAGCTGAAGCGAGCGCGTCGGTGACGTTCCCGTTCGAGCCGTTATTCACCAGCCCCCCGAAGTTTGTCTTTGCCATCGACAACTTGGAAGACCAGGATATCCAGGACATTATCAACTTGGACAAGTACATTAGTGCTCCCGCCAAAGGCAAGCCGGCACAGGCCGTTTCCTGGTGGTTGGAGTACGACAACAGTACCGTCAACCGGAACCAATCTCAACAGAGAGAGTACTACGCTTGGGCCCTGGAATCCAACTCGACCAACGAGATTGGGGGCAACGACGGCGGATGCGAGAAATTGCTCAGTGCCCAATGCGTGAGCGACCTCAAGAACCTGTTTACCGGTGTAAACGGAGCTCCTCTCGAAGCCCTTCAGGGCTACTTACAGACGCCGCCGAGGATCAACTGTCCGACGATGGTTTGGGATCGCCGAGTCTTGCCTTTGTGGGGTGGAAGGAGTACGTTGTTATGATGACTGCACATGTACACCAGGTTGGTTGTTTGACCGGAGCCTGCTAATGCTGCTATTAGACACATGGTTTGCTAGAATGAGCAACACGTTCTTGTGGACGTCTGATCCTCCTAAATCAGGCAACGCTTCGTATACACATGCTTGGCGCCAGATGCGCTACCGCAGCTTTGAGGAGCAGAAGTCCACCGCGGTCATTGCCTTCAATCTAGGCCGGTCGTTGGTAGAGAGTGGACGGGACAACACCACCATCAACATGGCCTGTCTCAGGGTGGGCGCCGCACCTGGGACGGCCACGCAAGGAGGGGATTCGGGAAACTCGGCTGGCAAGACGGCTGCTACTTCAACTATGGTCCTTGGAGTCATTGCAGCTGTCTGGGTGTTCGTTGGCTGACTTTGGCCGAACCAACCAGTGTGATGGGACGCGGACTCGTTAGAAGGCGGGCGGGCAGGCAGGCAGACTCAAAGCCATCAGCTTGTGCCCAATGTCTGCAGGTAGTGGGGGGTTGCAAATAGTTGACATGTAACTAAGATAACACAATACAGAATTCATTTAGACACCAACAGCGTGCTTCTCATGGCGCGAAACTTTGTCATTGGAATTTTGCCATAAGCGCAACTGAAAAGCTAGAGATAGGGACACGTACAGAATCTCCCTGCATATCAGCGGGCGCACCGGGAAGCAGTCAAACGTGTGACTGCAGAGAAATGGGGCGCATGTCCAGACTGGTTCAACTTCTTGGCCCTGGACGCCCGTAGTCGTTGATTAGTCCCTACGTCAATAAGGGGGCATGGTGCGGAGTCTGGGAGATGGAAAAAACCAACCAATTTGAGCACCCAATCTATGGTGTTGAATGCGTACGGCTGCCCATCATGAGGGTCATAGGCAATTTTGGCCTCCTCATGCTCAGGGAACTCTTTCCAGATTTCGGTTCGTAGTATTCCGTAGCTGGACCTGGCGTATCCCCGTGGGCCACGTTCCTTGTTGAGGGCGCGAAGAACAGCACCACGAGCAACCGCCGTCACGCTAGACTTACATCAGCATACATCCTCCTAGGGGACCTGGAGGGGCGGATATGGTGGCCTGGCGTACGTGCGGGGTGGAATCAGGAGACTCGGCACTGGGCACTTCTTCTCTTCACAGATGCTTTTGAGGTGGTTGCTGAGGTATCTTTGGAGTGAGACCGACCCAGCAAATCCACCAATGAGGAGAACTTTCTGGAGTACATGTCAGCCTCCCTTCTGAAAGAGAAGTTAAAGGGGCGGAACCCATCGTTGACACACGTTAATCTTGGTGTCCTTCTTCAAGGCATTGGTAATCTGTTCTTCCATGATAGACCCAATGCCTTTCATACGAGCGAGGAAGAGTTCCTTGATCTTATCTCTAGCAGGCAATGAATAAGTGAGATATCGAGTCTTGAAAGTGAGGTGGTGCAACCGGGAACCTACACGGGTATCTTTAAGCTGCCCCGGTCGAAGCCTTTTGCAGGATCGGGACGGAGGCCCGGGACATCAAATTTTTTCGTGCCCTTGATTGAATAGCAGTCGAAGACTCGTTTGAGCCTGTACTCAAATTTATCGAACATGATCCTTTCAATAATTCCGTCGATGGTTCTATCATCGCTTTCCAAGTATGCTTCGTCGGCAAGTCGACGTCGAAGCAGCTCGCGGAAGCTTTCGTTAATGTAGCTAGATCCGTAAAGGCCACCTGTTCTGTGTCAGTAACATCTCCGGGATTGCTGGATGATGGCAGTCACATAAGATTGCTTACCACCTGGCGGTACCACCTCCCGAGTGAGGCGCAACGGAGTGGCCATGCTCACGGTATAGGTGTTGGCGTCGACAGTCCCTCCTCCTTAAGACAATATCAGTACATAAGCAGGAAACGGTTTTAAGGTTTTGTTTACCTGCGTCCAAGAGGACGAATGTCTCGCCTGGCTAATTTCCTGTTAGTCAGCACTCTGTGGGACTCAGATTGACCTGAGAGATACGCATGTTACCGTGATATCGCGTGAAGTAGCCAGCACAAACGCAGCGGCTGCCTCTGGCTCAGACACAATGAAGAGATTGTCGATGTTGTTGTTCTGGACGTCAACGCCTGCAAACCCTGCCTGACCCATGGCTCTCGCCATCGCTGTTTGCATGTTACGGCAGGCCTTTTGGCTCCAGATCGCCGGGACGCAGAGGATAGTTTCCATTTTGTAGCTGTCGTCGTATCCGGCATTTTCAAGTTCAGTTTTCGCATGCCGCAAGAGGCATGTCAGGAAATCGGCAATGACATCGCAGGGGTCTTTGATAATTCTTCTTCGCTTCAGCTCCTGTAGCGTGACACCCAAATCGTCCCGAACGGTTTGAGTCCAGTCGCTATTGTCGAGAAGGAGTTTGAATCGAGCGAGGGGTCTGTTGTTTGGATCGGCGTGGGTGGCAAATCTATCCCAGGTCTCGTGGACTCCGTAACCCCAGCGAAACGAGCTTGTCTCGTCGACAGACATCTGATCCGAGTAATTGGCGCCCTGCGCACCGAAGATGGCCAGAGGGTTGTCCGAATCTGCTTTGACCTCGCCAATGGCCGGTTCTGGCACCTCCTCCAGTTGATTCTGTCTTCCAATGGCTAGTAAGCCCTCCTTTTGCCGAAAGTCACGATCCAACGGGTATATCACTTCTGTAGGTACCTCACTTCGCATTTCGTCGTCCAGAGCACCAAAGGTCGCGTCATCTGGGTAGTTTTGTATTGTGCAAATGTGCGTAAGATCGAGATCGCCGGCCGATTCTTCTGGTCCGCCTTCAAGTGCGACGTATGCGATCGCCGAGTACGTGGTCCCAAAGTCAACAGCCATGAGTAGACGTTTTGAGGAACCGGGTGTTTTTGGGTCGTCCAGAAGGTGGTCTGGAACGTGCTCGGGTACGAGGTTGTCCATGACGCTTGAACGATAGTGAACAAGCAGATCATTTCCTTCCAGCGTCACTGTGGACGCTCTCGAACCGTCCATGGCAACCTAAAAATTCCCCGGCAGAAGGAGGACAAGGAAGTAGAGAGAGACAGGATGTTAGAAATTTCGCGTGCTCAGGTTGTGGACAATCCCTGGGCCTCTGCTCCTCCCTTTAGGGTACGTGGGAGGCCTCAGACTCTCCAGCTGAGTTCAGGCCACTCTCTTCCTGCCAGTCCTGTTCCGGAGCCGCGGACCCTGCCCTGACCTCCATTGCAGACCGCGACCTACCACGCTCCGGTCTGCTGGGCGCTTGCAACCCTGGACAGGCATACTGCTGCCATTGAAAAAGGGCAGGCAAGGCATTTCCGTTCCATCCAACCGGCATAATGATGTGCGCAACCAATCACAGAGGGGTCGTTATGTCTGTTGGTAATTCGGTTGAGGATTGGGATGCATGAGGTGAGACGTCCAAGAAACGCCACTCACAGGGGTGGTTTTCGCAAGGCTGAATCCAGCTGAACGCCCATGTTCAAACTCACATGACCACCGCACCATTCCTGGCGCGAGAAAACGATTTCTGTATATCCTCAAGCGCCCTTTTGTGGCGTCGACAGCTGTGCTCAGAGCCATGGCAAGAAGACTGAAGCGTCGCAGCAGTCCCCGACCGCCCAGGTTTCGCTGGCAGCGGAGCGAGATCCACATCCTTCTGGCGTGCCTGGACTATTCCCTTCAGCAGAATCTCGAGTTTGAAAACGCGGCAATTGCCCACATCGCCAAAAGAACAGGGAAACAGGTCACGGCAAAGCTGATTCAAAGCGCACTGAAGAAGGAAACTAAAGACTACGGCCGCGCAGGACCATGGACGGTCCAACATCTTCTCTCTGAGGGGTCTGCTTTTCTGGAAGGCTACTGTGATGCCGACCGTGAGAATATTCGCGAGGAGATCAGCCGTATTGAGCCGCCTCAGATCCGCTACTGGTTGAGGAACACGTCTGTGGAATCTACATCTCGATCTCGCACGCTATCTTTGAACCGCCGTCAGCGTTCAGAGACGTCCACGCTTCCTAACCATTCCACAGCAGAGTCTGTTAGCTCGGACGTGAGCTTGCAGCGGACCAACAATGCCGGACTAAAGAGTGAAGTCGGGAAGCTTGTTAGTACTCCCCCATGAGATTGAGAGTAGCGGACATGTCGCGAGCTAATTCAAGCCAGCAGACAACAACTCATGGATCAACTTCCCGGCACGGCAACAGGACTTCACGCCAGGACAGGACAAAAACGACGTCTCTATCGTCCAGAGTCAAGACAGAGTGCAGCCGAGACCACCCTGCGGAAATTTCCCCTGGCGTCTCACCAACATCGAACGTAGCAGCAAACAACGACGCTCGATTAAACGAACAATTTGTGCGAGAACTACAGAGGAACTTACGGGAGCGGCAAGACTACATTTTTACACTATCCAACCGGCTGTCTGCAGCAGAATACGAGTGCGCCAGAATACAAGAGAGCGCGATCAAGGCAGCTGAGTATCGCGACGACGTTGTCATGCAGCGAGACCTCCGATATGAGAACTCTGTACTCAAAGGCCAGCTGGTACAGATGACTAGCCAACGGCGGATGATCACCCTCGCCAGCACCGGCTCGCTTGCGCCGTCTATTCGGACCATTTGGCAGGAGTTGGAATGCATGGCCACAGATATCGAAGATGCATGCGCATCCGTGGACATCACGATCCCGCCAGCACCAACTGACCTTAGTACCCATGGTGGACAGGAAGTCAAGCATACGGAATCTGAGTCCTGGTCGCTGCGCGTGGCCCATTGCAGCCTCGACCAACTCTTCGAGCTGATTTCGACTACGGATGACAGCGTCTCCGAGTCCCATATTATGAAAGCCATCATCGCTGCGGGATTCAGCGAGTTAGTCTTCGAGTCAAATTTCCCCGACCTCCTCGCCAAGGAATCGCCAATGCTAGACCAATATAGAAAACATCTACTCGCCGAAGGTAAGTGCAAACACGCACCCGATCCACAGACCGTCACAGCTAATCGTTACCGACAAACTCAGCCGGGCCACAAACACTCCAACAGCTCGAAGTCCTGGCCTACAAGTCCGTTACCTCCGAGAAATACTTCCTATTCCATATCCTCCAAACCACCGCAAAGAACCTCGCCATCAAGCTCTCCAGCGCCCTAGCACACCTCATCTCGCCCAACGACGACACAATAATCGGTGCCTCAGAGAAAGACCACGACGAGAACCCCGTCGCCAGCTTATTTACCGAGACCTTTATCCGGGCCCTAAAGCTCAAGCAGGAGCTGGCGCTATCAGGGTCAAAATACAGGCTAGTTTTCTTTCAGCCAGGCGAGCTGTTCAACCCGGATATCATGTTCAGGGACGGCGACGGGGACAGCGCTTTTGTCCCGATGGGGGTACTGGCCCGTAAGCAGGCAACGAAGGGTTGGCCGAGACGGCTCTCGGTGGAGAAGGGCGCGAGGATTAAGCTCTGTTTGTTTCCGGCGCTGTATGCGAAACGGAAAGAGGAGGTGACGGGGGAGTTTGGGATTGGTGTTAATGTTCGGAACTGTTTGGTTGATACTGACAGTTTCATCACGGATGACCGGGTTGATGTTGGCGATGGATCATTCTCTTTGGTTGTTAAAGGTGTTGTTTTGGTCTGAAAGGTAGCTCAGGGCTTGGGGCATTAGACTACAGCTGACCAAATCGTGCTGTTCGTTCGGGACGCTGCATGCAGCTAATGGATGGGGAAGCCTCGCCCGCTCATACTTACAGACTATCTCAAATCTAGTGGCTGTCTCTCTTCAGGTTTCATGGAGCACTTCGTTGTTAATTCCCACCACCAGCTCGCTGCTCTGTCTCTCGCAGGCATCGTGAAGCATATCCCCCCGCTATTACACCGCAAGTCTGTCTTCGTTCCTAAATCCCGTTAAACTAACGTTAAGTCGGGACCACCAATTTGGGCCAACCCCCATTTGGCCACTTGGCAAACCCACACCGTTTTTTCAACCCAACCACTTCAACTTACCACAACTCAGTCATTTTCTCTCCAAACCACTTCAGACTTTGACATCACTATCAACAGTCGGTAGGGACTACGGATGTATACTGAGCAAGACCTTCAAGATGCCCTTGCCATATACCACCGTGGTGGCTCTTCAATACGGTCCATCTCCTAGGAATTCGGCGTTCCCAGGGCTACTGTCCAGAACCGACTTTACGGCCACCAGGCCCATTTGTTGGAAAGTCGTGGCACTGGAAATCGGACGCTCAGCTGCAAGTGCCCTGCTGTTGGATGCATAGCTGCCCAACTGAGCGTCAGGCAACGTGAGGGGTAACCAGGGCGCTGGGCAACGAAGTCAGGGCGATTCCCCCTTCGCTAGAGACGTGAGAGAAGAACAACCTTCAATCAAGAACATCTGGGATGCTCCGAGTATCTCAAAACCCACTGTTGTAAGCTCCCATCATCTGTGTGATCACCGTGGAATCGTGGCTGCTGGTCTTCCAACACCATTCAACCGCATCCGAACCACTTCAGACCCTTAGCCAGGTACAAGAAAATCACCTTGCACAATGGGTCCTAACCCAGGTTGCCCTTGGTGTTCCACCAACCCACGCGCAGATCAGGGGGTTCGCTAGCCGAGTACTACAGGCACAGGGAGCAAGCCGTACAACTGTTGGGAAACGCTGGATAGCCCAGTTCATTCGCAGGAACTCAGTTCTTCGAACCCAGCAAGCCCGTAAGATGGACTCGGTAGTTGGAAGTGTCGGAACGAAGCCGCCTTGATGGCTGCATTCAACGGACCTCGGTGGTTTGATTGGTGCCAGCACCGCAACCCCTCTTCCTTACATACTTAGTCCTCTCCCATGCCCATCAACAGCATGGTCAATCAATCACTTTTACCACCTTAAAAATTCAATCCACTGCTTTGACTGGGAATAGCTTCTTCCAGCGCATATCTCAGCGGTCGTCGCCCTGCAGGTTCCAACAGGAAGCTCTCAAACGCGTGCGGTTCAACGAAAAGTCCCTGGTTCGCGTGCCTGGACGTCGTTCCTTGATTGTGTCTCAGCAACATGGGTAGCACTCCCAGCAACCGTCATTTTCAAGGGCAAGAGGCATTCAACAACAGTGGTTCCCGGCTGATAAGGCTGAATTGGCTACTTGGAAGTTTACTGTAACCGACAAGGGCTGGATAAACAGGGTAGTTGCATTGGAACGGCTTCAGGAGGTATTTTGTTGGAAAGCCAACAGCCACGAATGTGCCGCACCGTAGTAATTGGGTGCTAAAAGATGGGCAACCACTCAATTGATGATGATGTTCCTGTCTACGTTCTTCCAAAAGGATGGATGGATGGATGGAATTTATTTCGCCCGGAGGCACGAAGCCTAAAGGGCCTTGGCACGCTAAGTACATCCAATTCGTTGACGTTCAATCATCAACTCGTACAAGCCCTCTACTCTCTCCCCTTTTCTCACGCCACCTATTGCGTCTTGACTTAGTTTAGCAGATCGACTTGGAGGCTGCGTTCTCCAAGTGTTCAGCGTCCTATCTTCAGCAGCTAAAGCGGGATCTGCTGGTTGAGGCTGTGTAATGTTAGTGGAGCTCCCCTACTGTGATTGTCGCAATCTTCGTCGTTCCTCGTCGAGATCCAATCTCCCTGTCGCCATTGCGCACTTGATCGTTGTCCGGAATGCTTTCATGTCTGGCGACCACATCTTTTGCTTTCCCTTCCAGGTAGAATGAGAGGCTCCCCCGCCTTGCCAGTGTGCATTGCAACATGTCCTCCCTCAGAGCTGCCCATCTCACGCATCGCAATAGAAAATGTTCCACGGTTTCCCTCGCTCGGCCGCAAGGACAAAGGTCTGACTCAACCGCTCCGATTCTGTTCAGAAAGCCGTTCAGCCTCGACATTCCGGTTCGGAGTTGTGCCAGGATACTGGCCTCTCTTCGTTTCAACTTGTCGTAGAGATCACGAGTGTGCTTGCCAGGGAGTGCCATATCCAGAGCCTTTGAGAATTTGCCTACGCCTTCGGGGAGAACTCTCCCCTGTCGTTGTTTGGCCAATGCCAGCCTGATTGCGGTGCACTTGGCTTGGGGCCTTTGGAGGTTGGGTATCTGACCTTGTCTCGTTGTCCTTTGTGCTGCCGCCTTGGCCTCTAAGCCCAACGCAAAGTTGGCTTCCGCTGGGATCCACAGGAAGTCGACTGAGTTCCCTCTTTCTTGGTGCAGTCTAGCCAACTCGTAGATTTGTCGTATAGTGCCTTGGCCGGACTGTTGTCGCGGTTGCCTAATTGCTGCTAGCGCTGACTGGTTCCTGGTGACGATGGTGATGTGCCTATGGCAGGCGTTGGCCGGAGTCTTCTCCAAGGCCATTGCGATGGCTGCTAGTTCTGCTGTGTATGGGTTTTGCTCCTCCCTGGTGCCAAGGGTTATAGCTAATCTTGTCACGATCTCGTTGGTCCTGTTGAAGAGAGTGTCTCGTGCGATGCCTCCAACACCAACAATGCCTTTCTTCACGGATGAGCTTGTTGCAATCATGATGCCTATGGCTCCGTTGGCAATCTCGGTCGCCTTCTCTCGGTCAGCTTCGATCGTCGGCTGTAGGCGAGGTGCCCAGGGAGCGACGGCGTATTCTTGGATTGTTTCCATTTGGTCGACTTTTACACCTTCCGCGAAACGGGCGATCTTTTGAAGCGGGGAGACGAATCGCACTGTTGCCCGGATCTTCCTGAGCGCGAGGGGATGAGTTCCAGGCAGAGTGTGGATGTTGATCCATAACCTGGCTGCCGCCCGGGCATGTCGTTCTCGTATAGAGAGAATGCTCGCTTCGGCTGTCACTAAAGTCCGAAAGGCTCCTGTGATTGCTAGGGCACCAATTTTCTGTGCCCTGTCAGCCAGCTTAGCGCCTTCTTCCCACACGCATGCATCCAGACGCTGGCCGCATAGTCCATGACGGGAGCCACTGTCGCTACGAACAGTTGTCTTGCTGTTCACGGGGAAAGCATCTTCAGCCTCCTCAGGGCTAGAACGGCTGCGAGACCCTTGGTTGCCTTCTTGGCAATGTGCTTCTTATAACGGAGTTCGCAGTCCATTGTTACCCCCAGAATCTTTGCGCTCTTCTTTGGTTTGATCGTGTCCCCTCTGACTATGAACGGCGTTTCGGAGGATCGCTCCTTGTTCCTTGTGAAGTGTACGATGGCCGTCTTTTCGCTCTCGAACTGGGCGCCGCTTCGTCTTTCCCAATCCAGGGCCCTGTCTATGATGGCTTAGATGCCTGATTCGAGATAGGTATCTTGGTCATCATGTCAGAATCTTGTGGCTGGAGTTGGTTGGGGGACCAGACTTTTGGACCCCCACTGTACGGATTCGTACCTTGGTTAGCATCGCGTTGGTGTTAGTACTCCGTACCGAGTGAAACAATTCAACGATTTCCCGACGTGACGACCCGCACTGGTTTAATCCTCCAATGATCTTCTTTCGGAGATCGTCGGCGGTTGACATTGCTCAATTCTTTCTGAGCTGCCGGGCAGTGTTTTCTCTTCGACTCCACCTTGACTTCAATTCCTAAAAGGGTAACTACTTCAACGCCTGCGCGGAATTTGCACACCGCAAGCTTGAACTTCTTTTCCCTCCCGAGCAAACAAACGCCCCTCCCTCACTCACGTAGAAGGTTCCTCGCAGCCTCCTGCAAAACATGATCGACCCCGAAGGTCGACTGTGGGCCGGATCCGGCGACTTGTATCCCGGCAGGCCATACACCTGGCACATCACCGATCTCGACCAACGGAAGACACCTTGCCGTTACCTATGCACCCTCGAACCCGTTGAAGATGTTGAGAACAGAGGGCATCTGCATTGCTCAGCTGCGGAGACACGTCGATCAGCTCGGTCCCGGCGCTTCGGCATTCGTTTTTCAAAGCCAGTTGGCCCCATCACATATTTGACAGACCGGAAACACGACATGACTTACTGTGTCAACAACTATCCGCTGTCTGCCCTTGACCTTCCCTTTCCTGTCAACACTATCTTTCTGAGAAGCCTGACAGAGGTGGACCGTCTGGGGCCAATGTTGACCTGGTATACTACCAGGAAGCGCTTTGCGTTTTGGCCACGGCTGTCCCCAATAATAATGGCTCCATTCAAGTACTGGTACATGGATAAGAGCATATTCCGAACCTGGTACGAACTCAACAGCTGGAGCCGGCTTCCCCGCGATCATCCACACATTGTCTCGGTTGAGTCGGTCGTTCTCGGCCATCACAGAGGAGGGATCGTTGGGTTTACGACCCGATACATAGCCGGCGGCACCCTCCACGAGAACAACGCCACGACGAGGCTGTTCCTTCTTCGGTGGCTGCATCAGCTACTTTCAGTCGTCGATGACCTATACAACAGGTTCGGCGTGATGCATCAAGACGTCGCGGCGCGGAATCTGGTTGTTGGCGAGGACGATAACCTCCGCATCTTCGACTTCAACTACTCCGTCATGATCGAGACGGACTACACCTTGGAGCGCGACGACATGAAGGGTGTCATCTTCACTCTCTACGAGATCATCACGCTGGATGAGAATTTTCGAGAAATCTCAATCGCGGAGCAGGACGCTGAAGCCGTGCTGAAGATGAAGTGGGAAAACCACCCCGACGTCAAGCTCGACGCCGACGTCGACACATTTCGGCACGTCCTCGACTCGTGGGTTGCCGAGAGGAAGGCACAGGCGTTCTTCACTCCAGCTGATACGTGGGTGCGCTGGCCTGAGATGCCTGACCCACCGGCAGCGGCAATCCCAACATACAACCACGATGGCGAGTTCACGGGCACAGTCATGAAGTCTGATCGAGTTGTCCGTCGCAAACATCTGGTGGGCCTGGGCAAGATGATTTTCGACTGGGAGAGGCCCGCAAGCTATAATCTTAGGGGAAGCCCTCGCCGGAAACCAGGGCGTCGCGGATACCGACCATCAAGTCACCAACATACCGTCCAGGACTTGGAGGGTGAAGCCCCAACGTCCATCTTCTTCTCCTTGCGTCCTTGATCAACTGAAACAGCCCAGCTTACGCCAAGATGGACATGTGGGGCTCTTGGCTTGGCTTGCTCCTGTGCCCTGTGTCACCTCGGGCTTTTTCAGCTGACAGCACCCAGCTTTCAGGTTCTCTGTTTCTTTACACTTCAAGTCCGAAAATGCGCTGAACATGCAGCTTCTCGTCCTGGCCGGCGCCCTTGTCCGGCGGGCGCGCCGCCCTTCGCGTCGCTTCGGCCTGCTTTTCAAGGGCGTCGCGCTTGTCGTTCTTCTCTGCATGTTCGAAGCCCTGCTGCACACGCACCTGCACAGCATCCCACGCCCGCCACAAGACCTCGACGAGCCCTTCGCGAGACAATGTCAAGACCCGCGCATCGCCGCCCAAGAACCACGCGAAAAGGCCGCCCTCGTCATGCTCGCGCGCAATTCAGAGCTCGACGAAGCCCGCAAAACAATCCAGAACATCGAAGCCCAGTTCAACCAATGGTTCAATTACCCCATCATCTTCCTCAACAACGAGCCCTGGGACCCAAAGTTCATCCGCGAGCTCAACGCATCAGCCAGCGGCGAAGCCATCTTTGAGACCATCCCAGCCAAAGACTGGTCCTACCCACCCTGGATCTCGCCCGAAAAAGCCCACGAGTCCATGGCCCAACAAGCCGCATCCGGCGTCTATAACGGTGGCATGGAGTCGTACCACCACATGTGCCGCTTCTACTCAGGCGCCTTCTACACCCAGCCCGCCTTAGCACCCTTCAAATGGTACTGGCGGCTGGAGCCCGGAATTCGCTACACCTGTGCCATAACCTACGACCCCTTCGCCGCCATGGCCTCCCACGGCAAAACATACGGCTACACCGTCGCCCTTTGGGAAGAACCCGCCACCTGCCCGTCCCTCTTCCGCGAAATCGACACCTACCGCCAAAACAACCACCTCCCCGCCACCCCAAACTTCAACACCCTCGTTGAGACGACCGACATGCCATGGTACCTGCAGCCGTACCCCATCCGCAAACTCCTCGGCCTCCTCGGCAACCCGCACACCTCGCGCTCGGGCGAGCGCTGGAACCTCTGCCACTACTGGAGCAACTTCGAAATCGCCTCGCTCGACTTCTTCCGCAGCGAAGCGTACCAATCCCTCTTTGCCCACCTCGACCGCAAAGGCGGCTTCTACACGGAGCGATGGGGCGACGCGCCCGTGCATTCGTTCGCAGTGCACCTCCTCCTCCCGCCCGAGCGGCTGCATCACTTTTCGGATTTTGGGTATCACCACGACCCGTTCTGGCAGTGTCCTGGTAATGCGCCGGGCGGGCAGCTGCCGGGGAATGAGGCGTTGGGGAAAGGGAGGGAGGCTGGGTGGACGAAGGAGAGTGAGGGGGCGATTGGGTGTCGCTGTCGCTGTGGCGGGGACGACGGGACGTGGAGGAGGAATAACCGGGGGATTTGTTTGCAACGGATGCAGCGGGCTGCTGCGGCGACCAGGGTTGGGTGGTGGGATCGGTGGAGGGGAAGGTATCCTTATAGTATTGGCGTTCCGGGGTGACGGAGGAGGGAAGAATGGCGTATTGCTGCATATATATTGACCATGCGATACCATATATCCTTATTGATGTAACGTGTTCAATTATGCGGGATGAACCTGGCCTCAGCCGCGAGCTGCAGTTCCCTGTTGATCAATAGTCGATCCTCAACTTGGTTCTGCCGCTGGTGTGCACAGTATTGAGAAGGATGTTGACGAGTCAGGGGCAGCAGGATTAGACCAGGTTCATGAGGCGGCTGACCTGCGCCTTACCCCTAACTACGTTGGGTTCCTACACCTAAATCTATTCTTCTGTCGTGTAATGACTCGTGTCACGCTCCATTCCATCCTGTCGAAGTTGCTGGTTTGGCGAAGGTTTCACCCTCCAGCGCTGTTTCCCCTGTGGCTCAGGGGCAAGTGGGTCTCGAGTCTTGAGCTTGACGGAGCAGTTAATTCATATATAGTGGTAAAGAGCTCGCACTGACTGCTAAGCTACGGTGGGTGACAAACATCCACGATTCTTCCGTAGTATAGTGGTCAGTATGTGAGCTTGTCATCAGAGTGGGATTACCATTTCAGACACCGCTCGAGACCCGGGTTCAATTCCCGGCGGGAGAGACCAAAACAGCAACCGAAACATCGGCTGTTCTGTGTTTTTTTGATATTGTGTCCAAGATCTTTTTTGGTTTTTGGTCTTTTTGAGGGGCAATCTGTTCAATTGGGAAGGCGCGACCACACTCTACCCTTGCACGTGAGCAGCAGTCAACCCCAACCCTGCTCCCCTGCCTGACGTCTTACATGATCCGCGAACTAGAAGTTGCCGAAATTGCCATAGCCCTTTGCTCTCCGCCTTACCTGTTGGTTGGTTTTTGGAGTCGAATACCGAATTCGTACAAGTTACTTGAATTGGCTTGCAAAGCGGCCCCAGAATACCTTGGACTGACTATTCTACTACAGTTCGGAGGCTGTACTGTATTTCAATCCCAAGTCAGGGATCTAGGAGGACGGAAAAGTCCAAGTTGGCTTTGATATAGAACCCAGAATCTCGCCCCCTTATATAGCCTCTCTATAGTTTCTACTCGTGTGTGTGAATTTAACAAGAAACGCCAACTTGACCAAGGAAACACCAGGCAACCAAACCCCGTTGCATCACTGACGCCTATCCCCTCTACTAAACCCCCTTAATAGTTAACACGCCGGCAGCGCTGTGTCGTCCATAGGCGTCCTGGCCAGCGCGATTTCGGCGTTGCGCCTCCGCACGAGGCCTGGCAGTACCTGGCCGCCGGCGTACACCCACCTGGGCAACTCCTCGGACAGCACCGTGTCGACGTCCTCACCGTTGTTGAGCCGCTGGATGAGCGACGACGTCTCGGCCGCGCCGCAACCCATATTGAAGGACCAGCTGATGAGAGCGCCGTACTGGTTCAGGTTGACGGTTGCGTGCGTCATGGCTGTGATGCACCTCTCGAAGCGCTGGTTCTTGTGATTAGCTAACGTTGGGGGTAATTCAGTGAAGGGGGTTTGAATGGGATTTAAATACCGTCATGTCGTCGGCCAGCAGCTTCTTGCCGTCCGCCTGTGAGAGCGGGATCGAGTACTTGAGGTCGGAGCATGTGGAATCTTTGCAGAGGTGGCCGTAGCCAACCGTGGGATAGCCGGCGGCGTCGGTGTCTAATATCAATTGTCAACACGTCTGAGAGCATATTGGTTCACAGAGAGAGAAATACAGAGAAAGAGGATACAGAGAAAGAGGAGAGGAGAAAGAGTGCACATACAGATAGTAGGCTCGAAGCCTTCGAACTCGGCAATCAGGTCGACCGTGGCCTGGTTCGACTTGGGGGCAACGCACGCGGTTGTGCCGCACTTGCCCACGACATAACCGTCGCTGCCCGTCTCTACGTAGAGGTCGGACACGTAGCAGCCATCCGACGTCTTGTCCCAGATGCTGTGGCCCTCCACGCTGGTACCGGGCGTCTGGCAGGTGATTGTGACGTCGATCCCCTTGCTGTACGTCCTCTTGACCTCGTAGTTGGTGCCTGGCCCGGCCCGGCAGTTGACCGTGTCGCCGGTGATGAGGTACGCGCTGGCATGGGCCAGGGCAGAGGCGACTGCGGCGATGCTGACGAGTTTCATGGTTGACTTCGATGGTAAACTTAAGAAGACTGACAGGGCCGCTGGTGGTTGCCAAGTATGGGGTGTGTCGGAAATAAGTACCTAGAGACTAGTGACTAAAGCGAAGCTGTCAATTCCACCCTAGCAGTAGGCTCGCTCAGGGGTTCCGGCCTTCATTTATTGCGAAGTATGCCTCGACGAGGAGTTTGCCATCGGGGAGGGCAAGGCTCGGGGTGAGCTGAGATTGCAGCGCATAAGTACCTTAGTTGCGGCTGCATTCGGTGTAACGGTGACCTGCCAAGCATGGCAATGATCGCTTGGCCGTGACAGAAATATTACTGTATATCTCCAAGCTTTACAGGGGCGAGAGTGGGTGTCTAGGTAGCATTGCAACCCTTCTCCTGCCTCCTGAACGAGGCACCGAACGCTGTTCATCCCCAGCTGATGGGAACATGGAAATGGGCATCCAACTTCGGTGTTCATAAGGCTGGAAGATTCTATTCATTGTTCACATCCGAGGTGAGGTGTCACTAGAGTGAAGAATTCAATGGTCAAGAATCTAGAGCTTCCTACAGCTCCTCACGTCCACCGTGACAAGACCAACACCCTGGTGATGACGACTGCTTCCACCCCTCTGTCCCTATCCCCTTCACAGCTGACAAGGCACCCTCCAAGAACAGCCGATCAACCTCCTCGGCCGCCGTCTCATTCCCCGCCCTCAACCGCAAAAAGAACTGATTCCTCACCGTCTTATCCCACACCCACCGGTTCGACCCGTCTGCTTCAACAAAATTATACCCCAACCCGCCTTGATTCCCATATTCAAATAAGTTTCCCAGCCCGCGTATGGCGTACCACACGGCTAGCGGATCCCACAACGGACGCGGGTGATGATAGCCATACCAGATATACGCCCTCCTGACAGGGTCTTCCTTGGGGCCCTCTGCCATGAGAGGGCCGCCCGTGAGGACAAACTTGCCGACGTCGTCGCCCAGAAACACCATCCGCCCTGGTCCATCCCATGTGTTGATGACGTGCGCTGCCAGGCTGGCGTTGGAGCCAAAAAAGTTCCAGCTTGGTCCGCCGGACGGGTAGGAGCCGCCCATGATGACCAGCTCCGAGACTTTGAGAGAGACGAGCGCGCGGCCGGGGAGGGGGGAGAAGGCGTCTGCGGTGGAGTTGAAGAGGGCTGAGAGCTAGGATGTCGTATCAATCAAATCGTCTTACTTGAAGGCGAGCCGAAAGGGTTGTAAGGGTGTCAGCGTATTGCAGAGTGAGGACTTACGTTATTCAGGAAGCCAATCGAAGCAACCGTCACGCTACCATCTTCCGCCTCGGCGAGCACCCTGCGATACAGCGCCACCGGGCCCCAGGCCTCCTCCGCGTGACCCCAGGGGAGGCTGCCGCCCGAATAGTGGTAGGCAACCTTGCTAGCGTACTCACCCAGGTCAAAGTAGTAGCGGTCAAAGAAGGTGGCGTTCGTCAGGGGGCGTTGGATGCCGATGGGGACGTGGCCTTTGCCGTAGTGGGAGAGGATAGCTGACGCCGCGAGCGCCGAGTAGCTGGACGGATAGTTGATGTTAACGGCGAGCAGGTTCACATCCGAGGATGTCGCCGCGAGGAGAAGGGCGCCGGCATCGCTGGGGGATTGATGGTGGTCAGCGTCCGGACGGGATAAGGGAGAATACCGTTTGTAGAGTTGGCTCACTCGACATCGCTGAACAGGTCAGTGTCTATGATGAGATTCTTCTTGGCGGCGGAGACGAGACCAATGTTGGCGAGAGAAAGAAGAACAGCGACAAGCTGTTTCATCTTGGCTCTGATGTGTTGGGAAAATGACGTGCCATTGTTCGAAGCAGAGGGCGACGAATAGGCTTAATTTGAATGTTTGAGCGGGGCTAAAACAGCACTTCTGTCAGGCCCTTGCGCCCTTGAACTGCTGAAAACGGTAAGTATCAACCTTCCTATGTACTGTACCTACCATGGCCAAGTTCCACCTCTGTACCTCATTCACTCCCGCTCTACCGAGATCTTCGTCGTCGCCTCCGGGCGCATCATCGCACCGTAGTTGCGTTCAAATCCCCCAGGTATAACCGCCTCAGTTTCGTGAAGTAATCCACAAACCTCACTCGCTCTATGTATTCCTGGTCAGTTCAGTTCACTCCATGTTGGTTTCCCTCCACTCTACATCGATCGGGTCCCAGTTCTTCCGGCAAAAACACTGCAAGTGCTGACCATCAGAAAGAAAGACGCACCTTCAACACTCGCAAACTCCAACGCAACCTTCTTTAGCCTTTTCACGGTCACCATCCCTTCCCCACTCTGAAACCGGCCGGCACTCGCCAGATTCCAGGACACATCAGCCCCTAAATCCATGTCTGTCTCCCTGGCCGTGATGCCAGACGCATTGCTAACCTGCAGAATCACTTTTCGGCACTCTGCTTGTGTCACTGGTGCCTGGCGTGGTGGCATCATCCATTGCCCCGGAGCCGCGGTAGAGCTATCGAGGGACAGCATCCTGTCATGGCCTAATTCCTGGCTGGTGTAGTCTTGCTGGCAATCGCACAGCGTGGGGTTGATGCGGACGTATTGGTCAACTGTTTGCGGTCGCTGGGTTAGAACTCGAATTTCTATTAAGTTAGGGGGTGTTAAGGACAGGGTGATTTATTGCTCTGAGCTTACTGTCAATCACTAAAAGGGAGCCTGGACCGGCGGTCACACCCTTCCATCGTTGGTTTTGGGTTTCATTTCTTGACGGCAGGAAAACCACTAGACGCGGCGGTTCTGGCTGGTCGAGGATGCAGCCCATAGTCCCGCGCCTATCCACCTGAATCATGTTTGTTGGTCGCTTCGTGGCTCCAACCGTCGAGGATGTTGATGACTGGGACGTGGAGGGGGAACTGGCTGTTGAGGTGCCGGTGAAGGAAGGGGTTCTGCTCTGGCGTTGAGGGCTTATTTGGCCGTTAAGGTATACGCTTCGGACTGATGACGGGCGACCTTGACTCAGAGCTAGGCTGAGTCGCGAAAATGAAGCTAGAGGGCCGAGCATCGGTGGGTAGGGCGATACGGTTGGCGGTTGAATACTGCGGCGGGCGGCTTTTGTGGCCTCCTTGTCAACGAACTCATCGGGCAACTTGGACCCTGAGGAGAGACGAGTCGATGACCAGACCTGAACTCCGCCTGTATCGCTCCTTCGTTCGCCGCCAAACATTGCGTTCGCTCTTTGAGACGTGATGACGGTACCAGGGCTAATGCAATAAGTCAGCGGGTTATTGACGTGGCTTTAAAGCGGGCGAGACTGACAAGTCATCTACCACTTTATACCCTGTCATCCATTCCTGAAACTCGAAGAGATCTGTCACCGGTACTAGTTGACATCTCACGTGCTTCTCACCAAAGCGGCCACAGTACATACCTTCCGGTCCCTGAAACGCCAGCTTGAAGCCAACTTGGCTGCGACCCTTGACGGGGTTCATTGTGACAGAGTAAATGCCGTCCTTACCCATCACAGCTTCAATGCATGGGGCCAGATGCAGACACCCCAAGTCAACTCGGTGGTGACTAGCACAGAACGGTCAGCTCAATGCTCGACTCTAGTCTCTTTACGAGCAACACCCACTGCTGTTTCAGACGGTTGGCATCGCACAAGACCAGGATAAGCAGCTCTGGGGCGTCATACTCCTTGTAGACGTCTAGTAACTGCCCATTCCGTAGACGACTGGCAGACCCAAGCGTTTAGTAAGCCTCCCATAACATGTCATCGGCTCACTTACCAGGTAGCCATTCTTTCACTTGAGGTTGCGTTACTATCATCTGCTGACGGTGGCTGCCACTGGACATGCTCTTGCCAGGCATTGATATCCTGCTCGATTACTGTTCGCAACTGATGTAGGGGGGGTGTTTGCTCCCCCGTTTGAGTCAGCTTGGTATGAGCCTCCAAGATTCTCTAGTTTCTCAGTCAGCATCTCACGGAGCATGGATGACAGATTACTGAATCACCCACATCCTCAAGATTACTGAAAAATCGGCGTGCCGTCATGCCCAGCTGCGGAAACTGCTGTCCAATCTGGCGCTCGACAGACACGGTGCTGGTGGCCGCCAGATATTCGTCGCCCGCTTTCGTGGCTTGCAGGAGCCAATAAGCCCTGAGGATGTTTGCCAACTTGAAAGCCTGGCACGGTTGAACCGACCGCCTCCGTGCATGCCACCTCGTTGCCCTATCCCAGTAGAAGATGGCCTCTTCGACCCCCTTGATCATGGGGATGCTCGTAAGACTGTCATATCTCGTCAGAGTTATCGAGGCGAGAAGATCCTGGAGTTGTTGTGGGACCTCAATCTGCCGCCGCCGCGCCTCCGTCGATAGAGGCACCCCGAGGAATCTTGAGAAACGGTCATCCAAGAGATCTATCCTTTCAAGGACCACGTTGGTGCACTCCAGCATCAAGACAGTTTGACCGTCTCTTGTCTCACTAATTTGGTAGTTCCAATGTTAGCATTGTGCATCCGACATTCTCGGGAACGACGGGATTGAACCCACATCTCGAGAGATTGAAGCGCGAGCGACAGTTTCGAGGTGAGTATCGCAATGCGATCTCGTAGCATGTCCACCTCATCTTTGACCAGCAAGAACCATTGGATATTGGATACCGGACCCTGGCCCTGACGCGTGCCATAATGCGAGCGGCTATCCAGCAGGCGCCGACAATCCTCTAGTGTCTCCTTGAGGTTTCCGAAGATAGCGTCCAGTTGTCTCGGGCTGTGGGTTGGTTGCCGGTGGGCGAGCAGAGCCTGGGTTCTCGTTTGACCGATCTTGATAACGAGTTCAAGAGTCTGCAACTGCTCCTTGAGGCCCTCAACATCCTGCTTGAACTCGAGGTATTGCTGGTCTAGGACAATCGAAGTTAATTAGAAAAAGATCAGGACCTTGGCTCAACGTCATGAAGAATCACGTACGCGCATTATGGACATTGCTCCAACCAACGTCGATGACTTTGTACGCTAGCTCAATGGCACCGTAGATGTCCGCAATTTCGAAAGGTAGGAACATCGTTCCGGCTGTTCGGACGGGTTCTGTGAGTGTTGATACTGGAACTGATTGGTATTTAGTCTGCCTCGGCAGCCCTGAAGTCAGGCCCTCGACATTGCAGGTTAAGGACCAACATGTGGGATGAACATTGCGGAGGTTGAACCCGTGATTAGGTAGGATGTGAGAAGCGGCCACCGAGCAAATGGGAAGAATGCTGGCTAACCGCCGTCGCACTGTCGTGGAAACAACTCTTCATCGGGCCAAGTTGGGCAGTGGCGGCACAGCCTGCTTGGGCCCAGACTGGCAGACTCAAGGCACATTGCGAAACGGTCGCGCACCGCTCGAGCTTGCCGTAGAAACGTGATGGTCCCCTTGGCGCTGCAGAACGAGGCAGATTCCAGGACGTACCACGCGGCTCCATTGGAATGACGACGTTGTGGCTTGAGGACCAAGAACGAGCTGAGAGCTGGAGCTACGTCGGTGGCTTGATAGAAATCCAATTACCACTCAAGTTACTCCAGCTGCAGTCGATAGCGTTCCGAAGAGGCAGCAGGCAGTGCAGGCACTTGCATCAGCTTTCAGCAAGGTGGTGTGGGAGGGGGTTTGACGAGGCTGTGTCCTCAATCGACTGGAACTTGTCCGTCAAGACTCATGAGTCCCCCAACTTGAAGTATCAGGAGATCCCTTCCCCTTTCAAGATCCATGGATTGGTGCGGCCCATAGACACCATGGAGTTAGACCGAGGATCCGTGACCAGCAACCCTGACACGCCCGACACGCCAGGAGCGCCGACCGGGGAGGGGCCAAAATGGCGTCGCGGGCTGGACCCTCGAGACGTCGACCGCCTGAATCAAGCGCAGCAAGACCGGTTCGCCATCGTCGAGGAGATTCCGGTGGAGGGAGCGAGCCTGGGGGCCTTCACCGTCGTTTGCCTGTTGTTCAATCGACAGATAGGTTCGGGCATCTTCACCAGCCCCGCAGTGGTGTTTTATAACACGCAGAGCATTGGCGTGTCGCTCCTGATGTGGCTGTACGGTGTGGCCATGGCGCTATCGGGGCTCGTCTTGTATATCGAGCTCGGACTGACAGTCCCGAGATGGGAGTTTGAGGATGGCACCAAGATCTCAACGCCTCGCAGTGGTGCTGAGCTTGTCTATGTAAGTGCCCAGTCAGTACCGACTCATCCGTTGTCCGGACGTCACTGACCGCTCTCCCAGTTCAACTACTTCCTCAAGCTTCCCAAGTACCTGGCAACATGCATCTTCGGGGTCTCGTTTCTCGTCTTTGGCAACACAGCGACCAACTCGGTTGCTTTCGCAATGTCAGTCGTTCAAGCAGCGGGGATTCCTCCAAGCTCAGGCAATATCGTGGGCATCGCCATGGCCGCCAACACGTTCTCGTGTCTGTTGCACGGCATGTCCCGGAGATGGGGCCTTTGGTTGAACAACCTCCTGGGCATGCTGAAGCTGCTGATCCTGATCCTGTTGATCGTCTTCGGCCTGGCGTGGCATGACAAGAGCCTCTCAAACGCCAACCTCGACAGTGCCACTTCCTTTTCCAAGACACCCGCCACTCCTCACGGCGTGTATCGATACGCAGAGGCCTTGGTCATGGTCATGTTTCCATTCGGAGGGTTTCACCAGGCGAACTATGTAAGAGCTCCATGCCGTGGATTTGGAACCCGTCTCACCTGAGAGAATAGGTCCTCGCCGAGATCCAAAACCCCCGAAAGAACTTTGCGCGGGCTTCCAGCATTGGCGTTGGTTTGATCTGTGTTCTGTTCATGGTGCTCAACATCCTCTATGTCAGTTCTCCCGTACAACTCCTCTGTTGAGAGTGTGAACTCATACTCACCATTGCGCAGGCTGCAGTGATTCCCAAGGACGTGCTCTTCCAGCCCAACATAGACGTTGTCCTCGAATACTTCAAGCGCACCGTTGGGCGGGCTTCCTCTGACCTTAGCCAGGTGCAAGCTGCCTGCGGTGCCCTTAGAGCCCTCTCCGCCATTGGTAATGTCATCGTTTTTACCTTCACCGCGGCAAAGGTGAAGCAGGAAGTAGCCAAGGAAGGCATTTTCCCGTTTTCCCTGTATCTCGCTTCAAGCTACGACTTCTCGTTCCGTCATGGGTTTCGCCGCCTGCCAGCGCACGAGGAGGGTCACCGGCTGCACAGCCATAAGGCCCCGGCTGCTGCGCTCCTCCTGCACTGGACCGTTACCACGATCCTCATCTTGGCCGCTGTGCTCGGGACTGCCAGAGGGACTGCGATAGGGGAGCCCTTCAGCCCGCTGCCGGGATATTCCCTCCTGACCACGGCATATGCCTACGGCCTCGACATCGTGTGGTTCACCCTGATTGGCGTCGCCATGCTGCGGTTGCGGCTGTGGCCGGGCAGTACGTGGCGCTCCAAGTCACCAGTCCCGCACACTCTCGGGGTGATAGCGGCGGTGGTGTTTACCGTGACCAATGCGGTTCCGTTGGTGGCGTTCTGGATACCGGATCCAATGCACATGTTTCTGTCGCGGTCAAATGGCAAAGTGCCCTGGTTTGCTGGTCAGACAATGACTCTGGCGGTGATTGCGGCGGCTTTCGTGTACTGGGTTGGGTTCCGGTCGTACTTGTGGCAGAGGCGGGTCAGATACGGCGAGGAGCTGAAAGTTACGCGGAGTCCTGTCTTCTGGAGAGGCCAAGGGAGCCAAGGGCTAGTGTTGTTGTATGAGATCATTCGGCTGCAATGGAAGGACTGGGTTCCAGAGGGAAAGAGGCAGCAGCCAGACCGTTTAGGGGTCGGGGTTCCGGGCTGAAGATATTCAACGGAAACGGGGCTCGGGCGCCGCTGGGGCCCGAGCCTTTTTTTGAAAGGAAATGGTTTTGAAGTCAGGTGACTGAAACTCGAATGGGCCATCAGTTATATGGTACTGTTGCTGCAATGCTGAAATGGGTGGTTCGCATCCGACATGGCGTCAACAAAACCATGATTCGCCGTCCGGCTTCTGACCTCGAAACTTCGTCTTAATTCAGGAGTAACACCACGTAAATCTGAGTTTGGAAGTTTAAGACCGTTTCAAGGTACAGTAGAGCCGTGCTGCAGAATACAAGCAAGCAGGAACAATGATGCATGGCGATGGATGGTGCACGATGTGGTGGAGGAAAAGGCAGTGGGAGCTGGAGGTAAGATGCTGGGCCAGCCAGGGACGTTGCCGGATTGCGAAAGTGGTTACAATGGCAAGTACCCGCGTTTGCGTATTTGAAGAAGTACGGATACAAATACTCCGTACTGCATCTCAATCACCCTAGTGTATTATGCATCGTACGATAACCTCGAAACATTCATTCACCGGTCTGCGCTTTCTCGCTTATCCACAACCGTGTCTATCAATTCTTGACTTGGTTCAAGTTGATTTGTCCTTCAACTTCAACTGAGGACACCCGCTCCAAGGCAGTCTCCAGCACAGCTCCAAGAAAGCTGCTTATGGCTGAGTCCGCAGGATTCAGCGGTCTTGGTCAGCACCGGGCCTGGTCGCATGCTAGGGATTTCGTTGATCTGTTCCGAGCAGTCAATCAACTGTAATCTCTCTCCTTCATACGAGTCAGGACGCAAACCTACCCCAAGAACAAAAGGAATCCCAAATAGACCGGGTTTATATCCATCGGATATCCACGCAGTCGATATCCCGGCAACCGAGAGCCCGCCAGGCTTCGAGCGCCCGATTCTCCGTTTCTCTGACCTCTGGATATTGTCCCTTGCACTCACCACTCGAATGGGACGATCATCTTGTTGGGCCCAGAACGGATGGTAGTTTGCGTCGCGGATATCCTGCACCGCGGAGGATTTCCAGTCAAGCTGAGCCGTTCCAATGACCCTTGCCGACGTTCACGTCCCGATTATGCTGACGGTGTACTCCTCTTCGAGGTATTTCTCGATGAAGATGTCCTGCTTTAGGGAACTGGGCATGCAGTTTGCGCACACCTTCCCGCAGCTCGTCCATCGTTTGCACTTTGCTGAACGGGTATATTCCCTTCGTAGAGCCTTCGCAGTTGGGTTTGATGAGGGGAAAATCCATCCGCAGCGGAGTTCTCAAATGTTGGGTCTGCACAAGCGCCTCTGCAATGGCCGAGTCAAGATTTAACGCCGCTGTCGAAGGAAGCTGAAGGCAAAACGGTAAACGATCCGGTTATCCGCATTCTTTCGTGCTTTAGAACCATCTGTCCGGCAAGGTTATCCTCTGCATCAGGTTTTCTTGAGGAGGTACAGGGCCATGGCAAAGAAATACTTTGGTCGGCGCCTTGTCGTGGGAGAGCGAGAGGGTTGCCGAATCCGGAAACAAATGAGAAATCTGGTATGCGTCCAGCAATGCCGAGACCTGCGCCTCCCGTCGGGCGCCCTACATGCCTTGAGCGGTGGGTAACGCCAGGTCCCATGATTCGTGCTATCCAGCGGCGAACGTGGCGGCGAGCTGCTTGATGCCTGCGACGGGCACGACCTGGTGGCCGCATGCTTCGAGCGAACGGATCGTGGCATTGATCAGCTGGCGGTGTCGAATTCCTGACATTGTTCCACGCTAAAGCCCTGGGCGCGGTGGTTTTCGAAGCGGTCGTAAATAAAAGCTATGGCAAGCGGAATCAAGCTGTGTTGTGTTTGTTTGTCAGTCTTCTCTCAACATCAACATCAAGACGTGGCCCAAGAGCCAGATAATTCATCTTAAAGGGCCGCACTTTCCAGACAAGACGGATCCTACCTCAAGGGTTTTGCCCTGGTGCCTGCCTGTCTTCACGATTTGCGTGAGAAGGCGCGACACAACTCGACAACAGCTTGAGGGGAAAAGGGTAGGCCCCGGGCCTTCCCTATATGCGGAAATCGATAATGGTGGGCCTCTCATCTTTGATTGAAATGGGTGTAAGACGATTAAATCTAAGACGATCAGCTGGACTTCAAGCACGACTTTATCCAATGTTCGGGTGGCTTGCGGGATCTGGCAGGGCAGCGGGGTTTGCTCTTGACGCAGCTATCCGCTTTTCCAACCTCCTTAAACTTGGGGTTCACTAGCATTCTCCCCAATCTCTCCCTTCTCCTCGCTTCTTCCATCATCCAACCTCGACAGATCAAGGCTTCCCAACATAACGGTCAAGGTCACGTCATAGTAACCGCGATCATGGCGCTGTTGCTGCTCTTCACTCTGGTGTGTATCATTTGGCCGATCACACTTCCATTTCACTGAGCTAACGACCTACACCGATCATTCTCGCCCTCGTCGGCGTCGCAATGTAAAAGCCTGCCTCTTTTCGATCAACAACCCCACTAACGATCCTAGCTACGAACACATCACCATAGCAACCCTCTCCCTTCCCCTCTCTCCAGCCCTCACAATCCTCACCATCCTCCTCCCCCTCCTCTCCCCGCTCACAACCCTCACCACCCCGCTCCTCTTTCAGCATCCTCACACCGGCGCCCGCAAACGCACCCCTTCCTCCTCTCAACCCCCTCTCCTATCCCTAACCCCCCTCCTCCTCTTTTCATTCAACCTCCTCCAATTCACACTCACCACCATCCTCGCCACCTTGTACACCTCCACCCTAACCACCCAGTCCACAACGAACTGCCTCTTAACGGAGAAATGGGCCGCTCTCTGGCGCTCGCACGACGCCCGCGCCATTCAGCATATCCAAGACGCGCTCAGCTGCTGCGGATTCCGCTCCACGCGGGACATGGCCTGGCCTTTTCCCAGGGGTAATCACCCGGATAGAGGCGCGTGTGAGGCCCAGTTTGGACGGCACAGCCCTTGCTTGCCTGGGTGGGAGGGGGCGTTGAGGGGTGCGGTGGGCGGGGAGGTGTGCGTTGTGCTCTGCGTTGGGCTGCTTCAGATTCTTGCTGTTGTTTTGGCTGGGCGGGGTGCTCAGGGGAGGGGGTATGGATTTGAAGGGGATGGGTGGGTGGCGGGTTTGAATAGGTGGTTTGGGGGCGCAGAGAGGAGGGTTGAAGCGGGTAGACGGCCCTTGCTAGAAGCTGGGACGGAAGGGGATCGTGATGGGGTAGGGTATCGAGACGTTGTGGATGAGGAGGAGGAGGTTCCTGCGGACAGCGAGAGGCATGAGAGAGAGGAGGCCGAGCAGCGGCGAGGAACAGAAGATTATGGTGCTGTTGGAGGAGTCGGACCGAGGGTTGAGCCGACTCATCATGACCCTTGGGCTGGTGTTCAGCGGAGTTAAGGGGCACCATGAAGAATGAAGCGCGAAAATGACGGTTGGAGGGTTGCTCTGGAGGAAGTATGACAGTCGGGGCATTTGCTTCATGCCTTACGGCGTCATGCCCTCGAGGGCTCTGCAAAAGTATCTGTGTTACCTCCGTATTTGGGAAATGGCTTTGCTGTTCCGTTGGCATCTGGGTGCGATTTAACAGCATGCTTTGATCTTCCACTCTGTGGAGCAATCAGACACATCTCTCAATGTTGCTGCAGTCAAACCAGAGCAACACATCACAGATGACAGCATCTGGGGTAGGTGCAAGTGATCCGGGTATCCCAACATCGATTCGACTGTTTGCCCACTCTATTTTGCCTCGGTCTCCGTAACCCCATTCCCCGCGGGTTTACCCGAGTTAACTGTCTGCTTCAATGGCGGCAGCAGGCTCTTTGCGGTGTGTCTTGCCTGCTGCGCCAGCACCGCGTCCATCAGGACAAGCGCAGCCATGGCCTCGACGATGGGCACCGCCCGCGGAACCACGCACGGGTCGTGCCGTCCCTTGGCGGCCAGGATCCCCTCCGACGCGCCGTCATACGTCGCAGTCCGCTGCTCCTGGCCGATGGTGGCGGCCGGCTTGAAGGCGACCCTGAAGTAAATAGGGGCGCCGTTGGAGATGCCCCCTTGAATCCCGCCAGAGTAGTTGGTCTTGGTCGTCAGCTTGGGTCGAGGAAGACCGAACTTAGCGGCACCGCTCTCAGCCACGCCGGAGGGGAGCTCGACGTCGGCCGCCGAGATGAAGGGGTCGTTGTGGGTTGAGCCTGGAACCTCGCAGCCGCCGAAACCAGATCCTATCTCGAAGCCCTTGGTCGCCGGGATGCTAAGCATCGCGTGGGCCAGCTTGGCCTCGAGTTTGTCGAAGCAGGGCTCTCCGAGGCCACTCGGGGCGTTGCGAATGACGCAGGTGACAGTCCCGCCTATGCTGTCGTCGCGGTCCCGGAACTCAGCAATGTACTCTTCCATTTTCTTCGTCATGGCCTCGTCGGGGCAGCGAACGGGGAGGTGGTTGTCGACTGTCTTGCGGTCGATAGTTTGGAGGAGCGAGAGGAACGCGGGGTTCGTGCTCGGGCTGGGGTGTTCGGCCGTTGGCGGGAACAGATGGACGTTGCCGACGGAGCTGGTGAAGGCGACGATCTCAATGCCGTATGCCAGCTTCAGGTACTTCTCGGCGATGGCGCCGGCGGCGACGCGGCCAATGGTCTCGCGCGCGCTACTCCTCCCTCCGCCGCTGCTCGCCTTAACGCCGTATTTCTCGAGGTAGGTCCAGTCGGCGTGGCTGGGTCTGGGATACATGTCCATCGTCTTGTTGCCATAGTCTGCAGATAGAATGTGTCAGCCGTAAATCAACGAGCTGGTCCAGTAGAACCTACCCTTCGGCCGCTGGTCCTCGTTCATGACCATCATGCCAATTGGTGTCCCCAGGGTGACGCCGAACTCGGTTCCGCTCTGGATCAGCACGCGGTCTTTCTCGTTGCGCGGCGTTGTGATGGCGCTTTGGCCCGGGCGCCGGCGGGTCATCTGGGGCTGAATGTCTTCCTCGGTGAGCTCCATGCCCGGCGGGCAGCCGTCGACAATGCATCCCACGGAGCGGCAGTGCGACTCGCCGTAGCTGGGCTAGTCAGTATGGTGGTGCTGATTCAGGCAAAGCGGGGGTGTGAACCGTACGTGGTGACCCGAAAGTACTCTCCGAAGGTCGACATGGTGAGGATGGGGGAATGCCAGGAAATTGCAGTTGAGGCCAGGCAAATGCCGGCTTCGTCGATGTCAACACAACTGGCCCTCAAACTAGGCTGGTGACTCAGTGGAGAGCAGGTGGTGTATTCGCGATGCCAAACAGATCCTGGTTGCGGGCTGAAAAAGCTCAATGACTGCCCCTCCATTCGCCGTCATCGGACCCCGGCGACAAAGGTACACTACGGCCCGGAGTACGCTACGGAGTAGTGTGGGGCGTCTTGTAGGAGTCTTACCCCTTAGTGTGCGTACGTGATATGACGTTAGTTCAGGCTCTCAGCCCCACCTTTCACTCATGGCCAGCTCAGACGACACTTTCTAGACGGGAGATTGTCAAGTCTGGTGACAAGGAGATAATATTCATGACATACCACCTTAGCTGGATATCCTTCTGTTCATGAATACACAGTTCTATAAGTTTAAAGGCCAAGAGCTTACCCGGTGTTGGAAGTTTTACATACCCCTGGCTGCCAAGCATCCTAATCCTGCTGCTCCCACCAATCGCTGCAAGACCGTATTTTTTCGTAGGAAAGCGCCCAGCGGGAAGCAAACATAGGCGCGGACAACACACCGCACAACAGCCTTCAACACCGTATCACCGATTCGCCTGCCGTGCAATGGCCGCAGATTTTACGATTGCTCACTTGCGCACTGTTACAAGCCGGCGACCTGCATTAGCTCGCTGCCTGAGCAATGCCTCTGTATCGCCGTCCACATTTAGGACCAGCCACGAAAACAGCCTCACGAACAGAAAACACACATCTTCTTGATGCGTTCTTGGGCTATGTCGCGACATTCTTCCACGGCCGCCAACAACAGATTCAAAACAGGACCATTGCCATGTCAGTACGCGCGTTACAAACTTCCCGGACCCGACGACCGCTCGTCTTGGTCTCGAATTGGGGCACAGCACGGGTTGTCCGAGATGCGACAGAACTCCGCGACGGCCAGATCCAGCAACTTGGCGGTACTCAGCCCTCTCGCCGATACTTCCACAACTACTTCGTGACGCACCTCCCGTCGTCCTCGCTACACCCCGATTCCCGCTCGTCGGCCGGTCCAGGCCACAAGCTCCCACGATCCGCCTCGACTCCTCATACCCCAGACGCAGGCTCTGCCCCGGCTGCCGCACCGCCGAACATGCCCAGTCGGGATTTGACAGTCGTTCGAATACCCCTACGCAGCGCCAAGCATCACTTCGGCGCCTCAAACTCCCGCGGCCAGCGCGTCTCCAATGAAGACACGTACCAGGCCGGGACCATCCACATTCCCGCCTTTGCCAAGAGGGTACCCATCAGCCTGGTGCGGCACCAGGCGGCGAGGACGGCGGCGGCAGGCGAGGGCACAAGTGCCGCCAGCGCATTGGGTGACCCCCAGGTCTTCTACTTTGGCATCTTCGACGGACACGGCGGAAGTGAGTGCAGCGAGTTCTTGCGAGATGAGCTGCACGGGTACATCGAGCAGGCCGCCGCCGAGTTTGGGCTCAAGAGCAGCCTGAAGCGGGAACCCGGTGCCCCCGACTCCATGAGGGAGCCCGAGGCCATGACTCCCCAGCGAGAGATCGCGCATCATATCCAGGAGCAACAGCCCCAAGAGACTGTGGCGGACGACTCCGACGCCTGTAAACTCGAATCCGACCTCCTCGCCGAGTACAAGCGCACAATAGGCGGCTACTTCCGCCGCTTCCGCCCCAACTACTTCTCCGTCCCGATGGCCCCCTCCACCCGCGAACCTTCCGCCCTACCCTTCTCCCCCGACCAACAACAACCCCACCCCCATCAACCACACCGCGTAACCCTCGAATCAGTCCTCACCTATGCCTTCCTCCGCGCTGACCTAGATTTCGTCACCGCTCAGGCGCGTAAGCCCGACCCAGACGACCCCTACGTCTCCGACTTCCCCCTCAACAAAGACGAAATTCTCGGCTCACCCCACTTGCCCCCCTCTGGTCATGGCATCGGCGGAACCACACGCTTCAAAGGCGGTTCCACCGCTTCAATCGCCCTGATCTCGACGCCCACCCCAGCTCCCTTCTGGCACCCAGCCGCGCACTCCACCCTGGTCGTCGCCCACGTCGGCGACACACGCATCCTGCTCTGCGAGACGGCCACGGGCTTGCCGTTGCCGCTCACGCAGGACCACCGCCCCTCCTCGCCCGCCGAATCAAGACGGCTGACGCGCTATGTCTCCGACTCGCTGGTGACGGATTCGTTCGGCGAGGAGCGGATCCAGGGGCTTGCGAACAGCCGGGCGTTTGGCGACATGCAGAGCAAGCGCATCGGGGTGTCGGCCGAGCCGGATTTTTCGCGTGTCGACCTGAAGCCGGCCGAGTTTTCGTTCCTTGTGCTTGCGTCGGATGGGGTGAGCGGCACGCTGAGCGACCAGGAGATTGTGGATGTCATCAAGGAGGCGCGCACGCCGGAGCAAGGGGCCCGCAAGGTGGTCGAGTACGCGACTGAGGTGAGCGGGGATGGGGATAATGCGACGTGCCTTGTTGTGAGGCTCGGCGGGTGGGAGAGGAGGGATGAGGGCGGGGTGGGCAGTTTGGGGACGAGGGAGATGCGGGAGATGAGGAGGAGCGAGGCTTTGGATCCGAGACGGAGGGGGAGATAGCACATTTAGGGGGGATCGTCCTGTTTTGCTCCCTCTCCCTCAGACGGAGATATCTCTTTTGTTTCTTGTGTATAAGGTATGTGTTGGAATGGGGAACAGGTCGCATAGCAGAGCATATTCTCGCGGTTGGAGCATTGGATCGGGTTATATATGAGTAAGAAGGGCCCTCAGGGAGTAGCAAACGGCGTTTGGCTCAAGAGAGGTATCCATCTCGAATTCACTGCTTGCTCTTCACAATAGAGACACTCCTAACCTTTAAATCAACGAACGGCGTCCGCCTGTTGACAGATCGCAGACCTAACCTAGACATGAAACATAGACAGGACATATACCACGTTGACATCGACATCTATCCTCAACCCCTTAACGCCGGTTCAATAACGCGGGTACTGCCCCCACGATCCCGACGGCGGCTGGCCATGCGGCGGATACCCCCCATGTTGCGGCGCGCCATACCCTGGCTGGTGTTGCCCACCATAATGCGGCTGGGGCTGCTGTTGTCCGTAGGCGCCCTGGCCGGGATACCCTCCTCCTCCGCCATACGAATGCTGCTGCTGCGCAGGGGACAGCGTCGGCTGTCCCTCATAGCTGCCGGCATACCCACCCCCTCCGGCCGCCGTGCCGCTGCCCCCGCTCTCGCGATTTAGGTTCTGTATGTGCGACCATAGCGAGCCGGCCGGCTTGCCGTGGCCTCCGTCGCCGTGGCCGCACCCGCCCCCGGGGATGGAGCGGCTGCCCGGGTCGCCGCCGCTGAGGACGTGGTTCTTGTGGTTCTTGACCGACTCCGATGAGAGCAGATAATTAAGTTGGTCGCGGTAACGGGTTTCCTGCGTCCATTTGCGCACCGTCTCGAACATATCGCGCTGGATCTGGATCTGCTCGTTGCGCGCCGCCGGGTGGTGGAAGGCGCGCAGGACGTCGTTGACTACTTCGTCGACGGGCACGCCGGGGTTTTCCCAGGCGTACATGACGCGGCTTTACAAATGTGGTTTCATTAGCCAAGGACAGCACAGGTGGGAGGGAGGAGATGAATGGCTTACGGGACGACGTATTGCAGGATGATGGCGGCGACACGGCCGGCGCACGAGTTGAGGATGTTGGTGAAATGGTCCTTGGAGAGCATTGAGTGGGTCGGGTTGTCGCAGCGCGGGTTGGTCCACGGTTCAAGCTGCTGGTTGGCGCTCGTCTCAATCAGGCCCGCGGAGCCTTCCTTGAGCGCCTTGGACACCTGGTTGATGATTGGGCGGACAAAGGGGGCAAGCAGGCCGAGGATGAAGGCCGTCAGCGTCTCGCTGATATGCTCTAGCAGGTTCTCCAGACCGGGGATTTTGGAGATCATGTTGTTGATGGACCGCACAATCTTGTCACGGAACTCGAGGATCGGGTAGATCTGTCCGGATACCTTGACTGGGTCGAAGTTGGGGCTCATGCCTGGGACGACGTTGACGTTGCCCGCGGAGCGAGCGTTTTCCTGCTCCTGTGCTTCGGACATGGCCTTGAGATTTCTAGCCTGCGAGGCAAAGCCATCACCAACGCCAGGGAGTTGGCCAACGAGGGAGATAAAGTCACTTCCGCCCGAGCCCGGACCACTAAAGAAGCCGCGCTGGCCATCGCCAGATTTGTTCGTCTGCTCGGCATTCTTGAGAGCGACGTCGATTTCATCGACTTCCGACTGAGTGAAGTGGTCGTTGGCTTCACTGGCACAGGTTAGTAGGTGGCATGCTGATAGCGGTTTGAGTATGCCTACCCAAGGACCGAGTGCAAAAAGTCCACAGCCCCAAATGTTCCTGTTCTGGCCGTCAGCACTATCCCTCATAGTTAGTCCCGGAGGGGCCATATACCCGTAACGAGGGGATAGACCATCCTGCCGTTTAGATGGATCTGTGTGGCACTGCCGCAGTGAGGGAAGACGTTGTGATAGCCCAGCTCAACGAGAGCAAGCTCGCAGTAGTTGCTGTGGGCGCTGAAGTCCTGTTCACACCTCAGTCAGTCGAACGTCGTGTTGGGTCTGCTGATGACTGACATACCTCCATACAGTGCAGAGCTTGGCCCAAGCACCGCAGGGCTTCGCACAGATCTGCCTCCTTGCCGGAGGTGCCGTTCGCGCCGTTTGTGTAGACGCGACCAAAGTGAATGCTGCGGGCAAAGCTCCAGCGGAGATAGCCGGCGCTGGTGGCCCATCCGCCGGACTCGTTGGCGATGTAGTTCTTCATGCCGGTGCGCGGGTCGATCTCGAGCTCCCGGGGGTCTACGGGTCCTCGCAGGCGGGTGTCGTACCGGCGGGCATCCTGGCCGTCGGCGTAGCCCAGGGGGTTGTCGATGTGCTCCTCGGGGCGGTAGACGCCCAGACGCTCCTCGGTGACTTCGAATTCTTCGGTCGCATAGCCGTTGGCCATGAACGACAGGACCCAAACCTAAGAAGTGAGTAGAGTGGCCCTTGAGAGCGCATAGCGGATGAACTACTCACAATAATCCTGATGGTGGCCGCGTTGATGCCCTTCAGGCTGCCAACATCAACAGCCTGCGAATAGTCCCTGAGCCAGTTTCCAAAGTAAACACGGCCAATCATCATGGAAGTCCACTTCTTGCCGTGCAGGAAGGCGACCGTCTTGAGCATGTCCTCGATGTCTTTCGACGGCGCATTAGCTATGAGCCTTGCTTTCCTCCACCCCGTAAATGATTACGCACCGCCATGTCTCCAGTTGTGGCCCTCGACCTGGGCGATGGATGGAATGTTGCCAGCACCAAAGGCAGCGGCTTTGCCGGGCAGAACAAAAAGCAGCAGGCCCAAGACCAGGAGCGCACTGCTCCAAGCCCTTCTGTAACCAGCCATGGCGCCTGCGATGAGTGTGACGGCGATACTAGCAGCTGACGACAGCCCTGTCAACCGGTATGAAACTTGGTTGAGCGCAAATGCGATCTTTGGGTATTTTGTTATTTCCCTTGGAAGCCCTGAAAGCCGATGGCCGATTTCACCACTGACGCCTGGGATTTGGCTTGGTTGGGTGGAATTTCAACGATGACTCGACAAAACCACGAACGAGGGTAAACCGGAATACCTGGCAAACGGCGGCCTATTATTGAAGCTGGAAGCTAAGGGTGAGCTTCGCTGGTTCTCTTCGGATGCCAAGAACCGGTTTCTTTACGTCAGATCTCAGCGGCACAGCCGGTTCAAGCTTGCTATCGCAATCGCAAGTATAATGCTATAACTCCGTCCAGCAAGGAATATGAACCTAATTACAGCGTGCTGATACGGTGCATTCTAATTTGTCTCCGATGAAATAGAATATCTAGTGGTGTTGGAGAGAGGTGCCGCAATGGAGGCCTCAGCCTCTCATCCAGCTCTCAGTTCTGTCCTTTCAAATCGCCTGGCAGCTTGTGATGTTGAGGGGCAGAGCCGAGCCCCACGCTGGCCTTCCCGCGTCAAGTGCACAGGCGCCAAGGCTCGGCTGCAGTGCCATGCACCCTGATATAACGATCTGATGCACTTCTGCGTACTTGAATTGAGGTGCCTGACATTAGGTAGGTAAGACGCCACGCGAATGTGGGAGTTTTGCATTGAATCCCCCAAAAATTGAAGACAACAAGAGGGACCAACCAGAAGTGAAAAGGATATGACCAAGCAAGCAGAATGACCTGAATGTAGTACATAACTAGGGCTTCATCCGACTACCGGACCTCATCGGCCCCGAACAATTCCTTTTCCGTCATGAAGCCGAGCCCAGATAGGCGCTTCTCAGACATATGGGCTTGGCGGCCGGTAACGCCACTGTCAGTCGATGGGATTTTACGCGGATCCGAAACCCTTCCGCGCCAGGGGATTCGTGCGACCCCTGAACTTGGGCCAGGATTCCAAGCCGGCCAATCCGCAGCGGTCGCTCCTGCAAAATGATAGAGCTTTGCTTCTGTCCTTGACCGTCGGTTCATCCATTGTCACTCCTTTTCTGCATAGGACCTCTGCTGTTGATTGCTCTTCGAACATTCGTCTGGCATTCGAAGTTCCCATCCTTCGCGCTCCCGTTTCCGTGAACCATTCGAGTGGGCTGCCAGCGCAAGCCAAATTGTCGCCAATCGAGACTGCTCTCCTAGAGAAGCATCGACCCGCCGAAATGCCCGGCCGGACACTGCCCACCTTCACCCTCGCCGATGTCGAGTCGCACAATTCCAGGCAGTCCTGCTTCGTCACGCTGGGAAAGAATGTCTACGACGTGACCGACTTTCTCAACTCGCATCCCGGTGGCGCCGACCTGGTGCTCGATTACGCTGGCAAGGACATTACCGACATCCTCGAGGACGAGGCGTCGCATGCGCATTCCCCGGCGGCCTATGAGGTACTCGAAGACTCGCTTGTCGGGTTCCTCTCCCCTGGAGACGGTTTGGCGGATGGGAAAGCAACGTCGACGGCGACTGAGAAGGGCAACGGGACGGTCAATGGCACAAACGGCACCTCACCACACCCCAGGACGGGCATGTCGTGCGAGGAGGATCTGACCAAGGATACCGACATTGCCTCGGACTATAAGACGCACAGGTTCCTTGACTTGAGCCGACCGCTGTTTCCGCAGGTTTGGAACGGCGGCTTCTCCAAAGACTTTTACCTGGATCAGGTCCACCGGCCGCGCCACTACAAGGGCGGAGCGTCCGCACCCCTTTTCGGCAACTTCCTGGAACCCTTGACCAAGACGCCGTGGTGGGTGATTCCGGTGGCTTGGCTCCCGCCTGTCATATACGGCCTCTACCTGGCAAGCGAAGGATTCACAAACCCCATGGAAGAAGTGTTTTGCTTCCTGTTGGGCTTGTTTTTGTGGACTCTGATCGAGTATCTTATGCATCGGTTTCTGTTTCATCTCGATGAGTGAGTTTTTCCCGCTTTCTTCTCCACCATCTGCCAGTCGCTAACAAACACTTAGTTACCTCCCAGACAACCGAGTCGGCATCACACTGCACTTCACCCTCCACGGCATCCATCACTATCTGCCCATGGACAAGTACCGCCTGGTCATGCCGCCCACGCTGTTCCTTGCGCTCGCCACCCCTTTCTGGAAGCTGGCGCACACCATTTTCTTCTGGAACTGGCACATTGGCACTGCCGTCTACTGTGGAGGCGTCTTTGGTTACATCTGCTACGACATGACGCACTACTTCCTCCACCACCAGAACCTCCCGCTGTGGTGGAAGCAGCTCAAAAAGTACCACCTCGAGCACCACTTCCTCGACTACGAGAACGGGTTTGGTGTCACGAGCCCATTCTGGGACAAGATCTTTGGCACCGAGCTGGAGCCGCGAGTCAAGAAGAATCTCTAGATGGATGAAGCATGAGCTAATCACGGGGCTGTTGGGATATTATTAGTAATGAGGCTACCACGTACATATCATGACATCTTCGGGCACTTGTCCACCGGGCGCTTTCAAGACCAGTCAAGAGCAAAAGGTGTCCAGGATCCAATAGTGTCTGTTCTCGAAGGTTGTTGTTGATTGCAAGTCGTTCCTAGAATCGAATACCCTAATACTAACTAGCGATTTGAATGGTTTGCTATGTATCAAACTCGCATGACCAAAGCATATTTCAACGATCCTCCAGACACCTCAGGGGGCCAGCGCACCTGCTGTGCCACGCAGCTGCAGGCTCGCAACCAATCACGTTCGTAGGCATCTGTCCACCCAACCACCAGATTTACTCCGTAGCTACTTGGCATCGCGAAGCCTTGGTGGCGTTTCGCGACGGTTATCGGTTGCCCAGACTACCTTGCCGAGAACACCGAATCTTCCATTGGATCTTCTCCACTCGCCGGCGTAGTTCAACTGCAGCCTGAAGTTATTAACATCATCCTATCCATACCGCAGTCAACTTCCCCATCTGTCATGCCCTGGACGGTTTCTGACGCGCCCATCCTGCTCGCCATCGGTACCGGTCTCACCACGCTTGGCTACTTCACAGCCCGCAAGATGTTCGGTCACGACCCCCGGGAGCCGCCTCTGGCTCCCACTTCCATCCCCCTCATCGGCCACCTGGTCGGCCTCTCCCGGAGCAAGTTCAACTACTACGTCGAGCTCAGCGAGCAAACCGGCGTGCCCATCTTCACCATGGCCCTCCCGGGGCAAAAGATGTACGTCGTGACCAGACCAGACCTCATCCAAACCATCCAGAAACAGCACAAAGTCCTCGCCTTCCCGCCCATCGAGGCCAAGTTCGCCTCCACCGTCTGCGGCGCAAGCAAGCACGCCCAGGACATCCTCGCGAAGAACGTCAACGGCGACGAGGGCGAGCACGGCCTGTCGATGGAATCCTACGCCGCCATGCGCGAGGCCCTCAGGCCTGGCCCGCAGCTCGACGACATGAACCGGCACATGATCCAGGAGATCGCCGTGGCCCTGGACGCGCTGCAGCCTGCACCCGGCAAAACCAAAATCATCGGCATGTACGCGTGGCTGCGCGACACCATCACCACGGCGACCACCCGTTCCGTCTACGGGCCCATGAACCCGTACGACGACAAGGCCGTTGCCGATGCCTTTTGGGAGTTTTCGTCGGGACTCGTGTCCATTCTGCTGGGCGTCTTCCCTTCCCTGACCGCGCGCAAACCTGTCGCGGCGCGCCAGAAGGTCGCCAAGGCTTTCGAAGCGTATTATCGCGCGGGTGGCGTGGAGAAGGCGTCCGCGCTTGCTAGGCTGCGCTATCAGGCCGAGGTCAACAACGGCGTGCCGCTGGAGGATATCGCGCGCTATGAGGTTGGCGGGTCGATCGCCATCATGGTGAACACGGCGCCCGCGGCGTTTTGGACGCTCTTCTTCTTGTTCTCACAGACCGGGTTGGTGGACGAGATCCGCGCCGAAATTGATGCGTGCACCGAGACACAAGGCGATACCAGAATCATTGACATCATCACCCTTAAATCATCCTGCCCTTTGCTGCTGTCCGCCTACCAGGAGGTGCTCCGCCACCGCTCGATGGGGACCTCGGTGCGACAGGTCATGGAGGATACTTACCTCGACCAGTGGCTTCTGAAGAAAGGCGCCATGCTGCAGATGCCGAGCCGGGTGATTCACCAGGACCCGTCGCTTTGGGGGAGTGATGTTGCCGACTTCAACCCCCGGCGTTTCTTGGCCGAGAATAGGCAGAAGCGCCCCAAGGACGTGTGTTTCCGTGCTTTTGGCGGCGGCAAGACGCTGTGCCCTGGCCGCCATTTTGCGACTAACGAGGTCTTGGCGGTCGTCGCGGTGTTTATTGCGCGGCTGGATATGAAGCCTGTTGGCGAGGGAGGGTGGAAGATGCCGACGAGTAAGAATACCAATGTCGCGGCCGTGGTGATGGAGCCGGATGCGGACGTTGAGGTTGAGGTTACACTGAGGAAGGGGATGGAGGGGGTGAAGTGGCAAGTCAGGTTGTATGGGAATGGGGATAAGGTGTTTGCTATGGTCACGGAGGATCAGGAGGCAGAGTGAGGAGACAAGGCTAGCATTGAGCCAGACGTGTGCACGTTTGTCTGATGTCGAAGGCTTCCTCCCTGAAGAGACGGACTTTTCTTCCCAGCCTCTCATGATCCAGATACTCGTCTGGCTGACTGTTTCGGCCGGAACCGTGTTCCCGCACATGCTTTGGCAAGGCGGTGCGTCTGCAAAAGCGGCAGCTTCAGAGATTGGAGACCTGCCAAACAGCAGCCTGTCAGAGTCTGCTGCGCAGCGGAGCGGTTCCGAGCAGATCGTGTTGGGCGCCCAAGTGAGTGGCGCGATCAGGTTTCACACCCGCGTTCTGGGAGAGGGCGTGCCCAGATGCGGCGGAACAGGCCCTCGACGGCAGAAATAATGGGAAGATGACGGCCTGGTCAGGGCAGCCCGTTATAAACCAAGGCAAGGCTGGATATTGTGCGCTCCTCAGCTTTCACTTGGTCGCTCTGTGGTCGGTCAACGAGAAATCCGCTGCAGAATCAGCACCGATCATATATGCACAAAAGCCGGCTCGCCAAAGAAGGGGTCGTCGGCCCAGATCCACCTCCACGAAGTTGTTCCTCCAAGGGCGGTCCAGCAAGTCATTCCTTCGAGGTCGCATTAGGTCGGGCAATGCTGTAACAAACCGCGACGCCGGGGAGGGTATTTACTTGCGGTAAGAAATCTACGTAGTGTGTCAAGTGTTCCGTCCAGCCGTACCTATTCAGAAAGGGCTGCAACCGTTTTGAACTGGAAATGCAGCTGTAGGGCGCTGTTGAGCTCAAATCAGCATCTGTACAGTATCATATGACGGATTTGTACTGAGAATCGTGAGGCTAGTCTTTTCCTCGCTTTCGAAATCTCGTAACGGCGTGAAGAATTGGGAAATGATGAACTGTCGTCGAACCGCAAGTCGAACTGTGCCCATAAGGTACTGCCCGAATGCAATCAGTGTGAGTTCCACACGTGACTCTTTCTCTTTACATTTTAGGTAACCGCCAAGTCAGTTTTACCGCTGCGTGCTGCAAGCTGTGCTTGGAAAAACCCATTAAAATTGCAGCTCCCGCCTCCCACTTGGGCCACACTGCTCCGCCATTCCATCCCGGAATCATCCACCAACGTCGCCAACATCGTAACGATTCAGGTTTGCTGTTTGCACTCCACCTGCATTCGAGGAAAGCAGAAAATACAGTTGCAGCGCTGTCGCGCAATTCGGGAGAGGAAATCAAACACAAAATGTCAGGGTTGGACGTAGAGGCGCTACTTGACTCGACTGCTTCCTCCAAGGAGCAGACCAGCAAGGCCACCGCTAATGGCGACTCGCCCCAGAATGGAAGCCGCAGCGAGCACGATCGCGACCGCGATCGAGACCGCCGCAGCCGTGACCGCAGCCGTGAGGGCGACCGAGACCGAGACCGAGGCCACCGACGCCGAGATCGCAGCCCCGGCCGCCACCGCAACTCGTCGAGCGGGAGAGACACCCCGAGAAGTGATGCCGGAAGCCATAAGAGTAGGCGCCGGAGCCGGAGCCGTGATTCTGGCCGACACTCACGTCGTCATAGAGATGGAGACTACTACCGTGGAAGCCACCGCGGCCGTGGCGGCCGCTCCCGTTCTCGCTCGCGCTCGCGCTCGCCTACCCGCCACTACCGACCTGGAGAGGATCGCCGCGACCGTGATGATCGCAGCTACCGCCGTCGTGATGATGACCGCCGCGGCGGCAGGCACAGCACGCCCCGCGACCCCTCGCCCACGGGAGACGAGCGCGATCGTCGTACCGTCTTTGTCCAACAGCTGGCCGCTCGTCTCCGTACCCGCGAGCTGAAGGAGTTCTTCGAGAAGGTTGGCCCCGTTGCTGAGGCACAAATTGTCAAGGATCGCGTTAGCAACAGGTCCAAAGGGTACGTTTGCTCTCTGCTATTTCTCGGCTAAACCTCATTACTAACATCTCTGGCAGTGTCGGCTACGTCGAGTTCAAGAGTGAAGAATCCGTTGCGGCCGCCCTCCAGCTCACTGGTCAAAAACTCCTAGGTATTCCCGTCATTGTCCAGCCCACTGAGGCTGAGAAAAACCGCCAAGCCCGCAACTCAGAATCGTCCGGCCACCCCAACTCGATCCCGTTCCACAGGCTCTATGTCGGCAACATCCACTTCAGCATCACCGAGTCGGACCTTCAGAATGTCTTCGAGCCCTTTGGCGAGCTCGAGTTTGTGCAGTTGCAAAAGGATGACAATGGCCGCAGTCGTGGCTACGGCTTTGTCCAGTACGTGTTCCTCCCCTGTCTCCGAATTGCTTGCTAACATCAACGCTCCGCAGGTTCAGAGATGCTGGCCAGGCCCGTGAGGCCCTCGAGAAGATGAACGGGTTTGATCTCGCTGGTCGTCCGATCCGTGTCGGGCTTGGAAACGATAAGTTCACCCCCGAGTCAACTGCCAACCTCTTACGGGGATTCCAAGGCCAGAATCAACAGTTCCAGGGATCCGCTTTCTCCGGAGCCGGTGGCAGGGGACCCCAGGCGTCCAACTTTGACCGCGCCGGCGGCCGAGAAAACGAAAAAGGCACCGGTGCTAGTGCCCTGGACGACACCGATGTCGCTGGTGTCAACTTTAACAACTACAGCCGAGACGCCCTGATGCGGAAGCTGGCAAGAACTGACGAGCCAATCAATGGCCAACCTGAGCGACAGGTCCTCAAGCCCAAGACGGAGACGCCGAAGCCGCTTCCCGTCAATGTCAGTATGGCAAGCCGTTGCGTGGTTCTCCACAACATGTTTGATCCTGCTGAGTACGTAATCCCCTCTTCATTCCAGGTTCGGTGTTGCTGACTCCACCACAGACAAGAGGGTGAAGACTGGGCCAAGGAGCTCGAAGAAGAAGTTCGTCAAGAAGCGGAGGAGAAGTACGGCCACGTCGTGCACATTTCGGTCGACCCCAACTCCGCAGGCGACATCTACCTCAAGTTCGACAAGGTTTCCGGCGGAGAGAACGCTATCAAGGGTCTGAACGGCCGTTACTTTGACGGACGCATGATAACTGCTGCTCCTGTCGTGGATGCGGTCTACAGCAGTTTGTTCTCTCGCACCAAGGCCATCTAAGTCACTAATCACGGCACCCTGCTGTCTGCTTAGGAACTCTACACGGTATGCTGCCTCTATTCATGCTTACGGTGGTTGAACGGATGCTAACGCATTATCAGGCTGTTGTCGCTTCGGAAGGTCGAGATGGCCACCTTCCGCGACCCGCGATGTTGACTCGTTGTTGGATCTATCCTTCCATGTTCTAGGAACCGGCGTCTTTCTGGCCAGCGTCACTCTCAGTTCGCCACCCCTCAAGGCCAAAGGCAAATACCAACGATAAACTGATCGTAGCCCACAGAGCCGCCCCGTCTTTGCCTTTCCTTCCGGTTAGGTCGACCTCCCGATCCATATCGCCTTAGATGCCGGGAGCCGATCACAAAAGCCTTTCGTTTTGGCGTTGGCGTTGCTGATTTTGTACATAGGCAGGACAGACTCGCATTGCGGAGGATGCGTTCGGCCTTAGAAGAGTCGCAGCATCCCTCTTTGGGTTGATCAAGTTGACTCGCCAGGTAGCTTATGTTTTTGGGAATAGAGCCTTTTGTCTTTGCGTTTATTTGCCCCTGTTTATCCTTGTTTGTGTGGTTCTGGTTTTGAACATGGCGAGGCTAACCCACCCTTAGGTTCAGTTTACATATTGCTGCGTTGATGGGCCTGCTTCATCCTTTCTTCTGTGAGGGTGAAGAGTGAATGAGAGGTTCTCCTTTGTTTTTTTCTTCTCTAAACCGATGAGCTGCTATGGGCAACAGGCACACGCAGCCAGATTGCTGTGCGATTTCGGATGGACACGACCCTCCAACTCATCTGGACATCCCAATAGGTAATTGTTCTGACTGAAGCAAGCCGGAGTCCTGAGCTCGGCTGTGTCGAAGCTGACAATAATTATGTTGTAGGCACGATGTTGTGCCTGCGGCTGCCTTCCAAAGACAGATTCCTGTTACGACCGCTCCAATGCTTAGTGTCAGCCTCTACTCACTAGGGTGAGTCCCGTCTTCCTCTCTCCCTGCTCCTTTGTCCTCTTTGTTATCTCATATGCAAGGCAGAGGGAGAGCGGTTTGCGGTATTCAAGCAAGCTGCGCAGTCCGAAATCGATGATTTTGGCAATATAATGAGCGACGATCTTTCGCACACATGATGCTCCGGGCAGTATGTCTTATCTTCTGCCATGAACGGCGTGTCCGCTGTGGCCAGTCTGCTGCTTGCCTGGCGCCTGCCAGCAGTGTGTGGTATTCGTAGGGGAAGATTAGTGTTATTCAGGGACTCAAGGGTCAAGCGACTTTCTCAACTTTGTCTGGCAGTTGTCTCTCTTGGTGTGTGCTCTCTGCTCGTTTGTTTCTTCTCTTCATTAACCATATCGCACCGGGCTGATGCACCATCCAGTGATGGAGCTGAGTCTTCCACATCGATGAAAGGTGGTGCCTATCGTCACCACTATCATGCTTCTGTTTTGCCTCTGTTCATTCTGTCCTTCTCTCAACACATGCGCCTTTCGCTGTTGACTTTGTCTCCTTCGCCTGCTGTAGCTGTCAAAGCGTTCCACAGTTTGATCATTAAATTATTGTCGTTCTGCTCGTGTCGTTCTGCTCGTGTCGTTCTGCTCTTGTCGTTCTGCTCGTGTCGTTCTGCTCTTGTCGTTCTGCTCTTGTCGTTGCTTGTCCTCGCTTTCACTTCAAAAATGCTCGCTCGTTGATGGGCATCTCCCTTGCTTCGACGGGATGGACTTCCCCTCTCTTTCCTCTGACACGCATCAAATCCCTTATCCCGCCTTCCGCTGTCCTGTGAGAGTAGATGTCCGTTCTACTTCACTATGCTGCCGGGTGTGCACCCCGGTCGTCATGGGTCAACATCCCTCTCCGGGGGAGATAGCACACTGTTCCCTCTCCTCTCTTGTCCCTTCCTCCTGTCCTGTTGCTCATGCTGTTGTCATTATTTACGGGGCCTGGGACTTTCGGTTCAATCGGACCCCCCCATTCCGGGCTCACCTCTCCTGGGCCGCCGGGATCCGTACTCCCACTGGATCATTAACCAGGACTTGGTAGTCACAGCTTCGGCCACATCCGGTGCGGCTCCATGCCCCTCTGTCCTGACCGGACCGGGCTCAGGCCCTAGATGGCATGCGGCTGGAGGGCTCCGCTCTCCCAGAATGTAAGCTATAGCCCTATTCATCTTTCCTGCCGAGCCAATGTAAATTTTGACTCATGCCGGATCAGCTCTTCTCCCCCCATCCTCGTTCCTCGTTTTACACCGCTCTTTTGGCACTGCAGTAGCCAGCAACTGCCTCTCATGGACCACTGCCTGCTCCTCCTTTCTTCCTTTTCCGTGTCTATCTTCCTTATGTTAGCGTTTCGGGGTCATGCCGAAGGCGGGGGTGCTTCTCCTCTCCTGAAAGCCAGGCCAAGGAGGGTTAACAGGCAGTCTCGTTCGGAGCTTCAGCAGGCCCTAGCCTGGATTGAGCTGGCGACGGCGTCATGTCGGCAAGTATACGGCTTGTCATGGATCCGGTTGGCGCGATACTTACAGGCCGGCAGGACTCGGTCCCCTAATACCTTATGCCTTGCCAACCACGTTGCGAGTTCCTTCGTTCGAATCCGCCGACGACCCTTGAGGATTGGTGACGGACTGCCGAACACATCATGGCCTAGATCAGCACTCTTAGTCCAGCCACCAGGGAGATGAGTCGACCGGATCTAGGCTTCGAGGGTGATCGGTCCTGGCACCAAGCCGCTGGGATGTTGGGCCCAACATCAAACTAGTCCTTCCCACAGAGCATCGCCCATCGACAAGCAGGTCGAAGGACTTCATCGCGTCGGCTCTGAATAGAGGAGATGCTGCTATTAGTGGCCCGTGGCTGAGAGACGCTGGCGAGGGTGAGAATTGACGTCATCTCCTTGAAAGCGAGAAAGGCCTTGGTAATGGTTGTCAAGGATACCGCCATACTCGAAGCGAGCGACACCAAACGATATCGAGATCTGGTACTAGAGCCTCTCTGGGAGACTTTTTGCCAAGGAGTTGTCTCGACGTTTTGTTCTGGGATTCCATCCCGGACATTTGCTCCTCCGGTATCAATCACCTGGCAAGTGCTGGCCACGGCGTTCCATCCGACATCAGAAGCTACTGGGGAATCACGGCCACGGCTTTGCTGGTTTAGCATTCACATGGCGTCTTGGGCTTCACGTGAGGGCTCACTACCCTAACACTCGGCATCTTTGCACGTCATTATAGTTCTGACGGCCACAATCGTTGGGGCAGCCTTATGCCGCCAGAGCTTCGTTGCTCGACGTCACTCACGGCTCTGGGAGGTCCGCGAAGTTTCTGCCACAACTGCCCTGGGCCCTCCATCGAACCTCACCCACCGCTGAAAGTTTGTCGACCTTCTCACACAGGTTCAGACCCCTTGGCCTTGAACTCTCGCCGAAACTGGCTACCCTCCCGGCCCATTCCCCACTGCCGTTCCCCCGCATTCACCGCTCTGGCTGGCGCCTCATCCAGGAGTTCGGCATCTACACCCCTTAGTCGATTTTACCAAGCGCCACAAGACCAGTGTCTGCCGTCTTTCACAGCGGAATCGTGGTTCAGTGCAGATCAAAACTGCTGTCCAGAAGCATTTTTTTCGCTGTGGCAGCGTCGTCTGCCGTTTCTCATGATTACTTTGCCGTGGCTGGGGATGAAGCATTCCTTTCTCAGACCAAGTTACTCTCGAGACCACAAGAAAGCAAGGCAGCCAGTCACAGCCAGTTTCTTGCACGAGCCTTCTCCGTGCTTCTCCCTGCTTTCACTGGTAGCCAATTCCTTTCGCCTTCTTCAAATCTCGCATTCCAGTCCGCACTCCAACTATCCACTTCGATTTCCTTTCCTCCCCACACAACAAACCGGCTCCCACATCCTCCGGCAGTCCGACTTCGTTTTCTCTTCACTTTCAATAATTTTACCATTCCGGCAGCACCATGGCCGGAGCTCGCATGGCCTACGGCAGCCCTGCCAGCAGTGACGACGGTAGCGTCGACAGCTCTGAGGGCGGCGCGCCTCTCTACGCGTTGTCCCCACAGCAGCGCCTTTCTCAAGAGGAATATGCTAAATCTTCCTCCAAACGCTCATCTTCCTTTGCAAATTCGGGTGCTGGCGCCTCCATTGACCAACATCTCAGGACTCAGTTCGGGTTTGCTGCTGAGCGAGCAAAAACCCCATCCGACCAGGGAATTCGGACGCCGGCGCCCGTCAAGCCCCAGCGATCCTTCTCCAAGTCGACGCTTCGGCCTGCGGCTAAGGCGTACCTGAACACGACGACTACCTCAGCCAGTTCTGTCCCACCCGCTCTGAACCTGACTGCTTACCCAGGCCCCGGAACTGGTCCTCAGCGTCAACCCAGTCTCCCCGTCCTTGCACCAGCATCGCCGGTCTCGGGCGCAACTTCGGGTCCCATTGCGATGCCTGCTTCGCAGGCACAAGTTCGCCCTTCCATTCCGGGATCGACTACTCATTCTTTCATCGCCGCAATGCAAGCCATGAACCTTAACGCGGCGGAGGAGAACCTCCATCCCGCCCAAAAGGTAAGTCATCCGATTTTTAAATTGTTCTCAGCTTGAACATGTGCTGACCTCGCTTTATCAGACTCACCGCGATGAGACCTGCAAGCTGCAGGCGCGCATTTGGGGTCTTCGCCAGGGAATGTATCGCCAGATTGCGATTCCCCAAGAATTTCTCACGTCGTTCGACTATGACGTGGAAGAGCTTATGAAGAACACGGTCAAGATGAACCAGGCGCTGGATTCCCTGGCTGATGAGCTCAAGAAGACGAAAGCCGAGCAGGAGCGCGTTCGCAGTTTGGAGGCTACGATTCGTGGCCTTGAAGGCGATCTTGAGGATTACAAGAAGCGTGCCGAGAATTCCGAGAAGGCGTTGGCAAGCATTGCGGGCCGGGCCGACGAGGACATGAGAGCCATTCAGGTATGTCGTGTTTCATCCGGTATTAGTGTCTGAATGGCTGACCCCCGAATACAGTTCCTCAAAGAACAACTTCGCCAGAACGAAATGACTCGGATGGTAGGCTTCCCAGAACGTTTCCCAAACGAGCATTGCTGATACGGCCATTGGCAGATTCTGCAGGAGCAAGTCAACGGCAAGCGTAATCTCTGGCTGAACATCCACAGCGACCCTCAAGAGCGGGCTGCTGTCCTCGACACCCTCGCCCGTTCTTCGACTCCCCTTAGCGGCCAGACATTTGCCCTGCCCGCGGAGCAGAACTACCCGCAGAGCGTCAGGGCCCCCGGTAGTGTCCGGTCCAGCAGTTCACACACAGCCAGCAGCGTCCAGTCCGGCAGCGACCGCTCCGGTCTCTACGGTGGCGTCGCCCCCTACCTTGCTGGTCACTTCGTCGGCGGATATTCCCCTTTCCAGACTATCCCCCACTCCCACTCTGGACCTGCTGTCTACCCCGGTCAATCACACCATCAGCGCCGGCTGTCGAGTGCCACGGCTACCAGCAGCCATTCCAGTGTCGGGTATGCCAGCAGTCGCCCTTCGGCTGGTCCCCCTTCCCAGCCTGCAACGGTCGCTAGACGGACCCCGAGGGTCTCGACGATCGCGGAGACCGGCAGCCCCAAGGAGCGGAAGCGTAACACTCCGCATTCGATTGTGAGAGCGAACCTCGAGGACGCCGAGTGCTTGAAGTGGGCCGATGAGTTTCAGTCGCTGTTTGCCCTCGTTTACGGCTTCTGCGCGTCCTACTTCCACGAGGTGCCTGCATTCGATGAGAACTGGAAGAACCACATCAAGGCCGAAGCCAACGGCGACCTCTGGGAGTACCTCTGCAAGATCTGCCGGACTTCCCCCGAGCAGGAGCCCGGCGAAAACGCCTTGCGCCTCCTCAATGATCGCGACTCCCGCCCTTACCTCATGCAGCGCCTCATCCTGCAGCACATTCTGGTGTTCATCTGCACTTACGAGGGCTGGAAGGACTACTCGGAGGACGTAGACGACGAGATGGAGAAGCTTGAGGCGAACTTGAAGACTATTGACGGTGAATAAACAATCCCCGTTCAAGACAGTGACATTTCAATTGACCGATAACCCGCAGCTTCCAAGACGTACGAGCGCCAGGTCATTCTCGACCGCCGGGCGAAGTTAGTAACGGAGATGGTGGAGGGCACCAACGCGCAGGCGTTCAAGAACTTCAAGCTCACACAGCACCACCAATTCCTCAAGACGATGATCGTGCCCTTCCTGGCCAAGCGGAACAACAAGCAGTCCAACTTCGTCAACGAGGCCTTCTATGACCTGTTCACCATCGCCACGTCGGCCTGGGAGCTGTCGGCCAAGCTCTTCCGCTCGCGCCTGACGTTCCAGTACGTCTGGAACGACGTCGGTGTCCGCTTCTCGGCCGAGATGCACGAGCCGCTCGACTGCAGCGTCGACCGCCTCACGCTGCAGGCCGAGCATTGCCGTGTCCGGCTGTGCGCCACCCCAGCCGTCACCATGCGTAACGACCAGGGCATGACCATCGACACCAAGAACATCCTCAAGGCGGGGGTGTTGGTGATGCGCTACTGAGCGCCGAGCCGGCGACCCCTCTGATACCGCCGCCGAGCATTCCTCGGCAATCTTTGCTCAGTATCAATATGGATTGTTTTGGTCCTGCGCTACTGGTTTCGCTCTTTGTCTAATAGCAACCTTCAGTCTGAGGCTTGCTCTTGATGCTGCATCCCGTTTTCTCGCGTCACTCACGATTAACCCTTCTACCGCAACCCTCGGATTGATGAATCACCTTGGATCAGCCGGTCGAATGTTCAAGCTTTTTATCTCTCATTGAGCGACGACACGGCAGTATGCAGTTCTGTCCTGCCGCCCGACATCAGACATCTGCAACAAGCAGTCATTGGGCAAGGAGGCTATTGATGGCTCGGCACAGCGGAGAGATTTCAGTCTGTGATTTCTGCCGTCATTTTAGGGTTTTGATCTTCAGCAGCGTCGCCCTTCGGTTTCGGCTTGATGAGCCGAGTCACAATCGGTCTTGACACTAGTCGAATCTATCCCGGCTCGCCTCTTTATCATCGTACGACATGGCACAGCTCCGTTTTGGTGCGATTAGCCTGCTTAACAACGGACAAAAACTATAACCACCTGAACTGGCAAAGCCACCCATAAAAGGAGAAAAAAGACTAAAAAGGAAAAGTGGAAGAAACGACCCGATAATGGAAGAAAAAAAGAACAACTGATCGATGATGATTGTGGTCAAGAGGGGACATATCGGGTCCATCTCTTCTGGGCCACCCTGGAATCCTCAAGGGCGACAAGAGCCCGTTGGGTTACCTTCTTGGAACCCCCGACTCGGCGGGGCGTGGGAAAGGACCTTGGATCGAGGACTGCCATTCACGCCCTCACCGCCGGCTTGGGTTTTGACGCTGGGAGAAAGAAACAAGACTTGGGGAGGTGCTTGACTGCATATTTCCTTCTCTTTGGGTCTTGCACCGTATGCCACCGGGGCAGCATCCAAGACTCTCTTTGAGACTCTTGATCCGGAGAGCTTTCTGCCATCTCTGGCTTTGGGTCTGGTTTCGGTTGGGGGGACGTATTTGTGGTCAGCTACTCGGCGCCGTTCTCGACGACATCCATCGCAGCTTGTCAGTCTTGAGTCACCCTGAAGTTAGGGATACGGGCAGCGCGATTATGGACCAGCATCATGCGCCGTTCAGCTGATGACTTCTTGGTTTTGCGAGGTTGTTTCCGTTGGAGGGAATCACAGCACAGTCGTGAGCGGACCAGTGAATGTCTCTTGGTTCGCGGACATGGGATGACTTGGTAAGCCTTGAGTGCTGCGGACTGAGCAGGCATCGCTCTCCGGTCCAGAACCGATTGCTATTCTCCGATTTGCGACATGTAGGGTAGACAGTCACCACTGCGCGAGGGGCAGATCTTCAAGGGCCTAGTCAATACATTCTTGATCTGCATCCGACCTGTCTTTCTTGAGTGTGCCTATGACTGTGATTTCCGCAGGCTCTTGGGCAGCGAGGGTGTGGTGATCAGGGGAGTACAAGTTGCGTCAAACTTGAGATACGAGCCCCTCCTAGATGTTGTAACTGGACCACATCGCGGTCAGGCAAACACCATGCATGATATTGGAGGACATTGTGAATTGGTCATAGAGTAGACATGAGTCCCAGAGACAGTACAGGATCATAAGGGGCACAACAATTATAGACGGCTCGCCAGGTCTATAGCCTCAGCTATCTGTGGGCTTCGTTGGAAAATGACACCTATGGCTACTCACATCACACTAGCGTCGGCTGCTCACCCGATGGAGCTCTACCGCCGGGACGAACCAACATAACTTACACTTATAAGTCCGCGGCCTTTGATGGGAAAGGAGAGACCGGGATATAGAGACACATCTGGCGAGGGGAGCTGCCGACGGAGCATGGCGGCATGTCCTATGGTTGGGGTATCATTACATGTACGATGATGAATCACTTGCATAGAAGATGGGGAGGATGGGGATGTAGACGACCATCATTGATGATGGAGCGCTGCCTTTTCGGAACTTTTACAGTATCCCTATTAAATTTCGTCCACCTGCCATGGCTCGCAACGGAGCGAGCGGCAGCCGGAGTGTGAGAACACCGAGCTCCCGAGATGAGAAAGTAAAGTGGGTGTCGAGTGTGCAATTCATGGCGCTGCCTGAGCCGGGTGATCTGCGCCGTGCAGACCGGAAAGAGAGTGGAGAAGTGGGAGGCCGGGCAAGCCAAGACGGTGCCGAATTCCCGTCCACGCAAGAATGTCTCGTGTCTTGTGTGTCTTGTCTGTCTGCTATCAGTCCTGATTGCCCGTGGACCACGAATGCAATGCGTAACCTAAGACAACGGTGGATTGAACAGAAGGCGATATCCAAGAAATGGGCAACCACCCCAACCTGGATTTGTGGCTCTCCCCAAGTCAGCAGAACAGCTCTCCGAGGCCCACCTTCTCCTCCGTTGTGAGCTTAGGTTAGCCGAACCTGCTACACCACAAGCCACACTGGCCTCGTCCGGCATGGCGTTATTGGCATCCAAGACCTGTGGCTTCCCTGAGCACACCACATTGTATGGCCCAAAGCGTGAGTAGCTACTCTTGCATGTCTCACAGTTCTGCTCCAACACGAGAGAGCAAACTTGCTTCGAAGAATCGCAGCTTCAACAACATGCGGACACACAGGCCGTCACCACGAGGTGGCGGCTTGGTTTTATGAGAACTGACATGTGAGCTGTACCTACTACAGGTAGACCTCGGAAGCAAAGTCCGGGGCATGTTGTCCATCATTGGAACTCGAAACAAATTAGGCTTTTGAAGCCTTGGCTTCCGATCTAACAGCCCCAAGTTACCGAGAGAGTTGTGTGCTTGCCATGTGTTTTCATCAAGAGGAGCCTCGCATCCGACATCCGTCGGCGAATCGTCAATCTGGTGATGACGGTGCAAGATGACGGGAATCGAGCATGAGAGCAAGGATGATGCGCGATGGTGTGGTGCACAGTGCCAGTTCAAGGCTCTACTTACATCATCGTTCCCGCCTCCGAGCTAAACTCAAACCCGCATTTGCCAAGAGAAGTGTGGAAGTATGTGCCCCTCCATTATCTGATCTCAACCTCAGGTTTGCGCTTGTTAGCGCTGAACTTGGGCATGCACGTAGCAACTTTCCATTCTTCTTTCGCTTCCAATAATTCTCGCCGTCTTTTGTCTAATTGCTATTTTGCTCATCTTCCTCCTCCTTATTCTCCCACATTTTACTTCAAATTCTCTTCACATGTTTCTCATAATTCTTAATTATTGTCTAGCGCCCCCCGTTTCCCTCGCTAAACAAAACCAGAGACTGGCTGTATGGTAAAGCGTCGCCAAGCCAAACTGGCTTTCTCTGATTGTCCGTTTCTCCCCGTCCCGTTCCCTTGGTCCACTGCCCTTCAACGTCAAAACGTTAGCCAAATGCCTTCATTTTTCGGCGCTTATCTCGTACCGAGATTGCTCGGTTACGGAATGCTGCCCGCTGCTGCCACCACCCTATCGTTCGCTGCAAGATCCGTTGTACAAGTACAACGTAACAATAATACATAACCGCAGGCGAGAGAGGATGACGTTAACGCTCTGTGAGCGAGTTACGCAAAAGAGATAATGCAGGTTTTGAGGGATATTCGACTCGGGAGAATGGACGTTGAGGCAATTAATTCCTTTGCTGACTGAGAAAGACCAGGTGCAGGCCCGAGAGTCCCGAACACGCACCCAGTCGGAGGTGTGGTGGTCAACCAGACATCAACAGGCGCAATGGGAGAACTGGAAAGACCAGCATGATAAAACAAGCTCTGCGGGTGCTTGGCAATTACCCATGGGACAAAAGGCGCCGGCGCAGTGACGCCGCACAACGTTAGTTGAAGAATCCGGGGTCAAAGAAACCATTCCGTCGGGATGCCGAGGGCATCGATGTGGCGTGGTTCAGCCAATGATCCTTCTCATGGCGTTGATGAGTCGGGGCGGAAGCACCGGAAAAAGCTAGCCACCTCAGCCCGCTTCTCGGATTCTCGTTTGCAACTTCCACACCGTCGGTTATGCCAGTGGTGAGCACGAGGTCTACCGAGAGGTGTCTCTAGGTGAGGAGTCCACGTCCGGTGGCTGGATTCCTCAGTTGTATTCGGTACAGAGCTGACGAGGCGCATGGGATTAAAGATCCTACTGTGCTGAAATGGCTTCGTTAATGCTAATTTAAGGGTCTTGTTCAGCTATGACACATACTGTGTCTAAAGCGGATGTCCGACAGTTCCATGGTTGTGGTTGAGACTAAAGCACGCTAGCTCGTGTGACGAATCAACACTCAGGATTATCACCACCTATACCGTAACTCGCGGAGGGTTCACGTGCTTACCAGCTCCTTGGTGTTGGAATCGAGAAAGTGGCGAATTCCCCAAAGCCACAATGCCCCGAGGCCCTTGGTCGGGTGTAATATTTCGTGTATATTGGTGATGGCGAGAGGTTAGCCTTGTCTTTGTGGCTTGCCCAGGAGGTGATCAACAGCCACCAATGACAGACTTGGTTGAAGAGCAACCGGACAGAAGCAGGGGCCTGGCAGGTTGAACACCCTACCGGTGTGCCGGTGAGATGACGACCTCATCTCATGCTCCATGCTTGACCGCGCCTACTGCGACATGAACTTTGACACATGCGGCACACCACCAAGAGAAGCAGCCGACGACTGGTCATGTCCGAAATGCCATCCTGGCGCAAAATCTCATGCTCAGGCAAGCGCAGGATGGGAAAGTTATGAGAGAGGCCAAAAGAGAATGAAGGAGGTGTGAAGCTGCTTACCCTAATATCATCCAAGTTTGCTTTCCACATCGGCCCATCCAGACGGTCCATGCCCTCAACGTCCCATCACGGGCTGATGCACATGAGATTTCCCAAATGTAGGCTCGTGGCACAGCCTGCGAGGAACCGAAGCAAGCGCCAACCACTCTCCCGGTCCCCACACTCGAGCGATTACGTGCATTGCGACGAGATGGTGATACTAGTAGCGGGGGACAGTTTTTCCTCCCTCGATATTGCCTTGTGGGCCCCCCGATGCAGGACAGTGGGAAGGGAGCAGAGACAGGGTCATCAACCAAGCCGTTTCGCCTGGGATAGGCGTGCCTCGCAGTCTGAAGGTTTCGATAAGTCGCGGAGGGTTGCAGTGTAGTTGCGAAGGCTGGGTAATCATGATCCAAACAAACGGCGCGGTGCTGTAACTTTTGTTGTGTAACCAGACTGGCACGACGGTTCTTGGCGTGGTGAGGCTCACAAATTTTGGGTCACAGGTTCGCCTCGCACAGCTGTAGTTTTACGGAGGGTCTGCCCCCTTGACAGACCGTAGAGCAGGAGGGAGAAAAGCAAAGGAGGAAGGTTGAAGTCTGAGGATGCATTCGACTTGGGAGACACGTGCGGCTCGGGCAGCGGCTCGACTTCAGCAGGAAGCCGTTTTGTGTTTTACCCTACACATGGATGGATGGCAAAACACGGCTCAGCATGAAGGACCTGGTGTATGTATAGCATGGCAATTACCTCCCAGAAATGTACTCGTCGCCATCAGAATGCTTAAAATGCGTCGTGGTGTTTTATGGCCGTTCGACATGGGGCGGAGGCGGCTTGGAACAGCAGCGGAAGTCGTTGTCCCGGCTTTTCATGTTGCTGGTGTCTCGACGGCAACCTGTCATGTCTGGTCATGCGTGAGCGTGTGTGCAAGTAGTGCGTGAGACCTGCATTGGAAGCCGTGCTGATGATTGGTCAAGGGTCAGGGAGCGTCAAGCCATGCCTGATTGGGACCTCAGGGTAGCAGCGAGATGCGCTTTGCCCGTTTCCAGAGATAAGGCACCTTGATGAGGTATTCGTCCTTCGCAGAATCAATGTGTGTGGCTTGGACGCAAACAGGATAATGTAAGAAACCCGAGCTCTATTAACTGGGTAAATATGAAACTCGTGAAGCTTGGCAGCCCTGCTATTTTACGGAGTCCCTGAAGATCTGGGATGAGTCGGCAGATGCTGTAGTGATGCCAGTGGAGGTCCTTAGTGGGTCAGCGCTGACCCAATCATGCCGCCTTGGATTGTGTCCCGAAGCTGTTCCGGGTCCTGCCATTCCCATGCCGAGTGAACCTGGAATGTTTTGTTGGCTTTGTTTTTCGGTCCTCCCAGCAGCTTCAGGCCAGGACAAGTTATCATAAGAACGCGGTACGCCATTGCAGTGGTGCTGATTTTTGCAGGAGTGCATCTGGCAGACATTGGTGCAGGTGAGCTCTGTTGGCATGCGACACGATTGAGAAAATGCCCGGACTCGGCTCTCATCACATTTCGCTTCTTCCCGTCGTCGCCTCACTGTATACAAAACTCTGCTGCTTGATGCGCGGATGCCTTGGGCAGCGACGGAGGCTGAACCACTCACAACTGCAGCAAAACTTTAAGCAAGCCTCGTGGGAAGCAGAGAAACGGTCTGGCCCGCCGATCAATTCCACGACATCAAACTTGCCAACCATTGCCCAACACGGTCATCCGAAGCCTAGTCTCCCGCTCGGCTCAGGCGTCGAGCACATGCAAGTCAACTAACTCGGTGCTTGTCACTCGGTGATTGTGCGACGCGAACAGCTTGGATGCATGAAACCTCGAAGAGGGGGCCAACAACGAACATAGCTCTGCAGGAGGCCAGCCACAGCCTACCGCTGAGTGAGAACTGCGCCGGCTGGTATCGCATGTTCGCCAGCCAATATGTATCGGCACACCGTTTGGGCAGGCCGAAGCGTCATCGGGACGCGGGTCCGAATGGAACGATTGTTGTGGGTTAGCCGCAAGGTTAACTGACCACTTTCGGTAATCCGAGATCCGTAGCTCGACGCTAAACTGGAACCTGCAGATACAACGACGAGACTTAGGTTCGTGGCAGGCTGGCGACAAATGACTCCTGGATGCGCTGGTACTGAGTATCCAGTACGCACACAATGTTCCTCCCATTGTGGGCAACAAGTGATGCCTAACCGGATCTCCGTTCCTCGACAAGGGCCCTCTCGTATTGTACTGATGCCGCCTATTCAGAATGACATGACGGCTTCGCAGCAGCATCTCTGCGCTGTGGTTGGGATGAGACATGGAGACTGTGTGGGATATTAACCGTCATCCAGCGGACAGGCTTAGAGCAGCGGCGTCCGGGGCACAACATATCGGCAAAGATCGAACGCCGGGCCGGGGGCAAGCGGGTCTTGGGGATGGATGTGATGTTCAGGACGTATTGCCAGTGTCTGTCACCGAATCGCTTGGGCATCAGCTTTCGACATCTTATCCTACTTTTCAACTGCTGTTGTTGGAATTGCTGAAGCCGGCTGTCGACAGACCATCGCACAAAGAGTGGTTACCAAGGGCTTTCAAGACTGGCCGAGCGGTGGCCCAATGTCCGCAAAATGAGACGGTCCAGACCTTCGGGTTCGTCACACCTCTCCAAGCCGTTGGGGCAAGCCGAGAGCAGCCGTTGACGACCAACTTGTAGTATCAGACGCTATGTACGGAGTAGTCCAGCCTGGCGAAGTTGCTGCAGGCTAAGGTACCTTAAAAAACAATCGCCGGAAGTGAAGATCTTAGGGCTATCTCAGGCACGCTCTCCTGAGTTGGGAACCTCCTGAAGACGGATCACACATTAGCCTCCCAGGCCAGCGATCCACCTGAACCAAACTTTTTCATGGACCCCGAAGCGGGCATAGCCGTGTGCGTTCTCAAAGTTTGTTTCCCGTCTCTGCCACTATTTCTTTGGACTTCGATATGACGAAACACTCACAAGCAAGACAGAATTGGCGGGGTTAGTTAAGAATGCCCTGCCAATCATTATCCATTTGAGATGGGTTCGATAAGTCCCGCCAAGGGTTCCACTTACCATATCTTGGCGATGTGGTTGCAGTTAGGCTCTTGGCCCAATGACATCTTCCGTTGCCTGTTGTGAACTAAAAGGGCGGGTACAATACGGAGACGGTATCGACCGAAAATGCCAAGACCAACTTCTGCAGGCGCTCTCCATAACTCGGTGCTGAGATCCTCTTATTAGAAAGCCAGCACGTTTTCGAAAGCTGTTGGGAAGAGATACTGCCACACTCAAAGAAGAACTGTTAATACTCTGATAAGACCCATCCAGATTCTCTGGAGTTGAAGATTTGTTGGCGTGTTCCTCGCAGCGCTTCTTTCATTGATGTATCGTTATTGAAAGACCAATAGGTATGTACACTGTGTACTTACTGTTTGAGTATTGTTCCGCTCCGAAAACGCAGCGTTTTGTACATGTACAGTGTACTTGGGCCCTGCGCGACCCGCCGACGCCGCAGCTCTGCAGGCCGCAGCCCGCCAATTTGAGCAGCGCTAACGACAGCCAGGGCCGACCAAAAACTGTGCATCGGCCTGGCTCTCCGCAGGACGGAACCCATTCAAGCAAAGCAGCCGACCTTTTCCTGACATTGCCCCTGCACCACCAACTCCAACGACCCTATCTGCCTCATTACTCCCGACATCAAACCACCACCACAACGCACTTTGTCACCACCGCTGCTTCAGTTCGGGCCTTATTTTCTTTCATTTCCTTTGTTTTGACACCGCAACACTATGTCTGTTTAAATTCCAATCGCAATTGCCGCCATCCGACTTTCAGACTTGGCCAGTCAGAGACACCCGACACCGCTGTCCAGCATGAAGGACTCCCCACACCGTGCTCATCAGGATTCCCACCATGGAGCCTCAACCACCACGACAGCCGATGCACCGGCCCTCGCACCCTCGCCTTCACAACATCTTCCCACCGCCGCCGTCGCATCTCGCCCAGCGAACTGCCAATAGCACCCCGGTGTCGTCGCCGGGGCTATTCAGTCCATCTGTGCCCCGCCCCAATATGGCCTTTCCGTCCCAGCCCGGCTCCGAGCTGGCCACCCCCGGTGCCTCGTCCAGCCCGAGCCCGTGGTTGTTGCATCCGCAGTTGCATCCACTTCAGGGCCACAAGGTTCGAGAGTAAGTCTGTCTCTTCTCGCCTTCTGACTGTCCGACCGCCGCGCCCGCCAGGATTGGGAGAGAAGGAGACGAGTGGGGCAGCACGCCCTCACCACATGCCATGAGTTGCCGACTAACAACCTCCATCAGGACGCACAAGGCAAATGTCGAGCACGATTATACAACCGGAAGAAAGCACATCAATAACTACGAGATCATAGAGGAGCTCGGCCGCGGCATACATGGGAAGGTGAAGCTCGCCAGGAACGTTGAGAATGGGGAGTTCGTCGCCATCAAAATCATTCCGAGGTTCTCCAAGAAGCGGCGTCTTGGCAAGGTCACGGCCATGTCCACCCAGGACAAGAGCAAGCGGGAGATTGCCATTCTCAAAAAGATCCGCCACCCAAACGTCGTCGCCCTGCTCGAGGTCATCGACGACCCCGAGCTGAAGAAGATTTACATGGTGCTTGAACATGTCGAACTCGGCGAGATAGTATGGAGGAAGAAGGGGTTGCCCCATATCTGCGAATACGAACGCCGTCGCGTCGAGAGAGAGATGCGCGGTGCGAAGCCTACGCCCGAGGAGGACCGATTCGAGCGTCTCCTATTGCAGCGGCAGGCCGCCAAAGATGTCGAACGGGCGAGGGTGCGGGCCACAGCACAGCGATCCTCAACCAACGACTACTGGAGCCTGGAATACGGCCCCGCCGGCGACGAGGAGCTCGACTCGCAAGTCGGCTCTTTGGGCAGGGAGGATTCCGGCTTAGCGGCGATCCGTCCCTCTCTGTCGAACTCGAGCTCTCTGGCGGGGTCAAGAGCCACCTCCCGGGCGCCATCCCGGTCACACTCGAACAAGTCACTGTCGAGGATACCCGAGTCGAGCCTCGCATCGGCTTCCAATCCTCCTGATCTGGAGACACAGAGCGCATTGTCAATCCCCAGCTCGTTGGCAGCGCTTGACGGAAGCATGTACGGTCCATATGTCGAAGATCCCGCCCCACGGGCAACGTCCCCAAGTATGGCCGACGATTCGCTCATGTCCCAAGTATCTTCGTTCGACTTCAGCAAAGTGCACGATCCGTACGTGGACGATTTCTCCTACGTGCCTTGCTTCACCATGGAGCAGGCGAGGAACACGTTCCGCGACACCGTCTTGGGTCTGGAGTACTTGCACTACGAAGGCGTAGTTCACCGCGACATTAAGCCAGCGAATTTGCTTTGGACCAAGGACAAGAGGACCAAGATTGCCGACTTTGGCGTGTCGTACTTCGGACGGCCCGTCCGTGACGGAGAGCCCGACGACACCATATCTGAGTCGGAAGCCCGGGACTTCGACAACGATCTGGAGCTTGCCAAGACTGTCGGCACGCCGGCTTTCTTCGCCCCCGAACTCTGTGCTACCGATCTCTACGATGCCCCTCCCAGCAAACAGCCCAGGGTGACGGAGCAGATTGATGTCTGGTCACTGGGCGTCACGCTGTACTGTTTGATCTTTGCCCGCCTCCCGTTCCTAGCTGAGGACGAGTGGCAGATGTTTAGGAAAATTGCCAACGAGGAGGTTTACATTCCGGACCGACGTCTGCGACCGGTCGACCCCGCCACCAAACCCAGCGAAAAGTCATTGTACACACGAGTGAACATGCCGCCGTATCGCGACGATGATGAGCTTGCCTATGAAGATATTGAGCCGGAGCTTCAGGACCTGCTGAACAAGATGCTTACCAAGAACCCCGACAAGCGAATTCGCTTGCGCAACGTCAAGCGGCACCCTTGGGTCACCCAGGGCGTGGATATCATGTCGTGGATCGACGACACGGACCCTTCGAGGAGGACGTCGGGCAAGAAGATTCAGGTCGACGAAAAAGACATGGCCCGTGCTGTCGTGCCTCTAAGCTTGATGGAACGTGCAAGATCAGTTGTCAAGAAGGCGGTCGGCAAGGTCATGCATCCTCGTGGAGACCGCACAGAGAGCGTCTCGTCGAGGCGGCGTGCTGCGAGCAGCGCCGCGAGCTCAGCGGGCGAGAGCTCCGCAGCCGGGTTGGTCACTCCCCACCTACGGGATGCGCGGCGGAGGAGTTTACGCCCCGATGATTACTTCTCGAGCGCTGCGCAGCCAACCGGTGGACATCCTCTGACGCACAGCGTGCTAGCTAGTCCGGAGGAGGAACCTGTTTCCTCTCCGTCTGCATCTCACCAAACATCGCCGGGTGGTGGTCACCTAGGCCGCAGACCGCTCGAATTGCTCACGTCTCTCCCAACAATAAGCGACTTTCGGACCGGACAGGCATCCGCCTCACCGCACCGGGAACCTCCTCGCCACGGGCACGCCCGGTCTGTCACAACCGCCTTCCTAGCTCTTACCCCGGCGCCGATGGAGATACAGACACTACCGCCGACCCCGCTCATCGACAGCCCTCGGGAAGATCCCAGTACGGCGCTACGGAAGGCCCGGGATATGAAGCCAAACGCGGACGAAGTTGGCCGAGCCCGGTCCGTCGATCGCGGCTTGTTCGCGAGCGATGATAAGCGTGCCGAAGCCAGAGTCTCACTGAGCGTTGCAGTTGCTCCGGGGAACGTGCACTTCACACCGAGTCCTCGTCACGTACGGTCCATCGAGCTCGTCAAGGGCCTTGAGCTTGCTGCCTCGGCCGTCACATCTCCGACCGGGAGCCGACACCCAAGTCATCAGCACAGCCCGTTCCGGTCAGACCCCAACATGCACGGTAAACAACGTGCCCTCGCGGAGCTCGAAGAGAGGCTCGTGACTCCACGTCGTGAGAAGGGCCTGTTCAGACCTGGGACGCCACAACGTTCTGTGCAGAAGCCATCCACACCGGAACCCATCGACCCTGCTCTGATTCCCTGCCCTCCATCGCCAGATGACGAAACGTTCCCGCCTATGCCCCTATCCAGGGGTGAAACCATTGCGACGGGCAAATCATCAAGTTCGACGTCCATCGACGCCGACACAACGCCATTGACCAGCCCAAGCGAGTCGGCCAGTCCCATTTATGGGCTGAACAACCAGATGACCAAGGACGTTGCAGACCGCATGCTCGCTTTCCAGTCGGACCCGTCGCTTCCAGCGTTGCTCAGCAGCACGAGCTCGGTGTCTGCGGACCTTGAGGGCGAGTTCCTCGGCAACCCGGGAGTCGTCCACCACCAGGCTTCGGTCATCGACACGACTGACTCGCTCACGCCGCCGGCGTTCTCCAAGGAGCCCATGTCGGGATTCCCGCTGTTAGCGCACGATGTGCCGGAGGGCGCTGTCCATGTGAAGCTGGATCACGCCGCCGCTGCTGCTGCTGCTCGCGCTGCGACGGAACACCCGGGCAAGCCTGCTGTTGTCCACCGGAGAGGGTCGCGGAGTTGTCGGGAAGAAGAAAATGATGATAATGATAGCGACAGTGACGAGGGGTTGACCATGGCCAGGCGCAAGAGGAAGCCGGCTGCCGAGCACGGTGTCGCGGGCTCAGAGTTGACGGCGACACCGGCCAGGGACGGTCACCTTGCACAGACGCACTCGGTCGAGAGGCTGATTGGGAGTGCGAGGCGGAGAGATACCAATGCGAGTGTTGGGAGCACTGAGACGGCGAAGAAGGTTTTTGTGGATAGCGAGTAGCGAGGAGGATGGGGCGGGGTGGGCTTGTTGACGGGTTTGGGGTTGAGGATGGCTAAGCGATTGGGTGTGGGAATATTTATTAACAGCGTTCTGTCATCGGTTTCGGTTGCGGCATTTCACACAGCATCGGTCGGTCAGTCGGAACAATCCGTTGGATCGACATGCGCCATGAGCCTTACCCATCATCACCAGATGAATTTCCCCCTACGACTCCTCTCTGTCTCGAGTGCGTTTTGACTTAACGGGTTTATTGTCTTGTTGGGTGGCATCGGCACGCTTTCTGGGGATTGGGACGGGGCATCGGGTGGCTGTTTGGACTTCGACTCTTACTATAGACAGACTGCCAGGATACTGGGAGGCCTTTTTGCTCTTTTCGCAAAGGTTGCATTGACGGGATGGGGCTGATGCGGATGAATTTATGTTGGGAACACGGGAGTGATTCTGACTTGAGGTTGTTAACTGTTGATTATATCCAGCTCTTGAATTCGGCTTGCTTTTGGTTACAGTACATGCATGTAAGTAGGCTTGGTGAGGGATCATTGCCTACGAATGATTGGATGGATGGATGATGGGAAAGCGGTTACATTCTTACTGTGTTTTATATTTATCTTATTATTGATTATTTATCTAATTTCTTGACTGGTATGGGGAATGGTTGGACTTCGGCGTGGATGGTGGATAACTCGAAAGCGCCGGCGGTCCTGGTATGGGAGTTCGGACTCTTGTTGACTCAACTCGGCGCACTTGGCCTTCCAGCTGCTTGAAATTTATGGGGAACTTTCCTCAAAGGCTAAATAGCTCTCAGTTGTTTTACGCTATCTACTCCGTACCTGCAGCTCACACTACTTACTCTGCTCCATTACTCAATACTGCTGCGGTCTCTTCATGCGCAGCCTGTTTCATTGGGCATCGTGGGTCTTCGTCTTGGCGGTGTATTGCAGTGCAGAGCTGTCGAGTCGTCGTTACTGTTTGGTACCCGTGCCGGCGCATATCTCAGCTATCGCTTGAAACCGAAAAGAGGAAGGCTCAGAGTGGACAGAGCGGTGAGACCCGAGACTGGCGCTCTTGTCGATGGTTCCCCTCGGCGTCGGGTCGGATTAGTTATTGCCTATCTGGGTAATCCGGACAAAGGCGGCGTTTCGGGGCCGGAGTTTGAGATCGGAACTGGTGTCATCCGACCGGGGAATGCAAGCCACTCGGTACTGTCGGTTGTGACTTGTCTGATTCTGGCTGCATTTGTCGTGCAAGTGAACAAGGCAAGCGAGCATGTGCTCGACCGGCTTGCTGTGGTTTAAAGCCATCAGCGGTTGAGCCGTTGAATTGCAGCGTCGTAATGTACGAATATGTATTCTCGGATGCGGGTATGACGGCGTAATTGACAAGGTCAGCTGCTGTGCAATACAGTATGTGGAGTACCGATTATATCTGCTTGCCTGCCGGGAAAAGCTATCGACATCTTATCGTGTACGTCTTGGGTTTGACGACCGCCACGACACGAGAACGTGTCCAAGATGGCCGGCGGCAAGGAACGGACCAAGACCATAGTCTTTCTACACCCAGACCTGGGCATTGGGGGCGCTGAGAGGCTGGTTGTGGATGCGGCGGTGGGATTGCAGAAGCGAGGGCACAGGGTCGTCATCTTCACGAGCCACTGCGATCCCGCCCACTGCTTCGACGAGGCCCGCGATGGTACATTCTCTTGCGCTGTTTCCCATTTCAATGCCAATCACTAACTAACACCCCTACTTAATCATGACTAGGCACCCTCGACGTCCGCGTGCGCGGCAACACGCTCGTCCCGCCGACCCTCCTCGGCCGCTTCGCCATCCTCTGCGCCATCCTCCGCCAGCTGCACCTGATCCTGCACATCGCCCTCTTCACCTCGGAGCTGCGCGACCTCGGTCCCGATACCTTCTTCATCGACCAGCTCAGCGCCGGCCTGCCCGCGCTCAAATCCCTCGCCCCGACCCCCGCCCCCATCTTCTTCTACTGCCACTTCCCGGACCTGCTCCTCGCCCAGGGCCGCGCCCGCCTGCTCAAACGCCTCTACCGCGTGCCCTTTGACGCCCTCGAACAATGGAGCATGGCCTTCGCCGACGCCATAGCCGTCAACTCGGAGTTTACCAGGGGAATAGTGTCCCAGACATGGCCCGCGCTGGCAAGAACCAAACAGCTACATGTCGTCTACCCGTGCATCGACACCTCCGTCGCCGCCGCCGACGACGACGGCAATTACCACCATGGAATAGAGCTTCTCCCCTGGAAACAAAACGGCGTCATCCTCTCCATCAACCGCTTCGAGCGCAAGAAGAACGTTGCCCTCGCCCTGCGCGCCTTCGCCCTCCTCCCGCCGGCCAGGCGCCGCAAGGCCAAGCTGGTCCTCGCGGGCGGCTATGACAGCCGTGTGGCCGAGAATGTGGCCAACCATGCCGAACTGGTCGCGCTGGCGGAGGAGCTGGGGCTGAAGAGCGCCACGACACGGACCCTCGTGTCGGCGCTGAATGTCGGCGGCGGTGATGGTGATCGTGAGGTCGATGTGTTGTTTTTGTTGTCGGTGCCAAACCTGTTGAAGGAGATGTTGCTGCGCTCGGCGAGGTTGTTGGTATACACCCCGAACAATGAGCATTTCGGGATCGTGCCGCTTGAGGCGATGCTGAGGGGGGTGCCTGTGCTGGCGGCGGATAGTGGCGGGCCTAGGGAGACGGTGGTGGAGGGCGTGACGGGGTGGTTGAGGGATCCGGCAAGGCCCGAGGAGTGGAGTAGGGTTATGGACAGGGCGCTGAATGACATGTCGTCTGGGGAGCTGGAGGAGATGGGGAAGGCCGGGGTGGAGAGGGTGAGAGGGAAATTTGCGGAGGGGCAAATGGCTGAGCAGTTGGAGCACATCTTTGAGCAGATGAAGTGGACACCGGGCATGTCTCGGGCGTCGGTGGTGTTGGCTGGGTTGATAGCGGCTGTGGGTGTGCTGGTTTCGGTGGTGCTGGCCGGGAGGATAGGGAGGTAGCGGACGAAATAGAGCCTGCCGCAGCCATTGCTGCATTTCTGATTGCTGCACTTCCAATTGCTGCTGCCAGTTCTGTTCATCTTCAGACAGTTCAAAACATCAGCGGTCCTTGACTTTTTTAAACCTCGGGTGAAGCACCTTAGATGGACCGCTGTCGTTCACTCCATCCTCCGGGCCTCCTGGAAACACCCGCTCACCAGCCGTCAAAGTAGTCACAGATCCTGCCTATGATATCCGGGGGCCTATCATACTCGTCAAGAAGAGCTTGATAGTTGTCTTGGGACTACACTTCGGTCATGCTAGAGGAATAGAGCGAGAGAAGTGATGCGAGAGAGTTAGAGTGCGCATCACATCCCACTACACCGTCGCCTGTACCGCACAGGAAATGATGGCTGGAAAAAGCAGAACCGCGCATGCTGTCAGCGTGTATGTCAGACACTTGTACGTGCAGATCTGACTCTCATGGCTGAGTTACAGTACAAATCGCAGGAAGACCAAGTCGACAGCAGCAGCGCAACAGAGAGTTGAACAGCCTTATATTTTTGATCTCAGAGTTCGGGGGCTGCCAGTTCCGAAGAGACACTGCAGACCGGCTCGAGTCAATCGCCGATTGTCAACATCAGCCGATAGTGGGAGCCAGAGAAGCTGCTCGGCTTGAGCATTGCCGGATCAATAAAAACTTTTGTATTCCGATTTCTGGCACCTATCTCACCATTACCCCGGTCCAACCATCATAAAAAGAAATCACCGTGATTGTACCCCATTCTGGGTATCTGTCCGTATCTCGGAACGCCCAGCTCTACATAGTATGTACAAGAACACAATGCCCAGCAGGAAGAAAGTGGGCATATCGACGGGATATCAAAGCAAAGAACAGCCATAAACCTTCGGGGCCTCCATCCGTAACCATGTCCCAATAGCCATTAAAGATCGGTACCGTCCGTTCTTCCACCCCAGCTGTCATGCAATCGTAACGCATCCATCAAGAGGACCCGCAGGGAAAGTTCATCCCAGAATCCGCATGTTAGGCGTGCAGACCTCATAGGAAAGCAGCCGCGATGCCGGCGGCGGCGATGAAGCCGAGGGCGGGAGCAGCTGTGATCTGGGAACCCTGGGAAGCAGTTAGTGTGAGTCCAGTCATTGGCTTCCGCAAGACATACCTGGCCGCTGCTGCTGCTGGACGAAGCCTGCGAGGCCTGGCTGGACAGGGCGCTGCTCAGGGCATCCCCGGTGACGCTGGAGACCAAGGTCGTGGTTCCGACGGTGGTCTCAAAAGTCGACGAACCTTCAGTACGCGTCGAGACTATCGGCGAAGTCACGGTGGTCTGGGGGATGGTGGTGGCGCCTGCCACGCCGCTAATGCCCGAGATGGTGGTTTCGCCGGTGAGCGTAGTGGTGGCGGAGCCGCTGGTGAAGACCGAAGTCCAGGTGCTCGTCGTGATCGGAGTGGCCGTGGTGGCCGTGCTGGTGACAGGGCTGCCCGAAGGGGTTGCAGTGCCCTGATTTTGAGCGTTAGCCGGCCAGGTCTCTGCCAACAAGGCACAAGATACTTACAAAGGCAGAAGTGGTCGAGGAAAGGCTGGCAGTAGTAACACCAGCGCTCGAGCAGAGGCTGTTGTGCCAATCAATGGCCTCATTGACTTGGTCAACGCTTGCGCAGACAGCGGCTGAGCAATCGCGGATACCGTAGCCGAAGTTCACGTTGCTGCACAGGCAGGTAATGTCACCCGGGCCGCAGCCGAGCTCAGCAGCCTTGCCGAACATGTCGGTGGCACATTTTTTCTGTCATAACGCTGTGAGTACGGAAGCCGTTGCGCAGCGGGGTAGACAAAGCCATTTGAAGAGTTGAAGATTTCCTACTTACGCCGCACTCAGGCAAGTTGGAAGGGTAGTCGACGGCAGCCACGGTAGCGGCGCCGGCGAGGGCGAGAATGGTAGTGACGTTAATCTTCATTGTGGGAGATGTCGTCGGGTGGTTCGCGATTCAAGAGTTATGTGGATAGTTGTGCTTCGTGAGAACGAGCCTTGGGGTGAATCGGTGTTGTTGGTGGAAATCGGAAAGATTGGGAGAAGGTGGAAGGTGAGTTTTGTGTTCGGCCAAAGAAAGACGGGTTTTGCGGTTTGTGGGAAGTTCTAATGAAGAATAAAGTGGGTGACTGCGCACCGGGTTGGCTAGACGCTTCAGGTTTCGCGAGACTGAGTTACCAGAGAGAATCAGATGGAAAGCGGGCAAGGAAAGAAACGACGTGAGGGCACAAGGAAATTATGAGGGCTTATATTGCTAGGGAAACCGCGCCACGGTCACAGCACCGAGGTCTTGTGGCCCCCGAGGGCAGTGACGATCGCACCTTCCCGGATGAAAGAAGCGGAGGGGGCCTGGCAAACTCACGACGAACCAACCCGGGTTGCCACTGCCTGCCATGCTGTTGTAACTCATCTCCCCACAGCAGCGGGAAAGTGCAGAAGAGTATGGAATCCATCCCGGCTCATGACGAACCTTTACTCTCTCGCCCATCACGAATTCAATGCAGACAGATCAGCCCAGCCTCCCAGATCAAGACCTCGGTCCCTGTCTGTTACCTTTCCGTCGACGCCTTGCTGGCACCCACATTCTGGACTCCTTCAGGTTTTGGCGGAGACTCGATCGACAGCTGGCAAGCTGGCTTGCTTGCTAAGGTACCTTGATTGCTTCTCTCGGCAACAACAGGTGACAGGCCAATTTCCGGCCTTGTCGAATATACTTCATTGTCCCTTACGCACGCGGGAACCTTGTATTGCTGCTTCCATGAGTCCATGACGGAAGTCGGTCCCGTCTGCCACATCACGGCCAGATATGCAGCCACTTGAGGCTCCATGCTGCGGGTGGGTGCTGCTTGGAGAGGTGACCCATGCAGTGTCGTGGACAACCAGCCTCTTCCCGCCGGTGCTGGGGGACAAATTGGAAGTGTGAAATTTTGTCCGTCACCGCGGGCATCAATCACTTGTCCCACGGCTGCCTCCAGCTCGGATTCATTGAGCTCATCGGTGGCCTCAAGACTGGCCGGTTCTTGCGTGGGACACGTCTGACGTCGGACGACTTCCGGAGTGTGTTCATCGGAACTGTTCAAGAGAGTGGCTCCACGCCGGTTGTGGTGGAATCGCCACAGCGAGGAAAACTTCCAAAGCAGACTACACGTGTAGCTGTAAATGGGCAATCCAGCATGGCTAACAACTAAAGGTTAGCGCCCGGTCTCAGCTGCGAGGTGCTGGATCGAAAGATGATAAGTGAGGATCTTCACACGTTCAGATCGTGGGACGTGGTCGAGATCGAAGCGATCTTCGTCGGTTCCGGCGGTGACAGCTCCTCATTGGCCGATGAGACCGATGCCTGCTCAAATCCCTGCAGCAAACCCTGGCACACTGCAGGTCGGGGACCTGGAGAAGCTGGATGGTGGAGCCGGGCACATGGAAGCGACAGCAAAGCAAGGCGGAGCCCAGAAGGAGCAAACATGGCACCGTCACCTGGCTCTCGTGAAAGACTCCTCGAAGCATGGGCCGGGAATTACCTGCATCTACTGTACGAAACTACTGTGTAGTTAATCGTTGCGAGAAGCGAGGAATGAAGGTCAACGGACGATGCTCGGGCTTCCCGACTGGCCCCCACCCTCGGCTCCGGCCTTGGCTCCGAGATCCCTTCCCCTGCTCTCTGACTTGGCACTCACCACCGACGCTAACCTGCATCAGCCTCAGGACAGGCCCCACTCTCAACATCTTTTTGTACCGAGCATGCAGTCTGGTTTCATTCAACAGCGCCCATTGTGCACATCTGAGAAGACTTAAAAATGTAATGGCAGGGTCGGCACCAAACAGAAATTGAGCCTCAATGGTCCATGGAATCATTTTCTCGGACCCGTCCTGTCATACCCTAGCGTCTCGCAGCCACAGTCCGTACGCTTCCCTTAGGGTGAGACACATTTGCTTCGCACGGGCAAAACAGGCTACACTAGAAGTCTCCCTTACGTCTCACAGAAAAACATCACTGGTTTCTATCTCTCAGCCATGCACGGGAGAGGTATGCCTCGCGTATAGGCTGACCATGTCAAATTTGGTGTTCCGCAAGGCACCGCGCTCATGACACCGCGGACGCCATGATACCGCATGAGGGCAACAGACAGGCACCGAAATGAAGGTCCCACGAAATGAGACGCTCAAACTTGTCTAGAAGCAACACACGACTCAACCACATACGGTTCGGTGTCACCAACGAACCTTCAATTTCCCACTTGGTGTGACAATCACCAGCCGGTTGCTGCTGCGATCTGTCATCACCGCTGTGCGATCCATGCTGTCCCTGTTCTATCAAGGGAGATCTGAGATCAGTCTTTGACAGCCCTCCTCAATTTCGACCTGGTGTCATACTGCACTGCCATTCTGCCGCGAACGATGTCCACCATGCAAATCGCGATGCAGTTTGCCCCGTGTTGTGCCGTGCAAATTCCCCATCGCATGCATACATTGCGCTGCAATCCAAACGCGGCAGATGCAAGAGCAAGCAAGCGGTTGGGCTGACTACAGGATTGGTATCTGCCTTGGGAGGACCAACCGAGTAAAGAAGCGCAGTCACTTCTCAGGGCGGTAGAATTAGAATTCGGGCGCTTCATCCTTGCTTGGTGTGGGTTGTCTTCGGGACGGCGCTAGTACCGCCCGCAGAACTGAACCACCTTGGAACCATGACAGAGAGCGAGCTCATATGAACACACCACCCACCGCGCTCGGTTGGTAGAGGACATCCACCGAACAACCTACCACGCAACAAGTTGACAGGTTGAGCATACCGCAGCTTGCGGGCGGGCCTGGGATACAACATGAGACATCCGTCGCCCCTGTGGTCCCTTCCAACACCACCAAGGCCCTCTGCCTGCCACACGTCCTTGGCTTTGTACTTGTAGCATCGTCTGACTGTTTCACCGTGGCCAAGGCCATGTTTGGCAATACCACACCCTCAATGCTGCAGGCATGCAAAAGGTAATATGAATAGAGACAAACTTCTCATCCTAACGAGATAGCTAAGAGAAACAACAGCGGCCTGCGCAAGCCCAGCCTGCTGCAGTTGGTGGTACATCTACTAGACAGGAAACACCCTCGTACAGCCAAATGTCGAGGGTAGAAAACAACCAAACCCTTAATGGCACCTAATAATCCAACACCTGCCCAAAAGAAAAGACGGAGATGGTATCCGGCATATTGCCGCCCTCCTTTCCGCGCCGCGCCGTGCGGTGTGGAGTGTGTGTTCCCGTCCACGCAAGGGCAAGTCCACGACGCAACTGAAGGATGCCCGCACATGCCCATCATGATTCCCTGAGAAAGCACAAACCGAAGGAGAACCAAACCCAACCATGCCAGTGATTAATCCCATCATCACGCTACATCGCGCCATGTTTCATTCGTACACGGGTCAGTGGCCGAGTAAATCAACCGCTGCACATCACGCAGGCCTCGGGGTTCTCAATGCTGCCTGTGAGGTTATCGGTTAGCATGGCCGTCCCTGGTTCAAGGGTTTGCTTATGACTAGTGAGAAACTTACAAGCAAGGACAGCCTCAGAGTAGATGTCCAACTCGCGCTCCTTGCTCTCATCCTCCTTATCCTCGGCATCCTTCTTGGCGCCGAGAGCCGGCGAGCCGATGTCCTCCAATTTAGGCTGGCTGTCCGTCGGCTCCGTGGGCAGAGCCTTGGGACTATCGCCCTCATCGACGTCGGCCTTGAACGCGGGCGGCTTGGACGGTGAAGCCAAAACACGAGGCTTCACCTCGCCCAGGCCAGGTGCCTTGATGGGACTCCTGGGGGGCGGTGTGCTCGGGGTCGTGACGCCCTTGCTGCCCGTACCGTTGGGAGTGCTCTCCTTATTGATAATCGCCATGGGACGGGGAACGGCGGTGGGAGACGACATGTAGCTGCCCGGCGGGGCGCGCTTCTTGAGGCCCGACACCTTGCCTGTGTTGGTGTCCTGCACGCGGAGTGCCTCCTGGTCGACGGTGAACTGGATGGGCTGCGCCGCGGCCTGGGTGCGAAGGTAGTACATGCCCGTCTTAAGACCCAGCTTCCAACCTGTAAAGTGCATGCTGGTGATCTTGCCCATGGTGGGCTCGCGCATGTGGATGTTGAGGGATTGCGACTGGTCGATGAAGGCACCACGGTCGGCCGCCATCTGGACGACAGTCCGCTGCGAAATCTCCCAAACAGTCTTGTAGAGAGCTTTGATGTCGGCGGGAATGTTGGGGATGTTCTGGATCGAGCCACCCTCAGCTATGATGCGGTTCTTCATGTTGTCGGACCACAAACCCATATCGACGAGATCCTTCAGAAGCCAGGGGTTGACAACCTGGAACTCGCCGGCCAGCACACGGCGCTGGTAGATGTTGGAAGTGTAGGGCTCAAAGCACTCATTGTTGCCCAGAATCTGGGATGTTGAAGCAGTGGGCATGGGTGCGAGCAGCAAGCTGTTCCGGACACCATGCTCTTTGATCTTAGCCTTGAGGGCATCCCAGTCCCAAAGATCACTTGGCTTGACGTTCCACATGTCGTATTGGAGGATGCCCTGAGACACAGGAGACCCTTCATACGTCGAGTAAGTGCCCTGCTCCTTGGCAAGCTCGCAAGATGCAGTGAGAGCGGCATGATATATGGTCTCGAAAATCTGCTTGTTCAGCTGACGGGCTTCGGGAGACTCGAAAGGCATGCGCAGGGCCAGAAAGGCATCCGCCAGGCCCTGGACGCCCACACCAATGGGGCGGTGGCGCATGTTGCTGTTGTAGGCCTCCTTGACGGGGTAGTGGTTGACGTCGATGATCTTGTTCAGGTTGCGAACAACGACCTGAGTGACCTCATGCAGCTTCTTGAAGTCGTAGACACCCTTTTGGTAATCGACGAACTGGGGAAGAGCGAGGGAGGCCAGGTTGCAAACAGCAACCTCATCAGGGGCCGAGTACTCAATGATCTCGGTGCAAAGGTTGGAGCTGCGGATGGTACCGAGATTCTTTTGGTTGCTCTTCCGGTTGCAGTGATCCTTGTAGAGCATGAAGGGATTGCCGGTCTCGGTCTGGGCCTCGAGGATGGCATACCACAGTTTCTGGGCCTTTACAGTCTTACGGCCACGGCCCTCCTTCTCGTATTTCTCATACAGAGCCTCAAACTCGTCGCCGTAGCAATCGGCAAGACCCGGGCACTCGTTGGGGCACATGAGGGTCCACTCGCCGTTCTTCTCGACTCGCTTCATGAAGAGATCTGGGATCCAGAGCGCCAGGAAGAGGTCACGGGCGCGAACCTCCTCCTTGCCATGGTTCTTGCGAAGGTCGAGGAACTCGAAAACATCGGCATGCCAAGGCTCAAGGTAGATGGCAAAGGCGCCAGGGCGCTTGTTACCGCCCTGGTCGACGTACCGGGCAGTGTTGTTGAAGACCCGCAGCATGGGAATAATGCCATTGGAGGTACCATTTGTGCCGGCAATGTATGAGCCGGTGGCGCGGATGCGGTGAATGTTCAGACCAATACCGCCAGCCATCTTGGAGATCATGGCGCAAGTCTTGAGGGTGTCGTAGATACCCTCGATGCTGTCGTCCTTCATGTCGACCAGGAAGCAGGACGAGAGCTGGGCCTGAGGAGTACCGGCGTTAAATAGCGTCGGGGATGCGTGTGTGAAGAACTTGTTGGACATGAGATTGTACGTCTCGATAACGCGCTCGATATTGTCTCCCCAGATGCCGACGGCAACCCGCATGATCATGTGCTGGGGCCGCTCGACAATCTTGCCGTCGAGCTTCAGCAGGTATGAGCGCTCGAGGGTCTTGAAGCCGAAGTACTGGTAGTTGAAGTCCCTGTCATAGACAATGGCCGAGTCGAACTCGTCCTTGTGCCGCATGACAATTTCATATGTCTCCTTGGCAATCATGGGAGACGGCCGGCCGTTCTTGGGGTTGACATAGTGGTAGAGATCGCTCACGACGGCAGACCATTGCTTTTTTGTCTGCTTGTGGAGGTTGGAGACGGCGATACGGGCGGCAAGGATGGCGTAGTCGGGGTGTGTGACTGTCATGTAGGCGGCAGTCTCGGCGGCCTGGAAGACGACGCGTTAGCATGTTGAAGATAGAGAGGGCACCGAGATTGGGGTGGGCTTACCAAATCATCGAGCTGGGCAGTTGTGACACCTCCATAGACGCCCGAGATGACCTTCTGGGTGATGGCCACCGGGTCGACATGGTCCATGTCAAGGCCATAGCAGAGACGCGAAACGCGAGCTGTGATTTTGTCGAATTGGACGCGCTCCTGGCGCCCATCTGAAGGGAAGTCAGCATCACCAGTCGCAGGATCGCAAACGTGGTAGACATACCGCGCTTCCTGACGTACATGGCGTCGGATGTGTCGGACCCAGGGTTATGACAAAGAAGGCAGAAAAGTCGGACACGAGACGAGATGTCAAAAAGAAAGGGAATCGATGCACTGTTGGTCTGAGTCTTAAAGTGGTCACGAATGGGAGCAGGGGCTGCAGTCGGACAGTCCTTCGCGTCCTAGAGTCGTGTGTTTGATGTCGGGATGTGCAAGGGAGGAGGAAACCGGGGCTCTGCTTTGCACTCTTTTAAGCCCGGAGGACCGCGTCGGACGCGTGCCGCCAGATTTTGGCGCGTCGCCAACAGCCCCGCCCATTAAACAAACAGGCCGGGCCCACAGTTACTGGATGCCCCGCCATGCACCTGCCAAACCGCTGGCAGTCCGCTGGGCATCGGGCCTTGGCCTCAGGCAGCGACTCGGCATTGGGAGAAAGCGCCGTGTATGGAGCGATCTTGGAGCGGATGGATGGCTGTGCCTCAATTGCTGCGTTTGCCGGCCAGCCTCTCGAGAATCAGATGAGGTTCCAAGCCGCCCGATACAGAGTCCCCCGTATCACCGACCACAAGCCGTCGGCTTTCGGGGCCCAGTCAAATTATGTCATATCGGACCCGACTTAGTGTGGGGCGTACATTGCTGGGAACTAACCTCTGTCGACTCTCCACACCATCTGATCTCCTTGAGGACGGCTGAGATTTGAGGACAAACTGCTCAGAGTCAGGCTGTGAATACCAACGTTTCTTGACGGCCACAGACGGGGTCATTAATATTCAAATTTTTGACAGACTATGAGACTAAGGTCTTTGCAATTAACACCACGGTTTTCGCTTACTGGTTCCTCGACATTGGGCAGTCTTGCTCGTTTTGCATCAACAGTGTCAACAATGACCGACTCCAAATCGCGTCTCATCGACGGAGCCTCAACCGTTGCTCCGCCACTTACAACGTACACACCCAGATACATCGATGTGAGTTCCTGGAGCGCCATGTCTTATGCAAAACATACTGACCCTTCATTCTGCGTCACAGATTGGTATTAACTTGGCAGACCCCATCTTCAGGGGTCGCTACCATGGCAAATCCAGGCACCCCGACGACCTCAAAGGGGTTGTAGGGAGAGCAGTCGATGTTGGATGCACGAAGCTTATTGTGACGGGGTCATCATTCAAGAGCTCCAGAGATGCACTCAAGCTAGCCAGGGAATTCCGTCAGTCTACCACCAAACCATCACCACGACCAGATTAGCAGGTGACGGGTGCTGACACCAAGATGAAAACAGCCGGCACCGTCTTCTCAACCGCCGGCATCCACCCGTGCAGCAGTTCCATCTTTAGCGCCTCCCACCATAAACACCACGACGAGAGCCAGAGCGAAGGCGAAGAAGAGTCCGAGCACACCCCAGCCTGCGACCCCGACCCGTCACGACCGATGCCCGACGGCGACGGGGTCGACCCAGCCCGTAACGATAAGATCATCGCCGACCTAGCAGACTTCATTGCCCGGGCCCGGGGGTCTTCATCACCAGAACTGGTCGCCTTCGGCGAGTTCGGCCTGGACTACGACCGCCTGCACTACTGCTCCAAAGAAGTCCAGCTTCACTCCTTCTCGGCCCAGCTGGCCCTCGCCGCCTCGCTGTCTCCGCAGCTCCCGCTCTTCCTTCACTCGCGCGCCGCCCACGAGGACTTTGTCCGCCTGCTCAAGGAGGCCTTTGGCCCGCGGCTCGAGCGGCTCGAAAGGGGCGGTGTGGTGCACAGCTTCACCGGCACCGTCGACGAGATGCGCGAGCTCATGGACCTGGGCCTGTACATTGGCGTCAACGGGTGCAGCTTCAAGACGGCCGAGAACTGCGAGGTGGTCAGGAAGATTGAAATGTCCAGGCTGATGCTGGAGACGGACGGGCCGTGGTGCGAGGTCAGGCCTAGCCATGAGGGGTGGAAGTATCTTGTTGAGTGGGAGGCGAAGGCGAAGGCGAAGGCTGCTGTCACCTCTGCCGCTGCTGCTATGGCGGAGGAGCGAGCGGGTGAGCCGGAGAAGAAGAAGAAGCAGCAGCAGCAGCAACAGGGGAAGAATAACCAGAAAAAGGAACCGGAAGTTCCGGAGCGGTACAAGACGGTCAAAAAGGAAAAGTGGGAAGAAGGCGCCATGATCAAGGGACGCAATGAGCCATGCACGATTGAGCGTATTGCCAAGATCGTGGCCGGCATCAAGGGGGTGTCTCTTGAGGAGGTGTGCGAAGCGGCGTGGGCGAATACGGTCAAGGTGTTTGGGATAGAATCGTAGATCTGATATTTCGGGGTAGCGGATTCGCAACACGAATAGACGACTGTCATGAGGGCTAATCTCGACGACGTTGTGCGAGGCGTAGGAAAGAGATGACATCCACACATATACAATTCAATACAGATAGATCAACGCCCAACCCCAGGTATCCTTTTACAGCCCAGATCCCTTGTGGCCGCGTATCCTCCCGTTCCTCACGGTCCCTATCGTCACACCCTCTTCCCCGGTCATCCACCCCGGCATCCGCTCGCCGTCGATGATTCCACACTCGACAAGCTGCCGTATCCCCGCAAAGACATGCGGGCCATGGAACGTGAGTCTGACATGCGGCCGCCACGTCTGAGCGGGCTCGTTCTGCTGCTCATCGTCATCCTCCTCCTCCTCCTCCGCCGCGGCCCTCCTTAGCACAGCATCCACCCGGCTCTTCCTCCCGCTTCTGCCGCCACCACTCCCTATTATGCCTTCTCCGTCCCTTTCCTCACTCCACCCATCCTGCCCGCCGACAACCGCAGGAAACGTATCCTCAACCACAACATCCACCCTCTCGACCCCCTTCCCATCCCCCATAACCGCCGTCCCGCCAAACCGCGCAAGCGCAACCAATCTTGCCCGTTTCGCAGCCCTTTCCTCCTCCTCCTCCCCCCCCCCGGCCAAGCCAGAAGCAGCCCTTCTCTTCCCCCCATCACCATTATTAACCTCATCACCCTCTTTCCCAGAAAGCGGCGGACTAGGCAGCAGCAAATCAAGCGGTGTCTCCCTCTTCTTTCCGGATTCATCAGCATAGATACTCCACCCGCCACCAGCAGAGTTCGTCCTCCCGCCGCCCCGGCGCTGGACCAGCTCGGCCAGGTTGCGCGTCACAAGGTTGGTCGACTGCAGCGTGAAGCGTTGGCGCTGAAGCGGGCGCGAGAGCGCCTTAGGGATGCCCTCCACGAGGAGGTTGCGCAGGGATTTGGATTCGCCTGCTGCGCCCCCGCCGCCGGCGGGGGTGGTGGATTCTGGTTTGGAGATGAACACTTGTGGCGAGGCGTCGGGGAAGGCGATATAGACTGTTCGGGAGGCGTCGAAGCCCGTGGCGGTGCCGGGCGGTGCTTTGCTGCTGTTGTTGTTGTTGGTTTGTTGCCGTTGTAAGGCGTGACTGGTGTTGTAGGGCGAGTCCAGGATAAAGATACGGAGGAGCAGAAGAGGCAGGGACTGGTGGGGGTCGAACGTGTAGTGGGCTTTGACGTCTGGTAGGACTTGGGCCTGAAGGGTTTTGAGGAAGGTGGACGGGTGGAAGCGGGGGATGGTGAGGGATTGGGTGTCGATCTGAGGCGGTTCCTCGCCGTCCGGATCGGTGGGGGCTTTGAGTGGCGTAACGCGGTAGGCGGACCATTTCTGAGACGTCGGGTGGTCGTAGAGGTACTGAAGGTCTGCCATGGCAAGCTGGTATAAAGTCAGGCCATGCCGCCAGTCGCCTTCAGTGATGCGGTCGAGCACCTCGCGTTTGGAGCCCTTGCGCGCTTGCAGGGAGATGTAGAGGTCACGGAGGGCCTCAGGCGAGCGTGCAGGGGGGTAGAAGCCGTCTGTTTCATCGGCTTCCTCGTCATCATTCTCATCCTCGCGTAGGTATGGTTGGGCCAAAGCGAAGTTGTTATCGTCGAGCCAGTCAAGTGCCACCGACAGCAGAGAGGAGCGTGAGAGGCGACTGAGGATCTTAGTGACTGCCGGGTTCGATGAGTCGACGCGCAGCGCCGACGGCAGACGCGCTGTCGTGGGGACCGAGATGCGCGGCATTGTCGTTTAATGAGCCATTGTTCACCAGGATGTGCTGGCCCATATCAATTATCAATGTTTCAACTCTCTTCAATTACTCCCAAGTGCCGAGTGAGTCGCCAAATCCGTTCCTGCAATGTAATCATTGCAATGTGTTGTTGATATCCTCCTGACTGTGCAGCAAGCAACTAAACCTGAAGTGGGATGAAAATGCCAAGCGAGACCATCTTCCGGGCTACACAGAAACGGAACCACACACTGCAGTAGTGAGGTACAGGGGCGACTATTTTCTGTTCATGACCCAACATCACACCACCGGAAACGGCGCCTGGGGACACATCCATGAGCTGGACTGATCAACGTGGTTGGTGACGCTTTGCGAGGTATCAAACCGCTTAGTCTTGTTCCGACCGTGAGAACATGAGTATGGACGGCATTCCATGCCACATAATTGCATGCACTCGGTGTTGTTATCTGAATCCACTGGGGCCCGAATACTGTAAAGTACAGTACCTAACATTGCCTTGCCGTTCGAAAGATTGTCACTATTTCAGCGCGACGATTCACAAGGCCTGCCGGGCTCGGTTGTGGGTCTTAACTCGCGGTTAATGTTACACGTGCGGTTACAAGCAATGCCTCGATCGGTCTCCTCTTCTGGGAAGTCCCGATAGGGCGGTGCAACAAGTTGCCTCACGTCGCCAATCTTCACTGTGCGCCCTCCGGAAAGGACTTGAGCCCCCACTCGCCGAATCTTATCACCAACTTGCAGATCAAAGGCTGCATGGCCGTCATTGAAGCCGTGGCAAATCGCGACCCACTGGGCTGACGCTGGGCCAAGAACAATTTTTAGGGGTCCCGAGGTTGATGATTGAAGCACAGCTCACAGACGTGATACATCAAGTTTCGGTGAAGCAATGGATCGAACAAAGCTGCTGTAGTTGCGAGCAGCGGTCAATTTATGGAGGCGGCTTAGTGGGAGACAGGAGCTGCTTTGCACGGGGTGGGTGGGTGATGAGGGGCAATTTCTGGCCCGAGAACGTGGGATCCATCAAGCCCTGACTAACATCAATGAGGTAAGGTAGTAGCCAAACGGAAACTGCACCGCACGAAGTTCTCGACTCTCTACCGACCCAGGTGTCTTGCTCTCACATCAGACCTGAGTCGAACTCTTCCTCATCCTTACTTTGGCTCTCCTCCAGACACGCCCCTTTGTCGAAGCTACGCCGCTTGCCGTCACCAAGCAACCGCTGCCATTCACGGCGGTTTGGCTTCTTTATTTCAGCCATTTGTCTGACTCGACCACCCGAGCGTAACGCCGAGTCGGCCTGCGGTGAACCCCGCCCAGCGCCCGTTGTTCCGGGCTTTTTCGTAATCAAGCGCCGACATCGCCAAAGCGAATTCCCACAATATTCGCGGGGACTTGATCTCGTCAACCTCAACAGACAGCCCCTGAAACACCGCGATTCGAGGCATCAATCCATCTAACCAAACGATTACGGCGACTCACTGAGCGCTTGGGTCAGGCCCATCCGACTACCATGGCGTCCTACGGCACGGGCAGGGTCAACGTCTCGCAGTACCTGCGGAACCTCAACGTGCAGGGACCCTCGGTCGAGGAGACGTTGACCGACGAAGACCTTGAGAAGGACCTTGCGCTCTTCACAAACACTCAGTTCTTCGACTTCGAGACTGGTCAGCACACGGATTACCAGGCGCCGCCCGTCAAGCCCGAGGTCACGAAGTCGCCCGCCGAAGACGTGACATCCACCGATTCCATCATTGGCGATTTTGCAGCCGGTTTTGACTTTTCGATACCAGGTTCGTTGCAACTTCACTGTCCTCCAGAATCCCCCTATATTCTCCCCGATTTTCATCCTCCTTCTTCTCATAATCTTCCCCTCATCATATTCTGGCCCTGTTCTTCAACGGAGCAGTCTCAACGGACATCGTGCTGCATGGCCTGTTACAAGCCAGAGAGCAAGTGCATTGTGGAGCGACGGCAACGATGAGGGCAGCCATCGAGCATCGTGCTGTTTTAGAAGGGCAGCCATGGACCAAAAGGCTTCGCTTCTCTTATCGCGAATCGGGGAACAAGCATTTCACCTACCCCCTTCGATTCACCAACCGCACCGCACATTCTTGGGCCCGCTTTTGATTGGAAGCTGGCCGTCTTGTGCATGAGCCTGGAAGCGCGGGTTCCCAGGGCCCCGTCAATGGCTCTGGCAAATGATCTTCGTTGCCGAAGATGGTGCCATTTCTCGTGACTTTGGGGGATTGCACCATCGCCCATGGCATCAACAAGGAACCACCCTGAGCCATGTCCTCAAGAGTCACTACCCGCTGGCGGCACCGCCCTTGACCCGATTGTCTTGGCTATCACGATATCGGTCCAACACTTTTGAGTTCTGTCCGCCTGCTGACCATGGCACAATGTCTCCAGGCGACTTCAGTTTCGGGGACTACACCAGCACCTTCACCTCGCCGACGATCCCGGCGTTTCCAAACGGCTTGGGCAGCCTGCCGCCCATCCAGCCCAGCCCGCAGACGGCCTATCCGTCGCCCATTTCGCCGCATCACCAGCAGCCGGCGGCACCAGGGTATGTACCATCGCCCGCGGCCAGCGCTCAAGTTGGAGGATCGGGAGGAGCCGCTGGGTCGAAACGCAAAGCTGAAACACCACTTAGCGGGCCACATGCCAATGGCGTCCCCGTCCCACACGCAGCTCCTAACGGACGGGTCCTGAGCTTCGAGGAGGCGTCCCGGCTGGCGGCCGAGGAGGATAAGCGGAAGCGCAACACGGCGGCAAGCGCGCGGTTCCGCATCAAGAAGAAGCAGCGCGAGCAGGAGCTGGAGAAGCGGTCCAAGGAGATGGCGGAGAAGGTGACGATGCTCGAGGGCCGCATTTCGGCACTCGAGACGGAGAACAAGTGGCTCAAGAGCCTGGTCACGGAGAAGCATGGCGGGCGCGAGGACATACTCCAGAAGCTGCTCAAGGAGATGGCCGCGCAGGAGGCGGGGAAGAAGGAGGAAGGGAATTCCGGCTCGGGGAACAAGGACTGAGTGGAATGAGGCTTGGTTGGTTGAGGATACATCATGGTCATTGTTATGGGAGCGGCGTTGCGTGGCGGGTGCCGCGGAAGGGAGTTGCTCCAGCGAGAGGCTGATTCATGTCTCAATGGCAGTGCTTTTGGCGGGCTGGCTTTGTTGTTTCTGGCGTTGATTGCTTGCTTGTTGAAACAAGTGATTCAGTTTCCCTGCAATCGCAAATCACATATCATATCGGTCGGGTCCCTTAACTAGCGTGCCGCCGAGCGGTTACGATATATGATTTGTGCTTTGACAGTTATGATACAACATAGCATTACGATCAATCAAGGCCGGTTGTGGAACAAATCTCCTTTGCCTCCTGCTCTTTGATTACTCGCTAATCTTGCTATACAGTGTCCTGCTCTTCTCCCGTTGATTTCCGGCAATCCCTGAGCTCAGTGATTTGAGTCCTCCTGGCAACACCACAACGACTCTCGAGTACCGCCAACGACAATCCACTCCTACCTACAGTCAGCTCCAACTAGCACCACATTCCAACCCTTGCCTACCTAATGACTACTACTCCATACCCTCACTCGGAAGAAGAACCACCTGCAGGGCCAGGCTCAATATTACGACCCATCACCGCCCAGGCTTGTGATCAGCAGGCAACCCTGCCCTGAGGTTGCCCAGCCGCAGCTGGTTGCGCTTGCCTAGCACCCGCAGCGTGTTCTCCCGCTCCAGATCCGTCATCTCCTGCCAGTTGGCGATGCGCGAGATGGTCCCGTCCCGGCCGACCACCATGGGGCCCAACTTGTCGAGCGCGATCGGCTGACCGTTGACCTGCATCGTTGTTGTGCCTTCCTCAGAGGTGGTGGGGGTCACTGAGTCGGGAGATGGCAGGGCGGGGAAAGCCTGTTTGACGGTTGGGTCTTGGGGCTTTGATGAGCTTGAGTTGGTTGCAGCACCATCTGAGGGTTCCGTAGATGGTTCCGAGTCGTCTGTAACGGTAACGGTAACGGCCGGCTGGGGGGGGTGAGATGGAGACGAGGATGGTGCGGGTGCGGCACCCCCCGAGGCTGGGGTCCCGGGAGAGGCTGATGAGGTGTTGCCGGGGAGCGGTGACGTGCTCGTGGCCGGTGCGGGTCGGCTGCCCGTCGTGGCTGGCCCAGCGTTGCTTGTGCTGCTCATTGTGCGGAGCGCGGGGTGAGATGGAGTCCGCCTACGTGGGGGTACAGAGAGGTTGGTGAGGTATCGGCTTGTCGGTGTCCTGCAGGCCTTGAGAAGTTGTCCGCCTGGACGGACACGGATGGGCATTGAGATCCTGTCTAATGCTGAAAGAATGCAGGCTCCTGAGATACCTGCTATCCAAGGAGGCAGTGTTCTTTCTTGGGAGAGAGCCGAGGTCGATTTGATTTGCCAGGTAGTTTGAGGTCACAGACAGTTCTGCACTTGCGATGCGGATGCTGAAATGCAATGTGAAGGTTTCCCTTGTGTGAAGGTCTGATCGATCGATTCCGCAAGGAAGGTTCGTGAGAAATGTTTAAAGCTTAAACGGAAGTGATGTTATGAGGTCTCGCAATGGTCACAACAACTGCACCTATGTGTGATGTGAAAGTCGATTCCAATGAAGGCACTCAATGTGGCTAGAAACATCTAGAACTTCATCACGTTTGATTCGGTGAGGCTCGGTAAAGCTGGCTTCACCTCTGGTGGCCCAAGCTCAGGACGCCAAGATTAGCCGGTTTCCGAGCAGCAAATGTCAACATTCCAGGTTGTCAGGCCCATTGCCCCTTCTTGGCAGTGAGGAACGGGAAAACACATCAAGTAAAGGTTGAGAGATCCAATCCAATCAATGCTAGTGTTCGCTCAGATGTTTCGATGGAGCAATTCGAAACTGTTCAATTGGCACAGCAAACCCACCCTTTTATTGGGCTCTTGTGCGTCCACTGAGGCTTGGAGACGCATGCTTCCGCTCCAGAGAGACAGTAACCACTCCACATCATTGTTTTACAAGTCATTAGGGAGCTTGGCTGAATGAAGGGTGTGATTCTCCTTCGCACTTGTTGTACTGCCTTCAAGTTGTGAGCGTCACCAGCTGCAGTGGTCGACGCTTTGATTCTGCTGAAGTCAATCAAATGCCATCCAGATTCCGATGGATAAAATGGATTTGGTTACCCCCACGAGTTCGCCTGAGTTCTGCCGCCGTTGCTTGCCCTACCACGATGTACTCGGGAAGCATTGGAGCGCAGACCGTGTCTCATCACGGCACAGGTCGGCTCCTCTGGACTGAGCCGAAAGCTTGCCCACGAAGGTTTTTATTACCCCATATTATCCACTTGCACGTGCCCTATGTCCAAATAATAAGGGACGTGGTGAGAACGTGTTATGTGGGGGTTGTGGCAGGATTGAGGGCTCTGGCGTTCTCGACCAAGCGGCGTTCCAGACCCGAACAGTCAGCAAGACCGGGGAAGCAGGGCCCTGGCCTCGGGCTGTCTTTCGGCTCAACACCGGTTGCCGGTAGGAGGAACTTGAAAGGCTTTAGTGAGAGGTGAAGGGATTCGAAAAGCCAGTTTTGATGGCTCCCTGGCAAGCGGATTGCGTGATAATGCCCTTGACTGTTGTCAGCGCCAGCCAAAAGACCTAGCCCAAAAGGGGCAGTCCCAATTCAATATGCCACTCATGACAAGATTCGAGTTGTGCTTGACTTGATGCACGACTGATCTATAACTCAGGTAAGGTAACGTTAGCGAAAGATAAGGGGATTGATACTACACATGTAAATTACTAGAGCTCCTAGCTACCTTGATCGACCATGCTGTCAAGTTTAACTCACTGATTTGGAAGGAAGACACAATTCAAAACTTCCTTGATCATGTTGGACGAAAACTTGAAGTTGAGATGAATCTCAACCCATTCTTGGACCTCGCACTTCTGTATACGCCTAGCCAAAGCAGCAACAGGAAAGAGGACTCCGTGTCCAGCAGGAATACTGCCCGATCCTCTCCCTCGGTAACGTGCTTTATAAGCGAGTGTGCAATATAAATGAGTGTGCAACGCTAACAGATCTTGCTAGAGCAGAGGCTATGTAAAACTTTTAGAAAATTGTTAGTGTGTGTACTCTAGCCATTTTTTAACGAGTTTTTCGTGTCTACGTAGCCATGCCAAATCCTGTGAGCGTTGCACACTCACATATATTGCATACTCACTTATCTTGCACACTCACATATATTGCATACTCACTCATCTTGCACACTCACATATATAGCACAGTGCTGTCCGCGCTAATCATCGGTAACTATCGCTCCTCTGCCACTGATGCCCTTTGAGCTAGGTACGGATACCGTATTATGGCTACCTAGGTACCGTACGCTCTGCATCATCGTCCAAGCCAGCAGCCTTCTCGTTACTCCTCGCCATCATCTTCCCATTCGGCCTCGCTTTCGGGAATGTGCCAGGTCCGTGTCAGACAACTCCCAACTGCTACACGGTTATCCACATCGGGAACGGCCTCATATATTCAAACTCACCACTATTGAGCGCCTTGGTAGAAAACGTAGATCCAGGCTACGTTATGATCGGTCGTACGGCGTCGCGTTCAGGAGCAACGCCCAAACCGCAGTGTCTTGGGATAGGCATCTACCTCCTCCGCAGGGACGGGATATGGGAGCATCCTGGGGAGGACTCTGGTCCGCATCTTCCCGGCCCCGAGTCGCACCGATCTAAAGATCTATGCGCCATAATACCTTACACATTAGCACTCTTCATAATTACCCAAATTCGTTCCCCAGGGCTTTCTTTCTGTTGATTCCCTTTTTCACTTGTCTTTGATTTCTTTTATCTTTCGTTCATTGACGCACTGGTTCAAGCACCCCGCCTACCTCATGCTCTCGATTTATTCCCGAGTCAGCAGGATGATGCTAACCAGAACATGGCGTTCATGTTCGTTCCCACGCTTGTCGTGATACCTAGGTAACCGGCATGCCCTATGAGTTCGCCGGATGACCTTTATTCAGTCCAAGTCAGTGTGAGAATGCAAGCGGCGCTTCCCAGATGGCCACGTCTCCGGCTTCAGTGGAAAGCAATGTTCCCCATGAAATCCCTCCTCCCAGGCATCATCGCTCAGCTCACATACGTCTTCAAGACGGTTTGCCTTACAGACTGCAGCATACCTTACTAGGTACACAGGTCCGATTTCCCTCACCTAGCGAAGCCAACACGAGATTCCAAGCGATCTGCTATGTTCTGTCAACAGGACCTGCCTTCACCGCGAGCCGGGTACCCGAGACCCTCCAAGGCCGCTGTTCGGACCGGAAATTGCTACATCATACGTTATTGTCGTCACCCGGAACATGTGCCGGGGTCACTGCGGTTAGCCCGGGAAACCGGGACTCGGAATGGTGGTTTAAAAGGGGCGGATAAATACCGGCCGGTGCTTGTTTGCGAAGGTGGGATACATGTAAAGGCTGATCTTGCGGCTCTCTTGTCCCCAACCTTCACCGGCCCAGTCGCGTCCAACCCTCGTAGACGCCGAGTGGATCGAAGCTCTGGGTCTCGGTAACACGGCGACTGCGGAGACGTTGTTGTTGTCGAGAACCGGGTTGAGCCAACGCGGTCCACCATAACAACCAAGGTCACCTATGACCGGAGCTCCTGCGGACCCAGATGTCCCGCTCCCGGGAAATCTGGGCTTGTTCGACCAGATCACGACAAAGGGCGGGAATTTGTGGAGGGGTTGGGTCGCTGTGTTCGTAATGTCGGTCGACGATGATGACCTCGACAGCTCCGGACATGGCGGGCTGACTCGATGGTATCTCCGCGCTACAGGGCGCAGCTCAGGGGGTGCCTAACAGGAAGAAGCGTCGCGACGTGTAGAGCGCGCTCCTCGAAGGCAGTCACAAGCACCATCCCCTCAGATTCCCTTTCATCGAAGAATCATGGTGCAGGTGGCTCTCTTTCTGAGCAGCGTCGCTGCCACAAATCCCCTTGGGGCCGTGCGTTTCGCCCTGCCCTTTGCCTTTCAGACTCTGTTTCTGCGCCGCTCACTAACAACTCGGTCTGCGATGCCTCCATTATGGGGATGTGACATCTTTCATCTCTCGTCCTTCCTACGTTGTGCTAACCGGATACCAACTTAGACCCTTCACCCGCGCCCTGGCGCTCGTCAATGACCGTCCAGGAGATGATCCACAGCAGCAGAGGCATGAGTCATCGTGTTCTAAGGCTCAGCTTGCCCGCGTACGCTTGGCGGCAAGAGCCCCTGCGCGGGGTAACATCTTCTGCCGGCGTCAATCTCTCGGCCGAGGGTGATTACAGCTACGCCACCTCGTTCCTAGCCCATTCTCATAGGAGCTGCCTTGGACGGTGAGCTGATCAGGCCCGTCGCAACGGTCGTCAGCATCAAGGTCCGTGTCTTTATCAACGCTGACCGCACCAGGCTCAACTTCTGGACTCCCAACGTCAACCCCTTCTGGGACCCCGCGCTGGGGCCCCGGTTAGGAGACACCCGGGGGCACACCCTTTCAAACTTCAGGCCGTACGTGCACGCCCTGGTCGGCGTGCCAGGCGGATACGACGCTAAGTACAAGTGCATCGTCGCCACCTGCAAGCACTTTCGTCAGCTACGACATAGAGTCTTCAACGGCAATCTCCGGTAGCAATGGGACATGCCCATAAACATGCAGGACATGGTCAAGTGCCACATGCCACCGTTCAAGAGCTGTGCGCGGCAAACTCCAACGTCGGCGCCTGCTTGTGCTCCTACAATGCCGTCAACGGCGTGCCTAGCTGCACCGAACCCTGGCTGCTCAACGACTTCTGCGGGGACCCTGGGGCCGGACCAACGAGCAGCAGTGAGTGACGGGCGGCTGCGACTCCATACAGAACGTCTAGCTGCCCCACGAGTGGGCTAAGACCAGCGAGGAGGCGGCTGTCTTCTCCCTGATCGCCGGCATCGACGTGAACTGCGGGACCACCACGCCGCTTACGGACACCTTACGGACAAGGCCTAATTAGCGATTCGCTCATTCGCCAGGTTTCGTCCTTCATTCTCCTAGCCCCCTTCGACGCGCGGGGGAAGCAGCCGTATAGGGAGCTAAGCTTCACCGATGTCAACACGCCACACGCCCCGCAGCTCGCCTACCAGGGTAATCCGATCACGGACCCCCCGGTCGGGACGGGTATCATCCTGCACGTGGGCGGCATCGACACCCGGCGTCGAGTCCAAGGGGATGGACCGCCACGCGACGTGATCGGGCGGCTCGCGCGGTACGGCAAGCGGACGGCAAGCGGATGGCCGTCGTAATGATGGGCGGCAGACAGATTGACTCGAACCCGATCAAGAATGACCCCGACATCAGCGCCCTGCTATGGGCCGGCTACCGGGCCAGGACGGCAACCCCGCCATCCTCGACCTCCTCACGCGTGAGGCCGCGCCCGCAGGCCGCATGCCCATTATCCCGTACCCGGCCGAGTACGTCCGCCAGGTGCCCATGACCGACACGACGCTGCAACAGGGCCCGACCAGCCCCGGGCTCACCTACACGTGGTACAACAGCAAGGCCGCCTATCCCTTTGGCTACAGCCTGTACCACGCCGCCTCGTTTGGCCGCGCCGGGTACTCCTGCAGTTTCCCACCGATGGCAGCGTGAGCAACACCACTGCCCACCCCATCGCAGACCTCGTCGACACGTGCAAGAACCACCTGAGCTCAAATACCACCACCGAAACAAAACATATCGACCAGTGCCCCCTCGCCACTCTGGCCCTTCAGACCCACAACACCGTTTCCCCCACCACCTCCTCCAACGCTACTGGTATCACATCCGACTACCGTCGCCCTACTCTCCCTCACCGGCCGTTTCGAACCCGCCGCCTTACCCCCACACATCCCTCGTCACATAACGCACGCCCATGCCGTCGCCCACGGCTTGTAGGGGATAAAGCGCAGTTGTTTTGAGTGAGTGGCCGCAACCGGATGAGAGTAGGAGGAGGAGGCCGAAGGGCGAGGTCAAGTGGGCTGGGGCAGTGGTCTTTTGCTGGGAGATGGGAGGGCTGGGAGAAGGTCGAGAGAAGGTTTGAGTATTGAGTGAAAGAGGAGGATGGGGAATGGGGTAAGTATGTAGTAGAATCGAGATGAGTGAACTCATCCGCTGGAGATGGTTCCAGCAAGCATCAGATTTTCTCAGTCTTCAAATGGTGATGTGCTTGCGGTCGGGCTCGGCTGCCAGCTGCATTACGTCCTTGCCAAATGTTGGCAGGCGCCTCATTTAGAGCACGTGACCACTTCGACTGTCCAACAACCCGCAACTTCACCACATCTCAGAATTTCAAGCTATGGAAACAAGCCAAGGCTGGAGATGGTGCGGATGCAGCACCTTAGGCCGCCGACATCATAGCAAACCGCATATCCCGACGTCACTTGCATCAACCCATCCCGGTCTCTCCATGCGAAGAGCACTGAGGAATGGAGTGGGGCAGGCAAGCAAGCAGTGCTAAGAAAATTTTACAGTAAGTTACATTCTTACCATGTCGGCAGCCACAAGCCACGATGGACACCCCAGATGTCATGAAGCACTTAAAGAGGGGAGATGGTTCTCTAAACCGTCGCTGCCTCTTTGTATCCATCACGAAATCTTCTCAGCTCTGCACAGATACCGAAATGCATCCACGGTATCTCGCTCGACCGCTGCCCCGCCGCTGTCCCACGCCGTAATTCTGTCGCTGCAGCTGGTTTGACTCAGTTGACTCGCAGGCGGACACTGTTACAGTGCCATTGGTGGCCTCGTCCCCCTCTTCCCGCTCGATTGATGCCACTGTCTCCGTGGCACGCAACCCTCCCAAGCCCGTCGGCTCGCTTTGGGGACCGAATGAAAGACTGCCTCGCTGTCAAACCAATCACCATCATGCTGACTGGACACAACTCTTCAGAGATTCGGTTCTCTGGCGGCCCAGGAGTTGCGTCACTGGGACAATTGACAGTCGAACTTATTCATACGAGTCTGCACTTCACGGTTTTCGTCTGCTGAGATTGGTGCTGCCAACACACTCGCTCAATCAGCACCCAATCTATACTGTGTAGAAGAGCCCGAGTGCCTCGAGCATCGGGGCTGGGACGGACTTGGGGTGGGTGGCTGGATGCAGTAAGCCCCGGCTTACGCTGCGAAACCCCGGACACACGTTGCGATCCCGATGAATTGTGGCGCCCGCGGTTAACAACCCTCGCCCACAGCAGCAAACAAAAAGGCTCCCTACCCAATTCTGCTTGTCGCGCGCGCGATCACGGCTTCAAGCCTGGATGACTGTAGACGTACGGCCGCAGGCAAGCGACCTGACCGAGTGTGCCCATATACAAACCTTCTCACGCCCGGCGCTACCGTTGGGATTACACACTTCCGTCCGAGCCGATTCGTCAATCGCGCAACCACCAGCTGACTGCCCTCGATAAGCCCCGATAAAGCGGGCCGAGTCCGCGAGCGAGGTCACCATGCGCAGCATATGGCAATGTTCATCATGCACCACCCTCTTCGTCTTCGCGGTTTTGGGAAGGGAAGCATCGGGATCGCACGCCGCCAGGCAATGGAAAGATGTCCATAGGATTCCAAAGGCCCAAGTGACTGCGCACCCGGCGCGACGACAAGAGGGCACTTGCCCGACCGAACACACTTTGTGCGCGGCCTCCTTCAGCGGCGGCTGCTGCCCCTCTCGCTATGCCTGCGCGGTCGACTCATGCTATGCGACAACGGCGGGGCCGGCCACTGCGTGCGGTCTGGCAGGATATTTTGCCTGCGCCCCGGTGAACGGCGAGGGTGAGTGCTCGCCCCTGAGACTAATCCCCAGCGATGGCTGACTCGACGTGACGAATTTAGCTGGTTGCTGTCCAGTCGGCTATGTGTGCGGAAGCCAGAATTGCCTTCCTCCTGCAGGCATCTCCTACCCAAATACGCAGTGCCCAACCGACTATTACCTCTGTCCGTCCTCAGCCAACTACGGGTGCTGCATGAGCGGAATGGGCTGCGCGCCGAACGCTTGCTACTCAACAGAACCAGTGACAACAACCATTCTGCAAGCCATCACAACCATCTCCGGCAGCGAAACAATAACATCGACCCGGTCAGCCGTCACCGTATCGACGCCAACGCCTCCCCCGGGGCCCACAGATAGTCCCGGCGTCGCCGCGAAGTTCATCCCGACCAGCGTCCCAAAGGTCCCGGCGAGTACCCCAACCAGCGAGGCCAGCGGCGGTCTGAGCGCCGGCGCCATTGGAGGCATCATCGCCGGCGTCGTTATCCTCCTCGTGGCGGTGATAGTCGCCGCTTTCCTCATCATCCAACGGCTCAAACGCGTCGAAGATGTCATGGAATCCAAGCGCGGCTCCTCCAGCGGCAAGAAAACCCGGTCGCAATCCCACGCCCAAATGGAACACTACGGCCGCCAGCTACACTCCGACGTGGACGACATGAGCGTCGACCCCCTGATTCACATCAACAACAACAACAACAATAACAGCTCCTCCGCCGCCACACCGAAACTGGGCCCCAACTCCCACCGCGGCCGCTCCGATTCGACGGGTTTCACCCCGTCCCCGAACATGTTCGAGGACTGCGCCCGCCACGCCAGCCCGGATGCCAACGCCGGCGGCTACTTTGACGACCCCGCGGCTGCAGCGGCCGCGCGCGTGCATAACATCCCCGGCGCAGCAGCAGCCTGGCAAACGCAGCAGCAGCAGCAGCAGCAGAACATGCTCCTCATGCAGCCGGCGACCATTCACGAGAGCGCGGACAGCACCAACACCGCACCCCACCACCGCCCGTATGCGTACACGCACTGGCGGCAGATGAGCAATGCGAGCGAGCTGTCGGCGGATGGGAGCGAGAACGGGGCCGGGGTGACCAGCCCACTTGTTGGCGGCGGAAGGTTATCGGAATTGGATGGGTCCGGCGTCGTCGAGTTGCCGAGTGGTGATGGTGGTGGACTCGATCTCGGTCCGGGGGTGGGGTATGCTGCTGGCGCTGGTTCCGGTGCTGGTGCCGGGGTGAGGAGTAGGTCGGGCAGTGCAGCTAGTGCAAGGGGGATGGGCCATGCGAGGAGGAGGAGTGATGGCGTTCAGGGACAGGGGGTAGGGCAGGGCCAGGCTGGCGGAGCGGGATTAGGGCTGACGCCGCTGGATGAGGCGGCCGAGATGCATGGGTATTATGGACGGCCCGGGCAGCAGGCGGGTCAGACGGCTGCTGGGTTGGATGGGCAGTGGGATGGGAATGGTGCCGGTGAGAACCGTACCCAGGGAACGCAAGAGGGACGGGGGGTGCGAGGGTCGTGAGGTTGCTAGGATGGTCGGTGATGGTGATGGTGACGATGATGTCTGCGTGCCTGAAGTTGTTTTGCTCTTCATCTTCTCCTTTTTTTTTCCCGACTTCCCGTTCCCGTTTTAACTCATTTTTATTCATTTTCTGCGTTTTGGATACCCATCTTGACCGGCCACGAGCACACAAGTGTGCTGGTGGACTGTCTTTACTTGAACGTATTCTCCTCACTTTTTGTGCTCATTGTGTTTCTCTTCTCTACGCACCGCGGTCGTGTCTTGGGACAGCAGGGCGATTTGGGATTATGCTGCATACACAGAGGAAATCTCCTTACTGGTTTTTCCTGGGACTGAATATCCCAAACATGCTTTCGTTAGGGAAACTCGGTCAAGTCGGGGTTAATGGGATACACAAACGGGCTCGGGGCACTGAGCAAATAGATCAGCGAGCAAGGAGACAACAATGGTTGTTTCCTTATTCGTTCATTCGTGCGACTTTCTTGCTCCCCGACTGGTGGTCAATTGAAGATCTCCGGGGCGGTTTCTGTTTCCTGCCTATCCCTCATCTCATGCCAAAGGTGTTCTCCCTAAGTACAATGAGGTACACTACGAGTCTACGAGTCTTTGCAGACTGGTGGGGAAAAGGCAAACTGATCTTCGAACAAACAATATCTATTTTCAGCCCGCCGTGGCATTCAACGCAGCTTTGGTTCCTTCCGGCTTCTCCAGCTTGCAGGTCTGCAGGGTTGGTAAGAGGGTTCACGGGCAGCTGTTCCTACAGCCACTTTATCCGGTCGGGCTGCATCGTGCCGTTCTTGGCTGTCGATACATTGATGCTCGGAAGGGCTCACGCGCTTTGCATCTGTTGGGACCCGTTGCTTCTTGGCCTCTTAGAGGTAGTCGTGCTTCCAGTTCTGTGATTCAGACCTGGATAAGGGGAGGTATCAGCCCTGGTGAAGACATCTCTCAATGAACGCAGTGCCAAACCAGGTCAGTTACCGTATCATGGTTGCGGAAATATTGACATGATAAAGCTTGTCTCGAGAAGGCAGCAGACCCAGCGCATGGGCGCCCTGGCAAGGCCATTTCCCCAACAGTTGCCAGTGCTGCAGGTAATTATCCGTAGCCGACGCAGGTCCGTTGTCAACAACTGTTACCACTGCAGTGTGAGGATGAGTGCGTGCGGAACCCAACTCGCCCAGGACGTGGAGAGGCTGGGAGGCTCGCTTCTGCTGACCTTCCGTAACTCGCATAGCCTGCAGTTTCTGGACCAACCTTGCTATCACAGGGTGACATGGGACACGTTATCAGGGTCGTATCCATCGGCCCATGTGCTGGTAACCCCGCAACACGTTGGTAGCCACGGATGCGCAGCCCATTCTTCATAGACGAGGGCTTGGAAACCTGCAGCACACAAGCTGTTGATCGCCAGGGGCACTGCATTCGTCGAGGGTCCAAAATCGCGAACAGCATTCCCAGCAGTCTAGCTCGATGAAATGCTTCTTGAAGTAGCTTTCTCAATGTGTGGTGTACCTGTCAGCACTGCTGTCAGCTCCTTCTGGAATAAGCAGCCAAGACTCGGCCAAGGCCTGGCGGATCGAGGTGTCCCTAGAACCGCCACTCACAGAATTGTCCCGCTGCACGCCCAGTGTTGCTCCGGCGAAGAATCTGGTTAGCCCATTCCAGCGTAGCATTGCGCTCCGCTCAACCGCAGCCCACATGTGTGTTCCTGGCCTTGTGGCTCGCCGTCCGAGCTTCCCGATGCGGCTGTGCCGCTTCTTACGCGGACCGGGCGCTGAACGCTAACCCGGTTCCGCCCCCGGTCGTCACCGAGATTGCTGACAGGTATAAAACCAGGCGGACACGAGCCGCCGCCTCGCGGCTCTCTCACCCTCTTCCCACTGTCTGTTCTCGTCAGGGAAGTCCACAAACGTCAATCCTCGAACCGCCAACATGCAGCTCACCGTCGCTCTCCTCTCTCTTGTCTCCCTCGTCGCGGGCGCCGCTCTGGATGCCCGTGGTGACTGCCATGGCAACAACTGCAACCGTGCGGTCACTGGCACCAGGCCGGGCCTGCTCCCGCTGAGCGAGCGCTCGTCAAGCTGCTCGAGCTTCCTGCTGACGACCGTAACCCCTGCTGCCACGTGAGTTTCTACCTCCCTATATCATCGGCTCTATTGTCACAAATTGTGGACGACTGACTTCGCCCGTAATCCAGCACCGTCACGGTAACGGTTGACGAGGACGACCTCCCCACGTCGACGGCCCCGGCCAAGCGCGATCTGCTCATGGCACGGCAGGTGACGGTCGTGCCGAGCTCCATCCCCGAGTTCGCGGCCAACTGCGCCAACGCGGCCGAATTTGCCCAGGCCTGCTCGTGCTTTGGTGTTACCGGCTCCGTGACGACGGCTCCGACACCCACCGTCACGGTCACCACGACGGTGGACTACTGTGAGGATATCTGAGCGGGCTTGAACTGGGGAGGTGGAAACCGATCAGAGCGATAATTCCTGTTGACGATTCAGGTCGGATAGTATGTCTTGCTCAGGACGGCGGAGGCTTGCGGGCTGGAAGCAACTCGCGGCCGTGTCCAACGTCTGACGGCATCTTCTGTCCGGCTGGAGCCGTGTCGCTTCCGTAATAGGGAAATGCCCGAAGGATCAAACGTGTGATAATCATGTAATGTGCTACGATTGACACGATGAAATGGGAATGCCGCGTTATGCGCCATAACTGTCGTCAGCCCTCAATCAGTCTGTCCGTATAATTCTCGTGACAGCTTCAGTCCTGGATAAGCACCGTCAACACCCCATATAAACCAGAATGCACTCTTGCCGGTCACACGGCGCACCTTTTATGCCCGACGCGGAGTCAAAGCGGTGCGATGACGACCAATTGACCAGAATTTCTGGAAGAACATGAAGGCGGATGGAGCAGACCAGAGTTTGGCGCCTCGAATGTCCGCACTCAACACACCGTATGCAAGCCGGCGTAACCCTAACCCATGGCTTTGTGCTAAAGCTCGGATCATTATGTGGCTCTCTGCCATGCTTGCAGTTTTGTAGGTGTGCACAGACCACTTGCCCTGGGGTACATAACCGCGGTTCGCCCGCCCGAATCTTGCTGCTCTTCTCTTCCTTTCTTCTTCATACTTACCTTGATTGGGTACACCTGGATCATGAAGCAGGGGTACCAGAGTGATAAGCCTCCATTGCACATCGGGGTTGCCAGTCACTCTAAATTGTCCTTCGGGGCCGTTTCGGTCGAAATTTTTGCTGTTCTCATTCCAGAAATGGATTTTCTTTTCGCTGTGTGCCCGGCTGCTGTCGAGCCATGGAGAAGGGATGCTTTGAGTTCGAGACAGGCCGCTCTGATGAAGCCCGCGGAGCACGACTCGATGTAATTGCTGTTTTCTGACTTGAAATGGATTATCTCGCAACTCTACCTCGGCCCTGTAGGTACAGTATGTACTGTACATAAATATCGCTGTCTCGAAGCTGTGTTGTATTCGGTACCCGCACGTATGGGTCCGATTTCCGAAGTGAAGTGCAGAGGTCGCGTCTTGTGTCCTTCTCTACGGAGTAAGGGATCTTCAACTCTGTCTGGTGCTCTGATCTCTCCTTCTTCCTTCCCATAACTCTAGCTGGTGTCGGATTGAGTCTTTCTCGGGTTCTCTCTCTCGCATCTCAAGCACCCGACATCAGTCAGACGGTCGCAACAATCGGATGGTCCAATCCGTCCCCACCAATTCTTCAACTGGCTGTGGGCTGGATTCCTTGTAAGGAGGAGGGGCAAACGGGGATCCACGGAAGCGGCAGCCACCTTAGGAGTCACCACCTCAGTCATCCTGATGCGGCTGCCCTAACCACATGTCCGTTCTGTTTACCTCTAACATCCGTATCAAAGCGACAAATCTCCAGGTTCAAGTTTCTTATTGCAGCGGGTGGATGTCTCCATCTATCTTGATCTGATTTCTGTCTAGATTCATGTCATGAACGTCGGGTAACTTGGAAGCTCGCATTCTGAGCCCCACGCACCAGGTTCTCCATAAGTCCCCACGCCGTCCCCAGGTTATGGTCGGCATATGAAACCCGTTTTCACATGTCAGAGGACGCGACAACGCAAACTGCCCCCGTGACGCCAACGATTCCCGTTGCATCGGGTCGGGTCGCCATGTGCCGGTTTTCCTGGCCTCGAACTGTCCTGCCTTGACAGCTTCTGTCATCTGCTGTTAACTTCGGTCCTCTTTGTTGGCGGCGACGCAGGTCGGCTGGTTCCCGTCTGACTTCCCCTATGATTCGCTCCTTCGTCGTCTTCTTCTTCCTATTTTTCAACCTGGCGCATTCCAACCTGGCGGTACGGCGCTGCCTGTCTCGATTTGAGTGTCGAAATGATTGACCATTTGCTGGGACGGCCGTCAGTGAAGTCGCGTAGATTGCAGGTTCTCGCTGTGCTGGCTTTTTGGTCTGCCTACCTTGTTCGGTACGACCATCTATCCTGTCCCGGCAAGATTCGCGCTGACTACAGACAGAGGTCACAAACATGGCCCGCCGGTCCTGCGCTTCTTGTCTCGCACGCTCTCCAAGCGGCTCACGGCATGGCAGACGGTCGTCATCACCATGAGCTACCTATACGCGGCCCGCAACCTCAGCACCCTGGTCGGTCTCGCAAGCCCCGACCCTTTGTCCAACATGTACGATGCGACCTACTTCCGGGCTACCTGGGTCCTCACCGCGCTCGATGCCGGCTTCTGGACCGCCATGAAGATCGGCAACAAAAGACTGCGTGACCTAGCCAGCATCGTCTTCTCCCTCTTCTACCTGATCGCCGCCGAGCAGGCCGACGAAAAAGTGCGGAAGGTGCGCGCCAGCATTACGGTTGAGCATATGCGCGTCAGTTGGAACAAGGGTCACCAGTCGCCTTACTTGCGCTTCGTCCAGGGCCTGGTTCGTCCACGTTTCACAAAGTGGCCGCCCCGCCAAATTCGCATCGCCCGCCCTGCCGCCAGTGACTTCACAGAGCCGGTGTCTGCGTGGCTGTACTTTGATGGTCCGCTATCCAACCTCACTCGACACAACAAGGTTATATTGGACATCCCCGGTGGAGGCTTTGTGGCTATGGACCCCAGGTGTAACGACGACAAGTTGTTCGCGTGGGCTGCCAAAACGGGGCTGCCCGTGCTGAGTTTGGATTACAAAAAGGCTCCCGAGTTTCCATATCCGTACGCGCTCAACGAGTGCTACGACGTCTACTCCACCATCATAAAGACGCGTGGCCGGTGCATTGGACTTTCCGGCCACGAGGTCCCCAAGGTTGTCATCACGGGGGACAGCGCTGGCGGGACATTGGCGGCCTCGACAACGCTGATGATCATTGAGAGCGGCTCGTCCCCAGTGCGCCGCTTCCAAGGGCAGACGGACCTGCCAGTGCCTGATGGGCTCGTCCTGTTCTATCCAGCACTGGATATGAACATTGGCAGTTGGATGTCCGACGAGCAGATGGCGCTGATTCAGGATCGCCGCATGCGTGGGACAAATAGGCGCATCATTCAGCGCAAGACGTCGCAGTACAATCACCTCGCCGGCACCCCGCATCAGTCCGACGACGAGGACGACACCGGCCCGTCCTCCAAATCCCGCTCCAGCCTGCCCGCCAACGATCAGGGGCCTTCTGGCTCCCCAGCGAACACCCTCCCCGAACACGTCCGCAGCCCAGCGACCGAATACGCCCACCCTGCTGCCACAACATGGAGCCAAGTACAGCAACACCCGCCGAGGCCCGCATCCCCGGAAGCCACAACCAAACACCCGATCACCACCAGCACCAATCCCCAGCCAGGCGCGTCGCACCACCCGGAGCCGATGCGGACCCGCCTCGCGACCTCATCCATGATCTCCTACTTCAACGACCGCGTCCTCACTCCAGAAATGATGCGCGCCATGATCATCCTCTACATCGGCCCGCACAACCGACCTGATTTCTCCCAAGACTACCTCCTCTCCCCGATCCTCGCACCTGATGTCCTGCTGTCCAAGTTTCCCAAAACATATTTTCTCACTGGCGAGCGCGACCCCCTCGTCGACGACACTGTCATCTTTGCTGGTCGATTGAGGCGTGTGAAAGCCGCCATGCTGGCGAGCGGGGGGACGAGGCTGGAGTACAGGGACAGTGACGCGCTGACGGAAGGGTTTGACGAGAAGGCGGTGGCCGAGGTGGCGTTGATCCCGGGGATCAGCCACGGGTTTGTGCAGTTTCCGAGTGTGTATCCGCCGGCGTGGAAACTGATTGAGCGGACGGCGGGGTGGATCGGAGACATGTTTCGGGAGGCGTCGCTCAGGAGGAGGAGGGAGGTGATGGTGAATGGGAGGAGGGAGGGTGGGAAAGAACGGCATCATTTCCGGCAGGAGTCGAGTGGGGATGAAGATAAGCCGTTGGAAATGATGAGTATGACGAGGTTGAGGGCGAAGAGCTTGAGGGAAGCTAGAGAGGCTAGAGAAGCTAGAGACGGGGCGATTGCGGAGGAGAAAGAGAAGGATCATGAAGACCAGGGAACGAAAGCGGGGAATGGCTTGCCTGGGTCAGGTGGTGGCGGTGAGGATGGGCACTCACATGCTGGGAGTGAGTCGGAAGACAATGGCAATGTGAACGGCGTTCCAGGGAGCAGCGCGTCGAACGAGCGGCGGAAAAAGAAGATCGTCGCGAAACGGGCCAGGAAAATGGAGGGCGAGGATGATAAGAGCCTGGTCAAGCTGGCCAGTACGGATGACCTGCTGGGCAGGAGAATGCATGGCTTGGCTAAGGGCTTGACGGGCATGCATGGGGATCCGGAGTGACGCTCTATGTTGGGTATGGACAGCAGTATACACGGGGGCCAGTCCACCTGAAATATGGCCGATATGGCACCCTGGTATGGACTAGTGGGCAATGGTAGGTATTGTATTTTACACTGCATCTGCTTACACGGTCAAACAGCGGTTGATTAGAGCAAATAGTTGGCCTTAACCAATTTGCTACCTACCTTATTGAAAGGCAATAAGCAGCAACAAATACCTCAGCTACCTAAGAGTACCTTCCTGTGTGAGCACACTAACCCCTTCGATGCTACTGCCTACAGCTAAGCCTTCGACGGCCGCAGGCAGTCGACCCTGCCCACCATCTTGGACGGTGCAGCGAGAGTCTCTTCTAGCCTGTCCATCTTCCTCCGCAAAACAGCCTCATTATTCATCTTAAGCGCCCCGCCGAATCCTTGCAATAAGGCCGTTCCATTATGCCATTCGCCAAACTTGGAAGCCTGCATGTGTGGCGGCCTTAAAGTAGCTGCGTACTGGGCATGTTATCGGAGCTAAAAAGGGATGCAACTTGCGCAACAAAAGGGGCCCTTCAAACAACACGAGATTGGATCGAGCATGGGTAGGTACGTCAAGTTATGCAACAGCAGTAAGCAGAACGCCAAGCGAGCACCAACAGTGTACTTGTATTGTATCTACGTCACTCATATACCATCCCCAACCCTATCCGCTCAGTGCTGGTCACCGTCCATACCCTCTCCCCTTGACTACTCACCTCTTGCAATAGCAGGCACACACACTCCATCCCAGCCAGAAATCCGCCTTCCAGACGTTGGAAGTAACCTTGCACGTCTGGCCGTTCTTTTTGGCCACGGCGTTTGCACATATAGAGGCATTTTTCAACTCAGTCTGCCCTACAACCAGCGGCGGCTTCCCACCTGGCAGTAGGAACGCGGGCTGTGACGGTGGTGCTGACGTCTTCGTCAACCTCGGTGTTATAGGTTTGTCGTCCTCGTTGAGGGGAGCGGCCATCAGTGGTTGCCCGGGGGACAGCGGGAGCCGGTTTCGTTGTTGTCGTCGTCGTCAACTGGAGTAGCCTTGGCGTGTATGTTTCGACTCACGTCACGGTTGTCGGCTGTGCCGTCGACGGGCGGCGCTGGCATCCGTCCCACTGCGTCCTCCGCCAGTAGGCTCCTCCTCACGTGTCGCCCTCCTCAACGTCCTTGTAACGCCTTGCTTTGGCGACCCCAAATGCATAATCCGGGCGTAAAATGTGTTTCAGCCCCATCCAGGGGGTATTGACAGGCGATATCCCTGTGTAGATGAACAGGTCGTAGAGGAGGCCCCCAAACACGCAGCCGCAGAATGGGGCAGTTTCTTGTATCTGGAAAATAGGCTGTGATTAAAAACTCGAAGACCGGTCTAAAAACGACGCGAGAAGAGTGGCTTACTATGAAATAGTAATCGCCGGCGGTCCATATTTCGGAGCCGTAGCCCAGAAGGGTAGCCATAACACGCGCACCAAGGTCCCGGGCCGGATTGAGCGAATATCCGGTGTTCCAGCCGAAGCCGGCTCCAAGACCGAACCAAAGAAAGAACATCATGAGGGGAAACTATTTCATATCCTAGTTAGTGTACCGTGACTTGTTTAGTCGTCATTCATAGATGATAATGGCAAAAGGAAATGACGCGAAGTTGAGACTCACCTTCTCAATCCCGTTATTCCTGGGGTCCCTGAAAGCAAAGACGACAATCACCAGGATGGCGCTGGCTATGAACTCGCTGACGAACTGGCTCGCTTTTGTGAGAAACGGCTGGGGAAAGGTGCAGAAGATGGAGGCTGTTGCGGTCGGGTTCGGAGGGACGGTCCGGATCCTGTAGCCCTCGTACTGGTCGATGGCGTTAATGTAGTTTGCGTAAACGATGCCGGTGCCGACGAGAGCGCCTAGAAATTGGGCCATTGCGTAGGTGGGGAATCGTCTCCAGGGAAGCTGTCGGAAGATGCAGTTGGCCAGGGTGACGGCCGGGTTGAGGTAAGCCCCTGAATCGCCCGCAACATAGAGTCCCAGCATTGTGCCTATGCCCCATCTGCGTGGGAAGGGAAAAAATGGAAAGAAAATGTCAGCATCTTATTTCGAGATTGCTCGCTGAAGAGATGACTCCTGAGTCGGGAAGAAAGACGGTTCCCCATACCCCCAGTTGATATTCTGATACGGCCCGTAGCCGTTGCCTCCCGGCGCGGTCTGCTGGCCCTTGCTCAGGAGGACCTGGGCCGACGACGAGCTTCCGAGCAGCACCATGATCACCATGCCCAAGAACTCGGCCAATGGCTCCCGCAGCGCGACCCGGACGCGCGACCACCACAGCCTATGCCGCTCCGCAATCTGCTCGTCCTCATTGATGGGCGCCACGGGCTGGAGACCCAGCCGCGCGCGGGCGCGCCGGATCGTCTGCGAGGACGTGACCTTCTGCATGCCCGCCGTGCCTCCTTCTTCTCCCAACACCTCCTCCTCCTCTTCTTCTTCCCGATCGGCTGCCGTGCTGGGGCGCTGTTCGTACTGCTGCTGCTGCCGCCGCCGCCGCTCGCCGTGTAATACTGCCACACCCGTGGGCGGCGACGGTTGACCATCAGTGGTGGACGTGTCGGCCATGGCTCTTTCGGGATGACACTCCTCCTCGCGTTTCAGGTCGTGCTGTCGTCTCCTCGAATACGTGGGATGTTCTTCGGCAGCATGGTGGCGGTGCTGCCGTTGCTCGTACCGCTCCTCGGCCTCTACTGCGATATTTTCTTCGGGCAAAGACCGGTGGGAGGCATTGTCGGCGGCTGTCTTGGTACGCGTTTGAGTCCGAGATCCGCCTCGGTCACTGTCCCTTGGCGGCGGCCTGGTGTCCATTGGGTCAACTAGGGTGTTGTTCCGAGCGCCACAGCGTGAAGCTTGGCGGATGTGGAAGCAAGACGAGAAATTTGAAGTGAACGAGAGCCAAAACGAGAGGAGGATATTATTCTGGGAGGGTTACTGGCAAGATTCCAGGAGAGGGCGGAGCTGAGGCCCCAACCAGGCACTTGCAGCCCACACATTCATGATTCTGTTCTCAATCGTTTCGCGATGTAGCATTATACGTGTCGATCCCGTAGATCTAGCTCCGCTCGCCGACTTTCCATCCTCTCGGGCTGCAGGTTCCTTGTTGTGAATCCTTGGATATCGCCGGCTTTTCCAGGCTCCCGGATCCGGCGACGGTGACGCCGTGACAGGCAAGTGTGTGGAAACCGGTCGAAGTTCAGTGTCAGCACCAAAAAAAGTGTCCGAACGGTAGGTCCACTTGACGTTCTCGCTCCATCCTAACCCGTCTTGTACACAACCTACCCTAGGCGCTCGTCGAATACGTTTTTCCTTAGCCGGTTTTCTGGTCAATGGGAAACCAAGGTTTGAGGGTTTGGTCAAGACCAGTGGCTCACTTCAGCCTGGCCCCTATGTTCTGCAGGCTGGGTAGGGGTGACAGGTTTGTTGACCAGGAGAGGAAAAACGTATCCTACGCGAGCTTACGGTAAACTAGATAGGGGCTCCCCACGCAACCCCATCAGCGATCACTTCAGCCGGGAGGTGGAGTGAAAAATTCCACTTGATGCATTACGTCATATGTGGAAAGGAGTTCATGTTCCGTTCTTTCTTCTCTTCATCGTGCATTGCAACCCGCGTGTGTGACGGAGGCAAACAGCTGCCAAGTATCAGTGATCATGGTCGTGAGACGAGACTGGGTGAGAAGGTAGGAAGGTATATGAAGAGGAAGGTCACGGTAATCTTGGGGGAGTATGCTTGTTCAATCTACAATACCGTGCGGAGGCACGCCCTTAGTAGGCGTGAAGTGAAAGCTTGGCGCCCGTCTTAGTGTTAGTGTATTCCGTACTGTTACTGCCGCCGGCTATCACCGTCGTCGTTCGCCAAAATAAGCCAATGACCGGCCGAGCTATGCCACTAGATCTGACGACTAGAGATAAGAGAAGACTTAGGTACGGCCGACAACCTACCTTACGTAGCTACTTTGATAGTTATCGCGAGCTTTAGCTGTTAAATGCTAACATATGGTTGTGTCTAGCCCTATTCTTTTCCCCTATAGCTTACCTTTAGTTATCTATCTCGCTTAGGCTGTGTTATCAGCTAGTTATAATAAATTTCTTTCAAGGAGTCGTCCAGCACATGCTTCTGATTTCCGTGCTTGTTGTGCAGTTGATCGCCATGTGTTTCAGAGCGGTGGAGCGAACCATGATACCGATCGGGTGCTGGTTAACCGTCGACGCAGCCAGATGCAACGCTTCCGGTTTGATGCCGTCCGCGACCGGGAACTCGGCAAGGCCGCAAGGGGACCCAAAAGGCTGGCGACTTGATAAGTTTGGCATCTCGCCGGAGCGGTCCTTGTTGAGGGAAGCATGCGGATAGCTCCTGAGCTCCGGGGCCGTTACCGGCCGCCCAACAGAGGTCATCAGCTTGACTGAGAAAGCACCTTATTTTAACCGTCCCACCAGACCCCAGTGATACGGGTAACAAGGACGAATTAAACGCGTTGGAGTCATGCTCCCCCAAACTCGCATTGAAGCTTCCCGAACCGTGCTTCCCGTCCACGGTTCCACACGGCCGCCTCTCGCCTTCCCGGCCCTGAACGGCCTCGGAGTTCGGGTGTCGAAATCCCAGATACGACTTGATGAGCGTCCATACCTTATCTAAGGTCCCTCATCTTGCCAACGTGGTTGTAGAAGGGTTCCCTGAGTTGGCAATACATGACGATGGCGATGAATGAAATCAAACAACTGGCATAAGCTGTGTCGTCATTAGTACGTGGATTTCTCAAGCCGTGGACCTCAACACGTTGGAGGAAAGTGTACTACCGTACCTTGGCTGCTCGCCTCGTGGTGATTATACTATATAAGTACCTAAGTGATCGGAACCTCATGTTCCCGTCCAACTTGCCCTTCACCACTCGGCCACTTCTTCGTTGCTCCCGGTGCTTTGAACGCATCTGCCAATATCACCAAACAGCAATCCCGACTACTCAATTGTACCATGGCTGACCCCGGCGGATCTCCTGAATTTCAAGACCCGCCTAGTGAGCGGGCGAATGGTATGATCCCCACGACTAGGGCGTCGTAGCTGGCATCCCTTCGCGAGCTGAAGGGACGTGGCTGGATAACAACACCGTATGTCTCTCACCAAGAGGACCTCCCACCCGGAGTAGTTATACCTGTCTAAATTCTTAGGAGGGCGGCATGGAGATAATGTCTGACCACAACACAGTACATAACTCGTTTTCTGGTTGAAATGAAGCATGAGCAGCTTGGCATGGGGATAGATCCAGCGGACGATACAGAGGTCCACCCGGAGCGACTTGTCAGTTATGCGGATGCCCATATCGGCAGTACTACCCTTGGCACTATGCTCTGCCCGAGGAGACACACCGCGCCTGTTTTGATTTCAAAGGGCAGCTGAGATTGACCCCCTAGGAGCCACACGAGCAGAATACTAACCTTAGCATTTGGGGCCTCTGGTACGGGAAACCCCTGGATTGTACATTTGAAATCTGGACGGTCGAGCAAGTGTATCCTTTTCCCTGTTCTGAGTCGTCTGGGTGACGAGGCGGTTGGAGGACGAGGTGCACCTTAGGGCTCAAGGCGACTGGAAAAGTTGGTGTCATGGTCACACAGACGCAGCCTTACTCCAAGGCCGTCGAGTACTTCGACCGCTTTCCCAGCGACCTCTCGAAGTACCCCTTGACCGACGCCCATCTGCAAGCCGAGCTCCGTGCGGCAACCGCTCTCGCCTGGACCCACCCGTTCCCGGCCGCGTCCATGTGCGCGTACGTCGTCATGTGGACCGCCAACGACGCCGCGTACGCCCTGCTCAATTGCCTCTGGCAGCGGCGCTGGGCCAGCAACTAATCAGGCTCATCATGATGCAGAAGAATGGCACGTAAGTGCCGGAGCTCAAGGTCGACGAGTACACGACGGCCACGAGCGAGCGTATCGAGGTGGTGGAGGCCTTCGACCGCGAGTTCGAGCGATTCACCGACAAGGAGGCCTCTCTGGAGGATCAGCTCGCCGCGTGGGACGTCATGCTGCAGAAGGCAAAGGGCGAGAGGGATGCCATGTCGCAGCGCCGAGACCGCGCCCTGGACCGGTACGACTCGGCAAGCGAGGTGGCCAAGAGCTGCTGCTCGAAGTTCGAGGGCCTGAAAGATGCCAAGGCGGCCTTTGATGAGGAGATCAGGGAATGGAAAGAGGAACAGATGTGGAACGTCTTCTTTGGCTTGTTTAGTAAGTTTTCTTTTCTTCTTTTCTCTCTTCAGCTTCGTGAAGCGACCAGAACATCCTACGTACATAGCTGACGATGTTTCAAAGACTCCGTCCTTGGCGTGGGAGAGCTCTGCCCGGGGCTCCGCCCTTGACGCCGTCAAGATTCTGGCCTCAGTAGGAGACGGGGCTTGGAAGATGCTGTCTGGCGACACGCTGCAGAGCCTTGGCAGCTGCATGCGAGTCCATTGGAAGCCTCTCGGCCGGCCTCGAAGCGCTTGTCGGCGCAGCAAAGGGGTTCCTGGACGACGGCACGTCTCTGCCTTCGACCGGCAGTGTCGCGGGATCCAGCTCGGGCGATGCCAATTCAATGGCCATCTTTACGCTGGGTGAGTGGGACAAATGGATCTTGGAGTTGGATTAGCAGATGGAGTTCGCGTTGCAGGAGCACATTGGAGGCGCTAGCGAATACCGACTTGCCCTGCGCAAGCACAGCACGCTGTCAACAGCAAGACATTGGCTCAAGCCCTTGCAAACACGGTCAAGATAGGCCAGGAGTACGTCCGGCGGCAGATTGACTTGACTGTGCTGGAGCAGGACGTCGAGAAGCTTCAGCAGCTGCAGGAAGATTATCACTATGAGGCCCAAGTCTACGAGGAAGGCATGCAGAGATTCTACGATTGGATGATGACCTTGAAAGTGGGCGTGTGGATGGCCATGAAGAAGGCTGTCGCGGCATATTGATATTACAGCCTAAGGGAGTATGACCTTACGCTTGGTCCCCTGGTCCTTGTTGAGGAGCTTATGGACCAGCTTTAGCGGTCACGTCTGCCATCCGGGAGGCCGATGAGAACTGGGATAAGAACTTTCAGAGTAGGTGCCAGTGGTCGTCCACAGCGCCCCTGATACTGAGGATTTGAGTCAAAGCTGACGCAAAGTTTTTGAATATGATTCCTCATCCGAGCTGGCCGGTCTCCCCTTTTGTCAGAGATACACCTGTTCTCCTTACATGTATGACTGACAACCGGGTGATAACTCGCTCCAACTGTCGACCACCGGTCCATCGTCCAAGGACCCAGGGACACGACGACCCGCAAGGCCAAGTTTACGCTCGCACCGACCACAACGAAAGCGGAGCCCCAGATCAAGGCCAATTCTCAGGGGCTGCCTGCCGACTTCCATGACGGCTTCCACTGGCGCATGTGGGGCATGGACCCGATCCTCCGAGGCGCTGTGCCTCGACCGGACAAGCTCGTGAATGGGCACGTCGTGGTGAACCTGTGGATCACGACCGAGGGCAAGTTCTCCGACATCGACGAGAAGGGGGCCATCCACTACTTATCAGCCCGGCCACAGTCAAAGCTGTGCGCCTTTAGCTGTACCCGTCCGGGGAGGTCCGCATGACCATGAGCGCCATCCCCCGCGCTGAAAGGCACATGGTCCATACACCCTTCACCCAGTGGACTGTCAAGATCGAGAGGGAATCGCGTGGAGTGCTGAACCTGGACGCCCTCAAGGGGCTTGACGTGCACTGGGTGGGCAACTACATGCCGGTCAAGCCTCCCAGACGGGACTCGGCCCTTGCGCTGTAAACATGGAGCGGAGGAGGGTTGAGTTAGGTACCCAAGGTGCCACTCTTTCGTGTGGCCTTCAGAGTTCTGTTTTAGTTGCGTGATAAGGTAGATCTGTACTAGCTTCATCGAGTGTCTCATCCAGTCCAGTCGTGCACAACTTCCTCTGTGTCACCGTACCCTCCCAAATCAAAAATCGAGGCGTCCAAATCTATGATGAGAAAACGAATGATGGACAAACCGCCCGTGATCAACCTGGATGATTACAACGTGAAATGGATGGCGCTAGTACTAATGGACTCCTAGTTTCTAATTCCTACCTCTTAGGCAAACTAAAACGAAGCTCTATTTCTCCTTAACTATAACCGGGCCGAATCAGTGCGTAGATTGTCGGTGACGACATAATAGCAAATCCTCGGTGTTATACGCTTTTATCATTTCTGAGACCAACACTCTTGACTCCCTCACCAAGTCTTGGTGGAAAGGCGTACGGATTACAGACACTCGTACTCCGCCCAGGCTTCCTGTGGCTGGCTTCCGATTGGTTGCGTCTTGGTGCTTGTTTGGCTTCTCACCTTTGTTGTCTCATGGACTTATTGAATTGTTGCTCACTCATTTGTTGAGGGGAGCGCATAAATCTTGACATAGTTTATAGAGTCAGTGGGTAGAGCCCTCTTCTTCCTCGGCCTGCTGATCCGACAACTTCACAACCTAGAAGCATTAATCGAGCCAAAAGCCATGTCTGGTACATCAGCCCGAGCCCGTGCGGCTCAAGAGCTCATTGCGTTGCTAAGCCCGCTTGCCGAGGACGCAGCATCTGTGCCGTGCACACGCAAAATCCTTTCGGCCATCGAGTCGCTGCTCTTGTTCTTGACTCCAGACCGGCCCCTTTTCGCAGCTTTCCATAACGGCCAAGTACACGTTCCCCTCAATGCCGGCGCTTATACCTTCCGAGAAGATCTGGTCGGACCCGCTTCTAATCAACCTTGTCCATGATGAGGTCCTCAACGTCGATGACGGCTTAAATCCCAAGGCGCAGGCTGCCCACCTTGCCCAAGCATGCCCTGCCGTCCCATCGTGGTTCACGCAGGAGCGCAGCCGAACAACTCGCCACATTGCGACACCCTGATCGTCTTCTAGTACGCCTTTGCCGTGGCTCGCGCGATCCGGGACCAGCTCCATGCGATGACTGCTCAGGCCGACTTCGCCGTTCAGCCCCCTCCCGTGTCCGTCGAGATCACCTTTGTCACAGCGCCGATCAACAGTCACGGCCTCGATCGACGGAATCCATTACCAAAAGTCCTACCGTGACACACCCGACGCCATCGCCGCCTGGATCGGCGATTACGCACGAGGTCTTCGGCCTCCTTTCCGGCTGGTCCGCCATCCCGTTCACGGCCGCCTTCAAATCCGACTTCTCTCTCCAACCCGTCCATGCCCGAGCTCGTCGACTGGCGTTGAAGTCCTCGTTGTCGATGCCGAAGGGCTCGGTCGGCACCTCGCCGGGCGTGCGCCGGATGTTGGACGGAATCACGGCGATGTGTCTGCACTCGTCGACGATCCCTGAGCAAATAAAATAATAGAGAGAAACCGAGGGAGCATACGTGACAGCGGACCTGCCACGACCATCGGCCGTCTCGTAAAGCCGCAGGCGCTCGACGCCGTTGTGCAGACGGTACCTGCGATACTCGTGGTTCTTTTTCTTGCTGGCAATGTTGCGAGATGCTCAGGCATGATAGCCAAGAGCACGTCGGTCTCGAACCGAGTCTTCATAGTTGTTCTTGGTTTTGGTCTTGGCCTTGGCTGCTGGTGCAGATCACTTGGAAATGCGATCTGTCTTCTGCAGCGAGGTTGCCTTTATTATTTTTTTTTGTTCTTTCTTTTATTATGGGTGATGAAGACAATCAGTTCCCTAACATTCTATAATCTGCAGCCGATCCTGACAGAACACCAAAACTGAACTTGACAGACTGTGGTGCAGTTTCTAGGTGATTGTGTCTTGGCTGGAAAGTGGTTGCTGCGCGTTGGTTCTCGCGTTTTGGATTAATTGGCTTGGAGTGGGGCGGCAGAAACATGAACAACTACCCACGCGACGTCACGCGGGCATCGTTTCCGGAGAGTGACTTAAAGGTCCCCACCCTGAAGGAGAGATGCTCTTGAAATCCTGCAATTGCCAACGATAACGTCGACTGCCGTCCGAACTCGGCATGTCGTCTCCAATCTCTAACCGATTCCATCTAGCAACGCCCTCGACACGAGTCAACAGAGGCACCCTCCCTTGTGACACCCAAGCTAAAATGGCCTAAGCGACTGACAAAGCTTCAACAACCTCCCACAGAATCTCACCCATCCTTATTCCTTCACTCCAGATGTCATTATGATCCCCACCGGCCTCTACAACCCTGACATCCACCACACCTTTCCCTTCCCCCTCCAACCTGCCTCGCATCGCCTCCAACTGCTCATACGGCACGAGCGAATCCTCCCAACTCTGCACCAACACGGCCTCCGGCCTCCTCCTACCCCGAGCACCACCACCACTACCACCAATCCACTCCCCAACCCACCCTTCCCCTGCCGTAGCAGGACAGACGGCCCTCCAAACGCCCTCGTCATCCGCCCCAAACGCGCCAGAAACAAACTCCCTGTACCCCTCGCGCAGGTGCGCGTGCGCGGCCGGCGGTTCCGCAATGAACCCCGCCAGGTCGTACAGCCCGTTGAAGCCCACTATGGCGCGCGGCTTGGTGGGGTTTGAGACCTGTGCTAAACCCCACCTAGCAGGGGCCATGACGGACTGGAAGGCCAGCGTCGCGCCGCAGGAGTGGCCTGCCAGAATCCACGGACTGTCACTGTCACTGGGGAGGATGCCGAGGCGGTTCAAAAAGGCGAGCGCGGTCAGGACGTCGGCGATGTGGTCTGGGTGACGGGCCTGGCGGGAGGGGAGGTCTGGCGCGGGGCAGGGGTGGGACGGGTGCGGGGAGAGACGGTAGTTGAGCGAGATGAGGCCTGCGATGCGGGCAGCGGACGGTTTGGATTGTGTGGATTGTGTGGTTGTGGCCGTGGTGGTGACGCGGCGGAGGAGGTTGGTTGCGGCCGAGGTGAAGGAGGCGGACGTAATGAAGGGGTCGCGCCAGGCGCCGCCGTGGATGTAGACGATCCACGTGCCTGGAAGGCTGGGGAGGTAGGATGGTTCAAGGGGATTGGTGGTGATGCCGGCGGCGGGAATCCAGACGTCGAGAGTTTGTAGGGCGACGGCTTGCCCTCGCGGCACGTACGGTACGCCTGATTTGTGCCAACCGAGCGTCTCGGCGGTGCTCGTCGGCGAATCGGTCACGGGGTTCCAGGGCACCGACGCCCATGCGCCCCAATCCGCATTGTCCTCGTGGGAGTCCATCGCTACGATTGATGATTGGAGGGAGGTATAGTGGATTGTCGGCGCGTTTTTATGCCCAGAGTCTTGTTCAAGTTTCATTATGAAGGTTGATGATAACCCCACTGTGGGCCATTTCCGGGTCTCCATCCGAGACGCCAGAGACGCCCTTCGGTTCCACGATCCGTTCCGAGTTTCCACTTCTCCGGCCGACTTCACCTCCTTCCACTCATTCAGCTCGCTGTTAGATAATGTCCCCATTTTGCTCAGCCATCCCAACCGGCACCGTTCGGAATGCCGTCCACTGAGCAGTGCAAGTCACAGCCTAACAGACCCGCCGGCGCAGAACATGCCGACTACATACATCGCGAACGGAAGATCATATTGGATTCGTAGCCGAAGAGGTGCGGCTGTCAGTGCGACCAATCGGCCACACTGGAGATCTCCGCTGGCCAAGATCATAAGGATATTACGTTAGCCTACCTTACGGATGGATACACAGCACTAAGGTACCTAAGGTACCTTGAATATCCCGCCAACCTTGCATCTAGGCCTTCCCGCGCAGAACCTGCTGTGTTCAGTGTGCTGTATATTATGCAGCCTATTGCAAGTTTCCGCCCGGGGCCTGCAGGCGGGAGCTCTCCAGTTTCGGTAGGATGCACGAAGAACTCGTTATCCATATTGCACCCCTACCTTCGACCGAGCCACCGGATGTTGTCTGGCTCTTTGCCTCCGGAGGACACTTGTGGACGCCGACATCCGGGAGGGCATCCTGCAGGATACACTCTCCAAGGTTCAGGTGAATTGCCATGTGGTATTTTTGTGCTATGCAGTTGGTGGAGAAACTCTGACCATCTCTCTCGAAGCCAATGTCCTAGCTCCCATCCATGGGTATCACTGTCCGGCACGACTGGAACGTAAACAATGCACTCTCGGGGATGCGGCTGCCACTATATTTATTCCCTTATGACGTTCTATATCCCGTCATCGGGCCAGGCCAGCGAGCTATCGCGTTTCTCTGGTGTTTCTAGCGCTACCAAAGCTGCTGAACCACATCTCTCCAGTGTACCAGCCCTAGCGAGCGTTGTGAGATAACGGCATATGCCGGGCGCCTTTTTGTTTAACACCCGAAATGTAATCCCTGTGGAAGAACTCGCTGTTTGTTCATCGGCATACTGCATTTGAGAATGTTTAGGTGCCGCTCGACTGGAACACGGCCTCCCCCTGCCGTGTCGCGTTATCCCTCTCTCACAACTGGGTGATTTTCATTTGTCAGGAGTGTAGATTGCAGGAACTCTAAGCATTTTCGGTTCCTCATTTTCAACCAGTCATATAGGTATTGAACGGGCACCCTTTTCTCTTCGTCTTGCAGAGCAGGGGGGCATCTCAAAGACTGCAGATTGACTGCGGGTTCTAATCTGGGGGACCTCCAACCTCTTCATTCTTCATTGACTATAATCGGATATTTGATTGTATGCGAAAAATAATTGAATATGATAATACAAACGAATGTGTCTTTCACGTGTCCCCCTTGCCGTCTTCACCAGCGCCTAGCGTGTATCATGTTCCCCCAAACTCATGACTTTGCCACAAACGTAGCGTCAAAGACACGGTGGACGGCAGTCATAACGGGCAGACACACGTCAGCACCAGACAGATCCATGGCAATCTTCTGCATTTGTATTTACGACCAGATTCGCCCATCATAGTCTGCTACAACCGACTAACTTTCTTGTGCTAGAGTGTAGTATCACACTGCGAGTAGAGGTTATCTGGGCATGGTGACTCTCCGATCCCCTAACTAAGGTAATTGACCTCCTGAACTCGGCGTTAACAGTGCAGTGCAATGTGTGCAGGTAGTGAAGAATTGAAGTGGAGGGCCGCCGCCAGCCTTGCGTTCCACAGCTGATCCAGATAAAAACCCGCCGAATCCACGCGTTTCGAACCACCGTGTCTCTAAGTTCAGGGGTAAAGTACCGAGCAGATGGGCCAGGAGTCCAGGGGACACTGCATTGAATTACGTGCCACCCGAACGTTACAGGTGTATCAGAGAACAGTTCTCGAAGTCCGGAGCAGCGGATTCATATTTGGTACCCGATTACTCTTTGGACAGGCGGTTGAGTTCGTTAACTCTCAGTCCTAACACTGCGTCTCCTACACCAAATGTCTCTCGCCATATACATGTGTATCTCCCGCGGACTACTGGCGCGGAACCACAATGGCATTTTCTCATGAACTTGAAGCAAGTACTACGCATTCTCTCGCGTCAGTGCCCGATGAAGCACATCAGTCACCGAACTCAAAGAAGCCGTGGAGAATTCAGCATTCGTCCCACAGACCCCACACGGAATCGAAACAAAGCCCGCACCACATAGACTCATACGATACAGATGCACCCTACTCCGTACTACATGCCGGATACCACACACACACACGCACACACACACAAGGTCTCCTCCACTGGCGCAGAATGGTGTACGAAAGCCTAGGTTTGGTGCTCCGTACGACAAAGACGAGGGGCCACATTTCTGCAGGAGGCCGACCACCGTGTAACTACAAGGGACCTTATATCGACTTCATGAGAAAGCAGAAGCCCTGTCTCAGGTTCTCAAGATAATCTCGCCAACTGGTAGCTGAGTGAAAAGGGGGGAGGGGCCCGAATCCTGGAATCATCGGTCCGGGACGGGGAAACGGATTACTGTGCAAGGGCTCAGCGAGGTGACGTTACGGTCCGAGACAGCTCGGGGGTCGGGTTCGGTATGGACAACCGTGTTGCACTTGTTAGCCTCTTCCTGTAGAAGATGCGGATACATAGGCAAAGAAAACAGCTCGTATATATACTATCTCGTCGTGTTGCAGCTGCTGCGCGCGGCGCTCTAAGGCGTCTCGAGCGTGTCTCTTCAGCAGCACATGTCGGCAAGCGGGTGGGATTCCTTCGTGGCATTTTGCCGTCGAACCAACAAGCGACGCAGGGATTGCCGCACAGCAGTTGCTGAACATTGCTGATTTGGATAGTATCTTCGTTCACTGCCCGTCGTCCGACTTTGCTGTCTTGGCAACTGTTTTCGATCAGATCTCCCGCAGTGTGCGCTATTAAGGCACATTTCGGCAAACAGGCAGCCGGACGACCTGCTAGCGTCGGAACACTCTCCGATACTGTAACGAATCCGGTACAGCTCTGGTATTTTGGTACGAATCGGCAGTATTCCCGAGGGCGAGGGCGAGGGCGAGGGCGGGGCCCGGTAATTTACCAATCGCTAGCTAGTATCCTTGTTGCTTCTGCGGCAGTTGTCGAGGAGGACGACAGGAAAGTCTCGCGTGTTTCGAGCGAGTTGCATTTTGGGCCAAGTTCGGATCTCCTCAGTGAATGAAGCGGCAAATACCTACGACAGAGCAACACTAAGGTGAAAGCTCTATCTGGCACCAACTCGTGTCATCTGGCGTTCTCCGAGCACTTACAGCAAGAGCTGAACAATTCCTTAACCAACCCCACCACAGTAAGGCATTTCCACCTCAGCTTCTTCTCCTTGTTTGGGAGGCATGCTTACACAACTACTGTACCGATACACAAAACCTACCGTCTGTTACGTAGGACATTTTGAGTCGGCGGCTTTGGCCCGGCAGCCGGCACCTCGAACCAAGATTGTCCTCCACTCACAGGATGCCTGAGAGTTGAAGCCATGATATATTGCTCTATGCGGATACCTGGACCGTCCCGTGGTTTGCGCCGCACGGGATCTGTTCCGTCGCGTGAGCCGGTCTTGGTCTTCCGTGGGCTGCCGAAATTACCCCACCTACTCTGTGCCTTTGTCGGGGGACCTTTCCGAGGCTCACTGCACATGGAAGCGGCACAGTGTCCGTCTCCAGCCGTGGCTCTCGGCCCAGATGCCTGGGTTGCACTGCATGACATCAAGGTTCCGTTGCCAGCGAAACCTTGGTTGTCCGCTCGTCAACATTGATACCTCAAGCGCAGATGTCCTATGTGTGGTGTCTTGGCGGAGAACGAAGATGATGAGCGTGGTTAGGTTAAGTGAGTCTCGATGTGTTAAGATACGCGGATTTTGACAATGTCCAGGTCGGCCAGGCGTTTCAATCTGCCGTTGTTGCACCATTTCTCAGCCGCCCCCGGTGTTCCACACACCTCTTCATCACAGCTCTACCCGCGCCGGCCTCTGTACGCCCGTGGAGCGTGTCTCACATGACGTTGTACAGTCGGGACAACGCCGGCACGCCACCGGGAAGAAAGTACCGTGCGTGGTAATAGGGCTGGTGTAGCCATGGTGTATCCGTAAAGTATATCAAGAATCTTGATGGGCGAGCTGAAGAGGTAATGGCAACCCCGTGTCCATCAAATGTCATAGCGGCGTGTTGTGATGACCCGAATGCACGCTCAATGAGCGAGGGGACCCTTACCATAATAGGTTGTCTCGGCCACGTGCAGGATGCCCGGACTGTCACTACCAACGGCCGTCCGTCGAGGTTCTCGGGCGAACTATCCGTAACGTATTCCCAAGTTTGAAGGCTCATCGTTTCGCATGTGAGCGAGCATGTCAATCCAACCAGGCGCCTTGGCGTGCAGGTGGCTGTGTTGGTTCTGCAGCAAGTCGTTTTCGGATTCTGCGCTCGGGATGTTTAGAGCATCTGTGTGGCCGCCACATGGCAACATCTACCTTACCCAACGGCATCATGCGCAGTACGTTGAACGCGGTTTCAAGGCACACTCTGGCGAAGTGGACTCGGAATCGTCATTCGATCGTTGCTGCTTCCCGCAGTGCCAGATTGTTGCTTTGGAAGGAATTCTATCTTGGGACGATCTAAAGGCCGCGGAACCGGGTACAAAGCCGTCCGGCGTGGAGCCAAACCTAGAGAGGCACAGTACGGTTACCACGCTAAAGTCTTTTATACGCTTGACCTTGGAATTCATCATTGGACAGTGGAATGCATGCGCGATATCGTACTTACAATCTTCGTTTCGTCGAAATGGTCACTGACAGCCCTGCCGCCTTCCCGTCCTGGGCTGGACTCACTGCCAATCCGGTGCTCTGCCGGTTAGCCCGCAGTATGGCGTTCAAGGTCAGGGTTTTTATTTCCCGTGGGTTGCGCCAAGCTGTTGCAGCTGCATGAAACGCCGTCCTTTCAACTTCGCCTCGGTGTACGGATGTATTGTACACAGTATCCACCTTGCGCACTAAATCTCGAATCTGGATGAGGAAAAGAAAAGCGACACTCCAATCCCGATTTTGGCTCTGAGCAGAAGGCGCAAACGTCGGGCTTCTCCTTCGAAGACTGGCACATTCAAGGCTGATTGTGAAAGCCAACGGACACTTCCAAACTGGCGCTGGGGTGGAAATGCTGTCGAGTCACCTGATGGGGGCAGGCTGGGACTCAGACGAGAGTCTAGATTTCCCTGTTGGCGCTTGATGAGGCCGAGTTCCCAGAAACTGCAACCCTTTGATATCGCTTTCGTCGACCTGCGTCAGACCATTGCAGGTGTATCGAAGGCCGAGACGCCCCTGTAATGGCAGGATCCGATCTAACGTTAACAGCAGACAGGACGCGAGGTTGAGGAGACAGCGCCTCGGCTTAAACTGCTCCCACACTGCAGGTGACAATCGTCATCACCACACCGCAGGTCTCTCAACCGTGATCTTCCTTGATGAGCCGAAGTTCGGTTGCTCGCCGGACAGTTGTACGAAGCCCCACGGTACATTCCCGTTGTCTGACTTCTCCCCCGTTTCACACAGACTGATTCTTTCAATGCCACAGGCGTCCATACACAGCAAAATATCGTACCTTACGGATACCCACCTTACCTCCGGTCACCGGTCTCCGACACTTTACGCTGCCAGTAACGAGAGAGATGCCTGCGGCGCGCTACAGCAGTGCGTTAGCGGCTGGAATTCTGGTGGAGATTCGGCTATCGATCCGAGGGCCAACCAACCGTGCGCTTTCTGCGCTGCAAAGGCGACGATGGGGCCTTGGCGTTGTCCACTGGTCGCCGAGCTCACGGAACTGGCTGCACGAATGTCGCGTCACCAGCTGAGAGTGTAGGGGTTAGTTTCGATGCTTGGGATCTCTGGTGATTCGGCGGCTCCAGTTGCTTCTGCAGACATCTCTCACCGGAGGCCGCCAGGATCCTCTCGCTCACTTGATTCGCTCACTCAGCTACCTCCGTACAACCAGCCCTCCTCATTGACGAAGCAACCTCGGCTGACGAATCCTCTCCTAAAGCAGGGGTACCTGCAAGGCGAGCAAATGGTATGATTGTGGGATCGAATAAATCCCCTGATTTGGCGAGCGAACTGCTGTGCTGGTCAGCGGCCCTGTCGTTCGGATGCTCTGCGTGGAAGAGTTGGCCTGGGAGCCGAGCAGTTCTCAGTCCGAATGGCGGAAACTTCTGTTTTCCAACTCATACCCACGGCGGCCGAACAGTCACCAGATCACGCGCCACAACAAGTTCTTGACGATCAGGCTCAAGTGATCCGAGGTATTTGTCTTCCATCACCGTCAACCTGACCCGGGTTAGATGCGCGTTGGTGTCAATGACGTGCGGTAGCCGAATGGTCGGTTGGGTCGACCTGGGGTTTTTGGCATGGGTCCAGGGTCCTTTGCCGGTCAGCCGGGGTTGTCCACTCGGAAACGCGCCTCGACAGTTTCGGCAATCCCTCGCGCAGGAAGGGAAACAAGCTCTGAGGAGGTTGTGTGGAGGCTTCCGGGCAGGGGCATCAATGTATCCGGAACATACCTTACCAATAATACATCACACTGTCCAAAGGCAGCCTGCAAGGCCACAACATCACCGTCTTTCCCATTCGAACAATTCCCGCCACTATCATCGTCCACTCTTGTGGTCAAGGAAGACGCAGCAGACACACCTGTCAGTTAACCGCGCATGGGACACAGAATGCAAATCGCAGCCTTCGGTTGGGCACACCCCACAGCACCACATTCTCGAACAACGCGTAATTCACGAGTAACAATTACGGTATGATGTATTGAGCTGGATGAACGCTTGGTATCATCCACATTTCATATGTCATCCAACGTTAATACCTTTAAGTTACTGTAGTAAATTCCCTGGTAGCCCCGATCCCCCGGTCACTGACCATCCTGAGCGGTGCTGTGATTCCTTGTTTCTCGCCGCTTCACACCACACTCCTCGAAACCAAAGACCTCACTTTTTCCTCCTCACATCAAGTCCACCTGCGCCGGCCATTTGCTGCTGCATGTCCCCATTCCTCCCCCGCCGCTAAAGAGAACGGATGTAAGCGCGCAGTCCCTCGCGGATCCGCTCGCCAGTCTCGCCTCGTTGCTGCCGCCCACCATCACCCCGCTCCTCTTCGTCGTTCTCCGACTGGCGAGCGCAGGCTCGGCGTGGGCCGACTTGGGTCGTATCGTTCCAGCACACCGCGCCGGACTAAACATCCCTGAGATACAAGCCTGCCGCGTCGCTCGTTTCGATTTCCCGGCACGCTTCAGCCAGACGCCGATCCAGACCGAATGCATGCTCCTCAGGGGTCCATTCCTGCCACCCGCGGGTGCTACTAATAGGGCCGCCTGATAGCTTATGGTTGCAGGTTGTATTGCGGCTGCCCCGGTACCAAACGGCCCAGCTGCCGCTAAATCTCGCTGCTACTTTACCGAGGGAGCGAGACCAAGGGGCGAGGATCGAACGAGCTGCGGATCAGAGCGGCATTGAGGTCGCACGGCGTTGCAACACCGCAAAAATACCACCCCAGGACTTCTGAACATTGGGCAGCGGGGAGAATGCTCGGAATAAGGCCGGCCCTCATCAGGATTTGAAACAACGCGAGTCCTGCCGCCGACGCTGCTGCTGCCTCACTCCATTCGCGCGGGCTGCAAATCGACCAAAAACACTCACTTGCAGGTACTCGTGGGGACCACCAACGACGCCGCCAAGTAATGAGCATCCATTTGCGGAGAGCCCGAACGGTGAGAATTTGTCTTGGCTGCTTGCGCGTGTGGGAGAGCCAGAGTACGGGGAGCCACGTCTGATCAGAGGTCCTTCCTCGACCGACCTGGATCGTACTTCCACACGTATCCTCGCCTCGTGGCTGGAGAGCCGGGTGTGGATAGAAGAGGCCGAGGGGAAGACAGGCCAGTGTTGAACTTCAAGGGCACGCTTCCCCGACTCGCTCATCTCTCAAAGGGAGCGGCAACCTAGTCCGCCAATCCCAACGTTCTTCTCGCCTGCATGGTTTGTCGACCGGCAGCTCCTCCGAATTCATCCTTCTATTGAAGAGCCTGCAGAAACGGTTCCCATTAGGCTGCTGGCTGGTGGAACTGGCTTTCAAAGCAGCCCGGCATCATGGCGTCTGCGCCGCACCACCCGTACCCTCGATCCCCGAACCCCTCAGTGCGGCCCTACGACTCGTCTGCCATCTCGTCGGCGCCTTCACCGGAATCGGCAGAACAACACTTCGTCGGTCCGATGAGGTCGAGTGCGAGCACGAGCAGCGCGGTTCCAGCAACGAGGCCGAACCAGGTGCCGCCTCCGCGGTCCATAGGAATTCCACCGCCCGTGTCCTCGACCCACCACTTGCCTCCGAGCTCGTTCCAGTCGTACACGCCCATCACGTCCACGCCGTCAGTCATGGAGCGGGACTCGCTGCCGTCGAGCGAGTCTTTAACCGGGACGCCCCGGCTGTCCCATGGCAGCTTGCCGCCTTCCAACAACAGCAGCAGCGCCCAGGCACAGAAACGAGCGTACCGGCAACGCAGGAAAGACCCCAGCTGTGATGCCTGTCGTGAGAGGAAGGTCAAGTGCGATGCAACCGAAACTACGAGTTGTTCCGAATGTTCGAGCCGGAGCGTCAAGTGCCAGTTTACCAAGGAGACGAACCGCCGCATGTCCTCTATCAAGCAGGTCCAGGATCTTGAGAAACAAATGGACCGGATCCGGCGGGAAAACAACAGCCTCCGTCGCATGCTACAAGAGCTCAATGGCCGCCAATCGGACATGGACATGGATGCCGTCGAGCAGCTGCCCTTGCAGCTGCCCGAGATTAACCAGCAACCCAAGCGGAAGAAGAGGCCGGCGGGCATCCACGACCTTGGGCGAGCCACGTCAAATCTGAGGAGTTTCTCGCGTGGGATATGGAAGCCCCCTGCTCCTTATCGACAGGCTGTCATACCCGAGCTGCGAGATTTTCAGCAGCTTCTGCCACCTCGCCAGACCACCGACGAGCTGTTGCGATCCTATTACAACTCGACGCACACCATGTCGCCCATTCTGCACTGGAACACGTTTACGCAGACGATTGACGGCCTGTACCGGCCCGCGAATCCGCTCCGGGTCTCCCAGGCTTTCATGTCCGTCTTCTTCGCCGTTCTTACCGTCGGCAGGCTCTTCGAGGCAGAAAACGAGCAGAACCGCGCGTACTCGGCCGCCCAGCTCCTGGAGACAACGCGAACGTTGCTTGACCCCTGGAGTAACGAGTATGAACTGGACAATGCACGCGCGCTGCTGCTGATCACCATGGCTTTGAACGAGCTAAACCTGAAGTCGGCTGCCTGGAGCTGGCTGGGAAGCACTGTACGAGTCGCTCAGGACATGGGTCTCTATATAGAACCGGGGACGGCGTCCTTCATCGAAGCAGAGATGCGTAGGAGGACGTGGTGGGCGATTTACATTCTCGACCGGAGCCTGGCAGTCGAGCTAGGGAGGCCAATGCTCATAGACGACTCCGACTGCGACGTATCTCTGCCCGCCGCCATTGACGACCACCACATGACAGAACGCGGCAACAGGCTCCCGGGTGGCGCCGAGGGGCTCACTCATTCCCTCCTGGCTGTCGTCAACGTTGTGCGCTCCTACCCAGCACTAAGCCGAGCCCTCGCCTCGCCCGTCATTGCGCCGACACGCCTCGCCACGTTCGACCATCATTTTGATTTATGCCGGCGTGCATTTCCACCAGCCTGCCACCCCACGAGCACGGCTCCCATGATGCTCACCTTTCTGAACCCTTTCGTCTATCTCCTCCACGCCCGCCTGCTTCTCCACCGGCACAATCTCCTCCCTTCGTCACCGCCTGACGCCCGTCTGGTGGCCATCGAACAATGCATGGGCACAGCCCTCGAGACAGCGTCGCTGCTCTCGCGCACCCCGACCGCATCCTTTGCCGAAGGCGCCACGGCGCTGCTTACAACCCACACCTTCCGCTGCGCCCTCTTTCTGCTTCTGACGGGCTGCTTCGAGCAAGCGGCCGAGTGCATCCGCGCCCTGGCTGCCATCAACGATCACCGCGATGTCGCCGTCCCCTGCGGCCGCTATCTCTTGTTCTTCGTTTCCGCCCTGTCTTCTCGACGAGCTGAAATTGTAACTTACCTCACCCAACCCTCGCCTGGCCAGCCACCGCCACCTTACGGACACGCGCCACCGCCTCGGCATACCCCTTCGCTCGCCGCCGTTCAGGACGCCATCTTGCGCGACGAGGAGCTGCTGGCCTACGTCAGCGCCGACCTGCAGGCCCGACTGGAAACAGCCTGGGTCTGGGCGGGCGAGCGGGAGGCGCCGTCTCCATTACCGATATTTGGAAAGCACGGTCTCTTTAGCGTCGAGGCGAGGTCTGGCCTGACAAACGAGGAAAGGTGGGACTGGGGACCGGGGATGACGGGCTGGGAGAGGCTGGAGAGCTCGTTGAGGAAGCTGGCGAATGGGGAGATGACGGGGACCAGCACGGTAATGCCGACAGCGGCGCATCCGACCTCGACTTCGATGCCGAAACCGCAGCAGCATCCGCAGCAGAATCACCACCCTCATCAGCAGACGTGGAACACGGCTGCTGCACCGCCACCGCCACAGTTGCCGCCTGTCTTGCCACCTACTCACCAGCAGCACCAGCATCCACAGGACAGGGCAGGGCCGGTGGAGACGAGGACGCAGGAAGCGAGGGTGGATATAGCGGCGCTACCGCCCATGGTGGTACCGGGGTCGAGAGCGAGCCAGGGATGCGCGACAGGGAGTCCCACGGGGCTGGGCGGGAAGAGCAAGAACCAGGAGAGAATCAGCATCGCGAATATTATCTGAGGGGGTGACTCAATGAGGCATTCATCGGATGGGGACGCCGGTACACCATTTTAGAGGCGGAGGAAGTTTAGACACGCACGCGGAATTCCAAACGTCTTGGGAAACGCACCTAAATGGGAGGAGATTCTGGGAACAAGTGAAAGAGACGGGAAGGAACGAGGTCAACGAAACAAGATCTTTCTTATACGACGACTCCACGACTGCACGCTTAAGCCGCGTGTCGACCACGCCGCAGTAACGGCCGGCTCAACTCTTACCCAGTCAACGCACAACCATGAGGCACCACCTCCCGAGAACCTCGTGCTCCATTCAGCTTTACGACGCCGCACAGCAGACCATACCTGGGGGCGCTTGTACATTACTCCACGCGCAACATACATGTTCGATTACTGTTACGGACGCATCTTCAACACCTTTCACCATACCTTTCATATCCTATCCGCCTCAGCTAGATGCATCATCAGCAGCATCAGCCCGTCCACGGAGATGGGTCGTCTGTGTGGCTTCGAATACCGGGCCTGAACCGGTTGGATACGGATGACAGCTGGTGTCTCGGTTTTCATTTTTTTATTCCACCTTTCCATTTCGCTCAGGGGGATAGCGCTGCATTTTTGTTCATGGGAATGGGACACAGAAAGAGGGAAACAAACGCAAGTGGGATGGGTTGGGTGGAAATCTGATTTGAACTTGCCCCTCTCGGAGGGTGAAACATACTTCTGCTACCTCGACCTCACTATATGGAGCTGGGAGGATCTCTGTGGAGACATGAAAGTTTCTGGACATCGTACTTTGGGCTGGTTGGTATAAGCCTCTATATAGATGGATAATGTGGGCACAGTGAAGGGCTGGATTATACATCATGGCACTGTGCCTTTTGGAGAGGACGCAAAAAAGCGGGCAGGTTTCAACTTATCTTCCTAGCTTTTGTGCAACCTGGTTGTAGGATGTAGTCTCGTGTCTCATTGTTCGACTAGGGAGAGGTGTTAGTGTTGCACGTGGACTAGAGGGAGGGGAGGATCTCTTTGTACGACGGCGGTCTAGGTCCGGAACCAAGAGACACGAGGCTTGTCACAAGCGCCACTTGGCGGTCGTCTGTCTGTTGTATGTGTGCGATTCCAGCACAGTTGTATGGACAAACGAGTACCCCAGGACTACTGAGTGGCAGTTTAGGTGCCAAGAGCTATTTATGGCTCAACGAACACATCTGTCCGTTGCCCAGTCATCTTACGCTCAATAATAGGCACTTTACGCAAGGAATCAGGCGGCAGAATCCTTCCCCAACCTGGCAAATCCCGGCCGTGCTGCCGCCGTCACCGCAGGAGATCATGGCCAATTCCGAAAGCATCAGTCTGCCAGGTGCGCGACATGTACCTGCGTTCCACGCCGCTGTGGCGGGCGTGCGACACGCCGCAGCGGTCTATCTACCGTCTCTACGAAGCCTTCTGTGCCGCAGACGGACACATGATCACGTACGAGACAGGTACTGCTGGCGCCACTCACCAAGCTGGGCCACGGCTAACATCCCGGATCCCTATTGTGAGGACCCGGAGCAATACGCCGTCATGGCATCGTTGGCCGAGGTTCTCGTCAAGTCCTTCAGTTGGCGCCTGGAGCTCGGTATGCGTCGGACGGACAGGTCGATTATCAGCCGCTCCTAGGATTCTCCACCCTTCGTCCCTGAGGTCTGCCCGTCGTGGACGACCAAGGTGCCGCCTCTGAAGTCCAAGCTCCTCATACATCCCGGAGGAGGAGCGAGAGTTTGACAACCCCTTTCATCGCAGGAGCGTGTACATGGCGACGAGGTGGTTCTATACTGTTTGATAGCCACTGACGAACATGAGAGTAACAGAGAATGATATAAATACTCAGGTAAGAAATATCTGATAGGAAAAACATAGGAAGAACAAGAAGAACAAGAAGAACAAGAAGAACAAGAAGAACAAGAAGAACAAGAAGAACAAGAAGAACAAGAAGAACAAGATAACGTTAACTAAAACAAAAACCGAACTCCAAAAGAGAACATCGTTTCAAGAAGCCCAATAAACGGGCAGAACACCTGCAGGCACTTGATTACTTATGTCTTAACAGAGCCTGGTAACTATGAAGCTGAAAGACGAAAACATGAAGACATAACAGTCACGGACAATCTGCTTCAGACATCGTCTGTTGATGTGCTGCCCTTGGAGCGACCATCCCCCGTTTCACTCCCTTGTCGTCCGTTTTCTTTCCCCAAATTAGCCGGCCCAAAGCTCCGCCAAGACGTGATGATAAGAGCCAAAAAAGGAGCATCGACAAAAACATACAACACCGGGGATTCGCTGGTCGTCACCGACCCAACTACTGGTCCGGCGGTCGGTAGCTTATCTAGGGGAGAGCGGACGGGATCCCGAGCTTTCTACCGCCTATGGTCGTATGTGGCAGGAGTACAAGCTGTTGGTCCTTATGTACCATGTTCTCTGGAAATAAGATAATACCACTTTGGTGAATCAAGCCTAACAGCAAACTCGAGGAACTGGGGACGCGCGCTAAGCTGCCTTGTCAATACCTGGAAGAATTATCATGCAGTACTCCTTCGCCTTCAGCCAAACAGGATATGCTATTGCTTTTGATTTGGACTTTTTTGAGCCTACCTTCTCGCCGGTCCTTGTCTAATTTCGAAATCTACAAGCTCTTGCATAGTAACGAGTCGTCCCTTGGCAAGTCAATTTTGACAGACTTGAATTGGCTTTACTTGCGTTACCCGCAAGACTAGGTAGTCACACTCTTCAAGGTTGCTTGCTTAACTCGTCTTTCTTCCATCGGGCAGTCAAAGTCTGAGGAGGAAGAAAGAAGGAAAGAAGAGAGATTTGCTTTGCTCATCCCCTTGGTTGCCTTATCAAGCCCCGTGCTTGAGATGTGGCTATGACAAAAAATTCACTTGCTAAGTTGAGAGGTACACGATGTTGCTGATCTGGTTCTTCAAGGGCAGTTTTCCGTACCGCCCATTCCAGCGGATCCCATGCCCTCCGGCTGGCCGCGTTGGAAAACTCAAAACGCTGGTAACGCGGTATCTTGCCCATCTTGATCGCCTATGCCACGGTTGACGATAAGGTTGCTCTTATCATGGGCTCTTTGCAGATTGGACTGGCCTCAGGCTTACATTGTGCTTCATAATTTTCAAGTTTGTGAAGCAGCTAGGAAAAAATTTGAGCGATGTAGGAGAGACGGTCAGGGACGTTCCGCCTTGCATGGGCACTGTCACATCTTCTGACCGATTCAATGACAACCAGGCGTTCTTGAGGCTGAGTTTCGAATCAGGCCCGACTCAGCTCTATCCGCCCCGACCCAACGCCGACTTTGACCTTCACCCTCGTCAAAGACTTTTCCGACCAGAGACCAGCACCATGCCCAGGCAGCCCAACTTGTACCGTCGCCTTAGCGAAAGGCGCGACGAGATCCGCCTGCTTGGCCTCCTTCCGGAATCTCGTGCAACCGGCATCCCCCACTGCACGCACTCGACGCACTCTGTGCGAGACCTGACGGCCGAGTACCTCGCCTTACTTTCGGGGGCGGCGCAGTCCTCCCAGACAGCAACCACCACGAATGGCAGCAGCAGCAGTAGTAGCCTCAGCAAGCGCTCCAGCACCTCACGCTGGATCAACAGCCGCCTTCCGCCGCACCTCGCCAGCCTCGAGCCCATCAGCCGGCGCCACTTAACCAGCCCGCCCAGGTACCAGCACCGCTTCACCTGGGGCGACTACGCCGGCAGTCGTACGTCTGGGGCGCCGAGGCGGACGACACGGCCGCGCCCGTCGTCATCAACGGGCGGTCCCGCCGCGTGACGGCTAATCTCGCTCGCGCGCTGGCGGCTTTTGCTGCGGACGGCGGGTTTGACCCCGCGGGTAGGTTCTGGCTGTGGGTCGACGCCGTATGCATCAGCCAAGACGACCTCGACGAGCGTGCGCGCCAGCTGAGGCGCATGCGCGGCAGCTACGGCACCGCGTGGACTGTTATTGTGTGGTGGGTGAGGCGAGCTTCAAGAGTGGGAAGGCAGTCCAGCGGCTGCGTGATCTGGCTGTGCTCGGTCAGGTGTCATCGTCGTCGTCGTCGGAGCTGCTGGGAACGGGTACCGGAGTTGAGGTTGAGGCGTGTCTGCGGGCTGAGCCGGGTTTCTGGGTCACGGGTGCTGGCTGGCATTGCATGATTTGATGCAGAGGCCGTACTGGAGCCGGCTGTGGATTATCCAGGAAATGGTCATGGGCGCTCCGGCGACCGTGGTGCGCTGCGGGACGGCGTCAACCAACTGGGTGTCGTTTTGCGCTTGGGGTTGCGTTCCTCGAGGAGCATCTGTGGCTGGTCAAGGATAAGCTGCTTGCCAGAGAGTGCTTTGAGGCGGGGTACGTGTCCGCGCCGTGGTCGGTCATGAGTCTGCATTTAGTGTATCAAGACTTGTCGCTGCTGAGCGAGCGGGAGGAGAAGGGCGGGCAATATCTCAGCTTTGGACGGCTGCTGGATATTGCAAACTTTGATGTTCACCTTTTGTTGATCTGTAACGTGTTATAATCCTCTCCAGCGCATATCAAACACTTTAAAAAGACAGTGTAAATGGATCCCTTGTCGTGGGACATGCCGATAGCAGCAGGTTGCCTTGTTTAAGCTCCAATCACCCGGTGTACCACCAGCTGCTCCCCATTGCTTCCTTGAACTCGGCTTGAACTCGGGCTTGTGATGGTCGAGGGTTCCGTCATCACAGTCCCGCCTCATCGTCCGGTCGAACCAAGCGCGCGGAATGATGACCTTCAACAATTCCAAGATCGGATCATTTACGTGAACCGTTTTAGCCACCTAAAGACCAAAGACAGCACAATCAAAACAAATCAAAACTCCCATCACCCAGCGGCCCAACTCATCACCTCCGGCTCCCGCCCTTGCTAACCCGACTCCCATGCGTAGCAGGTCCCCTCCTCTTCTCCTGTCCCAGTTCCCTCCTCCCAGAAGCAGCAGCAATCCCCCCCTTCCCACCCCTACCACCACCTCTCCCCCTTCCAAACCCACCATCTCCACCTCCTCTTCCCCTGGCATCACTACCGCTTCTCTTGCGGTCATCAGCCCTCTTTTCCCTAAACGCCTTGGCCGCAGCGCCCTCGTCAACCTCCATCCCATCTTCACTCTCTCCATCATCATCATCCGCATTCTTCCTGCCCCGGTTCCACTTGAGCTTACCGCGCAGGCCCCGGCGCGGGATATCCTTACCCCGGAGCGCGGCAACATACGCCCCGACACCACTCTCCTCCTCCCCAACACCCGCAGCAGGCGCATCGAGATCCATCGCCCCCCCATCATTGCCCTGGTCCTCCTCCCCACCCAAAATAAGCTTACCATCCGCATCCGTCCTAGCCTTGGTCTTCCTGCCGAGGGTCTTCTTCGGCTTGCTGGGCTTCGTAGTCGAGATATTCGCCAGAGCGTTGCGGTCGAGCAGGTCGAGCGGCTCGTCCTCATCCTCCAGGATATACGCGTTCCCTGCCTTCTGCGCCGCCGCCCCACGGCGCTTCTGCCGGCGGCCCGTCATCTCGACGTCTGAGTCGTCCGAGTGCGAAGCCTCCGATCCTTCGTTGTCGCTGCTATACAGCGTCTGGTCATACTCGCTCTCGAAGCGGCTCTTGCGCCGGCCGCCTTCGGCGTCGGATCCGTCGGCCCCGGCACCGCCCCCGTCCCGGGCGGCTTCCTTCTTGCGCTTGCTGCGCTCCTTGGTCTTGCGGATGTTGGTGATCAACTTGCGGTCGGCCTCGGGGCAATGCTTGTTGACAACGTCGACGCCGAAGCGGCGCACCATGCGCTCAAGGATGTGCTTGACCTTGGCACGGAAGTGACCCTTATGCTCGTGGCTCCAGACCATGACGTTGGGGATCAGCGTCGCGAGGCGCGGGAGCATGAGGTCGACGGGCAGGCTGATGACGCAGACCTTGACGAAGCCCAGGACGCTCTTGACGATCTCGCGGTTGTTGGAGGTCAGGAAGAGGTCCATGGTCTGCACCAGGTCCGACATGATTTCCTTGTTCAGCATCTCCCGGAACTCATACAGGACACGGGTGATGGCTGTGATGGAGGCCGAAATCATGTGAGGCGTACTGCCAGCAAGACCGGCGCTGACCATGGTGAAGTACTCCTCGATCGAAGCCTTGGCCGCCGGCGCATCCTTGGGCATGTGCGGGACCTTAGTGTTGTCGATAAGCGCCCCATCCGCAGCCACCATCTTGTGGCCCATGAGCACGAGCAGGTCGAAAGCCGTTGTGCGAGCCTTCTCATTGTTCTCTTTGCAGCTGATGACGACCTCGGAGAGAATGGAAGGGATGAAGTGAAGCGATGTGTAGGGAATGTAGGGAATCAGTGCGGTAATAGCAGAAAGACGCTCTCTCCTGGCAGGCGCAGAGACCTTCTCAGCGCTCGACAGAATGAGCGCCTGGAGCTCTGATTGCCTCTGCTCAAGGGCGGCCTTGCCAATCTCCGAGTCAGCCAACCGCGGAATCAGCTTGTATGCCTTCTTTTGCAGCTGCGGGTCATCATCCTTGAATACGACGAGAGACGCGATCTTGAAGAGGGCTTCAAAGCTTTCTCTGGGCAGGTAGATGGACATGGTGACGACAAGGTCCATAAGGGTGTGCGCAGTCGAAGGCACCTGCTCGCCACTTTGCTGGTTCTTGGGCTTCTCGACCGGTTCTGGAAGAGCTGCAGCAAGCTTCTCGCAGACCAGGTCGAACGTCTCCATGAGCCGGGCTGGGGGGATGATGCTCAGGTAGGAGTTGATGGTTTGCAACACTGGGCCCCGTTTCTGAGGCAAGGTCGTGCTGTAGACGTTAAAGAGCACCGCAAGGAAATCAGCGGCAAACGTGGCCCCGAGGTACTCGAGGTTCCTCTTCGCCGTCTGCCGGGTTACCCTGCATTGCACAACTGGATCTTCATCGTCAGGGGCGGAGGCAACGGCCTGGTTCGACTCCACGAGCGCCCTGAGGGCGCGGCAGACATCCAGGCGCAACTCCACTTGCTCATACAGCAAGTTTGTCAGCATCTCGGCAAACTCCTTGTCGAAAGCCTCGGCGAAATCCAATGGCAGATCGCAGTATCCTGGGAGGATCGACCAGATCTGTTGCACCACAGTCTCGAAAATCTTGACCTCCACTGTCTTAGCAACAGCGCCATGGTCCAGTACGCGCTGGAACATGACCGCACTCAGCGGCACGAATTCGGCCTTGAAGTGGGCAAGGTTGGTATTTGATGTGTAGTCGCGGAGAAGCGGCAGCATCCAGGCCCTGCCCGGTTGGCCTTTGGCTGGCTTGGCAAGATTCAGGGGCAGGACGCTCAGGACAGCCTCAGGACCCATAGCACGGATGGCCTTCCCAAGCACCTCATCGGCTTCCTGCTTGCCGGTAAAAGTGTCATTGCCACGCATCTCGCCGATGCTCTTCGTGATTGGGAGGAGATGGGGGGCCGCCCTCCACCGCAGTGCATCGAACATGGCGCCAATGACGTTGAAGGTTTCGAGCCAGGCCGCTTGATACTTCACTGTGAGAAGGCCTTCGGCCGTGTTCACGAGCTGCTGAATAACCTTCTCGTCGTATATTGAGGGGTCAACCAGCACCTGTTTTGGGACACAGTTCGCCATGAACGACACCAGACACTCGGAAGCAGATATTCGGATGTTCTTTGCCTCCGATTCGAGATAGCCAGCCACCATGTTGAAGGGTTCCAGCAACTCTTGGAAGGTTTCCTCGGCCGAGATCTGCGCTGCCACGTCGTAGGCCCTCGAAAGAATGGCAATCCACGGCGGCAGTAGCTGGGTGTCGTTCGGTGCAGGTCGTAGCTCCTTGATAATCTCAAGCAACCTCGGCAACTTGGCCGACGCGACATCGTTTGCCATTCCTTCAAAAATCATCTCGAAGATGTCGAACACAGCCATGCTCATGTGCTCGTTGCCGGACCGGGCAATCCTAAGGAGGAGCTCGCACAGCGACTCAATCTTCTTGCTCGGCCATCCTCCGCTAGCCGATGCAACCGTCTTGACCAGCTGAAGCGCGTGGATCAGCTCCGGATCGTGCACGGCCTCGGAACCCTTCTTCTCCTTCCTCAACTGGGCAGCTTTCTCGGCAAGAGCGGCGAGGCTCATCATGGCGGTCTCGGCGCACATGGCGGCGGCCGGGTGGTCGAGAGACGGGCTGGGCGGGGGGTTCTTCAATATCTTCCGTAGCGCTTCCTGCGCCCTCTTTCGCACTTTCGGTCGGGGATCCAGTGAGAAGTTCAACAGGCCGCCCACAGCTCGCCGGGGACCGACGACGGCCGCGCTCTGCTCCCATGCCGCCGCATCCTGGGCCAGCAACAGGCCTTCCAAGCAGCCAATTGAAGACCTGATCAGCGGCGCATCGGCGTCTGGTGTTGACAATACCGGCGCCAGGAGGGTGAGGATCTGTGTGAACTTGGCCCGGAGGAGAGGTTCCGGAGCGAACGGAGTAACAATGTCGAGGAGGTAAACAACAGGCTGGGCAAGAGTCTTGTTGTCGAGAAGGCTGAGCAGGGCCGCAAAGTAGGCAGTCGGGGTGGGCTCGGTGTTGCGTTCCTTAAAGGCGGACTCGATGCCCTCGAGGACAGTGGCGGTCTGTAATACGGTCAGTGAATGGTTTATACGGCCTCAAGTACTGGGAAGAGAATACGGATAGGGAAGGAGAAAAGAAAGAGCAAGGTGTAGTCAGCTCACCTGCTTCTGGCTTTGCAGATTTGGAGACCGGATCCTGTCCAGCTTCTCTTTCAACGAGGGAGAAGCCATCTTGACCGTCTGTATCCGATTCTGGCGCGCAAGACGAAGCAGCCTCGCAATCCGAAGTCGAGAAATTTCAGAGCAGAAACAAAACTCGAGTGTTATCGCTTATCGCTGAGTTACCCCACATGCAGTACGCCCGATAAGGGTGTAAGACTCGGCTGGTTTCTCAGGGTTGACTATGGTCCCGAGACAAATCATAGGTATCTCCAACCATTCAGGCACAAGCACATTTCAACGTCAAGCGCTGTATGTACGCTCGCATGTCTTCTCTGTAACTCAAGGACACGACGAGCTACCTTACCTTCCCTTCGGATGCACCTTACATAGGTCGCTATTATACGATATTGAGGTTGTGAAGGACAACAAGAAGGAACCACCAGTGATCACGGAGTGCAATCTGGGAAACTCCGTCGCTTGCAACCAACTGGCTTTGACCAAAACGCTGACATTCAGTTTCCGGCAACTACGCCACCCACCCATTCGCGTGAAGAGACATCAATGTTTATGAGTCTGCTTCCTGTTACTCTAGGGTGTCCTAGTTTGTCGTTAATAACGTTTCAGAGAACTATCGCAGAGCACTGTATCACAGTTATTCCAGGCCGTCAAACTTGGTCTGGATTGATAAGAAATCGGTCAAGTGACAACAAATTGTATTGCCCTTGCTCGTCGTCCCGTCTGGCTCATTGGCGAAGCGGCTGGTGAAGCCAGACGAGAGCAATAGGCCGAGCGCTCGTGCCAACTTGATCACCCGCCGCTGGTCATCAGGCAAACCGTCGATTTCCCTTTCGAAGGTCTCCCAAAACACCTGTAGATTATCGTAATCTACATAGCGCATCTAACCATTGCGCATATGGAGCTTTCCAGTCAGGCCTTGAAGTGAATGAAGATTGAGCCCAAAGGCGCACACCTCGGCTTCTGCCCAGTCATTGACACCGACGAGATGAGATGTGTTCCGTCCACCATGATGTTGCAAGAACCAAAGTCTCCATGAAGGAGGACCATGGGTAGGGACATGATGTCGTCCATCGAGTCGATGCAAGTCTGGTCGATGGGTCTGAATCGGGAAGGGAGTGCCGAGTGCAGAAGCCGGAGGTCCCTGAGATAAGTCTCTCGCAGACCATTGCGGTACTCCTGGGTGACTGGTTAAACTCTCTTCCGAGAGAGCGCCATAAAACTGCGGAAAATCATCAGCACATTTGTTACTATATTGGGAACGGCAACCAGGGAACGTACCGCGCCACGTCGCCTATGAGGTTCTTCCGCCAGCGCAGGTTGTCAGGAGAGTCCTCTGGATAGCCGTTCTTGAGGATGAAGTCCGGATGCGTGATCCCTCGCACACGGCCCATCACGTAGACGTAGACCGGTTCCTTTTTCCCGTCCCCAACCACACCCTCGAAGGAGGCTTGGGGCACGGGATCCATAAACAAAGCCCAGGCCTGAGAGCCAGCGATTGAAGGCGGAACTGGACGACATATTCCGAAATAGCTGCACGCGCCCTGTATGGGCACAGGGACGACATTGCCGCCAACAAAGTTTCTTCGCCCTTGCATGACATTCGGCGCGGGTTGCGGACGTTCTCTTGAAGAAAGCTTCAATCTCTGCGTCCACAAAGTACTCCGAGGACGTTGCCGCCATCGAGCCGCAAAGGATGGATTATATATTGAAGCGCTTGACAATGCGGGGTTGTTCCCTAACTTCTTGTCGTTGACTTTGGAGCCGGCACGCGCTTGATCACTCACTCAGGGTTGGGTTCTTGACACTGCATTTAGGAGAAAGGGCATAATTCAAGCGCAGTGTAAATGTTTGGTGACGTACCTTAGCATTGTTGGGTCAAGTAAATGTCGTTTCAGGTTTGAGGTTGGATGAGTTGAGTGGTTGACTGGCGGTGAGCGCTTCATTCAAGTTGGGCAACATACCTGCCCTCGGACCCCAACCCGTGCAAGACAATAACTCGACAAGCTTCATTATTGCCTTTTGTAGAATTCTGGAAATGGAAGTCAACCTTGCTTCCGGCGACTGCTTTACCCCTCCCTGGCTTATCGCTCTTCTATTCTCACAACTCGCCCAGGTCATAAACATGCTTTCCAAACCCAAACGCCATACCCCACCCATGCGGTCAGAAATCAAGCGAACTCATTATCCGCTTCCTCGATCTGGTGTTTGATCCTCATAAGAATCTCTGTCTTCCACTTGTCCAGTCGACTCATCTGATCATACGCATAAAGCTTGTCGGTGAAGACCTCTAGGTTCCCAGCATCAATGGCCTCGATCAGGTCGGCGAGAAGCTGGCACTCGCGTTGACCGGCAAACGTCGGGTCCTTGTCGGTGTACGTCTGCAGGCTGCGGCGGGCGCTGACGAGGTCCTTGGTCGCCAAGGTGCAGAGGCCCGCCTTGAGCCAGTAGTCCTTGACCGAATACTTCATTAGGTTGTTGTCGAGCGACGAGTTGGCCACCAACTCGAACTTCTTCACCGCCTCGTAGTAGTTGCCTTCGAGCGCCTGGAGGTCGGCCTCCTTCAGCCAGAGCTTGTTCGCCAGGCTGTACGCACAACGTCAGCATCGCATCCCCCAAGCTGGATCAGCAGAGGCCACTCACGCCTTTGCCCCGTCCTCCTCGTACCAATGTGCGGCCTTGTCGTACAGCTCGATGGCCTGGACGCGGTCGTTCAATTCAACCTCCAGCATCTCGGCCGCGTTCTCCATGTGGGATGCCGCCCGCCGGAAGTTGCCCTTCTGCACGTACCGGTCGATGGCCGCTCTGACGCACTCCAGGGCTTCTTGGGGGTATTCCTTCCTGAGCACCTTGAACGCATCAATCATGATGTTTGCCGCATCGTCTGGCTCGTTTAGCTTGTCTCTTTGAATCGCGGCTGCCGCTTTAAAGCAAGCTCCCGCTTGCTGGCCTGCCGGAGGTCAGTGGATGTTGGATGCCGAGTGTTGCGGGCGGTTACGCACTCATCCTCTCCAACCTGTATGCGTTGGCTGCCTGGACGTAGAGATCGGCGGCATTTTGGTATTTATCCTCCTTGTTGCTGAAGAAGCTGAAGCCTCCAGATGCGCTCTGGAGGGTCTTCTTGGCCTGTGTCCCTCGCCGTCAGCAGCTGCCTGGAGCATGGCGGGGTTGCGAAGCAATGCGCACCTTGTCTTCGAGTGCGCGCGGGTCGAGAGACATAGTGTTGTTGTTCTGTTCGTATGCGTGAGTCTATTTGGGGCGATTCTGGAAGTTGCGGGCGAGTTTATGTTGTTCCTTGGGCTGCGAGGCTGATACCAAGCTGACTCGGCTTTGATACTTGGTCGGAGGGTGCTGGGTGGGCGGGGCAAGTGGGCCAACGTCAGGTCTCATATCTGAGCTGAGCAATGACGTTGAATGTTATTACGGTCATCTCTATAAATCTCGTCGTTATTTGCGGTTAATAATTTCCCGAAAGTGATTAGATAGTAATATATTGCCAACAATACGGATTTTTTGGTTTCAGACTTCCAAGTGCAACGTCAACTCATCAGAAAGCACCATCTCATCCTTCCCCGACTCAACAACACAGTAGCTAGGCCTCGCAATATGGCCAACCAACGCCCCCCCCTCTCCCGTCTCTTCCGCCGATTCCGTCTCAACTCAACCCGCCACTCGTCCACCTCCTGCCATGCACCATCAACAGCACCACCACCACGATCGCAGCACGACCCCTACGCCCTCCTCTCCAACCCAACCTGGGCAATCCGCACCCTCCTCCCACCGACCCAGTCCACCACCCCGTCCTCACCATCTCCCTCTCAATCGAACTCGACCCGGACCACCCCTTCAGAAAAAGAAAAAGAAGAAGAACCAACAAAAATAACGCCCCAAACCCTCTCCCACCTCCTCCGCCTCTCCGCCCTCCCCGAGCCCAGCACCCCCGCCGAATCCTCCGCCATGCTGCAAACCCTGCACGCGCAGCTTCACTTCGTCCGCGACATCCAGCGCGTTGACACGACAGGCGTAGAACCGCTCTCGTCCATCCGCGACGAGACGCCCGAGGGCATACGCGAGGCCACCGTCGCGCTCGCGACGCTCCAGCACGCGCTGGCCGAGGAGGAGGTGTACGGGCGGTGTAAGCGGCCGAGGAGGATGCGCAGTAAAGGGACAGGAGGAGGAGCGGTGAGGAAAGTGGAAGAAGGGGTGGAGGATTGGGATGTTTTGGGGTGTGCTGCGGAGACGGTGGGGAGATACTTCGTTGTAAGGAGTGGTCCAGGTACAGGGAAGAAGGCAAGGGACACGGAGCAAGAGGCTGCTGCTGGGATGAAGGGCGGAGAGTAAAAAGCGGCGTCAACGGGGTGATGAAAGGTTGAAGAAATTGGGGCTGTCTGTTGGGTGAATGAATGACGGGTGAAGCAGGTTACGTCCTGAACTTATGATAGGGGCAAGGATGAGATCTGGTCTCTCATCTCTGAAACTCGATCGCCGACGACGGCGCCACGACGTGCGAAGTAACCGTCATGTTTGAGCTATGCTAAGTTCGTGCCCTGAGATATCCCCACTAAGGCTAAACGCCGGATGCTAAAACCTGTACATAGCTAACAGCTCAAGCCTCCGTCATGACCGCCAAACTGCAACTCTCCAAAACATACTTCGCCTTTCTGAACAACCTCGTGACGACGCGGTAACCACGGCAGCATGCCCACTTCAACCCAGTCACTTCCTGCCCTTCTTCCGCATCCGGGTCCGGATGATCCCATGGTCGTTTTCCTTCATAACTTCGACCCTGCCCAGCTCGACCGCATCCCGCCGTTCCTCGTGCTTCCGGTTCCGGTCCTCATAAAACGTCATCTCCGCCTCGTCCCGGACAATCTGTGCCTTGTCCGTATCCTCCCAGCCAATGTGCCGCAGGATGCTGCCCACGAGGTATTGGTATCTCGGGTGGATACTGACCTTATCAGTGACATCCACGTTCTCGATCCCGTCCACCCCGGTGACGTGCTGCAGGCCGGCAAGGCCGAACTCGATGCTGCTGGTGCGGTAGAGGAACCCCAGCATGTAGTCGTTTTCCGAGTACACGTTGACCAGTCGGCCCGTGACGACGCTCTTCATGGCGCACCACGCCAAGGACTCGGATGGTGCCGGCGTCCCAATCATGATGGCGTTCTCCACCAGCCCAAAAGCTCGCTTCTCGGCTAGACACATGAGACAGGCATAAATGGCACGGGCGCCCAGACTGTAGCCGATCAGCGAAACACCGCGCTCACCCTGTGCCTTGCCCATGATGACATCGGCGAGCGTGGCACCCAGTTTGTCGGCGCGGACCATGCCGTTGTTCCAGTTGTTGTCTATGAGCTTGCTAATCTTGAGCAGGCTGGCGGGCCAGCGACCGTCGGCCAAGTTGGAGAAAACTGGCCCATGCTCGTTAGCCTTCAGTGCAGAGTGGTTGGGGAACCTGGAACGGAGCTCACTGGTCCGAGCAATGATCTCTTTCTTTGCCATGGACCACGCCGCGCTCCTGACAAGCGTATCAAACGATCTGCCCAGCTTGGTCAGCGCTTCGAGTTCCCATCGGACGGCATACACTTCGTTTTGGTCGCCCAAGCACTGCCAAGGACTGACAGGGTCGTCCTTGCTTGAGAGCCAACCACTGATTCCCAGGACGACCCGGAGACGGCGACACTCGGGGGCGATCTTTCCAATCTCTAGTTGCTCGCCGATCGAACCGCGGAGCGGCAGGAAGGCGAAGTCACCGACGTCTTTGAGGTAGTGGTCCATCATCTTGCCGGTGCTCCTGACGCCATATATTCCGAACAGGGCTGCCACGGCCAGGCTATTCTCGCCCACGATCCCCAGAAGACCTGCTGCGGCGGGGCCTGGAATTCCGGGAATGCCAAACACAGATCCGATACGCGCCGCCTCGAGCGCTGCGGCCAAACTACCGGCTGCCCCAGCGCCGGCGGCACCCGATGTGCCCGCCAATCCAGCTTTCCATCTTCTAGAGGGCTTGCCGTCTTCGTTCTTCTTTTGCATTAAAAGCTCGGGTGGGATGTTCTTGGCGATCTGGGCCAAGGCACGGCCTACCCTGACCTCGTCCTCGGCCAGGATGCGAAGAGGCAGTTGCAGGGCTGAAGCGATGTTCAAGAGCAGAACTCGGGTGTAAGCGCTATAGCTTTCGATGGAGAGCAGCAGGAGGAGTAGTGCGTGGAGCAGCAGGCACCTCTTCTCCGCGGCCCACGAGGAGAGCGTTGTCGGGGTTGGGGGATACAGCTGCGTGAGCATGGGGTCAGCTTCCAGGATGATGGTCGGTGTAGTGGGAGCCTTCGGGACTGTCATGCTGTCAGCAACCTGAAGAGTAGAAACCTCAAGTTGGGTCCTACCGCCTGGTTTGACTCTCTTGTTGGAGGACGGCCGTCTTCTGGGGCCCGAAGGACCCGAAGGACCCGAGCCAGGCCGAGGCTCCGGGGCCTTCTTAACAGAAATGTCACCGATTCGTCTGTGGACTGCGGTCTGCCACCTCCTGAAGTGCAGGAGCGCCTCCTTCTTCAGCTCCTGGAGTCGCGGCGTGGTATCGGTTTCAACCTGGCTGGGGCCCTCAGCATCACCCGGTACGGTGTCGCGCTTATCCTTCGTCCGACCCGCCTTCTTGGGGCGGGGGGGCTTGACGTTCTCCTTCTGGTTCCCTCGAGTCTGGCTGGTGCCCAGTGGGTCTTTCAGGCTCAGGTCCTTGAGGTAGTAGGGAAGATTGCTCCAGAAGGCGATGCGTGATGGCTGGGTGTCTGGAGTACGGACGGGGTCGAACAACTGGGTGAGCTGCTTGAGCATGGACTCGGTCGTCTTGGTGACGAGGGCTGTCAGCTCCGACTTGTCTCCGGGGGTCAATAGCGAGCTGAGATCAGCCTCGCGCCGCACCGTGTGGGGCCGTGGCCTGCCGCCTGGGGGCATCTCGGTGGTGTTCTCGTCGGGGGCGCCCTTCTGTTGGTCTGCTGCCGTTTCCGCGGTCGCCTCGAAGGCTTGGGAAGATGTTTGGTCATCCGCCTCGAGCGACGGTGCCGAGTCTTTAGAGGCGGCCATGATGTCGAAAACGGAAAGGACTTGCTCGCCCAAGCGACTTCCTGCTCTCTCAATCGAGGAAATGAGCGACGGCGCTATCCAGCGAGTTGCGCGGGGGCAGGCAGTTGGGGGTGTGCAGTGAGAATCCAGGGCAGTCGCACTCAGTTGTTTAATCGGCTGGAGATGTGAAGGTGGATCGTGGTTGCCTTTAGGCGACAGCGACCGACTTCATCTCTTCAGAAATGGATGAAAGAACCCAGTCGGGCAGGTTGACTGTTTGCACCGACAGGATGCCGCTTTCCTTCTGCGGTGAGACCCGATCTCCAGTTTGATGACACCAGAACGGTCTCAGGAAACAAATGCAAAGGCGGGACCGCCTCTGAGAAGAAAAGCGGGCTGGATTTGGCGACACGGAGACTGAATGGGAGATGTCTTGGAGGTGGAAGTGAAATGGTCAAGGTTGTGGTGCTGGCAGGTGCGAGGCCGTGTCGAGTGACCGGGCGACCGGTCAACGTGTGTCAAGAAATGGTAGTGGTGACACATTCATACACTGATCACTTCGTTTGCCTTGAGGAGGCACACATATACAAACCGAGTGTAATTTCATCTGAATTGCTTGCGGGCCATCGTTTGTCGATCTTGCATGTGAGCCCAAACAGAGAGATCATTCAGCCATGGCGGGAAGCAGCAGGATAACGCTGCTGTTCGAACACCGGCTTCCGGCTCAACTACCTGAGAGAATGTGCGAATAAAGGTGAGGAAAGAGACTGCTCCCAAATGATGTGCTGGCAGGCCGACACTAGGTGTGCTATTGTGGTATCAAGGCATCTTCAAGTTGAGCTCAACTGCGGTGTTCCAACTCCCGAGTTTTTAAGCCACAGTGTTCCTTGGCAGCAGAGATATGTTCGCTACTTACCTTGTTCAACGGGGTGACGAAATGAAGGATGGGTCGTAGTCGTGAAGCCTCCAAGATAAAATAATCAAAGGCAAACCATTTTCCCATATTTTTCAGTAAGACTTCGTTGGCGGCTCGTCGGCTGCCGCTGGCTTGACGTCTGAATGGCTTTGTCATGGATGCAGGAGGTTTGGGTGTGTTCCTGGTCAAAAGGCCAGGGCCGGCCCGAGACAAGCTTCCTTTCAGAATCCTGGAGACTGATCCGGGGGTCACGCCCCGCATGCCTGTTGTGAGCTAGTGCACCCTGACGTTGGCACGTGGGGCAATCGACAACCGATTTCCAACACCCAGAGCTTTAACTCTTCAAACCATCCGCTTCATCGTCTACCTTCTCCAAAGGTCCGGTTACTGTTTCATGAGCCAGTATTTGCTTTAACCTGACTCTGAAATAGCCAGTTTCAGAAGACGAACCGCCACTGCAAGCTACAGGGCAACTCAGGCATCAACTCATCGCGAAGTCTCGACGGCGTATCTCGGATACCTTACCTCGTCATTCAAGGACCGTCAAGCATCATGGCGTCCGCCGTCTCTCAGCCACGACAACAGCAATCATCACACCCAGCGCCTAGTCAAACCGAAACAACTGTTGTCTCCGCCGCCCAGCAGACTCAGACTCAAACACACACCATCCTTCGCCTGCGCGGTGCTCACGCTTCGACGGGGAGAACAGTACAATGGCGGTCCGACGTGGTAGACAATGAAGGGTTAGGGAAGAAGAAATCCAAAGGTACCGTCGAGCCGCTTCCTTGATCCCATTTACGGCATTCCTAACATGAGTCTCCAAAAACCAGTATGCTGCATCTACCACCGCCCTCGCGCCGTCGACGAGTCAAGTGACGAATCGTCGTCTTCCTCCGACTCCCCTTCAGACTCCGATTCCGAGGGTGAAGGTGGAAAACGGTCAGGGGGTGCGGACGGCGACAAGCACGGACACGGACATACCTGCGATGGGCACCATCACCACTCGCACTCGCACAGAGGGAGGGGCGAAGAAGAAAGGAAACGGAGGAAACGCCAGCCGAGTCCGAATGCTTATGAGAAGATGCCGAAATATGATAAACCCGGCAAGGACGGGGATGGTGGAGAAGGCAAGGGAAAGGGCCGCAAAGTGCGTGAGTGATTTTTTTGTCCCCAGGTGGGTGGCATAACTTTAGAGTCGGTTTAGGTATGGAAAGCGTTTGTGGAGATAGCGCATGGTTTTGCATGACAGGTACACGGCGTTTGGATTCTTGGACGGGACTGCTACAACTGATGGGTATAGGGGTTGTGGGATGTTCACTGTGTCGTCCGCAGGACTTGGGTTGAAGTTGCTATAGCGGAAACGTTTGAAATGCTGTTCCTGCTTGCGAAAAACCAGGGCGAGAGATGTCGCTTCAGCTTGAGCTTGAGTCGAGTTTCCTTACGGTCGGGTTCTGGCACCCTGTGCCTCTCCGGCGGCTCACCCGGAGACCGCTCGACAATTCGCTATCCACAATGTCCCAACTACCTCTCATCCGCATGTCATAGAATTGATATTCATTGCAAATTGTATGGATTGCCTGAGGCTCAGAATTCTATGTCCTAAGCAGCTCTACTATTCAGTTGACCGACCCTACACACAGTCCAACAGGTTAAGACGATCTCCCTTCTTCGTCAAGCAAAGCAAAACCCCAAATCGATACTAATACTTCAGCAGAGAAACCAGCAAAACTATCCTTTTGAGCTATGACCTCCAAGCGAATCCCATCCAGCTATCTACGCCATCCCCATCCAATGCATCCGCTATCCGTCCCCAAGACAGGAACGGAGGGCAAAAAGAGAGATTACAAGATGCTTATCGTACAGAACAAGGTATTACACCGCCCGTTCGCTCCCTGTGCTGAAACAAATGGACGAGCACCATCCACCAGAATCAGATCCTTCTTCCCTATCCTCTATGCGTCTCAGTCAGATATGTCTGAGCTAACTTTATTTCCAACCCAGCCTAACCTGACACCCCGCCCACGGCAGGGCACTCATTGCAGAACCACCCTGCAGCAAAACCCAAGACCTTGCAAACAAGGATCACGGCACGCTAAAGTCTGGCGTCGGCGGTCCGAGCATACTAGCAACCTGCTTCCTAACCAGCCCCTTCCCGCCAACCTTCCCTTGCTCCTTGGGCCTCGGCACGCCCTGAATCGCGCGGGGCTCCCGCATGAGAGCCGGGTCCAACCGCAGCGGGACGCGCGTGACAACGCTCCGGTAATCGCCCTGGAACTTTGCCGACGGCACGGGCACCGAGGCCGTGCGCCAGATGTGGTCCGTTGTGTCGGACAGGTACCCCGCCACCTTTGTTGCCGTGGCGCCCGCGTACCGCGTGCTGCTGGGCGCGTGGAAACCGCCTCCGTTCGGCGGGACGCCGTGGCTGGCGCGCAGCGTTGAGAGGCGCGAGAGGCCGGCCGAGAAAGTGGGTTTGCCGCGGGCCTTCTTGGCGAGTATGATCTCGTCGAAGAGGCGGATCGACGGGTCTGCGGCGGGCGTGCGCTCGCGTTCGTGGATAAATTCGTTGAATGCTGGGAAAAGTATGTTAGTGAATGGGATGGGAAACGACGGGATGCGGATTTGAAAAGATACTTACCTTGGGTTTCCCGCATCATGACGGCGTACTCCTGCTGATCATACGGCAGGCTGCGAATGAATCCATCCATATCGAAGGCATAAAGCTGCCCGTGGGACTTTTGCTCCCTCGTCGGCCGGCCGAGGTGCTTGCGATACGTGTACAGAAGGCTGGCTAGACAGCGGACGAATGCTGCTCGGACGCGGTCGGCGTGGAAAGCTTCGGGACACACAAGCGACACGAATCCCAGACATCGGTTGTGCGCCAGGCAGTCGCATCCGTTGCACTTGTAGAGGCCGTCCCCTTCCGAGCGCTCCTCACAGACGGTGCACATTGAATTGGCTTCAGCGACGGTCCAGTTAAAGCAGTGTCCTTCCACCCAAACGGTGTTCTCGGTATTCCGCACCGGCTGGACCATCATGTTGGGCATGATGGTTGATGCGGCAATGGTGGATTGGGCGTACGTGGAGGGCGCGTAGCCACCGAACGAGGACTGCGAATCGATAGAGATGGCGGATATCGACAGGTTCTGGCTGTGCCCATTTAGAAAGGGGAGGCTTGGCCGGTGCATTGGTGGATGGTGTTTATCCATGCCAAACGAAGAGCTGCGCCTAGACTTCTCGTCAAAGTGCCCCGAACGCTTCTCGCGGAGGGTCTGGGCGAACCCGGAATCACTGCGTGACACGGGCGTCGTGGGCATGGGTGGGAAGTGCATCGACACAGGCGACACGGACGACGGGGGGCTACCTCTGCTTGACTTGCTGGTCGGCGGCCGCTCAAGCTTTGTGGTGTCGATCTTGGCCTTCGCGAAGGCGTTAAGAAGAGGAGTGCGCATCGAGCTGGCTGGATCTGGCTCGCCAAACGTGGACGAGTTCTGCGTCACCCACTTGCCCAAAGAGCTCTTCACCGGGGTCGGATTGAAGATCGCCTCATTTTCGGCCGAAAACGCATCATACGGGAACGCTTCAACCGCGTACGGAGGGGGCCCGGCAGTGACGCCGTACCGCAACCGGTGAGGCGCAGCTACCTGCAGCAGGGAGAGGAGCTTTCGCCGGTGTTGCCGTGGTAGGCTGACCGGAGATGTCGATGCGTCAATGGCATCCTTGTCTAGGTCGACGAGGACGTAGTCGTCTTCAGGAAGGTCGATCTTCTCGTACCGTCTCTCCACCCCTACGATATACGGGCAGGGTGCCTCGAGGGCAGAAATGAGTCGCGCCGGCAGCACAGGGATGAAAATGCTCGCCCATTTTAAGGGATAAAGAAGGCTGGCCAACGCATGGCAAGCAAGGTGCAACATGCCGGTGTGTGACGAGAGGAAGATGATGCGGGCTTCGGACATGGCGTACTCGAATAGGAGGACAATGTTCTCCAGTGAGAGGCATCGAAAAAGGGCGTAGAGGTCGATGCTGCGCGATCCAGGAATCTCGTTGACCGCCTCCTTTCGTGCGTACAGCCGCAGCTCCCGCACGCCCAACTCAACCTGGGTTAGAGAGCTTAGGGGGCTGAATGCCTCGGTGCAGAGGTTGACGACGTAGCGCTCCAGTGGTTGCCAGCGCCCAACCTTCGGAGAGCTTGGGGGGATCCGCAAAACCGCGCCGTCGGTCATGGGCACGACAACTGCCCTGAGCCATTCCTTCCAGAAGCCCATCTTGGAAGGATCTCTGCCAAGGATGCCGAACGCCCGTGGCGTCCAGAGGCCCGTCTCGCCGGCTGTGAGACCGTCAATTTTGGATGCCGCGCCGTGTCTCAACGGCCTTAGCATCTCTGTCATGAGCGCGATCTTCTCCTCCACCGAACTGATCTGCTCGTCGAGTGATTCTCTGGCCGCCGAGCCCGAAGGTACGGTTCCGAGTTTCGCCAGCAGCTGGGAGAGATGTGCCCGCTCGGCAGCCAGGCGAACGCCCAGACTGGCGGCAAGCTCCCTTTCCTCGTTACTCATGTGCCTCTGCCGCCATATCTCGCAACGTTTCTCGACCTCCTCGGCCACCTCGGCATTCAGCGCGGTCCAAACGATGACGGTGATGCCGTAGATCTTGGAATTATCGTCCGAGGTCATGGTGAACCCGTGCCATGTCGTCCGTGGACGCTCGTCCGAGGACACGATCTGAATGTCGTTGGGAAAGGCGAACATGGGGACGTAGTCTGGGAACTTGCCTCTCCTCGCCAGCTCGTCCGCCGAGGCATCTCGTTGAGGGTATCTGTCGAGCAACACGGGCTCGAATCGCCTCTTCAGGGGATGCATGTCGGGGTCCAGGTTCAACGGCTCGGGAGGGGGGATGACCGAGTTGTAGTTGCTGAGGCGCTTTGCGGTGCGAACCGAAGCTGGATAACGCAGGTCAGTACTGGGAATCAACGTGTCGGCCGTCTGTTCCAACATACCCGCTCTTGGGGGCATGGGCTGCTTCCGCACGCTGCTCATATCCCTAAAACTCATCTTGCGGCGGATGCTGCCGCGGATGCTCCTAAGAGGGCTCTTCCTCCCGCTCGCGTCGACATCTTCGGCCTTTAGCTTCTCGGTTCTTGGGTTGACCATTGGTGGCCTCGACTGGATCTTCGCGCCAGCGCTGAAGGTGAGATCGTCGAGAAAGTTCTCCCGCTCGGCAGCAAACTTGAGAAGAGCCTTGTCAAAGTCAAAGTCGGCCGGGAACCCATCAAACCCGATTCCTTCCCCTCCGCCGAAACCATTGGTATTGGAAGCGCCAAAGTTTGGAGGCGGTATTGGCCGGATGGTGGCGCTACTGCGGTTACTCCTAGTATTGCCGTCGACGTCCTCCAGCACCCTACCTTCGCCACCAGAAAGCGAGGGAGACATGGAGAGCTTAGAGATGGTGGAGAGACGGTTGGTCGAGCTTTGGCGGGAATGCCGAGCCGTGGCCCGCGATGGGCTCGCTATTGAGGTGTCGGTATCCTCTCCCTCGCCGTCCTCGACGATCGTATCGTCCAGCTGCTGGGGCTGCTGAGGTGCCGGGACATCGTCATAGGCGATGTGCTCTATCCCAGCAATCCAAAAGTAGTCCGCGAGCGGCGTGGAGTTATCCATGATCCCTCACTTTCCCCAGAACTGTTTTTCTCCTTACTTCCTCGTAATGTTCCTGTCGTCCCCGCCCGGCCGAGCTGCTGTCATCGGCCGATTTGTGTCGGTTCTCGGTATCGTAATCGAGTAGGAACCGTTGGCGTGCACTCTGGGGAGTGATGGTGACTTGGTGCAACTCGATTCAAGATTCAATGTCGGTGTCCAGAGACAAGGGATCTGGGCCGAGAACTTGCAAAAGCCACCGTAGCAGTACGTGCACAGATCCGCCCACTGCACCGATTTGGAAACAATATTGGATGAAATGTGATCGGGTCTCAGGATGTGCGGGTAGACTTCGGGAGGCGAGGGGGCTTTTGAAGCAGATCAGGAGCGGGCCACGAGGACTTGGTAAGTGAGCCACCTCCAGTCCGCGAAAATGGAACCACAAGCACCCAGTATTGCCAGGCTCTTGTCAACGGCTTCCCATCCAGGTGCCAATCTGGAGATGGGCTGGATATTTGGTGCTGGTTTGCACCTGTTCGGAGGGCTTCGTGGACAACTTTTTCTGCGTCTTCAGGTTCGTTCCTGAAAGGGTACGAATATCTTTTGGGCCTAACTACGACCCCTGCTCTGAGCTGCGGCATGCCCCTGCATTGGGGTATTAATTTAGCCCCACTGCTGGCCATATCTCCATCGTATCACAAGCCCCCACACACTGGGCCCTTCGCTTTGCTCATCCCAGGTTTCACACGGTTTGAAAGCTGCCCAGGTGGTTAACGTTAGACCGTCCAGAGTGTGTGTGGCTCTTAATAATTATGCTAAGCCGTCAAAGAAAACAACTCCAGCCAAGCTGTAGCTCCAACAGCAGGCACATCCACTCTGCACGCACTTTAATCTCTTCCATTCGGGCGGCATCCTCCCAACACGAGGCACTTTCGAGGTGGACTCATGGAGGGTCTGGGGATGAGAAGCATCCATGTTCACTCCAATCTGCCCGAAACAGACCACGCTTGCCGATCGCATGCACACCAGACAGCCAGAAAGCGGGACCACCAACAGCATCTCGGGGACCCATCTTCCACCAGGAACATGCATGTTTCCGGTGGGTTCTTCCCAGGAGCCCCACGATTTACGCGTTACATACGTGTGGGCTCTTTTGATCTAGTTGACGCTGTTCTGTCCAGAGACATTGTCCAACGCCGTCATTGGAAAGCCAGCCACTGCAGACTACCATCCTATCTTGGGTGTGTGATGGCTGCACCTACGGATGTACACAGCTGGATAAATCATGGTTGGCCTGGGCAAATTCTCCTTCTGCAGCGACAAGCTGTGTTAGGTACCTCCGTAAGTGGCACTGAAGCAATCGATCCAAAAGTCGTCCCCGGAAAGCTGCAGGGGCTTGTTTCTTTTTCCACGATCTGAGTTAGACGCCACATGGCAGTTCCTACGTCGTCTGCTGGCGACAACACCGAGATTCCAAACAGGGCAAGATGGTCGCTGATCAGCTTTTCACTCACCGCAGCGCTTCTGATTCAAAATAGTTGGGCGTGGACAAGCGGAGATGTCAGCATCTCAGTAGCATGAACCTGCCTGGCCTCTCCTCTTCTTGAGTTGAGGCAAGTAAGTCCCATGTTCCACGGCAGCAAGCAGCACCACCCGGAACGAGGTTGATGGCGATAGGCGTCGAGATGCTGCCAGCATTCCTGCAGCTGCCGCCGATTCCAGCTTGCCGTTTCCATCGGGCGGCAGGCAAGTCCGACAACCCCGTTGACGGTAGGATTTTGCTGTTACACTGCAGAGTTCCTTCACCGATCAGCCCCTACACGGACGCGTGAGATGCAGCCATCCTTGGCAAAACCAGGGGTTCAGATGCTGCGACATGGGGAGAAGCATCCCCAGGTGTACGGATCCGTAGACCCCTAGAGATTTGCTCGTTCCCACAGAAGGCTGACCGCGACATATGTACTGGTACACTATGAAGTTTGCCCCCCTTTGCGACTGAAACTGTCTACTGTGTTACATGGGTAAGAATTTCGCATGACGGTTGATCAGTCGTCAATTGACATCGAGCCTGTAGCCGGTTCATCGGTGGCGAACCACCAATCCGAGCATCATTTCTGGGAAGCGTCCCGAACAGGCAACTCTCCGGTTGTTAGTCGATCCATCAACAAACAACAGGTTGCAACAGTGAGAAAGGAACTTCAGAGGCACGTGTGCCTCAAAGCCAGTGGGGATAAGGGCTGCCTTTTTCACCTGTCATAAACAACTCAAGCCACGCTTTTGAGAGACCTGACGAGGCACAACAGCGGCAGGACCCTGGAGAAAGCATCATATCTGCCCAGACGGCACGAGAGGCTCGAAGCCGCCGGTCCGTTTGATCACAGACACGGCCACGGGAAGGATCTTCCGGCAACCAGGTTCACGCTGCCGCGCTGACTCTGTCTTCAAATATGCTTATATCAAATCGAGCCAAGCTCACTCCGTTTGGTGCTCTTCCTTACCCGTCGCAGCTGGATCAGCTAAGGCGCTGCTTGCTCCGCTTTGAACGGCACGGGTATGTAGCGAGCCATCTAGACAGATAGACGCTAGCACACGTAAACATGTACATTCAACACTGCTGTTGCTGGTTTGGCTGTTAGCGCGGAACCTTTTTTTCCTTTTCCTTGGATTTTATTTTCCCTTCATGTCCAAATCCCAGTAGTACCCTCTGTGTACCACGCTAACAAACAACCTGGAAACTAGGGCTGGATTGTAGTCGAACGACTGAATTACTGGGACGGGCTCAGAAACCAGACTAAGGTCTCTGTGACCTGCGCACAAGGCCTGATTCCTTACAGTCTAGGTATGTCTGAAACCTGTGGTCCTGAAGAAGAAAAAAAACGGCCTTACCAGCCAGCTACAATGGTTCCAGGTTTCAACACCAACATATAACGACTTCTAGAATAACAATTCAATGAAGAACATCACGTTGCGGTGTTCTACATCCATAACGACCCAGCTTCGATGCCTTGGTATTCATTTTTCCTCTTCATCTCCTAGTTATAACATCGGGCCAAGGAATATTATAACCAATCTCGGCAAACCTGCTCTGTTTCCGACATCAGGAAACTATTCTCAGTCCCCAGCCCCAATATATTGCTGCTTCAAGCTAAAAGATTGCGCAAGCTAGATCCCTTACTCTGACTGCAAACTCCCCCCTCAACTCCTTTCTTTCGGCTTGACAAACCGCGTTCCCAGTTTCCCTGTCGACAAAAACCCCCTATTCCCCATTTCACTCCGCCAGCCAATCTGCAGAATCCCAAAGACCAGGCGGCCCTCTACCTCCACCGCCGTTCCCTTCTCTTCCTCCTCAATAACAAAACAGACCTGCTCCGTCTCCCCCGGCTGCAGCACCGGCCTCTTCCTCCCCCTTGCCCATCCCCCACCATCACCATCACCATCACCACCACCGTCAGAATCCCAATTATTACAATCCTCATACCCCAGTCCCTTCTCCAGCTCCAACCCAACGCTCTCCAGCAGCACCCCCTCCTCGCTACAGTTCTCCAGCTGCGCCTCCAGCACCCACCGCCGCTGGCCCCTGTCTCCCACAGGCAGCGCGCCGGGCTTGGTGCGCACGATGAGCGACGCCTTGCAGATGAACTGGTACAGCTTGCGGAACGTGCGCGTCCGGCCCGACAGCGAGCTCGCCTCGTAGTACGACACCGTCACGGCCAGTACGTGGTTCCCTTCCTCCTTGAGGTCGAACGAGAGAATCTTTTGAAGGGAGGTGCCGGGCTCGAGGTCCACGCCACTGTCGCTGCTGTTGCCGTCGTGTGCTGTGTTTTCGGCTGGGGTGGAGGGGAGCAGGGACACTTTGATGGGTGTCCCGGAGGAAGGGGTCTTCATCTCTGCTTCGATGCGCACATCGCGGATCGTCTTGGCAGCCGCGGTTGCTGCCGCTGCGGGCGGTGGTGGTATTCGCCCTTCGGCGGTTATGGACGGCGGAGGAATGTCGTGGTTCGCGCAGAGAGTGCAACTGAAGGTCTCGCCTACATACGCCGAGCCGAAGGACGGGGGTAGGTTGAGGATGGGGCTTAGGACGAAGGGAGCTGGGTTTGTCGGTGGGGCGCTGGCAGAGCCATTGGAACTGTAGGCGAGGGAGGCCGGTATAGGCGGAGGATGAGATGTTGCGGAGAATGGCGGTTGGAGGGGGTATTGGGCGACGAGGGATGGCCGGGACAGTCTGGTTGATAGATAAGAATCAGTTGTTGACTTGACAAACGGCCGGGTTATTACTTACCGCAGAACTTTAAGAGACACCGAGTGCGGTTCTTTGGCCGTCTCATGGGATGGGTATCGTTGGTGGCTCATTGTTGCAGGCGGGAATGTTGGTGCGATGGCGTTTTGCGGGGCACTGAATCGGGAGTTCCAACACCAGCCCCACATACGCTACAGCAGCAGTGCGGAGTTGCCTTTTGGCTCGACCGTTCCGATCTGGATGGAGCCTGAGATTGATGGCATGGTTCATGGCATCACTCCACAACACCATCATCCAAGTAGTCTCAGATCACGACAGTCCTCAGCTTCGGCGCCACTCAGTGTGCTGACTGACATTTTCAAGGGTGAATAATGATATTGCAATGCGATATACCTAAAGCTGTCACGAATCCTAGGAGATGAGTACTCCGAAGTTAATCAAGTATGGATGATGCCGATCAATTATCTGGCTCGTGTATAAGTGACTACGAGTGTTATTACTGGAAGGGTATATACAAGGTATAGCCGACCGTACCCGAGACAAACCCGCACCTCAGCTATACTGTGTAAGGCTTAGCACAGGACGTCCCTACATGCCTGCAAGAATCCGCCCTCGCTACCTTAATAATCAACAACAACAACAACACTGTCCTTGCCCGTCATCCACTTTGCTACCAACACCCTCCTAATCTCCAGACTGAGCGCATTCCACGCCACTGCCAACAATGGATTGACCTCGAGATTATTGATGCAGGTCGTTAGCTCAGTGGCGCTAAGCTCCTTTGCGAACCGCTTCCGAATGTCCATAGCCGCGGAAACGGCGTACTGCGCCAGAAGCTTCCGAGCACTGGCAGCTAGTACAGCAGCAGCATCTTGGATGGCGTCTTGGATGGTGTACGGTATCATGACGCTCTCGTTCTCGTTCTTTCCGACGAGTATGTCTCCTCGGTCGTCTGCTTACGGAATGTGCGGCTTTCTGTCAATCCAGGTAGGCTTCGATCGTTCTCTTCAGCTCGACCGTTTAACATCGTTGACGGAAGCGGTGGAATGAGGACGTCATGGTCCGGGAGACTGTCAATCCGAATTCGGACAAGGTCTTCGGAGCATTGTTCTTCCACTGTCTGCGAGGCCATCGCCAGTGACCTTTCTGGGTGAGCTTGATGACGGTTTCAAAGAGGGATCTCGTGTGCTCTGTTGCACATAATAACAGCAGTTCGAGCAGCTGCAAGGAAAGTTGAGTCCTGGGATGGGTTGGGTCCGAATTGAAATTGGTAGATGGGAAGATGATGCTCTAGGGAGTGCGAAGACGAAATATAATGACCGACAGAATCGGTCCACAAATCACCATATACGCTAGAGTAGTACATGACGAAGGTTGGAGTCAGAATGACGCGTCTCGAGCGCATGCTCGAAGTGCTTTGACAGAGGGCCCTGAACGCAGCAAGGCAGGGCAATGATTAGACGGGTTACGTTGGAGGAACTGGCCCAGTTCCAGGACGATCGTGCTGGCTGGAGTCATGTCATTGGCCTTAACCAGATAGTCTTCCGAGCAACCGCATGATGGGCCAGGACTCAGTGCTCATGAGTGGGTACGGACAGGCCGAATTGACTTCGTCGACGACGGGTTTCTCGTTCCGCAAAACCAAAAGCCATATTTGACATCAAATCTGACATTGAGGCGATGAATTGATACCTATCTATTTAATAACCGCGCCACTCTACGAACCTAAATCTGTAGGCTCACGCTGGGCACTTCCCTAAGTTAACTGTCAAAGGAAGGTAAATGCTGACCGAAGCATGACGTATGAAGATTCTTCCAGATTTCACACTGCGCTCAACGAAACCAGGACCAGAGGTCTGCCTAAAAGCAGTGTCTACTTTGGGTTACCAGTGAGCATTGTCGATACTTGGCCACACTCACACTAAGCCAACGCAACCCGATGTGCCGCGTCCCTATCTGTCTCCCAATCCTAAGCCGTGCTCCAGGGGTGACCAGGATTACGCTCCTCTGTAGGCAAAACTAGAGCCCAGGCGGCGGAGGCACCTAACAAAACTGTTAACGACGAGATCTGTATATCCCAGAGACCAAACATACCGCACTATAACCACCCGCACCCGGCGGTCCAGGCGGAGGCGGCGGAGGTGGTGCCGCAGACGGCGGAGGCGGAGGCGGTGCAGCCTCGCTCGGAGGCGGAGGAGGAGGCGATGCCGAGGTCCCCAAAGCTCCCGGAGCACCAGCAGTGGCGGCGGCCTGACCAGTTTGAGCAGCTGCCCACTGCTGGTACATCTGAACATAGGCCGCGTAGCCCCCGTAGGCCGCATAGGGATCGGTGCCGTAATACTGGGCATACTGAGCGGCGTAGTCGGCGGCCGACGTCGGAGTGTTAGTCGATGCCGGCGGCGTGACCGATGCGCTGGCTCCAGGCGCGGGGGAGTTGGTGTAGCTGTGGCTGTTGTTTTGATGATGGCTATCTCTGTTGTAGCCGTGGTACGAGTCGCCACCACCCCGGCCACCATAGCCGCCGCCGCCACCACCGTAGCTACGGGGCGGGCGGCTCTTAAACTCCTCATACTGCTCCCTAACGTTGGCCAGGAGATCCTCGCAGAGCTCCTTGGCTTTCTCTACCATTTTGGGATCAGGTCCCCTGTGGCTGTTAACAAAACCCAAGACAGACCGGGAAAGCCATACTTACGCAACGTGCAGAAACATGTCCTCATCGCTCTCCCGACCCGTAGAAGCCTCCATGTAGCCAGAGCCGCGGCCTTTGATCTGCACACGACAGCCGGTTTCCTGCTGGATATGCTTGACGTAGGCGCCACCGTGGCCGACGACCTGAGCACGGAGGTTGAACCCCGGAACCGGCTCAAGACCAATCGGAATTTTCTCCTCGGGCCATTTACGCTGTTCACGGTTAGGGATCGGTCATGGGGGAGATACCAGCCCATCACTTACTCGACCAAACTCATCGCGTTCCACAGGCGCCTGCTCCTGATCTCTACGCCGGAAACGGCGTTCATCGACAAGCTGGGGAAGCTCCTGCTTCATCAGTTCCTCAATTTTGGCCACAGCTTTCTCCAAGCCTTCCTTTGTCGTGCTGGTGACATGGAGATACAGCGGCGGGTTCTGCCAAAGACAGTCAGCGTGATCCTTGGTGTGCGTGAGCATGTAACATACCGAGGGGGTCGCCATGTTCTTGTCCGGGTAGTAGCTTCCACGCGTAGTAACATCTTTTGAGATTCAACTAGTCAATCGGCGTTCTCAAAACAGCAGTTGAAGGTTCAAGGTGGCCGTACCAGCACCGGTTTCTTCTTTGATCTAGATCAGGCAGCCGAGGTCAGCAGATGCAAACGAGGGTGTGCTTGTGCGAGCTATCATGCTTCAAGTAAGCAAGACTGTCCCGCACAAGAGCGTCATGGAAGAGCAGCCATAAGCATGGCAAGGAGCTGATGACAGATCAGTGTGATGACCAAGGAGTAATTTACCATTCTCTGGGTCGAGCCCTTTGTCAGGAGGTATCGGTTGCGCAGATCGTTGACTTCAATATCCTTGATGTAGTCGCCATCTGCGATGTACATCTCCCCATTGATAGTGCTCGTGCCGGGGCCGGAAGCAGCATTACTGCTTGAGACGGAGCTCGATCGGACTGGGGGAACATCGACGTGCTGGATGCCTTTGCGAGCCTGAAGTTGAGCATTGATACGTGCAGCAGCAGCGGCTAAAGTCTACGGTTAGCGACAGAGAACAAGATTCCTTCGACAGCTGCATCGCAAGCGTGGAAGAGCCTACCGGCAGCTGCGGCGGGGTCGACAGAAGGGGACTTTGAGCCGGAAGGTGTGTCGCGCGACCGAGACAGAGGGCTACGTTCGCGGTCACGGGCAGAATCGGGCTTGCGAGCCGGGGGAGAACGAGAGCGGCGGTCAAAGCGGGACCGGCGAGGTTCCGGCTCGGTCTGGTCAAAGCGAGAGCGCTTCGCGCTGCGTCGCTCGGCGTCGTCCATTGCGCTACAAATCCTCGGCGTCAACGATTGTCGCAGGATGGGTCGATAAGCTGAGGTCAATCAAGAGTATTTAAAATCAGCACGATTGTCGCGATGACTGTTGTTGCAGAGAAGACGAACGCCACAAAGAAGTGCTGCCAGTTTCCGAGGTTTCGACGGGAAACATTCCGTGACAGCCTGGAACTCGAAAACTTGAAACGCACAAGGCTGACATTTGTTGTGGAACCCAGCAGACACTGTGCGCGCAGTCCGCATTGGCCAGTAAATGCACTGCGCCATGTCCCATCCGCAGGTTGAGTCGGAATTCGCAAAAACATATTCTCCATTCACCGGCTCTGATTGGATGGTAATGCTGTAAGAGCCCACCCATTTCCCCCGGGCTCGGAGCTGGGCCTGGACCAAGCTCAGTGAATTGGCCAATGCAAGTTCGCCTCTCCACAACTTCGGTTGTGACGAGGATTGACCGAAACGGCCACAGCACTTTTTATTTATTGCCTTCTCTCCCTCCCCAGATTGGGGTGACTCACTCTGGAAACTATAAAGCTCCAAGGCTTGGAGATCGGCTCAATTGAAATCGAGCTTGGGACGACATCTTCCTTAGCAGACAGGCCCGCCGGCCTCGCAATTGACTCGAGAAGATGGCATCTCGCAGCCTCTTCGCCTCCTCGCCGGCATGGCGCAGGATTGCGCCTCAGGCTCGGGATGTCCCCCGCCTGGCGCCCTTGATTACCTCCCGATACAGCTCTACCAGCTCGACCTCGGCTATCGCCTACAAGGCCATCCGCCGCCGGCAAGCTCCGCTGCCCCTCGACCAGCCGCCGTCGTGGTCCGCTCAAGCCGCTGTCTCCAACATTCTCTACGAGACCCCTACGCCATCCGCCGCCCCTCCCAAGCGCCATGTCCTCAACTGCCTCGTCCAGAACGAGCCCGGTGTGCTGTCGCGTGTCTCCGGTATCCTGGCCGCCCGCGGCTTCAACATCGACTCGCTCGTCGTTTGCAGCACCGAGGTGGAGGATCTCTCGCGTATGACTATCGTGCTCACGGGCCAGGATGGCGTCGTTGAGCAGGCACGACGGCAGCTGGAGGATTTGGTCCCTGTGTGGGCCGTCCTGGACTACACCAACGCTCCCCTCGTGCAGCGCGAGCTGCTCTTGGCCAAGATCAACATTCTTGGGCCCGAGTACTTTGAGGAGCTGCTTGCTCACCACCGCGAGATGACGGCCGATGGCCCCGAGGCGGAGGGCAACGGCCACGAGGTCGCCGAGAACACCCTGGCGGACACAGCCAAGGACTTCCACCCCAGCCGGCTGGTTGCCAGCGAGGCACTGCGCCACAAGCATGAGCATCTGAAGAGCATCACCTATTTTGCTCACCAGTTTGGCGGGAAGGTTCTGGACATCAGCACTAACAGCTGCATTGTCGAGGTGTAAGTCAAGAGCCCAGCATGCCAAGCTTCCTGAGTCATATGCTAACTTGTGTGCGCAGGTCTGCCAAGCCATCCAGGATAGACTCTTTCCTCAAGCTCATCGCGCCTTTCGGCATCCTTGAGTCGGCTCGCACCGGTCTCATGGCTCTGCCTCGCTCTCCTCTGTATGGCCCTGACGAGGATACCCCGGTGAAGGAGGCCGACGAGGTTGTCGACGCCAGCCAGCTTCCCCCTGGCTAAACTGTGTTCTTCGTGGTTGAAGATTAGAAAGACATGGAGAATGAGATCATGTATCAGTGGGGGATTGTCTCTTGAGTGACAACAATATAACTGATCAATGTTTCGGATCCTTTTCAAAAAAAAAAAAAATCAAGACTATTTTGGTATCAGTGAACTTTTCTGTACCTTACACCCTGACACCACGCCTGCTTGATTAAAATAATGTAGCTGAAAATGCCAACGTTATGGCGGGTTTAAAGGATCTTGCCCTTGTTGACCACAAATGCCTCCAGAGCAGCTGGAGTGATATTAGCAGAGTCCTCCCTGGTAAGTAAGACCGGGCGAATACATACCAACAGCAGCCCAAAGCCTGTTCTCAGCTTCGGGGAAGACAAGCGACCTGGGGCCATAAAACACCGCGTCATCAACCTCCTCGGGATGCCTCGGCAGGCAGTGCATGAACTTCCAATCGGGCTTGGCACCACCGCGCTTGGCGAGCTCATTCGTGACCTGGTAGCCGGCAAACGCCTTCAGCCTCTTCTGCTTCTCGACCTCCTGGCCCATCGACACCCACGTGTCGGTCACCAGGATGTCTGCGTCCCTGACCGCCTCCTCGGGCACCGTCGTCTCAAACAGCCTGCCGGGCGTGGCGACGCCCTCCGCGGCCGCGAGAATCACTTTCCTCATCGCCTCGGGAATGCCGTACCCTTCGGGCGAAGCGACGGCAATGTCAACGCCCATCTTGACGCACCCGATCGCCAGGTCGAAGAGCACATTGTTGGAGTCGCCCACCCACGCCACCTTGAGCCCCTCCAGCCCCAGGCTCGACCCATCCGAGGGGGGCGGCTGCAAGCGCGAAGGGGAGAAGCTCTCGTGGATGGTCTGGAAGTCGGCAATGGTCTGCAGCGGGTGGAAGTCGCTTGACAGCGCGTTGATGACGGGCACGGAAGAGTGCGAGGCCAGGTCGGCGACTTCCTTGTGCGCGCCCACACGGGCGACCATGCACGAGGTCATGGACGAGATTACCACTGAGGTGTCGTAGAGGGATTCGTTTACCTGGGAGGTGAATTAGTGAATGGAGGAGATTGGGGAAGGAGGGGAAGTGGGTACGTACGCCCAACTGGATATCGTCCTTGCCCAGGAACATTGGGTGACCGCCCATCAATTGCACGGCTGCTTCTGTTGAGACACGGGTCCTGGTGCTGCGCTTACTGAACATCATGGCCACGGTCTTGCCCATCAGGGAGCCGTGGAGCGGTTTCGGAGGCTGCTCGCCGGCGGCGAAGGCGGCCTTGACGGCGGCCTTGTGCGACGAGGCATTGAGGACGAGCTTGGTAAACTCGGCTGGGCTGAGGTCGCTGATGGACAACAGATGCCTAGGTCCCGTGGTGCTGGAGATCGAACGAGTCTGGATATGAGCCATGGCGGATTTGACGGTGCGGCAAGCAGCGCGAGGAGACATAGCGGTGAAAACCGTGGAAAACAACTGGAAGCTGATTCAGGGAGGTCTTCTACGGCAGGACTCCCAGTTGGCTAAGTTGTCTTTATGTGTGCTCGGTTCCGGCCTTTCCAGACGAGAGAGTCGATAAGGTCAGGTTTTGGGATGAGATCTGGAGATTGTCAGGGCTTTGGTGTTTTGTAGCCATGGGACCGTGAGTCAGTCAACACAAGCTCTAAAAATTTCCACCTAATGTAACGAACGGCCTGGTCGATCTGCAAGTCAAGAAGCTTTTCTTATCAGTCAGCGCCTTGGTTTCCGTTTACTAGATACAGGTTTGGTTGGCAGTCATACATTCACTTCTGGGTAGACAGTCCGCTCTGACGCACAGCAATTACCCAACCCTATCACTCATGATCCAGGTGAGGCCGAAATCGCAATGTCCTCGACAGGCGGCCCTTGATTGTCGAATTGCCGTTCTGCTGGTGCTGGGATTTTGGCACTGTGAAAAGTGACAAATTCGTGTTGATCGATTGGTTTTGATTGTCCCCACTCTGGAACGGGCATCGACCGGGGATTCGGGAGCGTGTTCCTGACCTGGAGAGCGTGGGGTCCTGTCAGCCAATGAGAGTGACGTTCTCCCCTCTGATCAAAGGCAACGACAGCGACTCGAGAAGTCACCCTGCGGTTTCGCCACGGCTGTCCCGCCATCCGCCAACTTGCATACATCACCATCAACCGCCATCATCAACCACAAACTGCCTTGGATCGCTGTCTACGCTCACTTTGGTGTTCCTTTTTTTTCCTTGATCCCTTCCCCTCACAGCCCCATTGATTGATGGTATTCAGCGAGTTGCGCATTCCCGATGTGGTAGGGAACTGCAGTCGATTACATCATCAGAGTTAGGTCCTTAGCCGTCTCATCAACGTCCATCGCCAAACCACATCGAAATGTCCGATTCAGAGAGGTCGCCTCTCCTCTCTGCCACTGGCAGCAGCAAAATTCCCAATACTCGAGAACCGGAGGAGCTGTGCGAGTCGACACCGCTTTTGACAGGCTCAACAGCGACACCTCGCTACGATGGCGACGGGGACGACGCGGACAACTGCGATGCGGCTTCCATCGCTTCGCGTGCGCCAGACCTGGCCTCCATCAAGTCCGCGAGGATCGCAATACGATGGCCATCAATCATTGCCGTGATTGTCCTGTCGTCCTTCGCGCTCGCTATCATGATTCTGGCCTTCATTGGTCCAGACGCCGTTGAGGAATATGCTAAGCAGGCGGTTGTTATTGAGCCCACGAATCTCTCCCTTGTTTCCATCACCTCCAACGGTGTGCGCGCGAGAATACAAGCCAATTTCCATCTGGACGCACAGCGCGTGGCGAACGAACATGTCAGGCGGGTTGGCAAGGCCGCGACATGGTTTGTGGGTGAGCTTGGAACAGAGGAGAGCAAGATCAATGTGTTCCTACCCGAGTACAACAATGTGTTGCTCGTGACTGCCGCTGTTCCCCCATTGAGGGTCAAGATCGCAGACGGACGCAACAACGCCTTGGATTTCGTGGCGGAGCTCACCCCCGGCGATGCTGAGGGCATTCGGATGATCGCGAACGAGTGGCTGGCAGGGAAGTTGGACAGTGTTCGGGTCCGCGGGCAAGCAGACGTCCAGGTTAGGGCGGGATTCATTCCACTCGGCACACACTCCATCGCCGAGTCTCTCACGTTTGAAGGTCAATACATCTATCGTTCATTCGCGTCCCTGTATCTTGGAGAGAAATCCCTCTTTTAATCCACCTACACAGCAACTTGATCACTCTGTTCACATTCGAATCGCTGCTGATAAAATGTGCAGGCAGCAAGTTGCCTCGCATGCCCGAGTACAACATCACACGGTTGAACTTCGATGAAAAGCCCGTTCCGGGCGAGAGCAACTCAATGGCGGCCGAAGTCACGATCAAGTCCGTCAACCAGTACCCGATGTCACTCGATATCCCTGAGCTTGGCTTTGAGATCCTCATTCCCGGATGCAGTCCAGTTGATCCGTCTATCCTCGTCGCAGACGCCACAACCAGCCGCGTAGCAGTGCGGCCACATGCAGAAGTTGTAGTTGACGCGCATGGCCTCATAAAGAAGTTGCCTGATTCGCTCACTCAGCTCTGCCCCAACTCCGACTCGTCGCCCTTGGATATGCTCTTCAAGAAATATCTCGATGGCGAAGCGGCGACTCTACTCGTCCGTGGCCAAAAGCAGCCGGCTGGCGAAACGCCGGACTGGATTGCAGAGATCTTATCCAGCATCACCGTTCCTGTGCCGTTCCCAGGACGCTCGTTCGATAATTTGATTCGAAGCTTCTCCTTGACGAATGTCCACTTCAAGATGCCAGATCCAGCAGCCGAACCTGATGACCCAGAGTCGAACCCAAGGGTATCTGGGACCATCGTAGTTGTCGCTGGGTTGCCCTCCGAGATGAACTTCTCACTAAATGTCTCCAAGATCCGCGCCGATGCCGACGTATTCTACAAGGGCGACAAGCTCGGAGAGCTCAACTTGAGAGAATGGCAGCAAGCGAATTCGACGCAGACTCCGGCGAAGGGGCTCAGCGAGGCCACGCTGAAGATTCAGTCTCGTATCAATGACGCACCGCTCAACGTGACCGACATCGATGTTTTGACGGATGTCATTCAGGCGCTGCTCTTCGGCGGCAGAGAGGTCACGCTGAGCGTCAAGGCTCTCGTGGACCTCAAGGTTCACACGGTATTGGGCGAGCTCGTGGTCAAAGGTGTCCCCGCCGAGGGGAAGATCCCAGTAAAACGTCCGTCTCCTTTTTGATTGTCTCGTTAGTCGCCCCGGATAGCTGCTCCGCTCTTCCGTCATCGTTTCGGCTTCACTCGGCAAACTAACCTTGCGCCTCTACCGTAGCTCCTGGAAAGAACCTCTTGGGTTCTGCCGCACCCAGAGTGGGAAATGTCGAGATAATCGACACATCTCGCACTTCTATATCGCTACAAGCATTAGTAAACATCACGAACCCAACCCCGTACTCGGCTCACATCCCTTTCATCAGCATACACGTCGAGAGTAACCGAACGACGATTGGCGAGGCCTTTGCTGAGAACGTCGACGTTAAACCAGGAAACAACACAAACTTGTCAGTATCAGCAACATGGAATCCGTCAATGGGCGGAGATAGCGGCCTCCAACGCGGCCGCGACCTCCTGTCGAAGTATCTATCGGGCTACAACACGACCGTCACCATCCGTACTCACAGCGGCACAATCCCGTCACTGCCGCTCCTCGGCAGGGCGCTGTCCCGATTCAACTTCACCCTCCCCGCTCCACGGCTCAGACTCCCCGGAGACGACGACGATGACGACGAAACACGCTTCATCCGCGACGCTACCTTCCACGTGCTCTCCTCCACCGCGAGCTTTACGCTGGTCTCGCCGCTCCTGCACAACACGCTGTTTATCGACCGCGTCAACGCCACGGCTCTGTATAATCATACGGAGCCCATCGGCAGGATCGAGTATGACTTCCCGTTGGCCGTGCCGCCTGGGGTGTCGCAGACGCCCAGGCTGCCGGTTGATTGGTCATTGGACTCGGTTGGGTATGGCAAGTTGAGGGAGGCGCTGGGCGGGAGAATGAAGCTGGATGCGAGGGCTGTGGTGGGGGTCAGGCTTGGGAAGTGGAGCGAGACGGTTTGGTATGTGGGACGGGGAATTGGAGCCGGTGTTAGGTTGTGATTTTTTTTCTTTTTCTACTTTTGGAAGGATTTGGTTGATTGCTTTCTATGGGTAGGGATACATAGAGTTGGACGTGGAGTTTGTGGACTTGGGGTCTGGGGATATATGGGACGAAGGGTCATGGTTACTGTTCGTTAGGGCGTCCATAGAAGGAAGGGGACAAGGTGATACAGGACTTGTCGTTGGTCTCACAACATACATTTACATCGTTGGCTCCGGTCATTGACCCCTGAGTGGACTCAATGCTCTGAACATGCAATGGTTAACTTGTGAATTGCTGGCTTGTTGCGAACCACTCCCGTCTTCTCTTGGAGATATCCTGCATTACCCTGAATTTCTCGAAGGGATGGGAACACAGAGTAGTCCAAGTCGAAAGTCGGAATAACCTCTGCCCCTCAAGGTTCCTAAATCAATGCCAAGACTTCGATGCTCTAACAGAAAGCGAACCCCCACGTCATACACGGCACGTCACGGCACAGCTCCGTTGATCTCCTGCTCGGGATTCGTACCTCACAGGATCCACTGATTTTGTTCAAAGCGAGCTCCCAACTCGTATTAGATTAATTACCTCCTTATCCATTTAACAACTGCGATTGACAGCCCGCGCGAGTTACCCGTCATTCGCGATTTCATACTCGAAAGACCGAGATGTCATTGCAGGACGCGCCGTACCGATAGTAGAACAGTATGCGAGCTGTCCTGCCCGGCAAGCCCGAGTCGCGGCTGCAGGCCCTGGCGACGGGCTGCTGGGAGAACAAGCGGATTACCGTGAGTTCTTTTCTTCGCTTCAGCAGCAGTCACGCCTTCCATTGCTGACTGATTTGTTTTCCTATTGTGTGAACGCAGGCCTACATTACTGGTAACGCCCTCGCCATGCTGGGCGACCCCGACAAGCTCCTCCAGACGGTCTACGACGACGACCCGGAACCCTTGCAAGCCGTCGCGCTGGACGAAGCATCGGGCAAGATTGCGATCTGCACGAGGCATGCCGTGAGGGTGTATCGGCCGCTTGGAGTAGGGAAAGAGGTCGGCGCGCTGCAGTGGGCGCTGCAGGTGACTATTGCTGTTGGGGAGGGAGAGGGGGAAGGGGAGGGAACAACCAAAGAGGGGGATGATGGGAATAGGCCAGCGATATCCCTGTCCTGGGGCGCGTCCGAAGAACTGCTTGTCGCGCATTCCAGTCTGGAGCTGTACGAGACCTCGGCCAACCTCCCGAGCCCGGAGTGTTCGTGGCGGAAACGGCTCGCCAACCCGGTCCGGCTGGCCAGTCTGTCGTACGACTCGGCGTACATCGCTTCGGTGGGAGAGTACGACAAGCTGGTCAAAGTGTGGCGCAGGCTGAGCTATGGCACGGGGGAGGTCCGGTTCGACTTCCTCTACCTGAGGCATCCGCAGCCCGTGACGGGAATCCAATGGCGGCGGCCGCATCACGTCGACCAGACGATTGAGAACGCGCTGTATACGTTCTGCGCGGATAATGTGTTGCGCGTGTGGGTGGGGTCAGACAGCTACGGGCATCAACACTTGCAGCTTTGGGGTACGCTCGATTTAGGGGACGCCATTCAAGGGCGGGGCCCAGAGTCAGAGGGTGAGCTGCGTTGGGCATTCGTCATGCACGCGGGGGATCTTACGGCCGCGACTGAGAAGGCCGTGCAGGAAGGCGCCAAGTCAGAGGAATATGCGCCGGCACTGGAACATCTCATCACGGTTGCTAACCGGTCTCCGGAAATTTGCGTCGTTCTCGACGGGCGAGGACGCATGGCTGCGTGGGCGCTCGAGAACATCGGTTGCAGGACGAGAAAGCCCAGCATCTTTAATGTGGCCCATGTTACGTCCTCGGAGCTGGACTTCGTCAGGGGCTATTCGACGGCGGAGATGCCACATGTCGAGGCCTACAGCTACTGTCAGTCTGGAGGACACTTACACATTTTGCTGCACCTTTTCGACGGTAGGATTGAGGTCTACCGCAGCAATATCGCTGCCTTGTTTGACCCGCATCCAAAAAGATCCCGCCTGAGCATGACGAGCCTGTGGACCGGCCATTCAGCTCCCATACGAAAGATCGTGCGCAATTTCAGCGGCAGGGCCATCGTCTCGCGGACGGAGCAGGGGCAGAGCGTCATCTGGAAGCATGAACTGGACGCCAGGCGGACGGGGCTCTCGCGCCAGGCGGTAATCGCGCCACAAGGGCACATCCACAGGATGTGTCTTCTTAGGAAAGGTCGGTTTGCCGTCTTCCTCCGACATGAGAATATATCCCTGTGGGACTGCCGGCAGTCAGACACACGGATGCTGGTTGAGAGCAGATATGATGTACCTGGGAAGCCGCTTTGTTTGTTGATTCTCCCACGGCCCAAAGTCGAGGACTACACGACAGCACACATAGCGACCATCACGTCTGAAAAGCAGGGGATGGTTTGGGAGGTCAAGTTCCCCTTCTACACCCGCTCCGAGACCTCCACTCCTGCCCTCAACGGAACCAATGACCAACAGCCCTCGATCCACGAGTTCGCCAAGTTCACCCTCGAAGATGCAGGCGACCTCGCCTACGTGCTCCCGGTCGACCCAGCGGGCACCACGCCTCACGTCTCCGGCTTCCTCGACGTCTTTGCCCGCGACGTCGCCATCTCGTACACCCACTCAGGCCGCGTCGAGTTCTGGACGGCCCGCGTCGGGCACGGCGATAGGGGCGTCGTCGAGTGGCTGTCAACAAGCTCCATGGAAACGGGCTTGTGCGATCCGGCCCTCGTCAGCGGCAGCACGAGCAAGAAGGCGGCGCTCGTCAACTCGGCCCGGTCGGCCCTCACCATCTGGGACATCCGCGGCGCGCGCCTCGAGTACAACCAAGAGTTTGAGAATAGCCACACCATCCGCGACCTGGACTGGACCGCGACGCCCGACAGGCAGTCCATCCTGGCCGTCGGGTTCCCGCACCGCGTGGTGCTGCTGTCGCAGATGCGCTTCGACTACCTCAACCAGGGCCCCGCCTGGGCGCCGATCCGTGAGATATCGATTCGGGAGTTTACGCCCCATCCCATTGGCGACTCGGTCTGGCTTGGGGATGGACATCTGGTTATTGGCGCGGGAAATCAGTTGTTTGTGCAGGACCGCCAGTTCGACGCGGGCAGCTCGCTGGTCACGAGCCTGAGGCTGCCGCAGCGGAAGGGCGAGGAAAGGCATTGGGATCTGTTTGATGTGGTCCAGAGGCTGAACGGGCCCTTGCCGGTATTCCACCCGCAGTTTTTGAGCCAGTGTATTCTGGCTGGGAAGATTGTGCTGGTGCATGCAATTCTGATGGCGCTGTATAAGACGCTGAAGTTCTGGGTTGAGGGGGATATGGTGGATGATTACTTGGGCTTGGATCTTGCTGACTTTTACGAGGTTGATCATGTAGGTTTTCATCCTCCGTTATTCTATATTACATTATAGAGTGTGTAGGGCGGGATGCTGACAGTTTGGCAGACGACCAAGACATCAACGACGAAAGATCCCGGGCAGTATCTCTCGCGACGCATGTCGTACGACGAAGGGGACGAGCCGTTCTCCGAGGAGGTCGCCGCCGAGATCAACGAGCGGCTCACGCGCGTCGGGATCCCGCAGCTGTCGGGCCACGAGCAGATCCAGCTGGTAGATATCGTCGAGTGCGTCGGCATGGTCGAGAAGCAGCGGCGCTCGCTCGACGAGAACGGGGCGCGCTTCATGCTCTTCTTCCGGCAGCACGCGCTGCGCAAGGGCAGGACCAACGAGATACACATGGGCTGGCGCGAGATCAACTGGGCCTATCACTCGACCAGCCAGGACGTGCTGGTGGACTTTGTGACGAAGCAGTGTCACGGGCGGATGTTGTGGGAGAATGCGAGGGAGAGCGGGATCTTCATGTGGCTGGCGGATAACGCGGCCGTCGTGAGTTCTCATTTGACTGACTGCGGTGACAAGAGAAGGGATGGCTGACAAGATAGCAGAGAGCACAATTCGAGGTGATTGCGCGCAACGAGTACACAAAGAAAGAGCTCAAAAACCCGATCGACTGCAGCTTGTTTTACCTCGCGCTCAGGAAGAAAACGGTGCTGCAGGGCCTATGGCGCATGGCGACGTGGAACAAGGAGCAGAGCGCTACTTTGCGGTTCCTGGCGAACAACTTTGAGGATCCCAAGTGGCGGACGGCGGCGCTCAAGAATGCCTATGCCTTGATGAGCAAGAGACGGTTTGGTAGGCATTTCCATGGCCTCCTCCCGTTTTGTGGTGAGATGCTGATTAGCCAGCAGAATACGCCGCGGCCTTTTTCCTCCTCGCCGACCACCTCCACGACGCAGTCAACGTCTGCCTCAACCAGCTCAAAGACCTGCAGCTAGCCATCGCCGTGGCGCGCGTCTACGAGGGCGACACCAGCCCGGTTTTTCGCCGCCTTCTCGAAGAGGAAGTCCTCAGTATCGCGGCACAGAAGGGGAATCGGTGGCTGGCCTCGTGGGCGTTCTGGATGCTGCACCGCAGGGACATGGCTGTGCGCGCTCTGATTGTGAGTAGTACCATCACCACCTCCCCGGAAACAAGAGGAACGACAAGTGTCAGTTGCCTCCGTTGCAATCTCAAAGCCCTCTTTTGTTGCTTCTGTCCAGTTGGCTGACTGTAAAACCCCCTTCTGCAACAGACGCCCGTGTATACGCTGCTGGAAACGCCGGGCTCGCCCGACCTGAAGTCGAGGCTGTTTTTGACGGACGACCCGGCGCTGGTCATCTTGTACAGCCAGCTGCGACAGAAGACGCTGCAGACGTTGCGCGGGGCGAGTAAGGTCACGCCCAAGGTGGAGTGGGACTTTGTGCTGCATAATGCGAGGCTGTACGATCGCATGGGGTGTGATTTATTGGGATTGGACTTGGGTAAGTCTTTTCACTCTGTTTTCTCCCTCTTTCCTTTCTGGCAGGATTAGTGGGCTGATCAAGATGGATGCTGGTAGTTCGAAACTGGGAGTTCTTCCAGCCAGCGGGCGTCACGGGCATCGCGGCCGGACTGGGCGGCGAGATTGACCCGCTCCGCCTGCTAAAGAGGAGGGGGTCGCTGGTTGTTGCCGACATGCCGGTGCTGTCTCCAAGCACCGTGTCACATCAGCAGCAGCCGCAGCAGCATGTGCCGGCCGAGATGAAGTCGGGCGGGCACCTGCCTAAGCCACCGCAGGCGCCGCCGACGGTATTTGAGGAGCCGGATGCGAGCTCGTTGTTGGATAACTTTGGGTTTTGAGAGGTCGGGATTGTGGATTGCTCAGGGAAGTTGGTAACTTCTCAAGTTCAGAAAGGGTGCGCTGCTTGCTGGCTTGATATCATGTCCTTGTGTTGCATAGGGAGCGGCGTCTTCCCGTATGGATAGGTATATATGTACCGTACATGGCTGTTGTTCTGGAGAATCGGATGCACCCAGACGAGGTGCGAGGAGTTTAGGAATCTTTCCTCCAGGTTGCTTGTGTTCATTGGTGCTGCGCGGCCGAGTCTCTGACTCGCAAAGGTTCGAGGTATGAGAGCAGCATACGCAGCACGGAGTACTACATAAGTATGTACAATAACCGACCTTGTCGGCATCCGGCCCAGACAAGCGAGAACAGATCCGTCTTTGCAAGAGCTTTGGTTTGCTTGTGTTTATTTACCTTCATGGTCTCATAGGTATTCATCAACCGTATGCTCGACAATAATGGGAGATGGTGACCTCGTTATGTATTTGTACAATTACAACTACTTCGGACAAACCTCAATCAAGTATTAGAAGTGGTTTAGGTGAAGGTGTTTCAGCGTAATTACCCGTTTAGATCAGTGGCTTACTTTTGCGATGGCGTGCCGCTGACTTAGAATCCCCACTCTTAACGGAGTTTCCGTATCCAGTCGTTGACTGCAATTCCCTCCACCATTTACAAATCATCACCGGCATCGAAAACCATTTCAGCTTACACTTCCATCAAAATCATCATCTATGTAGCCGACGACAAGCATTATCGCTTCTTCTTCCTCCTTCCCAACCCGCCTCAAAAGCAACGCGTACCATGCCCCGTCGCACACCCACCGCGGGTTCATCAACCGCCATGCCTCTCCCAGATCTGGACTCGGACACACCATCCGACAGCAGGCCCCTGCTTCCCCCCTCATCCTCACCCGCCCCGAACTCCCCGGTAACCATCCATGGCGCCTCCTTCACAGCGCGAGGCGTCCTCGTCGGCCTGGCCGTCGGCCTGGTCATCTGTTTCTCAAACATGTACTTTGGCCTGCAGACCGGCTGGGTGAGCACCATGACCATGCCGGCCTCGCTCATGGGCTTCGGCATTTTTAGGTTACTGCGCTCGCGCCTCGGAGGAGACAGCCTGCCGCCCTTCTCGCCCGTCGAGAACGTGCTCGTGCAGACGGTCGCGGGCAGCATGGCCATCATGCCGCTTGGCTGCGGATTTGTCGGTGTGCTGCCGGCTATGGAGTACCTGCTTGCGCCCGAGGAGCAGGGGCCGATCGTGCTCGGGTTGGGGAAGTTGGTGCTGTGGAGTCTGGGGCTGTGTTACTTTGGGGTGGTGTTTGCTGTGCCGTTGAGGAGGCAGGTGCTGATTAGGGAAAGGTTAAAGTTTCCGAGCGGGTTTAGTACGGCCGTGTTGATTAGCGTGTTGCATGGCCAGGCGAGAGATGGGGTGGGTGTCGGTAGTGGTGGTGGCGGTAGTGGCGGTGGTGGTGATGGTGGTGGTGGTGATAGGGAGCGCCAGACGGCTGGGGGGTTTGCCAGTCTTGCTGCGAGGGATGACGTTCAGGTGGTTAGCGGGGATGGGGAGGGGACGAGGAACGCCGAGTCTTGGAGGCGGAATGTGCGGTTGTTGCTTGTTTGCTTCTTCGTGTCGGGGGTGTTCACCTTTGCGACCTACTTCCTCCCCGTTTTGAGGAATATCCCCATCTTCGGCTCGGTGGCGGCAAGCACATGGCTCTGGACGCTGAACCCCAGTCTGGCGTACGTCGGGCAGGGCATCATTATGGGCCCGGCTACGACAATACATATGCTGCTTGGTGCCGTTGTCGGCTGGGGTATCCTCTCACCGCTGGCCAAGAACAGAGGGTGGGCACCGGGTCCGGTGGGTGACTGGGAGGCCGGGAGCAAGGGCTGGATCGTGTGGATCTCGCTGGCCATTATGCTTGCCGACGCTGTTGTCAGCTTGGGCTATCTCGCTTGGCGCTCAGGGAGACAGTACCTGCCGCAGCTGCGAGACAGCCTGCTAGTCCAGCTTGTCCCTGGCCGCATAAAGAGCCTGCTGAGTCGCCAGCCGCATGCCGGGTATACGTCTATCAGCGCTGTGGCCGACGAGGACACTACCGTCCCTCCTGCCCATTCCAGGTGCAGCAGAGAGTCAGCCAGCGATGATGATTTTTCACTCGGCGAGCTGGAGGAGGAAAAAGAGCATGACGACGCACCCCCCGACCAGCAAGTCAGCGACCGGACCGTTATCGTCGGCCTGACCTTCTCCATCCTTTTCTGCATTCTCTGCATCCACGTCGTCTTTGGCAACCTCGTGCCGCTTTACGCGACCGTCGCGGCCGTCTTCATGGCGCTCGTGCTCAGCATCATGGGCGTACGGGCTTTGGGCGAGACCGACCTCAACCCCGTCTCGGGCATCAGCAAGCTTGCCCAGCTGTTCTTTGCCTTCATCATCCCGCAGTCCAACAAGTCGAGCGTCTTGATCAATCTTGTGGCCGGCGCTGTGTCCGAGGCGGGCGCGCTGCAGGCTGGTGACATGATGCAGGACTTGAAGACGGGGCATCTGCTGGGGGCCGCACCGAAGGCTCAGGTACATACAACAATCTTCTTTCTTTGTGTGCTGTTTATACCCCTTTATGGCTGTCTCATGCTCTCGAGACAACGCATTTGCTCCTGAAACCCTCCAGGGACATCCGCAACTGGAATTTCATAGCTGACATTGTTGATCCAGTTCTGGGGCCAGGTCATTGGTGCCACGGTGGGTGCTGTTGTTAGTGCCTTCATCTATCGGCTGTATACATCGTGAGTCGAAATTTTCTCCTCTTTCGATACAAAACCTGCAGGCTAACTCTATGTAGAGTCTATCAAGTGCCAGGCGACCTGTTTCAAGTCCCCACCGGCTACGTTTGGATCTTCACTGCCCGCCTGGTCACGGGCAAGGGGCTACCCCCCATGGCAAAGGAATGGGCCATCGGGTCTGCCGCCTTGTTTGCTCTCACCACCGCCCTGCGGGCCCAGGCGACCGGGAAGCGCTGGCATGCTCTGATCCCCGGCGGCATTGCCGTCGCCGTGGGCATGTACAATGTCCCGTCCTTTACGCTGGCACGGACGGCAGGGGGCCTGCTCAGCTGGTGGTGGCGGTCCGCGAAGGGGTGGCAGGATACCCCCTTGATTGTGCTTGCTTCGGTAAGTGGTTTTGATCTTCATGTCTCTGGATATGGGTTACATTCTGACGACTAGTCTAGGGATTCATTCTTGGCGAAGGGTTCTTGAGCATTGTGAATCTGGTAATGCAAAGCGCCGGCGTTCCTCGTTTGGGGTAGCATAGTGTCGGGTAAGACGACACCATGGCAACTGGTGGCAGCTTAGGAGCCACAAATCCATTCATGTCATTTATCTGTATCCCGATCTCTATTTCCTGATCTCAGTGCAACAACCATGTCTGGACCTGGCTGTCGCCGCCCTCCAGGGCCCAGGCGATTGTGATATTGAGGCCACGGGCATGGTCCTCAGGAATAGCGTAGCGGATGTTGCCGACTAGTTTCTTCCCCGGACCAACCTCGATATCCTTTGCTTTCTCCTTGTCGATGAGGTACAGCCCTTGCCTCCAGTGCGTGGCAGTATCATACGGGCCCGTGGTGAAGGCGACACGCTCTCGCCCGGCAGCCACCCACTCCTTGGCCGTGAGGTTCGCCTCGACCGCCTCCTCTCGGCTCTCACCAAAGAAACAATCGAACCACACCAGAAATCCATCTAGCCCCTCCACCTTGTCTGACAGTGTCGTCTGCCACGAGTCCTCAAAGACGAGATCCGCCACCTTGGCCGTGTGGAGGTCCAGCATTCGAAACGCATGCGCCTCGCCGCACACCGCATCCGTGGGCATTACGGTCATACGCGCATCCGTGTAGATGCCCGCCTGCATCGCCCGCATGTCAAACCCGTACACGTCCCTCCACCAATCCACGTTCTCCGCGACATACTCGGCATCCGACACGGGCGCAATCCACATGCTGGCGTGGCTTGGAACGAGCAAGCCGTCGGGCTTCAAGTACTTATCGCGCGCAAAGAAGACGCTTGGCAGCATGGCCTCGTACAACAAGCAATACCCCATCCACTCAGACACGATGACGTCGACCTTGTCCACGGGCAGCGTCACGTCCTCGATGCGGCCGCGCACGCACGTGATGACGCGGTCGAGGCCGTTGCGGAACACGTTCTCGCGCGCCTTGTCGAGGATGGCGCTGTTGTCGACGGCGAGGACGCGCGCGGCGCCCGCGCGCGCGCAGAACATGGACAGGATCCCCGTGCCGCAGCCAATGTCGAGGACCACCTTGCCCTCAAAGAGGTGCTTGTTGGCGTAGATGAAGTCGCGGTAAGCGTTGGTGCGAACCGTGTCTTTGATCATGGTCTCGTGAATGTCGGTATGCGCGTAGGACTCAAAGTAGTAGGCCGACTCGTCCTTCTCCTCCTCCTTCTTCTTCTGCTGCTCGGCAGGGGCAACAGGCGCAGCCGTCTTGCACGCCTCGCCCTCGTCATCCACGCCCCAGCGCTTGTCGAGCGTCTGCTCTACGGCCAGCCGGTAGTTGGTGAATTGCTTGGCGAGCTGCTCCAGTTCGGCCTGCAGCTGCGCATTTTTTTGCAGCAGCTCGTCCACCACGGGTCCCCCGCCGCTGGCAGAGTTCTGGACTTCGGCGGCCTGGCCCTTCTCCTGCGCCTGGCCGGACGTGCGCTCAGGTAGCTCGTCCAGACAGAAGATCAATGCGTCATCCGCCAACACGGGGATAAGCAGGCTGTCGTCGGCCAGATGCTCCGCGGTGATCTCTTGCGGCAGGGCAGTGCCTTCCTTTACACCCCGGCGAACTATACCCGCGTCAGCAAGGACGTTGCACTCACTTAATCTCCATCATCGTGGAGAACGCAGATAGGGCGGACTCACTAAAGTTGATAAGCTTCACACAGCCGTGGAAGTCCAGATGAAGCCTGTCCCTGACGCCGAGGAAGTCAAAGTCGAACTTGTCCTTGCAGTACGCCAGCATGGACTTCGCATCCGAAAAGCCCTTGTCGTCGAAGAACGAGACGACAGTCACTTGCTCCTGTTCCTCGTCTTCATCCTCCTCGCCGGGCTTGTTGAGCCAATCCTGGTCATTGTCCGACGACGACACAGACTCGGAGTCGGAGCAGGGATAGGCTTCAGCCATTTCGTGATCTTGTCTTAGGAGCCTTTCAACCTGTTTCTGGGTGTTTGCCGATTACAGAAAGAGGAGAAGCGCGGAAGGTTATGAGACAAGAATAAGGCTGAATGGGTGAGATTGTCAAGTGAAGCCGGAGTTCTTTTTTGGGAAATTTTTTGTTTTATCAAGGTGTGGATAAAAAACTCGAAATTGCTTGTGCGGGGGACTGACTGCATCCTGTCCGTGCAACTCAAATGCAGCTATTACCCTTGCGTTATAGGATGCACAGAGAACTTACACTTATGAGACTGTCCTTGGTATATCTATTTGGCCACCGAAAGCGAGTTTCCCAAGAGCATGACTGTCATATTGACTGACAAGGACTTCTGTGCTGCAAGCCGCCTTGACTCGAATATCATGCAACACAGGACCGGAGAGTTCAGGAATCTTGTTCATGGTAAATATAAATAAATCCCCACTGAAAATGCATAAATATCATTGAAATCTCGCCTGCTTTTGGATACCATTTAATGCCCCCGTCCACCAATGTAAAGTTCTTAGACACCCTCCTATTCCTCCTCCCCTTCATCTTCCTCCTCATCTTCGTCTCTCGCTTCGTCTTCGCCGTCTGATATCTCCTGTCCCAGCACCTTGAGCCGTTCCTGAACCGACCGTTAGCCCAGCAGTGACACCTCCCTGATACATCACTCACCTTATACTTGGTAACCTTCTCCTCCAAGTCCCCAAACACCTCCAACAGATCATCCAGCTCACTCTGCACACTCTTCCGCTCCTCCTCCTTTTCCTCCCCCTTTTTCTTCGCCTCCTCCAGTTCCCTCAGCGCCTTCTCAGCAGCCGCCTTGGCCTCCTCGACCTTTTCTTCAGCCCTACCAGCCCTCTCCTCCGCCTCTCTAAGCCTTTCCCCAATCTTCCTCATCTCCTCCTCCTTCCCCCTCAACCTCCTCTCCACATCCCCAAGCCTATACTCCCCAGCTTTGACAAGCCCCTCCAACTCCCCCACCCTTCCCTCCGCCGCGACCCTGGCCTTATTAGCCTTCATCAGATCCACCTCCAGTCGGCTGATGGTGGCCTTCAGGTCAGCCTTCTCCGCCTCGGACCGCCGACGGGCCCGCTCCGCATCCTGCTCGGCGCCCTTCTTGGCGGCGTCCGCCTGCCGCTGCAGCTCCTCCTCGCGGGCGCGCAGCCTCGCCTGGGCGGCCGCGAGCTCCTGCGCATGGGCCCGCTGCAGCGCGTCGTTGACCGTCTTGAGGCGGGCTAGCTCGGCCCGGGAGCGCTGGTGCTCCTGCTGTTCGTGGGTGAGCTGGCGGGTGACGTTCGTCGTGGCGGCTTCGGCTGAAGCGATCTTGCTGTCTTTGGCGGCGAGCTGTTGGCGGAGCGTGTGGGCTAGGTCGTTTGCGCGCGCGAGGTCGGCCGAGAAGCCGTCTTTTGTTGTGCGGTGAGCCGCTTGTTCCTGGGCGAGCTGCTCGGCCAGGGAGGACGTTTGCGATTGGGCTTCTTGGAGGGCGCGCGTCTTGTCGCTGACTTCGGCGCGCAGCGTGTCGACCAGCTGGCGGGAGACGCCTTTTTGCACGCCGTTGGTGATGACCGAGGTTTCCGAGTCTGGGTCGCGGTCGATGGCGCGGAGGATGCGGCTGTAGTTGTCTTTGAAGAACTCGACAAAGGTGTCATCGAAGTAGACGTCAGGGAGCTTCTGGTCTGGCCCGCCTTCTAGTTTTTGTGGGAGCACCTCATGATCCCTCATCAGTGGGTATGAGCGTAACCGCGACAGCTTGTCTACGTAGCGGTCACGGCCCATACGCGACATGATCATCTCCCTGACCTTTGCACGAGGAACGGGCGAGTCCTTGGTGGAGAACTCGTAGACGACGCCTGCCAGCATGGCGCTCAGACCCTGCACTATAATATCCCCGTTGGGGTTCTCGATAGCCGCCTGGATCAGCCCTTGGAGGTTGGTGAACTCGCCCAAAAAGTCGTTGACCCCGTCCAAATCCTCAAAGAGCCAGCACAACAGCAGCATCAAATAGCCGATGCTGATGCGTGGGTCTTCCAAATTGGCGACGCTGCTCAGGAAGTGCGCCGTCATGGTTTGGATGCTTGTGACGACCTCTTCACCGCTGGCCTCGTCGCCTTCTGTAACGCTCATGGCTAGCGCTTTTGTCTCTGGATTGTCATGCAGGAGGTGGAACATGATTACAGCGGCAAACCAGTACCTGTAAGGATCTGCCGTGATCGCGTCTGGGTTAGGCTGGAGGAGAATTGTAAGAGCATTAGTGAGGTTATCAGCATGCGCCTTGTGTGTCCGGACAGCATGGTCGAGGAAGTGCATCCGAATCTCCGCATGCTTGTATAAGTATGCCTTCAGGCATGTACACGCAGCCACCCGCAGGTCGAAAGCTGGCAACGAACTGACAGCCAGGATGAGGTCCAACAGGCCGTCGATGATGTAGACTTTCAGAACACCATTCGTCTGAGCGCCTAGCCCGTTGGCGACGGGGTCAGCAAGTGGCGATGGTACTTGGAAACCGGCGAACCTCGCTTGGACTGCTTCGTTTCCCCGAATCATATCGGCACATGCTAGGAGAGCTTCGGATTTGATTGGTAGCTCGGCAACGTGGGAGAATGCGATCTGGAGCGTGTTCTCTAGGACCGGCCCTCCCCGTACGCGAACACGTCCGCCGGATACTAGGTCGCCCGCAAATGCATCCTGGTTGAGTTGTGTTCCTGCAGCGCCGGGCACAAGGAGCAGTCGGATGACGGCGAGCATTGCGTACACGTTCCTGTTGCGCTGAACTTCCACCCACTGGGCAACCTCCAGGCCATCCTCGCGTCCCTTGTAAGCATCTCTTAGGAGGCGGCTGATCTCTGCAACGTGCCCCATGTCCCGGAACATGGTCTGGTTCAGGGGGTTGAGCCGGAGCAGGTTGGCCAGCAGAATCAGACAGTCTTCCACCACCCTCGCCCCGCCCGCCAGACCGCCCTCGTTGGCGATTATCTCAAACACCGGCGCAAAGCCCTTTTCGAGGGTAACCAGGTTTTGGATTACATTGGATGTCGGCGTGAGATCCGTGAGCAGCCCAATCGCCTCGTCGCGGACCGCCTCCCTGGGGTCCTCGAGGACCGCTACCAGGCGGGAAATGCCGTCGTTTGTGTTGACGATGCATTCCTCTGTCCTTTCCGTCCGCGCAGACAAAATAACCGACAACAGCTGTAACGAGTAGAGCCGCGAGTAAAAGTCGGTCCTGTCCTTCCCCAAGAACCCCAGTAACAGGGCGATGTTCTCGTGCCGCTGCGTAAACTCGTCGGCCACCCACAGCGCAATCTCCTCGGACGCCTCAGGGCTGTCTGGGTCTGGGCTGAAGAGCATCAACAGCGTCTCCAACGCTACCTTGACCGTGTCCACATCCTCCCCATCGCGGCTGAGACTCCCGATCAGGCTGCGCAGGGCGCCCGAGGCGACGGAGGCGGGATACTGCTTGGCGAAGCTGCGCAAGCCCAAGATGGCAGCGCGGCGGTCTTCGAGGAGAGTCGCTGTGCTCAGGCGGCCGCTGAGCACGGGGATGGTCTCACTCACCGACTGCTTGGCCGGCGCGGTGGTGATGGTCGAGAACATGGTGGGCAAGGGGGATGCCGGGCGCTATTAGCTGCTGCCATGGAGGAGCATCGGCTCTATCTTGCAAACAAGGACTCGACAGATGGTCGGGTCTTCAACTCTTTAAGCTCGTCGAGAACAGGCTTGAGCTCAAGGCAGTCGGCTCGTAGGTTCGCAAGGGGCGGGTCCGTTTCGTATCGCGTGGGGCCTGGACCGCAATATTGTCACTTCTTGACTCCAACGGGAGGTTCAGGTTTGCTGGGACGTAGTCACTGATACTGCATCGTTCGCGGGCGACGTGTGGAAGGCGAAGGACGTGGGCTGTTTTGAGTGGACAGGTGGTGTGCCAACCAACCCGCTGTAATTGGCCCCTGGAGCTCAATGGGGAGACGATGCGAGTTGGGACTTGGGATTCGTAAAATAAAGCAAGTTGAGAGTCTTGACAGATCTCATATCGTAATATACCGTAATATACGGATCCGTACTGTGGTATTATACATTATTCAATCCCGTGAGCCCGCCTGGGGCGCGGTCCCACTTAGCAGCGACCGAAATCCTCTTGAGCAGTTGCCTTTTTCAACCACGAGACGCGCACCTCCGTCGCGTATCTCGTTTCTAGCATTTTCAAAAACCGATCATCCGGCCATTCCAGGTCGACTCCTGTACTCGAGACAACTAAGGCTGTATATTCGCTATTTGCTGCGACAGCAAAGAAGCTTGATCGGGCTGAGCGGCTTCACAACTCACTCCACGTTTTTCTCGGTCGATGCAGGTCTCGGCCGCTCCGCCTCTTCGACCACTGTAACGTCAACCGAGCGACTCATGTGCACAAATATAGCGCCGCTTCCCATTTTATACCTAACGCCAAGTGCTTTTCTTTGCGATACCTAGCCCCGGCTAGTCGCGACCATCGATCACCGTCCGACCGATTCTTGCACTTCGGGCTTCTACCCTGTCGCGATTGCCGCAGTACTTCCACCATGGGTATTCCGGCTGCCTTCAGGTGGCTCTCCACCAAATACCCCAAGATCATATCTCCCGTCATCGAAGATAAGCCTCTAGTGTTGGAAGATGGCACCGTCGTGCCGGTCGACGCCACACAGCCTAACCCAAACGGCGAGGAGTTTGACAATCTGTATCTCGACATGAACGGCATTGTCCATCCTTGCTCACATCCCGAGGACAAGCCGGCGCCCAAGGACGAAGAGGAGATGATGATTGAGATTTTCAAGTACACCGACCGTGTCGTCAACATGGTCCGTCCCAGAAAGCTGCTCATGATTGCTGTTGGTACGTTTGCCCAACCCCCCAAGCCCGCGTCTGTCAGGACTCTCCTGCTAATATATGATAGACGGTGTTGCCCCCCGAGCCAAAATGAACCAACAGCGATCCCGTCGGTTCCGTGCCGCTCAAGATGCGAAGGAGAAGGAGGAGGACAAGCAACAGCTTCTCAAGATGCTCAAGAAGGAAAAAGGCAGCAACGCCAAGGAGGAGCCCGTCGAGATCGTCGTCAAGAAAGCCTTCGATTCTAACTCCATCACCCCGGGCACCCCTTTCATGGACATCCTAGCCGCAAGTCTGCGATATTGGTGCTCCTACAAGCTTAACACGGACCCCGCATGGGCCAAGATGAAGGTCATCATTTCCGATGCCACGGTTCCCGGTGAGGGCGAGCACAAAATCATGGAGTTCGTCCGCTCGCAGCGCAACTCGCCGGAGCATGACCCTAACACGCGGCACGTCATCTACGGCCTGGACGCCGATCTCATCATGCTTGGTCTTGCCACACATGAGCCGCACTTCCGCGTTCTCCGTGAAGACGTCTTCTTTCAGCAAGGAAAGGCCCGGATGTGCAGACTCTGCGGCCAAACGGGCCACGACGAGAGGAACTGCAAAGGTGAGGCAAAGGAGAAGAACGGCGAGTTTGACGAGAAGGACAAGGCTCTTACCCAGAAGCCCTTCATCTGGCTCCATGTTTCCATCCTGCGTGAATACCTTGCCGTTGAGCTGAACGTTCCCAACCTCCCCTTCCGTTGGGACCTTGAGCGCGCCATCGACGACTGGGTCTTCATGTGCTTCTTTGTCGGAAATGATTTTCTGCCTCACTTGCCCGCTCTCGAAATCAGAGAGAACGGCATCGATACTCTGACGGCCATTTGGAAGGATAACCTCCCTGTCATGGGTGGTTATGTGACCAAGGACGGGCACGTGGATCTCGAGCGCGCGCAGTACATCCTCAGCGGCCTTGCCAAGCAGGAGGATTCCATCTTCAGGAGGAGGAAGGAAGTCGAAGATCGGCGGGAAGCGGGTTTCAAGAGGCGCAAGCTCAACAATCAGCAAGGTAATGGCAGGGGCGGAGCTCAGGACTCCCCGCTCAGTGGCAAATCACGCAAGGGCGCGCCCGAAGCGAATGGGCCGCCGCCGGGCATGAATTTGTTTCCGGTTGCGAGTATCCCCAAGCCGGTCATCACGCACGATATGGTGATGAACCGGGCCAATGTCGCCAACAAGAGCGCTGCCAGTTTTCTCAAGAGCCAAATCCAGGGTTTGATGGCACAAGCCAGAGACAAGCCCGATGGCGACGAGGCCAAGGACGAGGCCAAGGACGAAGATAAGGCAACGAAAACGCCGCCTTCGGCCCTAGGTAAACGCAAGGCAGAGCTCATTGAAGAGGACGCCAACAGTACCCCGGATGCGGCGTCGGATGCTGAGACTCCTATTGCCTCAAGCGATGAAGGCCCGGTCGACACGGTCAGGCTCTGGGAAGAGGGCTACGCCGACCGCTACTATGAGCAAAAATTCAAGGTCGACCCCAAAGACATTGCCTTCCGGCACAAGGTTGCCCGGGCGTATGTCGAGGGTCTCGCCTGGGTGCTGATGTACTATTTCCAGGGCTGCCCCTCGTGGGAGTGGTTCTACCCCTACCACTACGCCCCCTTCGCGGCAGACTTTGTTGATCTGGGCAAAATGACCATCAACTTCGAGAAGGGCAGGATATCACGTCCATTTGAGCAGCTCATGAGCGTGCTTCCGGCGGCTTCTCGCCATGCCATCCCGGAGGTTTTCCATGACCTCATGACCAAAGAGGACAGCCCAATCATTGATTTCTATCCGGAGGACTTTGAGATCGATTTGAACGGTAAGAAGATGTCCTGGCAGGGCGTTGCTCTTCTGCCGTTCATTGAGATGCCCCGTCTTTTGGCCGCCATGGAGACAAAGGCGCACCTTCTGAATCCCGAAGATCAAGCGCGCAATGCGCCGGGCAAGGACGTCATGATCATCTCGGATGCCCATATGAGTCTCTACGAGGATATCACGTCACATTTCTACTCCAAGAAGCAGGGAGCGCCCAAGTTCAAACTGGACCCCAAGAAGAGTGACGGACTGTCGGGAAAAGTGGAAAAGATTGAAGGTTATGTCCCCCACGGCTCGCTTGTGTACCCACTCTCGAGGAATACCATGCCTGACGTCGACTACGACCGATCCCTCAGGTATGCTATTCTATTCTCAACATGTTTTTTTAAGTCTTGAACCCACATTTTTGCTGACAAGCGGCTAGTGTGCACTACGAGATGCCGAGCAGCTCTCACACTCACAAGTCGATGCTCCTTCGCGGCGTGAAGATGCCCAGGCCTGCGCTTGACAGGGCTGACATTGACATGGTCCGGAACAAGGCACAGCGGTCCGGGAGAAGTTACGGCGGTGTGCCCTTGAGAAACAACTATAATGGCGGCGGGCGTGGGGACAGGATCAACTACGCGGGCGGCCCTCCTCATGGTGGCGGTGGACAGGACCCCGGCGGATACCAGCAACAGGACCGCGGCTACGGCAACGGGTACGGCGCTGGCGGCGGATACGGCAATGGGTATGGCGACTATCAACAACAGTACGCGCCGCCGCCCGGGTATCCCGGCTTCGGCATCGGGGTGCCTCCACCGCCGCCGTCGGCTCACCTCGCGGGTGGTGGTTACGGCAGCCAGGGGTATGGCGGCGGCCAGGGCTTCCGTGACGATCGTTACGTCCCCGGACGGCCGCAGCACGGAGGTTATCAGGGCGGTGGTTATCAGGGCGGTGGTTATCAGGGCGGTGGTTATCAGGGCGGTGGTTATCAGGGCGGTGGTTATCAGGGCGGAAGTTATCAGGGCGGAGGTTACCAAGGGCAACAGTATCGCCCACCTCCGGGCCAGGGTCAGGATCGGCGTTATGACAATCGTTACGGCGGCGATAACAGGAATCACCGCGACTCAAGGGGATACAGGCAGTAGTGGCTTGGTACTGTACTGTACCTATGATGGTAAGCCGGTTATGGAGGACTGTTGTCTTATACGGGTATATCCACAGCTCAGGGTGGTAATTGATGCCTTGGGGGATAGGAAAATGCCAGCGAAAGTGTTCTTGTTTTCATCATCAAGCTGATCGTTTCTGAGCAACGTAGGTCTGCCTCGCTATCCCCGCATCCCGCAAATGTACTGTGTCTCTCCATTAGGGCCTCTGAGAAGACAAATAGGTATTATATCATCAGGTGGCATTCAGTTGCATGCAACCAAAACCAGTGAAATTGCATCAAGTCATTGCACATGCTCATGCGGGCCTACAAACTTACCAAAGAACTGAACTACCTAAGTTACCTTATTATTATTAACTCTGCACTTCCACCCAGTACTAATAAAGTCGGCGTATCCATGGGGATGAGCTGGCGGGATTCGGATTCAAGCGTGGAGTTGACGCTGGCAAGTCATATGCCCCACGAAGTTCGACCTGAAGTGGATGCAGGAACCACCAGGGGCAGAGACAAAGCGGTGTGCGGCACCGTTTGGTTTCGTCCCGGCATGGCTTCTCCGAATCGGACTGGTCGTCTTCTGCAGGTTCAATTACTGTAACTAGCGTTGAGAGATCATCCCCACCGAAAAGTTGCAGGACAACCAATCGGTAGGGGCCACCACTGTCTCCATTCGAGATCGAGGTGTAGGGGTCCCCGCTCCAGGTTTGGCGCGTCGCTTCCTTCCCCGCCTTGCCGCAATCTTCAATCCGGCAAGCAGCTGGAGCAAGCGCATCCCCGGTCGCGCTTGAGAAGGCTTGAGAGCCCGTCCCGTTCCCGCTCGGTCCCGTCCCCAATTCAACCTCATCCCGATCCCCAACGCCAGGCCGATCCTCCACGACCGACGACGGCTGCCGCAGGACCGGCTCTCTGTGCCCTGCATCAACCCTTGCCTTTTGAGCCCCGAACAATAGATACAGTATTTGAGCTCTAGGTAGCCCTGGCCAAGGTTCGCTGTGCGGCGCCAAATTCTCGATCGGAAATAGAATAACACAAAACATAATACCGAGTTCAGAACCATGGGAAGTCGCGGGCTCAATCCTGCACACGTCAAGGCACAATGAACGGCGATGCAAATCTGGTGGCCTGTCTGGTGGACAGGCTGACAACGAGGGTGCGCCATCTGTGCTTTCGTCCCCTGCGGGGTGCTTGTCCTGGTCGCTGACGGTACCATCTACAGCTCCCCCACCGCACCGGCACGCCGACCCAGGACCTCTCCCAAGACGATATCGTCTCCATCACTCGCTCCACGCTCATCAAGATCAGCGCTTCCTCCATTGGCCACGTTCTCGATGCCCTTCTTGCTCTGCTCGAGGACCTCAGGCGCTCCCACAAAGACGTCTTTTCCCACCCGCCCCATGTGCTGCTCTCTGAGCTCTACGTTCTTGAGCTTATCGCCGACTGCTGTGCCAGCAACTGGTACCGTCTGAAAGGGTCCAGCATCGGGTCCGACGGGCCCTTGTCCCCTTCGCAGCGAGCCGCTTTGCCCCCTCCTGAGGCACTCACCGATGTGCAGCTCAACCGCATATTCGAGGTCATCAAGGTGCTGTTCGATCCCATCCCAGATGGCTACACACTCCCGGCCAAAGCCATACTGGACGATTCATCCGCCAGAGACATAACGTACCCTCCCTCTGAAGAGCCCACACGAACGCCGCTCTCCACCTCGTCCGGCGAGCCTCCGGAGACCGAAAATCTCCTCCAAGCCCATGCCGGTGCCATCGAGACCAATATCAAACTCATAGTCGAGTACATGACCGCCTCAACCTGGTCCGCCACCTTCGACTTCTTCCGTAACGTCATGTACGCGGCCCGCAAGAACTTGCCTGCACAGACCAACGCCACCCCAAACGCCGCTGCGGCCGAGGAGGAGCGTACCGCGCTCGTCATGATGCGCCTCGTCTCCTTCTTCTGGGTCGACAGCCAGAAACTGAGTCTCGTCGTCCAAGAGTTCTGCTCCAGCTTTTTGCACTTTCGCAAGTCCTTCCAAAACACCATTGCCATCGTCATGCCCCAGATTATCACCCGCTGGCTGGACCGATACCCGGCCGAGTTCGTCCAGCTGCACTCGATGCACAACCCGAAGCGCCGCGAGGCAGGGCCCGATACGCTGTTCGATATGACCTTGACGATAGGCGACACGGGAAGGCGAAAGGCCCTGCTGTATCCGATGCAGATGACGCTGCTGTTCCTGCAGCCGGACGTGTTTGAGGTTGCCAGCAACTTGCGCGAGTCCAAGGCGACTGGCATAGCCAAGAAGGTGCAGTTCCTGGACGGCCTAAGGAAGGCCCTCCGAAATCGCAACGAACAGGCGGCCTACTGCCATGTGCTGCTCTTGCGAGTGGCGAGGCACTTTGATGCCGAGAGCGACTCGGCCCTGATGAGCTATGCCATGGACGTGCAGGACGAGGTCCGCGACGCCGTCTTTAGGCGGTTTACCCCAGGCACAGAAAGCGCCATCTTCGAGCAGGACATCATGACGGCCGCATTTGTGTCGCTGACCCATCTCAACTTTGAGCACTCGGTCGAGTCGCTCGCCGTGACTTGTCTTTCGTCATCTGCCCCGCAGAGCTTCAAGATTGCCGTCGTCCAGGCATGTGCTCATTTCGCGCGGTTGGAGAATAGTCAGAGGTATCAGCCCCTCTTCACAACGGCCAGTGCCTTTGTCCAGGGGCAACTTCAGGTAAGCTCACCTGTCATCTGTGTGCATCAGGCTTGGCAATCAACTGACAGTCCGCAAGACCATGTCCGACCTCCTGGCCGAGGGATACATTGAAGATCAGACGGCTCAGCGCAAGGCGGCCGAGAGCGCCTCCTCGATCAACATGGTTTGCAACATTCTCAATTTCCTCAACGCCTCGCCCATGACGCTCTTTGAAGGCCCGCCTAGGGACCGGGCCGATCGCGACCGCTTTTACGAGGAAAATCTCGCTGCCCTTGTCTCATGCGTTGTTGCGGCGGATGAGACAGTCAGGCGCCTGGCTACGGGTGTTGCCAGGCGCTTGTTTGCGAAGGATCAGGAACTGTTTCTGTCGACGCTGAGAGCTTCCAACGGGCTGGCTTCGAAGGCGTTCAAAACAAAGTTCTGGCGTCTCACGTACGTTTTCCCTTAGCTCGTAGGGGAAATGGGAATTGCGACTAACGCGTGCAGGTCCCTTATTGTTCTCTCGATTTGTGACAACCTGAGGCTGCCCTGCTCCGCCGATGCGCTCAGGTCTATCAACTCATACCTTGAGTCGAGGGTGCTCCTCCTAATGTCGATCCCGGTGCGTGAAGTTAGCCCCTGGAGCGCGAGAAGTTCAAACTAATATCAGTGAACAGGAATTGGGCCAAACGTCTGATGAGATTCCCGAGCGCACTGCTGCCTCCTCCAAGCTGGAAACCATCTTCCTTGTGTCACTCTGCTCGGCAGAGATTGAAGCCTGCCCGATGGTAACCTCGTGCATTGGCACCCTCCTTGAGGAATGCCGCCTCATCGACAATGCTCCGACGGCCGCGAAGTCATCTCTGACGCTCCTTCGTAATGGCGAGATCTTCGGTGAAATCTCGTCCCGTGATTTCAGATTTACAGGATTGGTTGCGTTCCAGAAGAGAATTAGAGCACTCTTGAGACGCATGCAGTACCCCAGCGCCGGTATACTCGACGCCTGGGAGCTGGTGTTTGAGAAGTGGCTTCACCTCTCCAAGGACATTTCTCAGGCGGGCGGCGGCGAAGGCGTCACTGAGAGGATGGTTGCCGAGTGGCGGAACTATTCAGGCTTCCTCGCCTCCCTGGGAGGGATTTGTACTGCAGAGCAGGCTGCCAACCTGGAGGAACCTGCCATCAGCGGGCTGAAATGGATCGACCGCCTGTCGTCCGGGAATGACGAGGAGCCCCTCCTGGCGCGGTTTCTCAGGCTGAGCATCCAATTGCTGGCTTGTGCTAATGTCCGTGTCCGCGAGACCATGAGAGACGTCTTGTCTAGCGAGGTGCCACCCTCACTTTTCCAGCCCCTATTCAAGGCGCTTGAGACGGAGCTCGATGTGCTCTTCACTGGCGCGCTGGAGCCAAGTGTCAAGGGCCAAGAAAACGACATCATCTTTGCTGAGCAGTCGTCCTCACTCCTGAAGGCTCTCGTTGAGCGACTCGATACCCCGTCAGACCTCGGCGCAGCATCGAGTCTGCACCTGGGCGCTCTTTGCCTCAACTTCGCCAAGTTCCTCGACGGTGTCTCTGACACGGCAAACAGCCTTCGCGTCAAGATTAAGATCTGCCAGCTTGTTGAGGCAGTCACCAAGCGCAAGGAGCAGCTCAACCTGCGCGATGATGTCCGCATCCGAAACCAACTGCTCCAGTACATCTTCAGCTGGATTGCCCGGCCGCGTTCCAACCCTGACGATTCTTCGCCCCATGCCGTTAGCCGACAAGACGAGATGACGCGCGTCCAGCGAGACCTTGACAAGGCCTGTCTACGCTCCCTTTCAACGGTCACGTTTCGGTTACCTCTTCAGCCCAGTGATGGGCAGACGGACGCCGGTATGAGCGAGCTCAAGGCCAAGTTGTTCCACCAGTACTTCAACCGGTTTCTGTCCCTGCTCAACATGGATCTTAACGGGCCTGAGATGGGGCGGCTGGGTGAGCACCAGCATCACAACGGGTATCACGGCCATCACCACTTTGGATCGACCGGCAGTGGCGCGGCGACTACCCAGGAGGCGTCGACGTCGGATTTGACGATTACCATCTTGTCTAATTTGCTCAGTGCCAATATTGATGTGGGGCTCAAGCACTCGCTGAGTATTGGCTATCATGACAATCCCGACATCAGGACTGCCTTTGTCAGGGTGTTGTATAATATTCTGGTGCAGGGGACCGAGTTTAACAACTTGAGTGACGCGGCCGTGAACGAGAAGTATGATGCGCTGTTGGAGGTAAGCTTTCCAATAATTCCAGTTGCGCTGTCGAACTTGTGCGAGGGAGATGGTCAGCTAACCTGGTCTCGCAGCTTCTCGTCAGCGACCCGAGCTTGGCGGCAGCCATGAGCGCTGTCTGTCCCAGCCATGAGGTCGACGAGCTCACCATTTCGCTATTGAATATCTTTGAGGCGAGGGGCCTGAGCTTTGTGCTGCTTGAGGTGTTGATTAAGCAGGAAATTGAGGAGACAGGTGCGTTATTTTCTCGGGCGATATCAAGGGTCACTGGGGCGGCTGACAACCTTGGTAGAAAACGAGTCGGAGCTTCTCCGAAGGACGTGTGTGGCCACCAAGATGTTGTCCATCTACGCCAAATGGAAGGGCGTCGGCTACCTCAAGGACACGCTACAGAATGTCGTTGATAGGCTCATGATGACTTCTAAGGAGTTGAGTCTCGAGCTGGATCCCACGAGAGTCAGCTCGGCAGAGGAGCTGGAAACCAACATGGAGCACCTGCAAATAGTTGCCAAGGTCTTCATCGAGAATATCTGTGGCTCGGTATCCAAGATTCCAGCATCGTTTCGCCAAATCTGCAGTATTGTAAGTAAACAAAGCTGCTGTTGTTATTCGTCCTAAAACTGTGGCTAACATTGCGCAGATCTCGACAGCGGCCGTGGAAAGGTTTCCAGACGCAAAGTACACGGCTGTCGGGGCGTTCATCTTCCTCCGTTTCTTCTGCCCTGCCATTGTCGCACCCCAGGCCGAAGGTCTGGTCTCGACGCCGCCTTCGAAGGAAATGCGTCGTGGCCTGTTGCTCATCGCCAAGGTCATCCAGAACCTAGCGAACAACGTCCTTTTCGGCGCCAAGGAGCCGTACATGTTTCCGCTGATTGACTTTCTGACCAACAACATTTACAAGGTCACAACGTTTCTACGAGAGATCTCGGTATGTTAGTGGATGGTTGGCAGTGGTTGTGACCGTGCTTGAATTGACGGGCGATGCAGGTTCCGCCAGAGAAAATCGAGAGCACTATCAATGAGTCGTTCGACTTTGGTTCTTGTGTGGCCCTCCACAGGTTTTTGTACGAACACTGGGACCACGTTCGCCAAAGGCTGGTCTCCAAGGAGAGGAGGGACCTGGTCCGCTCGCCGGCCGAGTCAACGAGGAGCAGGTCCCCGGTACTCGAGCCCCTGAGGAACCTCATCATGAACTTGGGGCCCCCGCCGATGGCAGTGACGTGGAATCGGCCGCAGATCTCGGCCAACAGTCCGCCGTCTTACTCGAGATTCCAAGACTTCATGCTCCGCAATGCTTTCCGCAGCACGGAGTCCTTCCTCACAGCCCGAGCCGTGTACGACGGCGGCGAGAGCAAAGATGGTCTGTCCATCATCTGCATCATCCTCCGCAACATCGACGGCGAATCGATTGACTACGACACGTTGATATATTGTTATCTCAAGATCGCCAGCCGGCTATGGCACCGCCCGTTTGGCCTCCTCATTGACGCCACCTGCTACAATGGGCAGAACGAGCCGAAGGATGAGTTCTTCCAGAAATTGGAGCTGCTTACGCCCACGGAACTCTCTCGACAGCTCACCCGGATCTACATTTACAACATGAACACGGCTTCCAAGAAGTGCATCAGACGCATCGTTAGGGTTTCCTCCAAGAATGAAACCAGCGTGTTTAGCCCCACGAACGTCGCATACCATCTCATTGGCAGTCTGCAAGACTTGCAGGCTCACTTCCACCTTAGCCAGCTCCATCTTCCCAAGGAGACAATTAGCGTAGTGACCGACACTCGATATGTCTTCCAGCCCATCACCAGGCTGTCGAAGTCCAAAGGGAAGATCGATGTTGTCATCAAGGTTGGCAGTCAGTTTGTGCAGGTCACCACTACCAAGAAGCAGGAGATCCCCGGCTCCCACTTGAGCACGACAGTTAATGATATCTTCCGGCTGAGCGACGTGGACGAGGCGCCCACTTCCATCCAAACCGAGGATGACTCGGCGTTTGGCTTGAGGGCCGACAACGGCAGGATCGTCATGTACTTTACCAGCCCGAAGAAGGGCGATGTCCTGCAGGCGATTCGCGTCGCCAAGGCGAAATACGCCAAGGACATGAGGGCTGCAAAACCGTTCGAGCGGTTGATCAGGCCACAGGATGTGCCGGGCACGCTGCTGAATCTGGCTCTCACCAACCTTGCCACGCCGGACCCTGTGCTGAGACTGTCGTCGTATAACCTGCTCAGCGCGCTGTGCAAGGCGTTCAAGTTCACGGCGGCTTCCAAGCTCTTGAGTTCGAGGGACGTATCCGTCCCCCTGGAGCCGTCGTGGTTCATCATAAAGATCAGCGAGAGCCTGGCGCGGACGGAACCGCAGCTGACGGCTGATTTCCTGAACGAGTTCTTCGTCGGGTGGGATAGCTTCCTGGATGAGCAGAAACCCTTGAGCTTGGCCTACATGGCCCCCTGGATACCTGGCCTGCGAACGTCGCTGCTGCCGGCCGAGGCGGATAGCGACAAGGGAAGGGAGAAGATTGCAGCTCTGTTCAGGAAGCTGATCGACATTGCGCTCCAGGACCCGACGCTGACCTTTGCGCTGGAGCAGTCGGTGTGGCCTGTCATTTCCAAGGATGAGGTGTTGCTGGATATACTCTTCGAAGAGATTATCAAGGCTGCGCTGAGCCATGGGTTCGAGGACGACCAGACCGAGACGCTGACGGCGCTTGCTAACTCAATTGGCACCATTACCTTGAGGGGGAAGATCATCTCGCGCCTGCGAAAGGTCTTGAATCGGTCGTCGCTGCGGCCAACAAAGTATCTGCCTGAAAATGCGGTTTGGGATGAGCTCTGCGTGATACTGCAGTTCTGTGTGGCGCTGTCGTTTGACAGCGGCGTGCAGGCGCAAATGTACCTGCCGGAGATCTTCCACATCGTCACGATGCTCGCGAATACGGGCATGCCCGAGGTCAGGGTCGCCGTCCATCGGTTGCTGATCAACACGCTCCACTCGGCGTGCACCTCGTTTGCTCTTGACGAAATAAAGCTTAATAAGCTCAGGGCAACGCTGGAGACGCTGTCGGATCCAAAGAATGATATTTTTGTCAACTCGGTGACGTTCATGCGGGATGGGGCGTCGATATCGACCAACCAGGAGGCCGGACCTACCCTCGTCGCCACGGAGCACCTGGCTACGATTCTGTTCGAGACGTGCGCGGTCGCTGCGCCCTCCGTTGAGGTCGCAAATGCCTGGCGCTCGCGATGGATGAGTCTCGTGGCCAGCACGGCTTTCCAGAACAACCCAGCCATCCAGCCGCGCGCCTTCACTGTCATGGGATGCCTCGCGCGCGAGGAGGTGGATGACGACCTGCTGTACCAAGTCCTCGTCGCGCTCCGCAATAGCGTTGGCCGCTTCGGTGAGGACAGCAACAGCGACATGCTTGTGGCCATCGTCACCTCTCTCTCCAAAATGATGGCTAAGCTACCTTCGGCATCCCGCTACGGCCTGCAGCTGTTCTGGCTCGCCATCTCGCTGCTGCGCCTGGTCCCGTCCAACCTGTTCAACTGCACCGCGCTCTTCCTCGAGTCGGTCATGACCAACATCAGCACAACCACCGACCTGCACGGCGGGGCCAAGATGGTCTTTTACCTGCTCCAGGGCAGGACACAGCTCGACGATGCGGCTGGCCCGCTTGATGAGACTTATGGTATCCACTTCAACAGCGAAAACTTCCACTACGCAGCCTGCGCGTGCTTGGTGCGGGGGCTGACGGACAGTGTGACCAAGACCACGGCGCTGCGGGTCTTGTCTACGTTCTTGGAGATGACGCTCACCCCTAGCGGCAGGAGCAGCAACGCGGGTAGTGCGGCGGGCGCTTCTGCCGAGAGGAACATCGGCGAGCTCATCGTGTCGCCCTACATGGCACTCATCCTGGCGCGCACCACGACGGCCGAGGAGCTGCGCGAGCACCTCTGGGCGGCGGGCATCAACGTCAGCGCCACGGCCCTGCTCGACCCGGCCAGCCTGCGGGCGGAACAGGACCTGTCGCTGCTGAAGGATAAGGACCTGCTGCTCAACACTGCGATCGAGCTGGTGGACTTCCAGTACCTGGAGGATGCGGTACAGAACCGCAGTCTGCAGTGGCTCAATCGGATTGCGCTGGCCCGGCCGGGGGTTGTGATGCATTTGTATGTTTCCCTCCTCCCAGCTTTTTCCTTCTTTTCTTTCTTTCTCTCTATTTACCATGATTACTAAGCAATCCATGTATGTTGCGTTTCTATCCAGGTGCGCACCGATCATCTCCCTCCTCGACGACATCCTCCAGCACTCGCAGTCGTCGGCCACGCTTGAGGCGGCGCACGCGCTGCTGCAGACGCTCACGTCCAACCCCAAGTTTGCGAGCTCGCTCGACAGCTCGGCGGCCATGCTGGACGAGCTGCTCGAGGGCATGGGGTTCGCGGGCCTCTGGCGCAGCTGCTCGTTTAACCTCGTCCATGAGCAGCAGCAGGACCGGGCGTGTTTTGCGTTGACGGAGAAGTTGATTGAGGTGAGTTTCTGTTCTTGGTCTTAAAGATTGTGTTACTACCGGTCGTGGCAGAGGTGTTCCTTTTTTCTGTTGGCTGACGAGATATTGTGTGCATAGCTTATCATTATTTGACGGACGATACTTTGGTGGGTGTTGTGATTGGGGCTTGGTCTAGGGCCTGGTTCGGCCCGTGGATGTATGTGTGGTCTGGTCAGAGGACCTGCCGGTACTGTCTGCTGGTGGTGTGGTTGGGGTAGGGGGCTGGCAAAGTTGGAAGAATGGGACGGCCCATTGTCTAGCCAGGTTTTGGGGTCTCAATTCGGCTCTCCATCTCCCGCCCTTTGCATATTTTGCATGCCCGCCCCCATTATTATCTTGTCTTACCTTTCTTTCGAGCGTTCTCTTTGGAGCGACGAGACACGGATGGAATGTTGGTTTTGAAGCGGGTGGTGGTGGCATATTCGAGGAGTCGGAGCGCGTTGGTGTTGTGGTTGCGGTGTTTGGCTATGGCATTGCTGAGGGACTGAAAAGGGATGTCGAGAAGGGGGGTTCAAAACCCATTCATGTTTTGCATATGTTGGTCCTGTTTGGTGATCGATGCATGATGTCCCGTTTCCTAACTTACCCATTGTCCTGTTACGGTATTTTCTGCGTGGCAGCCCGCGATCTACGTTTTTCGCTGCAACGGGAGAGGGAAAATCTAACGGTCTGGGCTTGGGCTTTGGGCTTTGGGCTTGGTTGTCGGTCAAGCTGTCGGGTAGCAATGTGGAGAGGTGGCCCCATCGTGAAGCCGCAGTGTTCCACCCAGCCGGGCCATCCTCGACCGGCCTGGGAGCTGGAGTTTGGAGCTGAAAAGCTGGGGTTCGCCGTTACGTGATTGTCCCGGCCTCGGCCGGCTCCGGAGGACTTATATTGGTTTCTGCTGTCCTGCAAAGGAACATATGCGAATTGTTGGGATAGTGAGGCGGTGACTTGGGAGAGATGGGTGTATCTTGGAACGGCGTATATGTCTACGCCGCAGACATGCATTTTTCACACATGCGCCTCTCAGGGGTCTTGTCCCATGATGTCGGTTCTGGCCAGGGTGCCATGTGCTCTGTGGTGTGCAAGACTGCTGACGTGCCCAGCGTTACCCTAGGCCGTGCGGGTAGGGCCGACTGGATGGGGCGCGGCGACGGATGGGACACTTGTTAACCGTCTAGTTATATTGATTGCTGAGCATGGGATTGTTATCTCCGCGGCATGTGTCCTACTGTGTAGCTACCTGAAGGTGTCGACTATTCTAGCCCTTTACGAGTGCTGATTGAGGTTGTCGGGAGGTTACAAACAGCTTATGCAAAATAACTACACTGCGAGTAATCTCGTATGGATGGTACCTATTTCAGGCCACAGGATCTGTTGTCTCGTAATTGTCTTTTGACATATCGTCGGAGCTGATTAGTAAATAGCTAACTCCGTGCCGAAGGGGTCTAGCCGTAATAGCTTGATAAAAGTCCGTATCGTGCTGGTGCCCATGGATGGGCTTTGATGTTTGTAAGCATCTGGGCGGTCGAGTCTCGAATGTCTTCTAAGGCAGGTAAGTAGCGCTCGGCGCAACGAGATGCAATGCATACCCGCCCCGGGGTCGATTGCAGGACGTGAATGCTGATTGATGATCATGCGAATAGCCATCAGTCATCAAATCAAATCCGAACGACAGTCCGAGTTGTTTGACGACGGGCTTGGTGGTATTTCGTATTCGAGACACCGAGACGCGCAACTTGCCTCGGCTGTTTTCTGCCGTGTCTGTGGTTAGAATTTCGCATCCGAACATTCAGGGGAGTGACACCAAGATGTCGATGTGGCTTGTCGGTCGAGCGCTGAGAGACAATCACACCCGCACCGGCGCCGAGCCCGATTCCGAGGAGCCAGGAACCCTGCTTCTTCGCTGCCAAAAAGCGATCTCGGCGACTTCCGAGTCCCCACCGAGATCGGCCGGGCCCTACGCTCCTTCCTGTGCCCCGTATCCCTTTCCCGCTTTTAGGTTAGCAGGCTGGCAGCGATTTGACAGCAAACATGTCGTGCATTATATTAGCGTGCTGTTGTGCAACACCAACAAGAGACATTTCCGGGCGGGAGCAGAGATCGGATGGACGGCCGGCCAGATGAAGAATTTTTTCATGGTTGCTTTGGACGAGAAGAATGAGGAAGCAAAATTTTCACTATTCTTGAAAGTTATCGCAATGCGGTATCAAGTTTATTGTATGTACGGATACGGAACGCTTAAGATACCTCGTGTTGCTGTTATTCAAGTTGAGCCGTGCATACCGGTACAAAAGACAATATCAACGAGTACTCTCCGAGAAATGAGCGAAATCGCGAGACAGCGAACGAAGGCTGCATGGACAGATGCCAAGCTCGCAGCCTGCAGGGCGTCCTGTTGACTCTTGATGATCGATGTTTTGGTCCGAGGCGCCTACACGATATGGGAGTCCGAGTCAATGACAACGGTCTTTTGGTGTCTCCTCAGGTGTCGTTGGCAGACACGGATGGCAATACCGGCTGTGTCAAGAAAGGTTGCTCCACCTCCCCGCCTCCTGTGACCCGAGCTCCCAAGATGTTGGTTTCAGGTCCGCGAGGCAAGAAAGCGCCTTCTCAAGCTCACTGCCGAAATCGCAAAGATCGGCATCAACAGGTCCCTGCCGACCTGAGGAACCCGAAGGCTGTTGCAGGTGTTGTGTGTCCTCGGGCAGAGAGCCAACGGCCGTCCCAGCAGTTTGGGACCACCACCCGGGGCCGCCGACAGCAAGAACAAGCCACAGGTGTGAAAAAAAAGAAGAAAAAAACCGGTCTGCAACTTTACCCCTGCTGGAAAGGGCGGCCTCTACTTTACCATTGGCTGGCATCTGGTCGACGGGCGGAGACCAATGCCACATCCATCTGGCAGATGCGTGGCACAGCCAGGTCTTGGCTCCAGTTCGTGCCGTGATTGGCGCTGTTCACGGCACAGTCAAGGCGATCTGGAGTTCTGGTCAACGACATGCGACAAACCCCGGGATCTAGCAAACTGCAATGCACGCGGTCGGCGTCCAGAACGTTGCACCCTTCCGCAGCTTGAGTTGTTTCCTGCAGTTGTGAAGCGGGCATGGCTGGAAGGCCCACGGTATGGCCGTTGTTGTATCACCGTAGATGCACGCGACACGTGGATTTCGGTGTGTCAGATCTGAAATGTCTTGACTGCCTCGCTGCGCTGTCAGTGATGCAGTCTAGGACTACATATACAGAGTCGTTGCATGCACCACGTCGCTCAGGGACACATGCACATCGGTCGGTGCCGACCTTGGGCAAGCCACGCTGAGCGATACAGCTGGGCCAACACTTTTTCCTTTTGTGCGTCGCCTAAATAATGGTCGTCGAGGGTTCCAGTATGTCAGCCATCAGTTAGGTGGGAGAGAAATGTACCTTACCAGGTACCCTTGGCGAGTCTGCGAAGGCAGCAGCTCTGACTGACTGACCAACCGAGATGGACCTGTTACTGTGTGTCACCGCCATACATCGGTTGGTTGCAGCGCGTTACTACCAGGTATACATCCGTAGAGAAGAGAGGAAGCTGTTGTATACCCCGGTCCAGTTGCGGGTCGGCGCCGATCATGCCGGTCTCCCCACACTCAGATTCGGAAACCTGACCGGGACCCCCGGGGTTATGGTCCGGAACCGCTAAGTCGAACACACCAAATCATGAGCTAGAGCCTAGAAGCGTTTGGAAATACAGTAGAATCCGTTTCGGTGAAAGCGGTATTAGCTTCGAGTTGTAAGAGCTTTGTTCCGGAGGTGACGGAGGTAAAGTGGGATCGGCTCTTGCCAGGGCCTCATCCCCGAAAGTGCCCACCTTTAACTCCGACGCAGGTTGTTGCAGACCGCACTCGCCCAAAGCCAGCAGACAGTCTACCCTACGTACACAACGCGGGCCAGACTCGAACGCTTTGTCTTCTCTGACTCAGTTCGGTGAGCTTAAGCGGGAATGGAGTCGAATGGTCAAAGTCCCAAAGCCGCAAGGTCATGGCAGTCCAGGGTTTCTCGGCTCATACGGTTGAGCTCGGAATCAGCTGCGAGAATCATGTGATACTGCCAGACACGAGACCAAATACGGCAGCGCGTCTCGTGCCAGGCAGATCATCGCGGCTTCCCTACGGAAGAGGGTATTTGAAATCGAAGAAGGGACATTCAGAGAATGCAAAAGAGGGGGCTTTTCAAATGGGCAAACATGAATGGAAGTCTCCAGTGCGACTTACCTAGACCAAAGTCAAAAGCCACACTTACCCACTTTTGTGTGGCGCCACAACCCCATCATTCGACGCCAGAACACCGGAATCGGCGGGCTTTTGCCCAAAATCGACAGCAGAGCGTACGTACGCTCCTGTCGTCTTCTGTAGCCGAGGAGCATTTCCTTGAACAGCCACGCTGAGTATGGCTGATTCTCGGCGAATACATCAGGATGTGGCTAGTGACACGCAAGCTCAAGCCATGTCTTGAGTGGTGTGGATCCGGGCAGCATACGTCGAGGTCCCGCTCGGTAACCATCCGTACATGTAACGTTAATGCCGTTGAAAAGCGGACAGAAAGCGGCAGCCTATCTCGTCCTCAACAGCTGAGGTGGTCTGCCGACTGCATCAGCTGTACCTGGCTGGTCAACCACCCTTTGGACGTACCGAGTTCGGATCGGGCCCAGAATTCCGGGAAGCATGCACAACTGGGAGGGGGAAAGCGGGCTCGATTGATTGTGGTCCATTGTTGGGAATGCCGAGGGGCTGTGCAAACGTGCTTTTCAGCGTCCTCGACCAACACGATACCTTACACAGCGCAAAACGGCCTGCCGTGCAAGGTTTTCAGCGACACACGGCACAATAAGCTGCTAGAGATCAATCACTAAGATTTTTGTTCATGGTATGGGACTGGCATTGTGTTCACTTCCGCTCCGTGGAATCAATGCAGCCTGCGTCGCACCTGCCAGGCCAAGAACCCATCTTCAATCCACCGCAAGATCTGACACAGCATCACGTCAAGCTTCGGTCTCTCCTCCAGCTATTGAACATTACCAAACAACTTGTATTCCATGTACAATCTTCGTAGGTGGAACAAAAGACAAGCCAGGGCACATATCTGCCGCCGACTTGTTGCTGTTGGAGAGTACCATAATGAGCATTGTAAAAGGCAACGAGAAGATGCTAGTTGAGTTGAGAACTTTCCCATCGGAGTCCCCTAATCGGCTGGTTTTTTTCACTCCCAACTGCAAGATCGCCGTCAATGACAAAGCCTAGGTGACCCCGAGTCCCCGACATGTCAGGCTGTGTTCCACAAGCACACTGTATGAATATCTGCTCAAGTACCTTGGTCGGGTTGGCCTGGCCCGTTGCATCTGCAGGCCCCTTGCACAGGCTCTTGGCTTTTAGGGGGTACTTTTAGTGACTCCGCGAGCTCGACATTCGACGTCACGATTCCAGGCTGTCTCTCGAGTCACCCCAGGGGCATTAGTCACGCATCGGCCCTCCAGGGGTCGATGCTGTCTGGATTAGATATAAAGGAATCGGCCTAGGACTTCCACGTCGTTTGCATTTGCCACACTTCACGCTACCCATCAGTTCCCGGACAACATGACACATAATCAACGCGGGCATCTCCTCTACCAGCAACCACAGCAACACTACGACCTCCCGCTCACCTTCCTCGACCTACCACAACAGGCGGCGCCGCACTTCAATTCCAACGATCTGGGTGACTTCAATTCTGAACTCGATTTCGACTTTGGCAACAAGCTCAACTACAACAGCGTGGCTTCGTCACCCCTTTCGACGCACTCGCTGCTATCTCAGTACTCGAGCCTTACCTCGTCGCCTTTGTCCGCCTTTGACAGCATACCTACGCCGACTCTCGAAGAGCCGTCTTTGTTCCAGCCCCAGCAACAAAGCGGCCAGGTCGCGCCAGAGTCATCTGCGCCCTTTACGAACACGGGCACGATGCAAACGGAAGCGTGGATGGCAAACGGCCAGCTGACGCCTAGGTCGGTCGGCCGCTTTTCGCACCAGCGGGAATCCTCTCGGTCATCAATGGGATCCAACGGGCCAGCTTCGCCCTTCTCGCACAACCTTGCGAACCCCCAGATTGCCGTGAACGACTCGGTTGGCGACGGCTTTCACCACTTTGGCGGTGCTGAAGACCTCAACAACTACCAGCTGGCGCCAAAGTCGTTTCCCGGAGTGACGCACGACAGCTTCTATACCACGCTTCCAACAGGCTACGGGACCACCAACGGCAGCGGCATTTCAACATACCCGTATACCGTTCCGAGGCGCAGGAACGAGGGAGGCCTACTAGCGCCTAGCGAGCCCACGATTGGGCCGGTCAGGTCACAGCCCGTATCGGTGACAAGCTCCGTAGCATCTGATTCACCTGCCACGCCGGCAGGGGAGCCTGAAGAGGACAGAAAGAGCAACACTGGTGAGATCAGATTCGATGCGCTCGATTATCTTGCTAGCCCACCCTGCTCACCATCTCCGGACGAAGCAGCCATCCCGCCTGTACCCAAGCTCGATCGCACCATGACCGACGCGTACACGGACGAGCTGTACAGCCCCGATTTCACCATCACGTCGTCTTCGTCGGGTCATCCGTCAATATCGCCAACCAGCGACCTCTTCAACCAGCGGCTTCAGGCTGCCAACCAGTTGAACCAGTACCTCCAGGCATCCACCAAGCAGCATCTGTCGGCCGCGACGAACTCACCTGTCACGACGAGTTCTCGGGATCGGTCGCCGTTGCGTCCGGAGTCGCCCCTACCTCCCCCCCTCCCTCTCGAGACCCCATCCTCGATAGGGCAGACTCAGATGGGCTTCGGGTCCCAACAGCGGATCAGGCAGCAGAACCAGGCCATGCGAGATCGGGAGATGATGCACCAGCAAATGGCGCGGTCGGCCGCGGACACCTCGACGCCTCAGACAATCTCACCCAAGGACGCGATGCTCGAGTACCGTGAGCCTGAGGGTGATGCGAATTTTCCGCTCTTCCCTCCGCAAGACAGCAACGGGTTTAATGCCGATGCCATCAACAAGGCGGCTGCCGCCCAGAGTCAGCAACTGTTCGCTGGGCTTCCCATGGATACAAACGCGTTGAACAACCTATATTCGTCAACGATACACGTTCCACAGCGATTTCCGTTCGTCGCTCAGCCGAGGCCACAAAGTGCTGTCCCTTCGATGAGCAACGCCTCGGCAGCAACGACGAGACTAGGGTCCGCCGACACGGCGGCAACCGAGTCGGTACACAGCGGCACTCCTCAACGTCCGGCCGATACGAGTGCTCACGGCGGCACGTATACCTGCACTTACCACGGCTGTACCATGCGGTTTGACACACCGGCGCTGCTGCAAAAGCACAAGAGGGAGGGCCACAGGCAGGCACACGGTCTTGGCGGGCCTCGGCGGCCGGACGGAAGCGCCGGCATGACATCGAGTCTCTTCAACACGCAAGCTGGGCCGCACCGATGCGACCGGATCAACCCAAGTACAGGAAAGCCCTGCAACACAGTGTTTTCCAGACCCTACGATCTTACCCGGCACGAGGACACCATCCACAATGCGCGCAAGCAGAAGGTGCGCTGTGATCTGTGTACCGACGAGAAGACATTCAGCCGTGCCGACGCACTTACCCGGCACTATCGCGTGTGCCACCCCGATGTCGAATTTCCGGGCAAGCAGCGCAGGCGCGGGGGCCACAGTGGGTGAGGTTGTGCAAGATCAGAATCGTTCTACAATCACTTTCCGGCAGCTAGCGGCAGTGACAGTCATCACCAGACTCGACATTGTCAACATTGCAGCGATCCGGTTTTGCTTGGCAGAGCTTCGATTGGATTCGATGCGCGTCTTCCAAGATTGTTGGTTTGACCGGTTCGTGCATGGTCAGTCTATTGCATCGCAATGACGTTTGTCGACGCACTTCATTTTTGTTCGCCGGCGGGTTGCGATGACATTCACGACCGCCCGCCACGAGATTGCTATTGGTCCGGAGCTCGCCGGCGCAACCCGGGTCATGTATGGCGTGGTCCATGCAGGGACCACCAGGATAGCACGGTCCCCTGGCTATTTCTAGCATTTTCCTGGGACAAAGTCTAAGAGGACCCTGCCGATCTTGGCGCGCTTCCCATGTTGTCAACCCCCCGATGACGTCAGCGCATTCCTATCGAACCGGACCATTGCCAGCACCAGTCGGAACAACAAGCGGCCGTCTACTGGCGCAAAACTTCAATCCCAGCAGAACTGGACTGGCGGACGTTCCATTCTTCAACATCACTTGATCCACCTATATCTATTACCGCCCAAGTCTCATGGGTCTGTTTCCTTGATTGTTAGAGTCTTCTGGCTGGCCTGTTAGGACTCGTCTCTGTCATCATGAATATCGAATGTGGGTCTTAACGCGCTTGTATGGGGGTGAAGAATGGGGATTGTCAAGCGAAGATCGTCGTCCTTTCTGGCTTTTCATTCCTCTATCTTGATGAGTGTTTATGATAACATGGGAGATTTTGGACCAGGTTTCGGGCATGATAGACTGTACAACTGTATTGTACTATGACGGACGCATGGCATGGCTGTCCTTTTCTCGCATTTTCTCACGAAATTGGGTTATGAGCATATGTAACATTTCTGCTTCGAAGGTGTACCATATCTCTTTGGTCCGGAAAAAGACAGGCACAGGCTACATAGACTCATATAAAAGGACTTCTGGTGGGCACTGGGAAGCGGGCGAAATCAGATTTTCAGCACCTGTAGCAGCATTGGGACATGGGAGGGTTGCATGCGTTGGAGCATTGGCAGTACGGAATAGTTATTGGCAGTACAGAATAGTTGGGCTAAAGTTATTGGGACTGTATAGTATGGGATATCAATATGGGAGAATGACAAAGTTGGCGCATAATTGCTAAACATGCACCGTGAATCGTCATATTACTTCAGGAAACTCCAGTGTTGTACGCCGACTCGTTCGGCTGCAAATGTACCAGTGAAAATGGCTGCATATTCATCTTCGATGTTCTCCTCTCACTCCCTCGTGCCAGGGATCGGTTCAATTAGATGTGACACCAGCGTGCATCGTTTTGCAGAAGATGGGCACGCAACAGCCAATTGCCTCGTTCTCGGTAACTCTTCTCCCAAGATCTGCACTCCTCCCCAGTATGCTTGTGACGTCGTCTTGGCCAGCCTCAGCACAGGAATAGGTTGAGAGCTTCTCGTGTAATCGTCACTGCTGCCGTCACCATAGCTCAGTTTAGCATCACCATCGAGAGAATAAAATAAGAAGACGGACGAAGATGAGGTGGGTTCCGGAGATCAGATCTGAGATCCTGCCGCCAGTGCGCCGATGACGCCCCATCTGGTTAGCCCATTTCGTTTTCCCGGATCCAATCCTCCGTCTATTCAGTTTCTCGTCCCATATTTTGTCCCTAGGGGGAGGAAACATTCGGTCAACCGCAGAAAAGAGTAGGTGATGATGTGATGCCGGTCCATAAGGGAGAATAGGTGGATTATTTGACGTCGGGACAGGATAGATCCACGGGAGGGGATTTTATGCTTTCACACCCCATCTTGATGCTCCGTTTTTCCAGGCAGGGGGATCTCACTAATGTCGACTCCATCTCACTCACATCTGGGTTTTAAGTTGTGATGGCTCCCCCAGGCAGTTTAAGATGTGAATGTATCTTTGCGCCCCCAAGAAAGCAAGTCAAAAGGCAGAATGGGAGAGATGATGGTGCTGGCCGAGTCCTGGGGAACAAAGATGTCACAAAGTGGACCGGATCTACATCCATTGCAAACCGCTCCTGAAAACCCTGCCCACTACACTTCATGCCCTACATGTATGTATACATGCTTGCATGCCATATACGTAGGCTCACATCCAGATGATCTCAGGTAGGTATGGATACAGATGTAGGGACTGACATCAGTGGCTTGCATGCCCTGCAGCACCCAAACAAGGCATGGGTAATGTTAGGTATCTGCATGTTAAACATGGACAACCCCACGGCATGACATTCCAGTCACTTGTTGGCGTCATGGTGGGTAGGCTCGGTAGGGTACCTTAGCCATGAGCAAGCCATACCATTTCCTACCGGAACATGGGCTTGCTTGCCCAGATGTAGAGTACAGTACGGAATACAGTACACGCCCCGGATAAGGTACAGTACAGCAACCAACCATGCAGTCAGACTCAGATGCGGCTATCCACAACACGAGCGGCCCTGTCAGAACCTTGTTCCTTTCCTGGTCAACACGTGTCTGGAGTACACACCTACAACCTACTGCACCCAGTGAAGGGACGTGGCACAGCGACAGTTAGGCAGAGGTGACCAGACAGCGAAGCAGACCACAGAAATGAAAACAACCCGGAAAGAGGACGGACAACCCGCTTTGGCCTGCCCGTGCCTTCTACGGATGCGGGTGATAGATGATGTCGAGCTCTGGAAACTTATAAAGGACTGTCATTCTATTCTTTTACATACCAGAACCACAGCCCAGGCCTAAAGCCATGCCGAGTTCGGTATCTGTACCCTGTTGAATTAGGTAAACTATCTCATAGGTAAAAAGGTCGAATCCTAAGGTGGTGAGGAAAGCCAACTGGCTGGCTACCATCCCGATCCAAGGACCATTACCCACGAGACTTTGGCCTTGGCCCAATGAAGCCATCAAAGCGAGCACAGCCAGGTTGAAGACTCCGCCGCGGTCATAGCCCGTAGGCATATTTTCTGCAGGCTGAACCCCTTACTGTACTAAGACTCGCCGCCCAGTACAGCAGCCCGCGCATCAGCATACAGCGGCGTGATGCCCGTCCAAAGTTGGAACTGCAAGTTCTCATTAGCATACCCATCCCTGCCACCGGTCCCTTAGACTGAAACAGAGAAAGAGGGAGAAGAAAAAGAGAGGCGTACCTGATACCACCCCTGTGCAGCAAGCACTTCCAACCCCGGAATCGTCTTCCAACCAGCATCCTCCGCCAGTTGCATGAGCGGCGTATGCCGCGGCATGTACGCCATCTCCAACAGCACCCGCTGCTGCTCACCCTTCATGCCCTCACCGCCGCCGCGGAGCGCAGCAACCAGCACCTCGCGCATGCCCGAGTCAATCGGCTTATCAGCAGGAATAGTGCTGACAACGACGACGGGCAGCCCGCCGGCACCCTCCCCTCCGGCTGCAGCGACATCGTCAGGCGCCACGAGCCGCCGGATCCGGTACTCAGCCGGGAACCCGTCCGCGAGCTCCTTGACTTTCTCTGCGGTGCGCGCCACGACGTAGATGGGTGCGTAGCCGAGCGAATGCAGCGCATAAACGGCCGCGCGCGTGGTTCCGCCCGACCCAACGACCATGGCGGCTTCCCCTCTGGACGCCTCGGTGCGGTTGCGGGCGTGGACGAGGCCGGCGGAGCGGAGCGCAAACACCATGCCCATCCAATCCGTGTTGTCACCGCGGAGGACTGTCTTGCCCGCGTCGGCGACAGGGATGATGGTGTTGACAGCACCGATGGCGCGCGCGGCGTCAGACACCTCGTCCAGCAGGGGCATGATGTCTAGCTTGAGCGGGATGGTCACCGAGGCGCCGCCAAAGTGCGGCGCCCGGATGAGGTCCTCGACGTCAGCGGCTTTGTCCGTCTCGAAGAGCGAGTAGTGATGCGGCAGGCCGGTCGCGGCAAACAGCGTGTTGTGCAGCGCGGGCGAGCGAGACGAGCTGATGGGCTTGCCAAAGAGGTAGAAAGATCTGGGCTCCAGCTCACCAATAAGAGCCAGAGCTTGCCGGATCTCGGTAGCCGACAGCTGGCCCGGCGCCGCCTTGGCTGGCAGCTCCGGGTGGGAGACTGGCGTCATGAAGCCGTTGAGCACCCTACTAAGTTTGCCCGCGGGACCCATGTTCAGCGCAATAATGGGCGTCTCGTGCGCAGCAAGCATCTTCGTCTTGAAGTTGATGAGAGCAAAGTTGTCGCCGACCTCAACGGCCGTGCCCACGAGCTTGATGATGTCGCCGTACTGCAGCGCCTTGTTGTAGAAGGGAACCCAGGAACCGTTCCTCCACGAGAGCTTTCCCTGGGGATCGTGATGCGACGCAATAATACGCGTGAAGCCCTTGGACTCGGTCACGTCTTCGACAATTTCGGTCGGCATGGTCATCTCCAGATCGAGATACTCCACTCCGGTCCGCAAGCCAACTTTGTAGAGCTGGTGAGCCAGCTTGAAGTCGTCATCAGGGAACCTACCCCCTTGACTGACTGTGCGCACCGTGTAGACAATTGGGATCTTGGCTGCCGACCTGAGGAGAGCGACTTGGTGAGCGACAAACTCTGGCTCGTAGCTCTCTAGCAAGTCCACGCGCAGCTCAACGGCGTCAGATCCGACAACCGCCCTAGGGACGAGGTCGAGCTGTGTAGAGACATTGGGGACAGTGAGCGAGACAAAGAAGGAGTGCTTCTTCTTGCGGATGTCCTCAAAGTGCGTGGACTGGCCGCAGATCACGGAAAGAAAGCGGCTGAAGTCCGGGGGGGGTTCGAGCAACACCTCGGAACCATCCAGGTGCGGGCTGTGGTACTGGAAGTTGCTGCATCCTTCGAACCAGGGCTTGCGGCGGTAGTAGACCTCCCGAATGTTTTCCGAGTAGGCGGGCCGGCTCTTGTCCCTCATCAGGTACTCCACAACCTGGTCGGTGTCGCGATGCACCTGAAGAACGCAACCGCCGTTCTTCTGGTACGAGATGAGCAGGTTGCGTGCTGCTTCAGTCTCAACGATGCCACCGCCGCAAGAAAAGATGTAGCCATTGGACTGATTCTTCATGACATCTTGGAGAAGCTCAAGCTCGGCCTTTCTAAAACCCTCCCAACCTCGTTCGCCGCGGATGATGTCGGGAATAGACATGCCCTCCCTTCTCTCCAGCTCCACATCCAAATCGATCAGGGGCCTCTTCAAATTTTCCGACATCCACCGGCCAGCCGTAGACTTGCCCGCACCACGCATGCCGATGATGAAGATGGATCGGTCTGACCCTGAGCGAGATGACTTGACAGCGTGCTTCGCCGTCGGGTCCTCTTCTCCTTCCAAGTGCACCTGGAAGGCCTGGGACATGATGTCCCACCAGCCCGGCCAGGTCTTGGCGGTGCACTCGCGTTCGAGGATGAGTACGGGATGCGGGGAGACGGTGGACAGCACGCCGAAACTCATGGCGACGCGGTGGTCGTCGTAGCAGTAGATGCCCTCGGTGGGATTCCGCAAATCTTGGTAGGGCTTGCCAGTCACCTCGATGCCATCCTCCAATTCGTTGCAATGCACGCCGAACTTGGCGAGCTGGTCCTTCATGGCGGCAATGCGGTTGCACTCCTTCACTCGCTGATTGGCGATGCCGGTGATCCGGGTCGTACCTGACGCGGCAGCGGCAAGGACAGAGGCAGTCAGGAAAGCGTCGGTCATGGGCTCCATGTCGACATGCTCAATTGCCTTGAGCGTGCCGATGGGAGGTCCCGTGACGGTAGTCGAGGTCTCGGTCTGCTCCACGGTGCATCCCATGGGGCGGAGCACCTCAACGGCGAAGCGAGCATCCCCCTGGAGCGACGCGGAACCGATGTTGGGAATAGTGCAGGTCGTGCCGGTGATGGCGGCAACGGCCAGGGGATAGGTAGCCGAGCTGGCGTCGCTCTCAATGACATAGTCGGCGGGATTCTTGTAGACGGCCTGAGGAATGTGGTAGGTATTAGAATCCTCTGTTGACCTTTCGACCTTGACACCAAACGATGCCATCATGGCGATGGTCATGTCAATGTACGGCTGCGAAATGGGCTTGCCGCCGACGAGTCGGAGCGTGACGGGCTTGTGCGCGTAGGGGGCAGCCATCAGGATGGACGAGACATACTGCGACGAGACGGTGGCAGCCAGCTCGATCACACCGCCAGCGAAGCCCGCAGTGGCATCCACCTGAACCGGCAGGCTCTTTTCCTTCTCGAGGTACTTGACGCCCACACCGTTGGCGCGCAGAGCATCGACCAGCGCGCCAATGGGCCGTACCTTCATTCGCGCATTGCCCGTCAGGACGGTAGAGGAGACGGCAGACGGCGAGCAGAGGGCCGCAACAGAAGTGAGAAAGCGCGAGGCGGTGCCGGCATTGCCAAGATACAGAGGCTCCTCGCTGGCCTGCAGCTTGCCACCCTTGCCCTTGACGACGAGGACCTCCCCAGCATCCTCCCAAGTGTAAGTGGCGCCCTGGAGCTGGCCGATGGCGGTAAGCATGTACTGGGTGTCATCCGAATGGAGCAGCCCGTGGATGCGCGTGGTGCCCTCTCCGAGGGCAGCCAGGACCAGAGCGCGGTTGGAGATGCTCTTGGAGCCGGGCGGCGTCACGCTGACGATAAGACCCTGGGGCACGCCCGGGGTTACTCTGATGGAAGGAGATAGGATAATGCGGATGGCGCGGTCATCGACCACGGTAGCCTTTGGCTCATAAGTCTTGCCAATAGCCGAGAGCAACACAATCTTCTTCTTCCGCCCTTCGTTCTTCTTGTCGACAGCCATCTTCTGGACGAGCACATCGACGGGACACTCCTTACCGGCCGACAGCCTGGTGATGCGCTTGTCGTGAACCGAGGTGGGGAGGTCGTAGCTGGCGATGCATTTGGTAAGCCGGGCAACAGCACCGGGGCGCAGGACGCCGAGGAAGCGGGCCAATTCGGCCTCCTTGACCATGCCGATGGCGACACACTCGCCGTGCAGCACCTGGGGTGCAAGGATGGCCTCGTAGGCGTGGCCAATCGAGTGGCCGAAATTGAGCAGGTTGCGAAGGCCGCCCTCCCGCTCGTCGGACGAGACCACCTCGGCCTTGACCCGCGCCGAACCCAGCACAATGCGTTTCAGTATGTGGCGGATGGGAGCGAGACGGGCGGACGGGCTGGAACCCTTGGAGCGGATGGCCTCGAGAATAGCGGAAGCGTTCTCCTCCAGGGCGGTGAACTCGGACTCATTCCAAATGGCAGCCGTCTTGATGACCTCGGCCATGCCGTTGATGAACTCGCGAACGGGGAGGGTCTCGAGGAAGGCCAAGTCGATGTAAATGCGCTGGGGCTGCCAGAAGGCGCCGATCAGGTTCTTGCCCATGGGCACGTCGATGGCCGTCTTGCCGCCAATGGATGAGTCAACCATGGCGAGCAGGGTAGTTGGGACCTGGACGAAGCGCACACCGCGCATGAAGGTGGCGGCAACGTATCCGATCATATCTCCAATGACGCCGCCGCCGAGGGCAATGATGACGGTGTCGCGGGTGCATGCCTGTGCCAGCATCCAGTCCTCAATCTCGGCCTTGGTCTCGCGACCCTTGGAGTATTCGCCGGGCGGGATGGCGTAGGTGAGCAGACGGGCATCTTTCGGGGCTTGCTTGTCAAAGACTTGCTGGAAGGGGGGCACGTAGGTCTGGTAGAGGTTCGTGTCGGTGATGAGGACGTAGGTGGACGACTTGAGGTTCTCGAGAAGGTCGTGAGTCACATAGGAGAGCCAGATGCCGTGGTCGACAATGATGTCTTCCTTGCCCAGGATGGCGATCCGCGTGGGATCGGAGCCGCTGGTGCCCGCCATGGTTGTCGGACGGTGCTTGACGGCTCAATTGGGCCCCAGCATGCGCCTGTGGTAGTGGTGATGGGGCAGGCAGAGCTGTTTGTTTGTTCCCGGACCAGGTGGTGGCGGTCGTGGGGGGGCGGTGGGCAATTTGTGGGTTTTAAGGTGTGCTGGAGTCAGCTTAATCGGATGCTGTTCCGACGCGGGGAAAAAAACTTAAGCGGAAACCCCGCGACTGCTTGCGACAATCGGCCCAGGCAAGCTTTGAGACACTAATAAGACAGGCAGAAGACTCGCTGCAGGGAGTGATGCCGAAGGTATAACTTGCAAGTTTGCATTTTCCTTTCTCACAACCTAAGAGATTCAGCCAGGACGGTGCCTTGAACAGGTTTCTCTCGTAACTGGGCTCCAGCTGTCTATAACCTTTTTGCTGAATCTCTCCTGTGTCATGGTGCCGTGCTGATGTCGTCTCCGGTGTTACTCTCCGGTTGTCTCACCTCATACATCTACCTGTCCAGTGAGTGCCAAACAGGTCGCGACCTGGTCGCGGTTCATTGATGGGTCCTCTGGGATTGATGCATCCTGTCCTTGGTGAGTTGATGTTGAACAGAATCAGGCGTAAGAGATACGGTAATTATCCGTGAGGCCGTTGTCGGAGCTCAAACGGTGGGATCGTGTATTATACGATACGGCGAGATAGTTACGCAACTGAGGAGGTCATATGGTCTGTGCGCGAAGCTTGGCAAGGGACTCATTCTACCGCTTTACTCCAGAACGTTATCTGACTGAGCTTTTAAAACTAACGTTGTATATCGTAGCTCATTCCATGGATTATCAGTCACCAAAGAGTTTCAGTGCTCATTGATTGCCCCAATTGCTTTCCATGATTTCCGTAGAACCCCGTTTGGCAAACTCTGCGAAGACCCGAGCAATAACATGTGCTGCACCTACCCCTGAAACTCCAGCCCCACCCGCCGCTGCCTTCCCCAGATGCTTGGCGCACCACCAAAACTGCCGAGCAGCCCAAGCAGGCAACGACAGGCAGAGGCAGGGCATCAAGACGCCCTTCAGGCATTGCTGCCGTAAGAGCCGTGCAACATTCTTATTTTCTCCATGCCTGTCTCCCGGATCCCTTGGCCATGGCGGTTCTTCTGCCTGGTGCTGAAGATGGCATCTCCACTCCTCCACGGAAACCCCTGGTAAGAGCTGCTGTGAGCTTCAGGGGTTCAAGATAAAGTTACCGCGAGTTTTGAGGTTATTCTTGGGCAGTCGACACTCAGAAATCAGCACAGCAACTACACCACACTCGTCCACGCCGGGACTGGTTTCCAACATGGCCTCCCCCAAGTCGGTCCTGTCAAAGACGCTCCAGAGCATCACACTCAGCAAGATACGCGAACTTGAATCACGCCACAAGACGTACGAAGCCCGCAAGCGCGAGTACCTTGCCAAGGTCGATGCGGCTGCCGATGAGCGAGACCGTCTCGCCTGTCTCATCGACGCTCTCCGGGAACTCTCTCCGGCTGCCACCAAGGATGTCAGCCTGAGCAACCTGAAGCGTTGGCTGGACCAGTCCCGCTACGATGCCTCCATCCCGGTATCTAAGCTGGCCAGCTTCAACCGCCAGCTTCGCGCCAAGCTCGACATCCAAAGCCGCAAGCTCGACATGGCCCACCTGTACTCGCGTCTCTTGACCGGTATGCTTGCCTCTACTGCACCTATGCCTGCCGAACAAAGTGTACAATTACAGATTTTGATGGGTTGGTGTTTTAGAGTGGATGGACCAGCCGCTTGTCGACCCGGTGCCTGCTTCAGCTGATGATATGGACAACGACTCCTTCGAGGTCGTCGAACGCCAGCGCCAGCGCCTGAGCGAACTCGTAGACAAGTTTGAGTCGGTTGTCTTTGAACGGCTCGAGACAGACGAGGCCGCAATCCGAGACTTCCTCAACGGCCTATTCCCGGATGAGGAGAGCCAAGAGGAGCTCGAGAAGCTGCGCAACAGGATTGCCGACGACAGTGCCAGCTTTATGTCCGAGACAGCCCCATTCGACGAGGCGTCCCTTACCAGCTGCATCAAGGGCCTCCTGACCGAGGACATCCTCAGTGACGAGAAGCAAGCCATTCTGCGGGACTTTCTTGAGAACGACATTGCCAAGTCGGAGATTGCTGACGTCTTGAACATGCGCTTCTCCGACTTGAAGCAGTGGCATTGGGACGCCGGGAAGGATGGCATTCGTGTCATGCCGCGCCGCGGTCTCAACGGCAAGTATCGCGTCTGGGCCGATGACGACATTCTGCAAATGATCTTTGTTCAGTACATCGGAATCAGACTGTGCAATCTCCTCAAACCGGCTCTCAAGGATTTCATGCAGAGGGTGTGCTCCAAGAATCTCCAGGGCCGCGTGGCGCCGACCTCGGCCGATCTGGAAAGGCATCGCTTCTACTTGCACAGCACACCGATTCCCATCTCTAGCATTGAGTCGCGGCGCAAGTCGGACTACTTTGACAAGTTCTTCCTCTCGCAACTCCCTGCCACCGAGACCTCGCTCTTCGATGGGGACAACAGGTACGACGACGATGATGATAACGATAGTGACAGCGATGCGAGCGAGGCCGCCGACGTCACTTCCTCTCCGCAGAAGCGGTCTGGCATCAAACAGCAACTCCTGCGCCACCTTACCGCCGAGCTGATTGTCCATCGGCTCCGCGGCCTCACCCACGATACCCGGACAAGCCCCGGAAGCGGTGTGGCTCTGGTACAGACGGATCTGCAGTGGTATGCCACCGGGCTTTCGCATAGCACCGTCTTTGCCGTCATGCGCTATGTCGGTTTTGGCCAGGACTGGATTGACTTCTTTAAGAAATACCTGGAGTCTCCCCTGAACCTAGACGCTGCCTCGGACAACCGACCCCAGCACGGCCCCCGCATCCGCAAGAGGGGTGTCCCCATGGCACACGCCTCGGAGAAGTTCACGGGAGAACTGGTGCTGTTCTTCATGGATCTTGCGGTGAACCGTGAGACGGGCATCCTGCTGTACCGGCTGCATGATGACATCTGGCTCGTCGGCGAGCCCCAGAGAAGCGCTCAGGCATGGAGCTGCATGCAATCGTTCGCTACGGTATTCGGCCTCGACTTCAACAAAGCCAAGACCGGCTCCATCTACCTTCCCGGCTCCTCCAAAAAGGACACTACCATCGCCAAGACGTTGCCGGCCGGTCCTGTCAGGATCGGCTTCTTGTGTCTCGACCCCGAGTCTGGGAGATGGGTCATCGACCAGAAGCTCGTGGTGGCTCATGTGGACCAGCTAGAGAAGCAGCTGACCGAGTGCAAGAGCGTGCTGTCGTGGGTCCAAACGTGGAATTCATGCATTGGCCGCTTCTTCAGCCACACATTCGGCGAGCCTGCCTACTGCTTCGGGCGGGAGCACGTCGACGAGGTCCTGGACACGTATCGGAACATGTTGCGGAGGCTGTTCCCTGGCTCTAAGGGCAACGAAGGAAGCGTCGTTGAACACCGTAAGTGCAGTTCTCATTGCCGGTCTTTCTGCATCAGACTAATCATTCCATCCCGCTACAGTCAAACACATGATCCAGGATCGCTTCGGAGTCCCGGATTTGCCGGACTCTTTCATCTACCTGCCAGAACAGTTGGGAGGCCTGGGGCTCCGCAATCCGTTCGTGGGCTTGTTCTTGATCCGCAATAAGATCATCCAGACGCCCCAGGAGATTGTCAACGAGTACCTCAAGCAGGAGCGCGACAGGTACCTGCAAGCCAAGAAGACATTCGAGGCGCTCGACGAGCCAGCCCTGCGCCGCCTCCTGCGGTACATATACCCCGACCCCGACGCCGTCAAAGAACGCGCCATCTCAGAGTCGGACATGACCACCTTCTTCTCGCTCGCGGAGTATAGCCGGTTTCGCGAAGGAGACGATTACGGGTTTTGGTCAATGTTTCAGAAGCTGGTGACGGTCCCGGAGACGGAGGAGATCGCCTTGAGCAAGGAAGTTGAAAGCGGGCTGAGGGAGTTCCTGGCTGACAGTGTCCGGCTGGACTCGGAGAAGAAGTGGTTTCTGCAGCTCTATGCGAGGGAGCTGCTGGAGGACTTTGGTGGGCTGAGCCTGGTCGACAAGCAGTTCCTTCCCGTCGGCGTACTGGCCATGATGCGGGGAAAGAAGGTCAGCTGGAACATGGTCCTCTGAAGGATGCTTGGTGTTGCGAACCGCTTCTGTGATGGATGATCCATCACAGAAGCAACTATTCGTTGAACGAAACAACCAAGGACTGATATCGGGATTATCATGTATGCCGTTTTGTAATACATGCTATTGGTTTTCTATCCGCCAATACCCAAGGTTTTCGATGCCCGTTCCAGAACGCCGATTGAGTTCCCGTCCCCCGTTATTCTACACACAAAGTTTCCTCTTCCTTCACTGAGGCAAACACGACGTCACGTCCGCCTCAAACGCCCCCATCAGCAGCCGACCGCTCCTCACTTAGATTGTAGCGCCCACGGACGAGATCAGCTCTGGCCGGGTCAACCCTCGGCTGCCGATACCAGATCTTGTGGCCTGCCCACAGGACCACGAACAGGATCAGACTGATGTATGCCGCGAAGAAGTTGCTCACGTCCCAGTCGATGAAGACGGTGAACCCCTGCGTCAGCGTGATCAGGATGTTCATGGCCAGGCCGTAGATGGCCGTGTACGGCTGGAACCGCGACACATAGGGCAGCTCGCTTCGGGCAATCCCCTGCGCCTTGAGCGCCCGCATGAAGTACAGGTGCGACAGGCAGGTGCTCGCCCACGTGGTCAGTCCTGCCACGCCCGTGATGTTGAGCAGCCAGTTGAACACCTTGCCGCCGTCCGACGACAGGTTGAGGAAGCCGAGCAGGCCAAACGCGGCCGTCCCCGCCACGGAGTAGATGGGAATTCCGAAGCGGTTCGTCTTCTTGAAGATGGCCGGCGCCTGGCCCTCCTCGGCCAGCGCAACCAGCACGCGGCTGCCCGAGTAGACGTTGGAGTTGGCCGCCGACAGGACCGCGGTGAGGAGCACGGCATTAATGATGTCGGGCAGCACCTTGACGCCCGCGCGGTGCGCGGCGATGACGAGCGGCGAGGCCGAGGCGTTGGACGAGTCGTTGAGCAGGCTAGTGTCATCGGACGGAACCACCATGGTGATGAGGAGCATCGTCACCACGAACAGGCCCATGATGCCCCAGTACGTGACGCGGATCGCCTGCGGGACCGTCTTGCGCGGGTCGCGGGCCTCGCCGGCGCCGACGCCGACGAGCTCGGCGCCCTGGTAGGCGACCGAGGCTTGGATCATGACGGCCCAAAAACCGACGAATTTGCCGATGCCGCCCGAGACGAGGTATTCGTTGAAGGCACCCGGGTCGTGCCAGTACGTGAAGCCCAGCACACCCTCCTGGCCGACGCCGCCGGCGATGCAGATGGCGAAGATGATGAACCCAACAATGGTGATGACCTTGAGACTCGACAGCCACATCTCGAACTCCCCGTACAGGCCGACAGGGAGGTAGTTGACGAGGGTGAAGACGACCCAGAAGACGGCAATGATGATGCCGATGTTGATGTCTTCGTTCCAGTATTGAATGATGAGTCCTGCGGCTACAAGGGACAGCGCGTAGGTGACGGCCCCTGATTATAATTGTCAGGACTCACTCACCAAACAATCATAGCACGTGGAAGGGGGGAGTGGGAGGGGCGGCACTCAGAAGACAGAGACATAACTTACATCCAAACCAGTACAGCCATCCCACAGCGAAGCCCAAGCTCGCATCAACAAAGCGCGTCGCGTACGACGAGAAGGCGCCCGCAGTCGGTATATACGTCGCCATCTCGCCCAGGCAGACCATGACAGACCACAGGATGGTCCCGACAAAGATGTAGGAGATCAGGCATCCCGCCGGCCCGGCCTTGACCAACGCGGTTCCGGTGCCCAGGAAAAACCCAGTGCCAATGGTGCCTCCAATAGCGATGAAGTTGAGGTGTCTCCCAGACAGCTGCCGCTGCAGCTCGCCCTGCTTCGCCGAGTCGGCATCGCCAGTGACGCCATTGTCGCCCGCCTTGGCCTTGATCTTCTCGCCTTCGGTGCCGAAGATGCCGACCGCGCCGATGTCGTCCCCGGAAGAGGAGTAGTCCGCCGGGTTGGCCGGCCAGGTCTCGGTGGCCTTCATCGGCCCTGTCCACCTCCCGCTTTTCTCTTTTAATCCTTCTTGCGTGCGCTTAGCTGCGATCTTGGCGTGGAATCTGGTTGGAAAGGAGCCCGTCGGAAGGTTATATAGTCAGGTCCGACCAAGGGAAAGGGGGTTTGGCCTCCAGACGCGTCTACCAAGAACCGCAACGATGACCGGAAAAAAACAGACAGACAGGAGCCGACAACCGAGGGGCCGAAAAAAAAACGAGAAGACAGTGGAAACACGTCAGTGGAAGTACGACGAAGCAGAGGAGTCTAAGAGTCAGATGCCCCCTGGGAGTGAATCACCACTCAACGAGAGAAAAAAAGTTTGACCGCCTGTGTGGATACCTCCCGTTCATCCAGTACAACTTCTCAAGACCCAGACGCCAAAGAGCTCACAAGTAACCTTGATAACAGCAATACTGTGTATAAAAGGGATAAATGATGGTCGAGCGAGGTTCTTGAGTAATCCAATCCCAACCGTCAATGCCAAAACGCGGAGCCACGACGGCGGCTATCCAAGGCCCGGTAGCAGCTTCCTCCGGAATAAAAAATTCGTGGGTAGGCACAACCTTGTTTGTATGGCAAGCCTTTCTTTCCGATATTAAGTTCGAAGTGGGTATGTGAGGGATGCACGTTGTGAGATAATGGATACGCAAAGACGGAGCAAAGTCAGGGGTAATAACACACAACAAAAATATCGTCCGATCCCATTATGTGGTATCGTACGGAGTATATAGATATCTTCAATTCTCAAAGCGAGCAGGCGAATACTCAGCAACAATCTTTCCATTTTGCCATCCCAACATCGCCATCCTCCTCCCGTCTCCCACTCCATGGAAACCAATCACCCAAACCTTCCCGAGCGCCGACCGAATCCAGACCAGGCCACTACAGAACCATCACGAACCGTTTTTCAAAAATTCGAGCCAGCCCAATCACATCCCTTCCAAGCCGCATCCACCGGCCGCAGCCGAACAAAGCCGCAGAGCCCCATCGGTTCCTGGCCGAAAGCCGCCATGAAATGATGAAATGCGAACCCACAAGCTTCAAGGAAGAAAAGAGAGTCCACAACCAATGTAACCCTACTTTTGAAAAACGCTCAAATCCGAGTATCCACCGCCGATCATGCATCGCAAACTCGGCAAGCTCGCGGCTGACCGCGCACCACGGTGACACCGACCGACCGGGGCAGTCTTGCCGAGCGCCTGCGGCCACATTGCTTGGCGGGCAATGCTTCCTTGGTGGCAGAGTGGCAATGCCAAGCTGGAAGAAACTTTTTCTCGTGGCCTCGCTTTCCGGTCTCCGCATGCAGAACTCCAAACAAATAGTTATCCATGATAAAATGACAAACAGAATGGGGATGGATGGATTGACCCATGATTGATAAGGGGGGTTGTTGCGTCCGCTACTTATGCGCCTCGGCAGCCCCTGGTGACGATGAATTTGATCTGGCTATAAACCGCAGTTTGTCTCCTGGGTCACTGCGTAGCAAACTAACTCTACACCCTGCTCTAGTCATTGGCATGGTCGTGAACTCCTGGCTAATCGCGCCCCCATGTAACCGTCTTCAACAACAAACAAATAGACAAGCAAGCAGTGCTGTGAATGCCATAATCCCAGAAACCATGTAACAATACCGCAACACCCATTTTTGTGTATTCCCCAGGAACACCCTTCAAACCCGCATACCCCCAGTCCAAGACCGAACGAGTTGTACATACCCTAGCAAAAATAAACACCATGACGCCAGGCCACCGAGGCCTAATGCACCATCCCCGCCCTAGAAACACCGCTCTTCAAGGAATCTCGATATGCTCCTCCCCGTGGTCCAAGTTCTGTCGCGATTGCCGCTCGCTCGAGTCGCTGTTCTCCGACAGGTGCTTCTCGTCCCACTTGCTGCTGGTAATGGGGTTGACGTGCATCAAATACATCGTGTCGATTTCCTCCAAACTGCGATCCTTGCTCTCGATCATGAAAAAGAAGACGATCAAGACGAGAACCGCGCAGCAGCCCGCAAAGACCAGTCCGTAGAGATAATCAATAGCGTCCGTGATGAACCGCGTGAAGAAGCTCATCAAAAAGTTGAAGAGCCAATTGCTCGCCGTCGCGATCGCCATGGCCGGTGCGCGATACTTGGCAGGATAAAGCTCGGCGACGACCGCCCAAACGAGAGGACCCCAGGTGGTGGCGAAAGCAACGATGAACAGGCAAGAAAAGACGATGAGGACGTTGCCCGCCGCGGGCGTGTTCGCAGGGTTGGTCTGGTCGAGCTTGAAGTGGCCGACGAACGAGTAGACGAGGAAGCAGACCATCATCCAAGCAGCACCCGCCATGAGGGCGTTCCTCCTGCCGCACTTCTTGACCACGTACAGACCGCCAAAAGTGCAAAAAACGTTGACGGACCCAAGAATTATCTGGGTCACATAACTGTCGCTGAGGCCCGTGGCCCGAAAGATGGTCGTGCCGTAATAGAAGAAGAAATTCGCACCCGTGAGTTGTTGGCCAGCCTGCTGCGCCGTTAGTATGCGACATACTGTGAGCAGCATCAGGGAGACTTGCCATTAGAGTGATACCCAGCAACGTCCGGTACAGCATGCGGGGACCTGTGAAGATCTCATACCAGTTGGTGGCCTCGCCGGCTCTCTCCTCGTCCAGCTTGGCACGAATGTCATCAATCTGTTGGTTGACGGAGGCGGCGTTGATATCGAGACCTGCCAACCGAGCGATGGTTCGACGGGCCTCGTCTTCACGACCCTTACGGTAGGCGTGTCGAGGCGACTCGGGCAGGACGAGGATGCCAGCGCCAAGAATCAGGGACCACAAGAAAGACAGACCGTTGGGGATGCGCCACGATGCCGACGTAGTCATGTTGTGGGTGCCGTAGTTGATCATTTCAGCAGTCCAGATCCCGAGCGTGATAAACAGCTGATACGTAGAGATGAGGAGGCCTCTAAGGATAGCAGGACTCGACTCAGACTGGTACATGGGCACGGCCACCGAGAGAGAACCGATGCCGAGGCCAGTCACCAGGCGGCCGACGGCGAATTGAGGCCAAGAAGACTGGGACGAAATTTCGATAATATTGCCGACACAGCAAAAGAGAGCGGACACGGAGATAGCCATGCGGCGGCCTAGAGAATCAGCGATGTTGCCGGCGATGAGGGAGCCAAAGAGACACCCGGCAGGCAGGAGGCCGACAATCGCGCCCTGGCGAGCAGCACTGAAGGTTATGCTGCCCGTGGCGGCGTTGTGTTCTCCGAAGCGGCGGCCATAGTCCTCCATATCGAAGAAGCCCGATATCTGACCGCTGCGGTCCGTGTCAGCAGTGACCCACGAAACTTCCTTACAAAGAACGAGGGTGGCAGAACAGCTTGAGGCTGCTTACCTGACATAGCCAAACATGAAGCCACCAATGCTGGCTACCGCACCGAGGAAGACGGCGATGGCCGTGATCTTCTGCTCGGCAACAATCGCCGCCGCCGACGGTCCCTCTGGCTTGCGGGAGGTCTGCTCGGCCGACCCTTTCTGGAAGCGTTTAAACGCCATCTTGTCGATGCAGTGGCGGGTGAGGTGGTGGCTCTAGTCAGCAGGCCAAAGGGCTTCTTCTTCATAAAATTCCGGGTTGTGGTCAAGAGAGCGTGGCTTGGAAACAATAGAAGGGTGGACTTCTGGCGATATTAAATTTCGAACCGGTGAAGGAGAAAGTCGAGGAGGACCCATTGGCAGTTCCACGCACGAGAAAACAAGGACCCGGTTTTGAGTTTTGTTGATCAGCTGGACGTGGGAGCTTCGCCCATGGAGAAGGGAAGGCGCGAGAGACGAGAGAGGGGTCCCCATGGAGTCGAACGAGAACCTGGAAAGAGCAGCCATCGCATACCGACCCTGCCGAACCTCGATTGTCCGACCGCATCGTTGCGCCCTCCGCCGTTTGTCTGCATCATTCAACTTCCCTCGCTTCCTGAACGCTGTCATCACAAGAGTACACTGCATGTCAGTCTCTCGAATGGATCGGCGCATTCACGGCAGTTGGTGCTCGCCACCGGGAGGACCCGTAGGGCGTGGATCTCGAGGGTCGGCCTGTATGTAACGTCATATTACCGCGCAGTGGAGTGACGTTATTCGGCCCGTTCACATCGGAACTGGCGGACGCCCTTGCGGCTCCGTCGCAGTGGATCGGAGCGGAGCTACCAAAGATAGAATTCTGCCAATTCTGATATTACCACGTCTTCGCACGCAGAGAACCCGAAACACGTCTCACCAACAGCGTCAGTGGCCGATATTTTGCGTCAAACGCCTGGGGAAGAAACAAGTTTTACTTTGGGGGCCCCGACAGCTCCCTCCAAATCAGACCACGCCGCCCACATTTGCACGTTTTCTTGTCTCGCAAACCCCGAGCCTGTCGTACAAACCGAGCCAGCTCCGTGGTGATGATGTCAGGTTTGGTGTTTGTCCCACCGCCGGCGGTGTCGCCGGAAATGATCTCCGGTACGCTTTGCATGGGAATTGCTCCTGTGCGTTTCGAATCTACAGCAACTGTCATTATTAAGTCGGTGGCTCTCCCGCCAAGTCTAAGTTCATGAGGGGTCACAGATGCAGAGATCTCGCGTCAAGACCGCCGCGAATACAGCTGCCGGCCTCGTGGCCCGGGAAGGAGAAGTCAGGCAAAAAGCCCTTGCCTGTTGGTGTCTCAAGGCTGTCAAGAAATGACAGGTGCAGTTTCTCGGCGGCAATGCCGCTTGCCAGATTTTGAAGCTCGGACGAAACCACCAAGGCTCCATAGAACACTTGTTCAAATTTTCCCTCGTCTCATGGGCCGAGGATCGACCGACAATTGGATCGTATCGCGCGGCAACCGTCTCAAATATACCTTACTTTGTTGAGATCCATGAAGCATTTCTGGAATGGTTCAAGGATGCGCACCTCTGTGAGATAGGGCATCGCTGGTTGCTGTGTCCGTTCATCCACGGTGACCTCAACTGGCAGCTGATGTCATGCCAACTGGCCATTACGGTATTGCCGTTCGAGCAGGTCGGTCCGACTCGTCGTTGCTGGCTCTGGCTGGACACCTCAAAGACTCTCCTGGTAAGCACGGTCGTGGACTCATGCAGACCCGAGCCTGGCCATGCGCAAGATCTTCGAAAGACTGAAAACTGTTTTGAGGGGGAAGGAATGGGTCATCCCTGCCCGACCCGGAACCATCCAGCATCATCGACCAATCACATTGTGTCCAAAGGACTCAATCTCCCGAGAGTGCTGTCCCCTGTCAACGCGCGACCAGAACGCGCTCGGCACGTCTGATCGAAATCAGCCACCATCGAAGCCTGTAACATTTAAATATTGTGCGGACTCCCTGAGCTCTTTCTTTCTTTCTTTCTCTTTGGTCTTGTTTTTGATTCTCTTTTTCCCCCTTTTTCTCTTATCTTTTTTATTCTCCTTTCTCTTTCTTTCTTTCTTTGCTCCTGCTCGAGAGACGATGCGGGGCCGTCCATCGATGGCCTTGTCTACCTAGACCTTCCTGCTCGTTCCCCGCCGTATTTTCCGTAGGGTAGCTGTTGCTCATCGCTCTTGCACATTGGTGCCATGAGGTGTCTCGAAATCTAGACTTGCCGAACGGCCGCGACAAGGGGTTGCGATCCGAATTCCGTGATGCTGTTGCTGACAGAGGAAAGAACAGGCCATACAAGACTGCAAGTCATGTTACAGCGACTTCGATCCTGCCACGGACCGACCGCCGTTAGTTCAAAACGCGCCACGTCACGCCACGGGCCTTATGGGATAGTCACCCTCACCACCTCCACTGTTTGTTGACCCGGTAGCCACCGAACCATGACTAAAGGACGACGGGGTGCTCGTTGGACGGCGTAGACTGCAGCGAAAGCATTGGACACCATGGGCTCCGAGAACTTAGGTAGGCAGCTCTTACAGGTTGCGCGGGGACCCGGCGCAACGAAGACGCCAGGACTGCCAATTTCACTTGCGAGCAACAATCACGACTTGGTCATTCTGAATGCAGGTTCAGATGCGGAGCGTGTCGGGCTCAGAAGTCCGTGAACCGGGCTCAACGGCCACCCAGCGCCTCCATGGAATCAAATCCACCTATTCCCGGACAAGACGAGGATACATGGCTCCAACTGCAAAAGGTCCAGTGCCAGAGACGTCTGATCAAGGCATCTCCAAAACACTCACCTCCCATTAGCCCCGTCTCAACCTTGGCGGCCCAACCCCGGTCCCGTAACGAGCTCTAGGCTGTCTTGGTCGCAGTAGGACTCGGCGGGCATTTCGAGTCGGTGATGGTGGCGATTCCCCAGCCAGTCGAGCACTGGTAGCACGGCGACCTCGTCGGGCAGATGGTGACCGTGGTTGGGCTGACGGCGGCGCTGGAGCATCCGCATGGCAGCACGACGAAATCTGCGTGATTGCAATGTTGATCAGCCGGCAAGTTCACTTTGCCCTGGCTTTTAGAAGGGACTATGATGATGCTACTAACGATCGGCGATGCATAGCGGCGATGTCGGGCAGGGTATGTCACACCCCGTGGTGGCGAACCATGTCGCCGTTGGCCGGTAGGTGCATGACGCCGGCAGGCCCGAAGTTGATGATGTTTGCTTGGTGTTGGAGGACGTGGCAGGGCAAGCGGGTGAGCCCATGCCAGGGGTGCTGTTATCGTGTCAGTTGTTGAGCCGATGAGTCGGAGTAAACTCAGGCCGACGGAGGATGAGTTTCGCTTACACAAGTGCGGCAATGGCTGCCACGATCAAGGCCGAATACCTCAAGGTCATCTTGTCGAGAGTATGGGTGTTGTTCTCTGTGTGGACTCGAGACTTCGCATGGAGTTTGGCAGTGAAATAATGCGCCGTTGAGGATATGAGATTGGTCCCGTCCTCGTTTGGTTCTCGGCAGGTGTTTGACCATTTGTACTTAAGCTAGGCACTCGGACTCACACCAGCCGTCGGCCACAGCAGCCGCCGGATGCCATGCGGCTGCGGGGAAGCCTACTCCCTCTCCGCATCCAGGAACGGCACGGCGGTTCCAATCATGCTACCCAAACCTCCAACTTGGGCTCGGCTAACCAGAAAAGCCGGCTAAGACCTGCAGCCACGGGGCTTTGTATCTCGTATTTCGGCGGTGGCTTGCGGTGCATGTCACCAGACGTTGAGATACGAATCCACGTCCCTTCTCTTTGTTTGAACCGCGGGCGGTCAGCGCTTTCCTGGTATACATGCCATTGGCATAAATGGCCGTTGAGGCTTTCGTAGGGTTAGAACATAGGAGCCGGTCATAAGATCCCGAGTTCTGATACATAAGAGAAAAAGTTTATGGGTGCACTGACCACACCACTCCGGGTTTCGCTACTTACCGGTGCTCGGTAGAACCAAACGATGTAGCCCGAAGTGGGGATGGTGCTTGTATGTATACATTGGGCCGGCGCAATGACACTGTGCCGTGAAGAGGTGACCTGCGGTGATTCTCTTCGCGAAGTGGCCGACACAGCGGGCTGATATCACTGATAGACCTTTCGAGCAGTAACTAATTTGTTCTGGTTCCTAGTCAGTCAACGCTGGCTTTGGTTCAACCGAGATCTGACTTCTCTACATCGGATCCAGCACCGCCTGTAATGTTTGGTTCGAAGCGAGCACATCGTCCATGCTCCCCTCTCCCTTACAGGCCCCCGGATAAGCAGACGAGTGCGGGCAATGTTCACTCGGCCAAGTAAAGTGCTCGGTCCGATGTAATTCGTTCGAGCAGATTGGAGTTATGTCTACCGCGGATTTACATGTAGGCAACTCAATAATTTGTGTCAGAATACGTCACGGTCGGAGTCGTTCATATTACACTGTCACCTGTTGCCGTGCCGTGATTGCAGCCCTTAAGAGCAAGTAGCCGAAATGAAACTAAGAGGGAACAAGAGACATGGAATTGGCGGGGAACCAAAAAAGGCCGGAGGAAGAGAAGCAGGAGTGAGAAATCACGGGCAGGTCGAGAGAAATCCAATACAATACAGCTACTGGTGCGGGTTTGGTTTGAGGTTTAGATTCCAGCTCTGCTCTCACATCAGCCATTAAACCATAGGTATTAAACTGGATATACTGAGTTGCAGACCCTAACTGGCACCTGGTAAGGACTTAACTATAACGTAGATACTAGACTAAGGACACAGTGAAACTCTGCTGTCCAGTTGGATAAGTGACAGATTCTTCACCCAGAAGCGGCTCGTTTCATCATACATAACTTCGAGCGCTAAATCACATATGGCACACGCTTATATGATGGAAACATTCAGATTACACTCTGCCCTCAGTGCCCCGCCAGCAATGATGACAGACCGGGATAGTGCTATGAGGCCCAAGGTCTCAATTAATCTTGTCTGTTGCAACCTGAGCAAGGATGTGCCATATAGGGCAAGTCAAACTGAAGCCGCGTTAGTACCCAACACAGCCACATGAACGCCATCTGTAAAGATTCCGCGACTCCTAATATCAACGATCATAACTACCACCAAGTAACCTAGGTGCCAATGGCGATGGTTCCCAACGCCTAGGGCTTTGGGGTGGGTTTCTCGGTCTGCACCAACTTGAAAGCCACCAGTCGACTCCAGGCCTCGTCACTTCGCGAAGTAAGCCCTCCCAAGGCTTTCATAGCCGGCTACCTGTCTTGAACCAGCAAGGAGGCTTAGTCAGTGAGCTCTTTGCCCTTCTTCATTCCATCTGACTGAGTCCCATTTCACACATTGCTGGCCTATTTGATTACACGTAACACACCACAGAATCTGAACAGTCCACTTCATACCCAATTCAAGAATTCACCGGTCTCTATACGCTCGTCCTAAGCTACTTTTGGGACAGGAGCCTACCACCAACCTCCGAAATCCGGGGGTGCCAGACCGAAATAAGGTTTCTGACACCAAGGTGTGATAGGTAGTGGTTGAGGCACGAGGCCGATGGGGCAGCAAACTCGGAGGCACCACGTGTATCAAGGTGAGCATGTACGCGGGAGGATAGAAGAAGACCCGAACCAAGCATAACTTCACCTTGCATGTTCAGGGTCTGCTGTCTCATTACTTCCTCGAACCCCAGCCACTGCCCACACCGTGACAATGTTGACTTGGGACTCAGTTCTCAAGTATTGGCTGGAAGATAAGGTTAAGTACGTACTCCATTATTACCCGTGAGGCGGAGCTGAGTCAACCATGCCAAACCAACACCTCGTCGGCATTGACTGCCTTTCTATTTGATTCGGTGATTTACGTTGACTCGAGGGTCGGCTACCCAAGTATGCTGCGAGTGCAACGCTAAATCAGGATGTCTCCATGCCGACGGCCAGGATATTCCCGGAGATTTTTGAGGTAGCATGGTGAAGGGGTTATCGGATACATGGCGCTGATAAATGGCGATGACAGAACTCAGTTGAGAATGTGTGCACCCGAGGCCTGGCCGAAATTGCCCGGGCCTTAGAAACATTGTCAGTGCCCTAAGTGACGCCGCCTATACCATGTCGCTGGGTTTCGAGGCAAGGGAGTATCTCAGGGCTGTTGCCGGTATTGATGGGATGCCAGTGGGCTTCACGGCGTTGAGTTGTCGCCCATCTTGAACACACCATGCCACCACGAGCTCATCAATCGATGTCAAAAGAAAACATGAACGGAGTGAAGAGTCCGCTGTCCAAGGAAAAAGCCCTAATTCTGTGCAGTGTTATTTCCTGGAAAGCGCGGAGAACAGACCCGATTTAGAATTACCTAAATCGTTCCCCAGTTCCCGCAACCATCCGCACAAGGTGAAGCAATGTCAAGTTGAATACCCTAATTACCCAGCTCCTTGCACATGCTCACGCAATGTACCATCGCATGAAGGCACGAGCGCGCTGGCTTGGCTTCGACAACATGTACCCTGCAACCCGACATCACATGAGGGACACTGAAAATGGGAGGGCCCAAGTCGTTAACTTGCCCAGTTCAGAAGACTTGACTTGGTGCGCCGGACTCGAATTGAGCCAGGTGACAGGACAAGGTCGAGCATACAACACAAGAATAATGTGCCAGCGGAAAAATTGAACGCACCAGGATAAAAGGCCAGGCTTCCAAGTTGGGAGGAAAGGGACACGAGTCAGGGACTCGGGGAAGTTGAGCAGCACAACCGCCACATCCAGCCAAGGACCTGGAACCAGTGCGATGGCAATCGTGGGGGCCCACATAAGGTCAACAGACCACAACGCGTCGAGTGACTCAAGTAATCACACGCGAGGCAGGCAATGTTTGATCAAGATTTCCGCTCCGCAGCAAGCAGGAGGGCCGCATCAATTATGCTGTGGTATGTCCGCCCGTGTTAACACCCGTTTGTCGACCGCCCCTATGGTACAGAACCCAGACAGTAAAAAGAAAAACCCAATTGCCCGTAAAACTCATCGCAGCCCAACCATAACCGATGGAGTGAGAAAAAGTGTGAAAAGCGCCGCTGAAATGTCATCAAGGTCATAGCCGCGGGGCAATTTAGCCACCGAAGCCGTAGAGGGTGCGGCCTTGCCGCTTGAGGGCATAGACGACGTCGAGCGACGTGACCGTCTTGCGCTTGGCGTGCTCGGTGTAGGTGACGGCGTCACGGATGACACCCTCGAGGAAGGACTTGAGGACACCGCGGGTCTCCTCATAGATCACTGGGGGGGTTAACGCGTTAGCAACGCGTCGTCTGGTGGGGAACGGTTTAACCGAAGATGACCGTGAACATACTGGCAGAGATACGCTTGACACCACCACGACGCGCCAGACGGCGGATAGCGGGCTTGGTGATGCCCTGGATGTTGTCACGGAGAATCTTGCGGTGGCGCTTAGCGCCGCCCTTGCCGAGGCCCTTGCCACCCTTGCCGCCTGGATGGGAAGACAGTTAGCATCACTCAGGACGGAGCGCGTCAAGTATTGTGATGCGACTTACGTCCGGTCATGATGATGGTTTGAGTGAAAAAGTGAAGTGAGGCTGAAAATGTGCAGCGGTTGTAAGATGCGGGTTGTGAGCACGAAGGTTGGTGGCAGGTTTGAGAACGTGGGGAAGAGAGCGGGCTTTAAATGTGGCAATGCCGATACGGCGGAACGCGCAGGTGCAACTCAATCAGATCACTGATCGAGACTTGGCTGATTTGCTTGGTTCTGTTTTTTTTTGGACCCCTGTTCTGATTTGGAGCGCGTTTCCTCTGCGCCGGGCCATGCGCGTGTGGGGCAGCCAGCCGCTCGCATGCAGTGGAAAGCGCCCCACTTGTTGGAATCAACAGCAGCATGTGCCTTCATACCACCGCGTGCCGATTTATGAGTGGTTCAAATTGGGCTACGGATTTATTTTGGAAGTTGGAGAAACTGCGCTAGATCAGACTCGGCTTGAATACGCTGGCGCCCGGGCTCGGGATGGGCCCAGATCCGTTCGGGCCCATCCCGGACCAAAGCCACCCTCTTCATTACCTGCGTCCAACATGTTGAGCCTCCGGGCCTTACAATCCCTGTATGACCGTCGCGGTTGAGTCACATCCCGGGTCCCGGATGCTCTCGGCACTGGAGTATGTAATCTCAATGGGCTGTGGACAAGTTGTCCTTCCTCTGAAGTTAGTCAGTGTGCTCAGCCCTGCCCTACCAGGCGATGCGGGGTTGGCAGATATCATGCCAGCTGTCCAAGTCCCCGGTCTTGCTCCTCTTTCCTGGGATCTTGGAAGGCCCAATGTCGGGTGTATCTACTGCGAACTCCATCACCTTGAGCCTTGAAATTGTAGTGCATGCTACTGCAGTAACACCAACGGGCATGGCATGAAGTTGGTGAACTCTTACTCGTAGCAACTCCAAGGTAGTTCACTTCTTGCTCGCATGTGCGCCGCAGCAGTTAAGAAGGGGTTTCGTACATCGTGCATTTGTTCGAAGCGATGCGTGGCTACTCAGACCCAGATGCACACGCCGTCTTCAAGTAGTTTGCCTGCCCTCTCATCCTGATAAGCGTCCAGCCTGTCTGTGCCTTTCACGTTGTTCTCCGTGGGTCTCTGGTACTGCAGGATGTGACTTTCCGCCACAGTCCTCTCACACAAAACGGCGACCAACTTTCTATTCACATTCTGCATCATTCCTTTGAACTTGCCAATGGCAGCCTGGAACATGAATGGATTGCTCAGCATCACCTTCCAGCCTTACGACTTGCGGATCTCGAATTGAGGTACGTACCCCGCTTCTGGTTGGCTGCACTCAGACCTATGTCAATGTCGAGGCAGCTGCGACCCCACAGTTCCGCAGCTGGCCCTTGCGTCAGTTGCATCAAGTTTTTGGGCCAATAGAAATTCATCTTCGCCGGCAACCAACATTTCGCAGCCAAATCGCCCGCCAAATACAAGCGTGTTTCCGCATGCAAAAAGCCGACCCATTTTCCCTTGCAACTGACCCCGGTTCTGGGCAGCGCGCATCAACAAAAAACGGCAGGCACAAATCAATCAAAAAAAGAGCCCGCCCACTTTAATCAGCCGGCAACGTGACCCCGCCTGCCTGCCTACATAAACCTCGCACCCCCCACTCGTTTCTTTCCTCTTTCAACTCACACCACAACTCCACCTTCAAATCATCAACCCCATCGCGGTTCTTCGATTTCCATCAACAACTGCCATTTACCCATCCATCAAACCAGCATCATCACACATCTACAATGGCTCGCACTAAGCAGACCGCTCGCAAGTCCACTGGTGGCAAGGCTCCCCGCAAGCAGCTCGCGTCGAAGGCTGCCCGCAAGTCGGCTCCCTCGACCGGCGGTGTCAAGAAGCCCCACCGCTACAAGCCTGGTACCGTCGCTCTCCGTGAGATTCGTCGCTACCAGAAGTCGACTGAGCTGCTTATCCGCAAGCTCCCCTTCCAGCGCCTGGTACGTTTTTGGATTTCTTCCCCAGTATCGGTCGGTCGCAAATGCGACCGACAATCGCGATTTTCCCCCTTCTATGTTACAATGACGTGGCCGCTAACAGGGTCGCGCAATGCAGGTTCGTGAAATCGCTCAGGATTTCAAGTCGGACCTCCGCTTCCAGAGCTCTGCCATCGGCGCGCTCCAGGAGTCGGTCGAGTCTTACCTCGTCTCCCTCTTTGAGGACACCAACCTCTGCGCCATCCACGCCAAGCGCGTCACTATCCAATCCGTAAGTCGCCACCCTCGTGCATCCGGAAGGCAGCAGTACACTCTGAGTCACGTCACGGATGCTAACAATCTTGCAGAAGGATATCCAGCTCGCTCGTCGCCTCCGCGGTGAGCGCAACTAAGCATGGTCTTTCCGGTCTTTGCTAGCTTGGGGTTTGGGTGGTTATGACTTTTCTCATTTGGGATGCTCTGATGGATGAGGGGCTCATTCGGCACACGGGATACCGGCGTTTTTGATTGCGATGGGTTTTCACTCTGGGGTTGTACATTACAACACGGCGGCAGGCGGATGCCGCTAATATTGACGTTGACTTCATGATCAAGCGCATGCTTTGCCTGTCTGGGACCTTGATACGTGACCTGCATGATCGATGTGCAGCCGCATTCTGTCGACGCGATACGACGCGCCTGCTGCACCCAAAACATTGCATCGCGAACTTGGTGGGTGGTGCTTGTGGTGGAGCTTACAGGGCCCTCACCAGGTTCTCACACATGCCGCAACATCCCGACCCCACCCTCGAGACATCACACTGACTTGCACGCGGACGGGAGAGAGGGGAGAAGTATCAACAGATACAACACTGCATTGACTTGCTAACGCTCACGCGTACAATGACAAACGGAAACAAGCTCGGCAGCGAGAACTACAACAGAGCCCGCCACCCGCTCTTCCCCAATCCTCCTTTGATCTGAAGACCGAGGAACTCCACCACCTGGCCCAAGCTGCTTACACCAAAGAAGCCTTCCGTCTTGCCCTCGCCGTCGGTGCACTCGAACCAAGGGATGCCGAAGGCGCCGGCCTCGAAGGCGCGGTCCGTGTTGGCCATTAGCGCTTGTTTGCCTTGTGCAGTTGTCGATTCGGTCAGGACTGGGGTTGTGTTCATGGTGTGTTAGTTTACTTTTGTGGCCGTCTCTCTCGGTTTCTGTTGAAGTTTTGATGGGGGGGGGGGGGGGGGGGGGAAAGGATAGGATGTTTTTGGGTGATTTGATTGTGGATGGGGATCGGGGGATTGAAGTCGGAGAGCATTTAAGGTGGAGGTTAGAATGTGGAAGGGGATTCCAGGGGGGTTTGGTCTGGTGAGCTGTGAGAGGTACGGTAACTCAGTCTTGTGAAGCTTTCCAACGCCCGAACTGGACGGTTGTGGCTGAGTTAAGGTTGAGACAAGGGTGAAGCAAGGGTTTTGGTTTGGTTGAGATGGTTGTTGGGAAAAAGGCGCATTTTCTTGGTTGGACGTGATTACTGATCCATGTTGTCTGGGTCGAAGAAGGTTGGGGATGGCTATCTAGGGCCCCCCAGATGCGACAGCCAGATAGCATTGGATATGCGGGACGGACACCGGAACGGCGTATTGAGCCGGTCGGGGCAGATCCCAGATCACGGCCAGAGAGAAGGGTAAGAAAGGGGTTCGACTTACTCTTCTCGGCCTCTTCCTTCCCAAACAAGCCCACCAGCGTCTCCTTCAGCACCTCGGGCTTGTGGGTCGCGACGGCATGCTCCCAGTGCTGCGAGTACAAGGTGTCGAGGGCTTTGGTCAGGCGTGGCTGCTGTGGGCCGTCGTCCGAGGCCGCGATGACACAGAGGGCGCGCATGATGGGGAGAGAGGGCGCCGGGAAGTCGGGCGGCAGCCCGGTGGTAATGGGGACCGAGAAGTGCCGCGCCCAGCGCAAGCGTTCAGTGTTGATCCATTCCGCCTTGTCTGCTCAGGCCGCCGTCAGTTCCGCTTGCACTGAGATTGAGGGCCGCGAATGGCTGGCGGTGGTTTATGTCGATCGAGAATTGGAATTGGGGACAGACATACTTTTGATCTTGAGGGGCGCCATATTTCCACACTGCAACGAGTCCACTCAGCTTCGACTCATTCAGCTCACCCAGAGAGACGACCAGCTCACCTTCTGGAACAGCCCCCCGAGGAAGATGGGCACGTAGATGATATCGCAGCCTTTGAAGACCTCCTCGTGCTGTGTGTGAGTGCCATGTTGTCAGCCGCCGCATCGTCAACCACTTGACTACTGAAGTCAACATACTCTCAAGATGTAATATGCCATGTAGGCAAACGGGCTGACCGTGTCGACATAGAGCGTAATCTTGGGGCGGGTCATTCTGACGGTGGTGGTCGCTCCTCGGAAGGAAGTAGTCAAGGTTCTCAGAGCCGGTAATAACCGCATGTGAGATGTAAGCATCCGAGTTTCTTTGTATGAAGCAGAGAGGTATATATGCTTTTGAAGACGACGCTCGCTTGAAACCTTGAGCTGCGGACGCGGGTGAACTAGACAACCGAGGTCCCAACGCCCAGCTGAAACGGTTCAAGAAAGGCACGCCCTTGCATAGACAAACGGACCAAAGGAGGCCGGGCACGGGGCTTCAAGCCTTCAACACCCTCAACAAAAGCCAGCCACAAATTAGGAACGACCACAGCCGACGATGCACCTGCAGGGCCGCATGTTGCACAGACGACCGAAGCAGCGAGCCGAGGAACCGGGTCCGTCAACCCCGCTCCCAGCCGTGTGGGGTATCCGTTTGGAACCGGGGAAGATACCGCAGCCGTGTACTGGAAGTACATGTCTCTGCTTCAACTCAACCGGATCCTGCATTCAAACACCATAGCCGTACATCCATGCCCACCTCAACCCACACTCAGGCGACTTCAATAGGTACCTACCGTCTCTGCCCACCATCCCGAGACTCTATCATATCTCATCGGGATAACTCCATCCAGCTTAAATGCATCCCACAACATCCCCCCCCTCCCCCCCCGTGTTCTTTGAACACCCGTCTAGAACGCAGCAACCTTCTTGTACGCCGTCGGCACCCTCGTGAGGACATCAAACGAGCCCGTGCCCATGGTCCCCAGCTTGCCTACCACCAGCCTGCTCGACGGCGTATCCAGGGGGTCCCAATCGCCCTCGAGGACGGCATCCTTGAGGAAGCTGACGGTCGTTTCTGGGATTCCCAAACATATCAGCATTTCATATTCACAATATATTCTCGAAACCGGATGCTTGAACTCACCGTAGCTCATCTTGGTAAACGGGCTGACGTTGCCCGTCAGGCCTATGCGGTTGAAGGGGGTGAAGCTGCCGTTTCTGAAAACAGCACAAGTTAGTGAGGGATGATTCTTGCGCACTTGGAGGCAGACTGGAAGTAACCCACCTGGTCATGTAGTCAGCAATCAAGTTCAGATGGCGCGGGTCCACCGCGATGCCGTGACCGGCGAAGACACCGCTGAGCTCCTGCACGATGTTGCTCCGGCAGGCCTCGACACCATACACCTCGAGCACCTGGGCGATGTCGTTGGTCGAGATCCGGTTGGGGTTGATGTAGTCGCCATACTGCTGCATGGCCCGGAGGTTGGCGCCCTCGGTGTGCACCAGCATCTCGGTTATGTGTTCCTTGCCCGTTGCCTCGTCCTTCTTCTTCTTAGGCTCGAACGTGGCCGTGCCGATCCGGTGGATCTGCTGAATCACCGACTTCTTGACCGCCTCCTGAACCAGGCTGAGCATGAGGATCTTGGGGATGGAGGCGTCGAACTCGAGTGTGAACTCGACCCACTCGCCGCGACTCTCGTCGCAGCGGAACCGAGCAACGTGCTCGTTCTTGCTCTTGATGCGCGCCGCGCGGGACTCGGACCGCTCTTCGTCTGTCTTATCGCTGAACGAGCTGTCCTCTGGTTCTGGACTGCCGCCGTATGCCGAGTCCTCGAACTCGAGCCTCTCCTCGCCCTCTTCGGTGTCATCCGTCTCGCGTTGTAGTTGTTGTTGGATTTCGTCATCCTCATCATCGTTCGGCCCGTACGAGACAGCCTCGGACCGGTTGGCCTTCTGCTTGGCGCTCGTGGCGTCATCATCCACGTCGTCGTCATCGTCATCGTCGTCCGGGGCCCTCTCCCTCTCGGAATTGCTGAGCGCCATCTCCACGACTCCCGACTTGACGCCAATATCGGGCGTGGCAGCCTTGTTCTCTTTGGATTTCTTTTTGATCTCCTTCTTCGTGAGCTGCGAGAGCAGAGGGATGAACTTTCGCTCAACAGTATTGAGCACATCAGCAATGTCAATAGCATACATCTTGACATACTCCTCCGCCTCAAAGAAGCGCAGCCTGATCTGAAACGACTTGGCCAGGGCGTATCCGACACCGCGGCCGACCTTCTCCTGCACGACTGCCTCCTTGGTGACGTGAGCAAGCGGGAGCACGCTGATGGACTTGGCGAACCGCTCGCCGTCTTCTTTCGAGAGCTCTTCGTTGAGGATCAGCGTCATGGACGGGGTCGATATCTTGGCGCTGGCCGTCATCAAGATCTCGCGAAGACGCGGGATACCCAGTGTCACGTTCTTAGCCGAGTGACCTGCCAAATGGAACGTGTTCAGCGTCATCTGTGTCGACGGCTCTCCAACCGACTGGCCGGCCACGATACCGACAGCCTCGCCGGGCTCCACAAGCGACCGGATGTACTTAGCCGCCAGGATCTTTTCGGCCGTCTTGCGAGCGATCTGACCTTTCTGATTGTCTGATCCCTTCTTGTCCTTGATCAGTCCGTCCTTGTTCGTCTTGACGTACTCCATCAGCTTGCTGTAGAACTTCTCAGACGTGGCAAAGGCGAAGGCCGTCGGGTCGAGCTCGGACGCTACGGGGTCAAGCGGGTTGCGGCTGTTGGCGGACCGAATGGCGCTCTTCATACGCTTCATGACCTCGTCCCTATGCTCAAACAGCGCCTGGGTCCCGGGCTCGTGGTACCGGATCTGCGGCAGCTGCGAGTCGAGGTTGCGCAGCACAAACTCGAAATCATTCAGGTACTTCTGCTTCGAGATTTCGATACCGTCCTCGCCAAACAGGAACTGCACAACCGTGCCGTCCGAGTCCCGTACCGTCGAGTCGTACGACACTCTCAGACCCTCCATGCCCTTGATCAAACACCTCTGGAGGTAGCCGGAGCGGGATGTCTTGACGGCCGTATCGATTAGACCTTCGCGACCGGCCATGTGATGGAAGTAATACTCCTGCGGGCGAATGCCAGTCAAGAAGCGCTGGACAATGTAGCCGCCTGCCCTCACATCGGTGTCGAACGGCTTAAAGCTGGGCAAGGTCCTGCCGCTCACCATAACGGGGACACGACGGCCTTCCAGAGTTTGCTGTCCCAGGTTACACGAGATCAGGTTGGCGTTGACAGGACTACCCTTGGCACCGGAAATGGTCATGGACTGCATGTGGTTCTTGGGAAACTGCTTCTGAAGACCGGCAGGCAGGCATAGCCTGGTAATTTCGGTCGAGAGCTTGGCGCACTCCTGACTGGTAAGCAACTCCAGGCCTTCTTGCTTCTTGTCGTCTCTAAGCACCTCTTCCAGACGCTCCAGAAGCAGGGGATCGTCCTTGGTTGGCTTTTGCTCAGCGAGCGAGACGTACTTGGCCGCCACCTCCAGACCAATATTTGCGGCAGCCTTGATCGTCTCTCTCCGGTTCTTCTCTCCTTCTGGTGTCATGCGAAGGTCGTCCATGCCGCAAGTGAAGGCAATCATGGCCAGGTACCGAGTCAGAAGCCGACCCATGCTGCTAAGAAGCTTTCCAGCAATGGACGGGCCGTAGACTTCGTGCACAGCATGGACAAGACCCCCGTCACTGGAACCAAGCTGCGACTTGTCGAGAATGCCGCTGATGAACTCACCATCGCGGAACATCACCTGACCCTCTTCCGAGTCTTCACCCCAGCTGCGGCTCTTGATCTTGGCAGACCCGTTCATCCACAGGTCGCCGCAATCCATTGGTTTGATGTTCTTGAGAATCGTCGTGACGACCTGCTTCCCTGTCCAGCGAGGGACTGGCTTGATAATCGCTGGAGGCACGAGCTCGATCTTCTCGCCCGAGATGTGTCCGCTCTCTGGCCGTAGGGCGCTGTAGATGAGCTGGTGGTAGGCTCCTTGGTCGAAGAACGTGTCTTTGTTGCACAACTCCACCGAGACGGACAAGTGATCCTGAATCAAGCCACGCAGGGGGTTTCCGGCTGTTCCGGAGATGTACTGGTGATCCGTATCGGCAAGTTGGAGGGCCTCGACACGCGCGACCTCGTTCTGAGGGAAGTGCATGTTCATCTCGTCACCGTCAAAGTCGGCATTGTAGGTGTTACAATTGGCGTAGTGCATGCGAATTGTCTTCTCCCCCGGAAGCACTCGGACTCGGTGACCCATGATGGATGGCTTGTGTAGTGTCGGTTGCCGGTTCATTAGGACCACATCGCCGTTCGTCAGATGCCGGTGGACCTTTTTGTTTCGCTGCCCGCTGAAATTGTTGCCACTCGGGGCGAGAAGTTGATTTGCTAGAGCGATGCGCTCCTCGAGGGACTTATTTCGCAGGTTGATGACCTGTCCGTTCTCGTTCTCGATGGCCGAAGCACCAGGCCACTTTTCCACGCCGTTGATGACAGCTTGTTGGAGATCCTTGAAGTTGTGGCTCGTCACAGGCTCGGGGTATGTGAGTTTCCTGGCGAAAACGGGAGGGACACCAATTTCGTTGGTCTCGATGTTCGGGTCAGGAGAAATGACACTTCTGGCGGCGAAGTTGACGCGCTTGCCCATCATGTTCTTCCGGAACAAACCCTCCTTTTTCTCGAGCTTCTGCTTAATACCTTCCTCATTCCGCTTGGCAGCTGCGCCTTGAACTGGGTTTTTGTCGCGGTCGATCAGTGAGTTGACGACGTCTTGTAATTCTGTCCATGCCTGGTACAGCGAGCTCATATCCCGTGTCCTGCCGCCTTCGTCTTCGGCTCCATCCTTGCCCTGGCCGCTAATTTCTCGCGAGATCTGCGCCACGTTGGAAGCACTCCTAAGTATCATCTTGTAGAGGCTGTTTTGTTGCGCTTCGGATATTTGGGAGTCACCCATACGGGCCTGTCCAACATAGTCAGCGAGAAGTCAATGGGAAATTGGGCTAGGTGCAGCACGTACCTCTGGACGATAGCGATTTGGGGGCACTAGAAGGGTCGTGATGAAGAACATGTCGGCTGTGAGGGGCTTAGATGCCCGAGTCTGGGGCTTCGAGTTGTAGAGGAGGGTAATCAGCTCTTGCTCTTTCTCAAAGAGCAATTCGAGGCGCTTGCGGACCTCCATCGTGCTGAGATAGCGCTGCGCAGGTTTTGAGACTTTGGACTTGCCCCGTTGCGCCTTGGCCGGGGCATCTGTCATGACCACATCCCCATTCTCGTCAAGATTGTCGCCCTCGCCCTCGCTATCGCGGCCACCCGAAGATTCCTCGGAGGACGAGTCGACATCGATCCCTTCATCAAGATGGAAGTTGTCGTCCTTCTCGGCCTTTCGGCTCAGGGCGAGCGCGTCGCTCCGCTTCCTTCCGGCTTGCGCCATGGCTGCCCTCTCCTTCTCGGTCAAATCGCGTTCAAAGATTTTGACCCATCGGTCCTTGCGGTAGACGGGTGATATGCCGTCGCAGCTTGTGCACCGCTTCTCCTTGACCATCCGGGAGAGGAGTTCCTTGTTCAAGGCTCGCCTCATCTCGGCCGCACCCTCGTGTTTGCCTTTCCTGATGTCCCCCATGCTGACCTTCAAACTGTGATTTCGCAAAACCTGGCGTACATATGTCTCCCTGGCGCGCATGGTGCTGTCATGTAGATTTCCCCCCTCCTCTTCCGCCTGGTCGTCCTCAACGGTCGGAACATCGGATAACCTCAGTTGCTTGAGCTGCTCTCCAAGGTCGCTCACCGAAAAGGACTCAATCATCTGCGCCTCGTGTAGCAAGCCAACCTGCAAAAGCCGAAACATGCAGGTGTACTTGTGGAGCTCGTGCCTGGCCATGCGGAATCGGTAGCAGTAGACGCACTGGGAACGGAGGAGACGGTAGGCTTGGTCCATGAAAACCGGGTGATAGACAGGTACGGGAAGTTCGATGTGGCCCGGGTGCCCGGGGCACTGATTCTGGCTCAGATTGCATGTCCGGCAACTGCGCATCTTGTCAGCTCGAGTCTACAGTTTGTGCCCAGGCCGCTCATGGAGAAGAAGACGGCGCATTCGGCGAGTAACTTATTGTCTTACAGGGAATCGCCCCATGACCCGAGGGCCGGGTCATACAGACCGCCGGGCACTGGGTTGAGGAGGTTGTCGAAGGTGCTGTCATTCTCGATTCGCTTTACCGAGATGGACTTGATCTCTTCGGCCGAAAGATGGGCGAACTCGACGCTTTCGAGCGACGAAGCCACTGGCTGTGCGATATTCATATTGGCAAGCCGATAGAGACGGGCGATGTGGCGAGCTGCGAAGTCGAAAGTCGGCCGCAGCAAACACCTCTTCCTCGAAATCGCAGCTTTGAAATCAGTGATTGGTGGGGATTTGGAGACAAGTGCAACACCGAGAATATTTTTTGGCGGTGAGCCTAGGCAGTAGCGGATACATGTGGGGCGGCTGCTCCAGAGGCCCAGGCGCTTGGTGCTGCGGAGCTTGGCAGACGCCAGACAAGCCCCGGCCCAAGCTTCGCCGTTCACCCTGCATTAAACAAACCACATTCACGTCCTAACCTTCTCAGCGTGTCGTCGTCTCGTACGCGCCAACAACCAGGAGCCTCCATCTTTTGGATCGACACGATTGCCGCCGCCTAAACTCTCGAGATAGAGATTGTGCACGTCTACGATTGTGTTCGAGCGGGCGATCATTCCAACATTCTCAGCCTCGCTCGGTTCGACGTCCGCCGACGGTTTCGAAGCGACGAGCGGCGCATGAGCTGACGATGGACCGGAACCAGCAATCTGGCGGGCTCGGCCCTCGCAATGACTCTACATCAAGAATCCAGAAACCCGAGTCGGCTGCCGACCGCATGGCTGCCCTCAAGGCCCGTGTCGCTGCCGCCGTCGGCACTGCCAAGGCAAAAGGAGGGCTCAACACACCCCTTCACCCAGTCCTCGCCGACCTCAACGCCCCGATTAAACCGAGCGACTCCCTCAGGGCATCACTTGACCAGCGCTCGACTCTAGATGTTGGCAGAATCGTTAGGGGAAAGCCACAGGGGCCCTCGACGACAACGCAAGGTGCCGCCCGGGCAAATCCGTATCTGGATACGAGCAATGCGCCAGCGGGCAGGGCAAGAGAACCGAGGCAGCTCATCTTCAATCAGAAGGGCAAATACATTCAGCAGGCCAATGCCCTCCGGAGACAGGCTGCGCTGGAGGAGATGAAGAGGAGGATTGCCGAGCAGGCTCGCAAGGCAGGCCTGGAGGAGGACCGGGACGTCGAGAAGGCGTTTATGGTCGAAGCGCCTCCCGACCTGGAGTGGTGGGACGAAGGACTCATCGACGGGAAAGATTACAGCAACATTCCGCAGTCCCTCAAGGTCACGACGCCAGACAGCATCGTCACGCTCTACATTCAACACCCCGTCGCCATCGAGCCGCCGCAGGACAAGCTTGCCCCAGAGCCGAAGCCCATGTACCTGACGCCCAAGGAGCAGCAAAAGCTCCGGCGGCAGCGGCGCATGATGGAGCTCAAGGAGAAACAAGCCAAGATCCGGCTCGGCCTCGAGCCCGCACCACCGCCCAAGGTCAAGAAGTCCAACCTGATGCGCGTCCTGGGCGAAGAAGCCGTCAAGGACCCGACGGCGGTCGAGGCGCGCGTCAACCGCGAGATCGCGGCGCGCTTCGAGAAGCACATGCAGGCCAACGAGGAGCGCAAGCTGACCAAGGAGCAACGCCACGAGAAGCTCGCGACCCAACAGGCGAAGGACGCGGCCAAGGGCATCCACGTGTGCGTGTTCAAGATCGGCAGCCTGGCCAACGGGCAGCACCGGTACAAGATCAACATCAATGCCACGCAGAACGGCCTCAGCGGCGTGTGCATCATGCACCCCAAGTTCAGCCTCGTCATTGTCGAGGGCGGCGAGCACAGCGTCAACAACTACAAGAAGCTCATGCTGCGACGCATCGACTGGACCGAGTCGCTGCCCTCGCGCGAGAGGGACGTGACCGCGTCTGGCCCGGGTCATAGCGCTGCTGCCGTGCGGGAGTGGCTCAAGGGCGAGGACGAGAACGGGCAGCCCAAGGATTTGTCGGCGAACAAGTGCGTGCTGGTGTTTGAGGGCATGGCGAAGGTGCCTGCGTTCAAGAAGTGGGGGAGCAAGGTGTGCGAGACGGACGGCGAGGCGAGGGAGTTCCTCGCACAGAGGAAGATGGACAACTTCTGGACGCAGGCCAAGAATACCCCGATGTGAGAGGACTGGGCGTCATGGTGTGGAGAGCTGTTGTGAGTGATAGACTCTGCATGATGGACACTGGCGGCCAGCACACCAGGGACTTCATCAATGGATAGAGTTCCGCTTCAGGCTTGCGACTCGTATGGTATCCCGTGTTTTGGCGGTGCGGCGGGAGCGCCGTTGCCGTGTGATTCAGGGGAACCCAGGAAACATTGTCCCGCTTGGCATACGCCATCATGCCGCCTTCAATCCTTCTGTCTCCGAGTCACTTGGTACGACGTGATGTCGAATCCTGCCCAGTTTCCACTTATAATACAACGGCCCCGTCGAACCTCCAGAGCCGAACGCGCATATAAGTTCGGACCCGAGGGCGGACTGCCCTTGCATGGGTTCCAAACCGCAACATGCCCGTTTCTGCCACGGGTATGCCATGGCCGCTTCCCGATTTTTGGAAGTTTGTCTGCGATGCTTCCTAATCCAAGAAGTCAGCTCTCAGAAGGTCCCGGTGAGTGAGACTCGCCCTGCATGGGATGGAGCTCTTCAGCAGCATCCCAATCTAGCAAACGCAAGGCTGTGATACTCGAAACAATGCCACCAGTTAGGTCCTCCAAAAACATGACTGCTGAGTTACCGTGCACGTGTAGTCAGCAGACTCTAGCAGGGACCGCGGCCACAGAGATCCGAGGCTTGATGCCGGGGTTACCGGGCCCCATTTCCGAAATGGTGTCAATTTCATTAAGTTTCAGCCTTGCGACCATACTCCCCCAGGAGCCCAAACATTTTGATTTATCGTAAGGTGCCGAACGGGTCAAAAAATAACGCCGTCCGATCCCTAATCGGCATAGTTTATGGTTAAGACTACGACGGTATCTGATCGTCTTCGATCCCCTAACTTTCGTTCCTGATTAATGAAAACATCCTTGGCAAATGCTTTCGCAGTAGTTAGTCTTCAATAAATCCATGAATTTCACCTTGACAATTTAATACTGATGCCCCCGACTGTCCCTATTAATCATTACGGCGGTCCTAGAAACCAACAAAATAGAACCACACGTCCTATTCTATTATTCCATGCTAACGAAGAAAAAAGAGGAAAAGGGAAAAAGGAAGGAAAAAAAACCAGGCAAAGTGCTACCGTATTGGGTTAACGCTCGAGGTGAATCTTGTCTTGCTCATTCTCACCTTAATAACGAACAACCGTGCGCGCTAACTATACGTAAGGGGTATGGGCGCTGTCGGGGTGCTGTCACCGGTCCCGAGAAGCCGGCATCAGGGCCGTAACAAAACTCGTCCTGTCTGGCCAACAAGCCATGCCTGCTAACGGACCAACTTCCTTCCACTCTGCCCGTCCAAACCTGTTTCCCATAGCTAGAGACTAGAACAGGGGCTTTTCAAGGTCCCACTACGTTCTTGAACAAGACGACCAGGGAAAAAAGGCCACACATTTGTCCCCCAGCTATGCGTATCAGCGGCCATATCACGTGCAGCCCCCGTTTTAATAGCGGAACGGCACAGTTAGGTCGCCGCACCACCATCTCCTGATCCGCCCGTGTGACGAAGCGACCCGTCGTTGCGGGACCGGGCGCCAACTGCCGAAGCAATGTGGACACAGGGAGGCTGTATGGGTGCTTGCTGCTCCTAGTTATTGCGGGCGAGGTCGGGGCAGCCCTTTCCACGGTTCCAGCTCCCCTCCTAGGCAAGAGAAGAGAGGCCTCCGGTTCGGGATTCGGTGTCACGGGTGGGCGCAACTGACCACTGCGTAACACCCTCAAAAGAGGGACCGTGGTTCGAACTGTCCAGTCGAACCAGGAGTTGCGCACATGAACCTCACACTGTCACGACCCGTGACATTCGGGATCAACTGGGGCGGTGTTGCGCTAGGACGACGGGGACAACAGCGAACGCGTGTCGTTCTTCCACGAGATGGCCCACCTAATCAGGGTAGTATTGACGATCGGCGACCTCATGTACAAGTTATCCGGCGGTGCTGCCGTGCTACTGCTGTGTAGAGAACAAGAGAACCAAGGTTGGCAGGATCCTTCGGTGATTCCTTGTCTTCTTGGGTGGGGATGATAGGCTAAATCCTCCTGTGTATGTAGGTCGAGCCATGTCGCACCAACAGCAACCGCGGGCTTGTCTTGGACTGGCTGGAGGAACCGCGCTGTGATATTCCACCCCATGCCATCTCCGAGGCCGAGCAGGGAAGAGCAATGTCCGTGATGCACGCCATAGCCGGTTTGTTCGTTTGGTACAGTGTACTGTAACTAGTTACCGGATCCATTGGCCTGGTCCTTGGGAGCAAGTCAAGCAGCGATATTGCACCCTTGCACAGTGTCGTGCCAGGCGGCTGTCTGGCCAATCGCTGTGCTCATGTCGGCGGCCCCCAAAGCATGCAGGCCATACCTTGGCGCGATGGACCAAGCCGATTACTAGCAACACCGTCCCCGAAGGACAGAGAGCGTCAGTGACTGATCCCCTGCGGGTGCCCAGCCGAGAGTGTAGCCCAACAGGAAAAAATGTACGTACGCGTGATTGCACGTAGGTAGTTGGATTGATCGCGGGTACGTCGGCGATGAGTGCTCATACCCCGGGTACTTAGTCATCACTCGCGGCTGCGGGCCACGGGAATCCCGTCTCAATACGGGGAAGCGGCCGCGCTGTGTGACGCGGCCCAGGGGCTGACGATGGCCGCGGATGCCTGCAGAAGGATCTTCGGCTGCAACCTGCAATGCGCTTCATTGGGCCGCGGCCTTGTTGACCACACCGGAGCCGTCGTGGGTAGCGTTATGGGGACTGTCATTGCTGGCGATACTGTAAACTACCTTGGCATGGGGATCAGGTGGTCGCCGCGATAATAAGACGTTTGACCGGCAATTGCATGCCTGCTTGGCCGGATCGTTGGGTTTCTTCGACGAGAAGTGGAAGTCCGTCCAAAACAGAGTTGGACCCAAACCCTGGTCCAGGGCGAGGTCAATCTCACCACCTGGAAATGTGCCAGGATTATGATTGGAGGAACAGACGGCAGCGACCGTTTGCCTCTCTCCCGGCCTGTCGGTTTATTGGTTCAGCATCCGACCAGGGCCCGGGAATGACGGAGAGCTCCGTCGCACAGGCGCAACAGCATCTGGTTCCAATTGCCTCCTTGTTGATGAGCAACGGATCAATGCGAACCTCCTCTGTACCACGGAGCCCCGAATTCTACCATTATCGCATCGCCGTTGGACTGGATGCAGCCCTGCCGAAATTGCAAGTGCATCCTTTTCTCTCTTCCTCACGCCTGTCCTACCATGACAGTTTCTGCATTAGACACCGACGCTGATTTAACTTGCGCAGACCCGTACATGAAAGTGCGAGCCTACTATTTGGCAGCTGACTGCCGATTTCTAAGTCCGCATCCCTTCCTTGGTTGCTGCCGTGTGACGTCGGACCGTAGGGCTTAGCATGACTGCAGCTGAGTGGCTGAGAAACGCGACAGCCCCAAGGACCAAGCGATGTAGTGGGATTCGCTTGGGAGACATCCAATTGCAGGACACGTCCGTGTTGGATCCAATCGTCAAGTCAGGATTGTGGGAGGCGAAGAAGCCGTGAGCTGTGATGTCTCCGGGTGGGCCGTTTCCCGAGCTAGTGGGCGATCCTGTCCCCCGGCCCTAGGTTTCATGCAATTTGCCATTTGGTCAGCCTAGAATGACTGCATTATTGTCGTTTTCGTTCTTCGTCGGTCTTGGAAGCTGATGAAGGTGTCATGCAGTCAGAGTATCGACCGCAAAAGCGACATGGGCGCAGCATTTGTCCTGGCAGTCCCCCAGATGCAAGGAGCCGGCCATCTGCAGCCCTTCCCGCCCTGGCTGATGACAAATGTTACCGAGATGACGGCCTAGTTATTTGGTCGAGGGTTGTGAGCATGCGCGCATCTGCCAAGTCTCATTGTCGCGCTTGGCCAGAATCAGCTTGCTCTCGGGCTTCAGCGCTTGGAAAAGTGAAGCAGGAACCTGACCATTTTGTGTTCGGCGTGTTGGTCGAGTTTGATGGTTTATTTGTCAAACTTGATGCGCGCCCCTGGTAACGTTAACGGTACGGCGGGAACACGTTCAGAATACCTACCCACGTGTGGAGTCTTAATGTTAGCGTGCCGGTCCCGTCCGCCCGCCGCGGAGCTCGGAGGCGGCTGCGGCACAGGTTCTTGATCCCTCAACCCCTGGTTCCCTCCAGGTTCTCAAGGAATTTGTCGCAATAGCCGGGTCACGCTCGGAACGAACAATCTAAACGCATAGAGCCGTTATCGCCAAACCTGTTCTCTCTCATTCGATTGGAACTAAAATGATGCCGTCTTGTACATATCCAGTGTATTCAAGCAGGACACATGTCTTACTCCACACAGTGGGATTCTCTCCCAAGTAGAGAGCAGGCTGGAAAGATAAAAAAGTATCCCATTGTAGAGACAGTTGCCGCCGAGTGATCCGAGATCTTCCCGGTCCCTGAGCCCAGTGTGTAGCCAAAAGCACCGTTGCCGCCATGCCACGTACATTATTCATACATACCTTGAAAAGCAAGGAAGAACAAACCAGACCAAACCAAAAGAAATTCCCGCCTTGTTGCCCTCGACGCCTCCTTGGTATCTACCCAGAGAAATAGTGAAATATGTTCAAACAGAAAGAAAAGCGCCCCGTTGTTGAACTGAATGCTTCTGTGTCATCACCTCCCCCAGCTGTGACCTTGAGAGTGGTCACCGCTGGCAAGGGGTTCCCGAGGGCGCATCGAAGGGGTCATGGAACCGAGGATACTGGGGCCGCAGAGCGGGGGGATGGCCATGGGCGGTAGGCCACCCGGCGGCGGGATCATGTGTCCCATTGGCGCCGCCATGGAGCGCGCGCTGGGGTGCATGGGGTCGAACGCCTCGGCGCGGAGGTCGAGGGTCCCAATGTCGAATCTCTTGGAGCAGCCGTCTTCCATGTGCCTGTGGAAATTCCGGGTTAGCAATGCTCAGACCACATGGAAGGGTCTGAACTCACCTCCTCAGAGTATCCTTGCGCGCAAACATGCGGCTGCAATAGTCGCACTTGTGGGTGCGCTCCCGAAGATGCACGCTCTGGTGGTGCCGCTGCAGGTCCGTCTTGCGCACAAACTTCTTGTTGCAATCGGGCACCTGGCATGGGAAGGGGTATTCACGCTTCTCGTCGTGCGTCTCCATGTGCGCCTTGAAGTTGTAGCTGCGACTGAATAGCTTGCCGCACCCCTTGACTTCGCACTGAAAGTTGGCTTCCTCCTTGGTCGTCAGACGGCGCGGCGCCCGCTTCGGCCGCGCCACCCGGTACTGCCTCCTGGCGTCGTGCATGAATGCGGAGGGCGGCGGCGGCGGCGGTCCGGGGTAGAAGTGCTCGGGCTCAACGGGCTGGTAATCGGGCTTGTGCCATGTTGTCGAACCGCTGTCGGACAAGTACCCGGCCGAGGTGCTGCTGGTGTAGGGCCCACTGTCAGAGGGGTAAGATGTGTGGATGGACCGCGGCGAAGGGTAGTGCGACGCGTCGGTGCTCTGACTGTAGTCCGAAGACCCCTCCATCTTGATCCGCGGCGTCATGGGCGGGACCGAGGCGCCAGGTGTGTACGGCGTCCTCAATGGCACCACAGGGGACCGGGGGGCGGTTCCGGTTGGCGGGGGAGCCGAGGCGTCAATCGAGGGTGGATGGTTCGAGGGGTGACCTTGGTAGACATCGTGGCTATAAGGGTAGCTCCCGAACGCGTCGTAATCCCCCGACAGGACGTTGGGCATGCCGGCGGCAGACGAGACTGAATGCATAACGGCCGTGCTGTTCCAGTCGGGGTGGCCCATCGAGTCGAGCGGCGGAAGAGACAGCTCAGGGTCCATGGGCGGTGTCACGCACGACTGTTCTCCATATATCGACGTGATCTTGTATTGCTGTTCTACCAGACCTGGCGAGGGGTAGTCTAGAGAGGACCTCTCTGACGGACAATAAGTGTTCGCGGAAGACGAAGGCGACCTTGTGAGGGAGGGCGGCGGGGTTCGCTCCATGATGGATGTGGTACACGTCAAGTGCTGGGCGAGCGCGGGCTATTTATTGGGTGGTGCCGCAGTGTAATAAAGATAGGAGGGTAAGGAAGGCTGACGGTGCACGAGAACCGTTGATGTCTGTTGGACTGCGGTGGCCAGGGGTTGACTTGCGAGGTGTAGTGCCTCGAGTCCGATTGGTGGTTAAGCGCGTCGAGGTTCTCTAACAGCAAGAGAGGGCAGCAAGCCCAGATATAGAGGGCGGCGGGAAAGTGACCGGCAAAACGTTTCCAGTACATGCGAAACACTGCAGAGGTGGAAGAACCTTGCGTCCACTTGAGATGGATGTGCGGCAGCCTGTGGCAACTGAAGTATGAGTGTGCCTGACAGGGCAGACAACAAGGGTTTCTTATAAGATTTGAGGTTTCTGCCTGGCTAAGAATGGAGTAGCCATCTCCAGACGCGTTCCCGCTCTGAGCAACTGGGGGCTAAAGAGATGCTGTGCATCTCGCCCGGAGTCTTGACCGGGGACAGGGGCTCGCGCACAAGGACCAACAGCACCAGGGGTCAGCAACAACCTTCCCCTGCGAAGGTATGGAGACAAGAGAAGACAAGGCTGGGGAGCACCAGCCCGAAGAGGAAGGATTTGGTTGAACAGCATCGGTAGCACCCGCGATCGGGTTAGTGCGAGACGTGTTGAGGACTCTGGAGGTGTGACTGGACAGCGGCAGTCCACGGGGGCGTGTGAGGAGGAACTCCCACTCGGGAAGAACAGGTGAGGGGGGAGGAAAATAGAAACGCTGCACCATGTTGGGAGCAGTTGTGTCTCAAGTGGACAGGGGTTGTCTAAAAGTAGCCGGGGTAGGGGAGGAGAACCCTGCGCCATCCCCTTGGCTTGAGCTGTTGGATCCGTTTGCAGCTTTGGTGGGGCGTGGTCCTCCCAGCGAGACCTTTTTGGGCCGGGCAAGACTCATCAGTGAGACTGATTTCTCTTCGCAGACCGAAGGTCGGTAGATCTGCAGCAGCTTTGGCATTGCAGCAACGAGAGAAACGTTTGGCCTGGGCTTCTTGCAGTGCATCCCGGCAGCCGGAGGGGAACGCCCGGCGGCGCTCAGGAGCAGGGACTGCTGAGAAACATGGTAGTGAAAGCCACCACGAACCTCAAGCCGGGCCCGTCGGCATCACAAGGCCCACTGATGGGCGCCGAAAACGCTTGCGGGGAAGATGGGATGTATCCGTAACGGCCATGGCACTGCCATGGCAGCGGTACTCGAATGCTTAAACCCTGCAGCCCGAAATCTGAATGCTGCGCAAATACAAGGGCGTTCATGCTGGCCTTGCGGCGAACCGTCCCGGCGGTCGGCGACCCACGAGGAGGGTGTTGAGGGACGGGAGACCAGGGCCATGCGCGGTTGGCTGTACAAGTGGCCGAGCTGCCAGTATTCCGTACATCCGTGGGCGAGGCGAGCGCTTGCGCTTGTCTGGCGCGATTGTGACTGGCTGGGTTGTCAGACTCGATGTGATGCTCCCAGGTAGCTAGAGGTTGAGTATGGACTCAATTGATCCTTGAGAGGTCTTGAGAATCTGACATCGCGATGCCGAACGCAGCCCGAGACCAACTGGTCCACCTCATTGTTACCCGCTCCCCACTGCCTGTTGGCCCCCAACCTGTTCCCAAGGTGATTTTGCCAGAATCTCATGCATTGGATAACTTGTGTGAAAAAAGGTGAATGGTGACTCGAGTTGAGTAAACGTACCAGGGCAGATTTTGTCGTGATGATTGTGCTGTATCTGGGGAGTTGAGCTGCAACCGACAAACCGTCAGTTCGACAAGAAGTTGGCGGAATTTGGCCCCAGTGGATCCACGGGGCGCAAAGTGCACGGTCGCGTGTCGTCTGTGATTGGGCAGTTGTAAGGTGACCAGCCAGCATCAAGTGTGATCCGGCCCCTGCCGTTTGCGAATCGATGCCCATGCGGGTCAAAATCATGCTTCCAGGTTGTTAAGCAAGGCATTTATGGATTTCGGCGATAACTATGCAGTACTCCGTACAATACCTTATGTATGATACTCAATCTCCGCTGGTGCTTTGCGATGCCCACGCAGTGCGGGATTAATCTTCCATGGATGTTTTCACTCCATTCATGGTTCATGATGAGCACGACCAGCGATGCCTTCCAAGGGTGGGCCGATGCGCTAGGCTAGGGCTGGTGTGGAGACTGCGGAGACGCTAGGGTCTGGTACGGTGCCGTTTGGCTCGCCGTTCCGTCCACCCTAATAGGGCTGCCAGGACAGTGGCCTTCCCGTCCCCACTACCGACATCTCACCAGTCTCCGGGTCTTGCAGCCGCAGTAATTCATCAGCGTACGGAGAGCTCCAACGGTCTCCTCATGATGTTGACTTGCATAAGGTACGCAGCAACTCGAAGATGACATGGGCTTGTTGTGTGATCTTTTTCCTCTCCTCTCCGCACGAGTTGTGGCATGTCGGAGCGGCCGCAGGGCAGACCAATGACGGCGCTCAATCCGGCCTGTACAAGTACAATAAGGCCCTGGTTTGTTTGTTAGCTTGGATTCTGTGAAAGAAACTAGACAAGACTGTGTGGTGTTCACCGTCTTTCCTTCTTTCTCTTTTTCTTATCTCTTATTTTTCATTTTCCTATTTTCCTTTATTATTCGTACTTCTCTTCTCTTTCCTTATTGTTTCCTTTTCTTTCTACATGTTTCCTTCTTTTTATTTCAGTTTTCCTACTTTCTTTCCTTCTTTTTCTTTCCCGTTTCCTTTTCTCATTTGGCCGCCATGTGCCAGGCTAACAAACAAACCGGGCAGAGTCGGATTGTAAAGTGCCCACCCCCACAGCCGCGGGATCCAACAATACTTCCAGGCAACGATTTCTGGAAGGTGGCTCACTGGTGAACCCTCGTCGTGCGCTCACCATCTCCGCGAGTTGTGGTTGAACAATACAGGCCTGTGTCATCTTACCCAGCAAACCTGCTTTGCGATGTACTGACCCAATAGGGACCATAGAAGCGAATCAAAGGGGGAAGCCACACAAACGGCCACCGGCTCTTGATCTTGAACGGAATTCAGTTCGCACTACGGAGGTATTGCAGTTACGTACTTTATTTGGCCCGATCGGCAGTCAGAGTTGCCGTCACCATCAAATCACCACGGATCTCCCTTTGCCCGCTCGACACCCTCATCCGGCGACAGCTCTCCAACTACAGGTGAGAGTCGAAATGTCACTCGAACCCAGCCACAACCACCATTGCGGGGCTAGGCTTGGGAAGCCTAATGGGAAGCCTAACACAACAACAAACAGAAGGATCGGTAGCTGTGCAGCTGAAACACGGCAGTCCTGTCAAATCGGCTGCCCTCGTGTGGCACCGCACACTTTAAGCACCAGGCGGCGGGGAGTGAATCCAGCTGCGCCAACCCCTAAACAGCCAAGCTTGAGGTGAACCAAGGTCCTTGATCGTGAGTGGTCGCCCTATCCAGGTCCAAGTCTCGGGAGGAATCAAAGCTTTGGGCTGAGCGGTCTTGCGTATCACATGTAGGTCACTGACATCTGAGGATGTCAATCTTGGCTTTTTGGAGTTCCACAAGGCTTTCAGGTCATGTTGTCCACATCTTGCTCAACCAGCAACATACCTGGTACCTTAACCTCCCCGGATCGCTGATGCCAATGCGTTGAACTGAAGGCACGTGTGAACGATTTTCCACACGTCTACCACAGTAAATCTTGTTCTGGCTGCCATTGCCCCGTGTTTAATCTTCAAGTTTTCGATGTGGCTTTCTTAGTGTCCAAGTGCAGGATCTCGGCTGCCGTGGTTGGCTCGTTTGGGCCTGTCTTTATGATCTGAGGATCGACCCACTACACAGTGTCTCCACCTGCTTCTGCCCCCGTCTCCCTGGTGGAGCATCGACAGACACTAACAACGGCCCCTGTTCAAGTTTCTGCTTCACCAGACACTGCTCTTCACAAGTCCGGCAGAGCAAACGGCGCATGCACTTTCATTAATAAAGGCACTGCATACTGTCAGATCATAACTCCGTACTATTTGTCGTTCGCCCAATGATTGTCAATAGCGGCTGCGTACCAGTATCATGCTTTGCTGCGCCTCAGCACTTTAAATCCTCCAGTTGCGGCATTCCATCAACGGGGCAGGCAAGGTTCATGGCAAGGCCCGATTAGTCGATGCGACCATCGTCCGGGTACGTCGCATTGGAAGGATTCTCCCAAGATTGACCAATACTGCATGGTTTCTGGGGGCCCCGCGGAAGACAGGCAGGATCGCGAAGCCAACAGACAGTCGCAGCAATGCAACGGCACACAAGGACTCGACGAAAGAAACGGATGGGTGGAAATCCAACGCTCCACCTTTTCTTTCGTCCTATTCACGCAGCCCGACTCAGACAGTCTGTCTCCCTACCACGTGCAAATTGCAAACGCTGCAGGCTGGCATCTTGTCAGGAATGACAGCTTCAACCAGCGATGAGTGGCTTCGGGAGCCTGCGTTTGCCCGATGCTTGAGTTGAAACCAAAAGATAAACCTGACTAAGGCAGCTGAATATTCTGACCACCCACACCACCTCAATTTGGCGAGCCATATTGGCGACATGCTGAGATCAGCATTTCGCGAATTCAAGACACCGACCAACATTCAGCGATATTCAAGTTCCACACGTCGCTCGGCACGAGCCGCTGCTGATGCTCAGAAGTGGCGGGCTCATCACCTACGCCAAACTCGAAGTGATTGAGCAGCTCGTCCTACCCGCCTACACTCAGTACGGTGCCGACAAGTTCGTCGGGACATGAGCTCCCCCCAAAGACCGGCGGGCTGGGCTGACTCGACGGCGATAATGGTGATCCCAACTGCCTGAGATGCAACACTGCGTTACCACCACACCGCTTCAGAGTGTTCAAAAAGCAGGTACTTTGCCCACTCCCGTGGAGCACAGCCACCCCGAGATACCCGCGGATGGAGGAGCAAAACAAGCGAGCGAAGCGCAGTGCAGCATCTAATCACGGCCTTGCGCGCGCAGACACACCACCAGCACACGGGAGCTAAGGTCCTAACGAAAACATGAAACAGCCGACCAAGAACCGGATTGCGCCATCCGCCTGTTGGTTCCTTTCCCCCTGCCATCGCGTTTATCTCACGCTAAAGGAGCTAGCTGCATGATGCTATCCCCAAACCGTGGGAGGGGTGTGAAATGACAATGAACGATGTCACGTCGGCTGGCCGATCGTGAGCGATTTTGCCCCAAATATAGCTGCGGACCTGATTGGAGGGCGGCTAACCCTCCTCATTTGTGTTACCATCGCCAAGCTGGAACCTACCTATTTGCGTTTCCTGCAAGCAGTCTTCAGCCAGGGAGCGTGGCTGATGACGATGCCATCGACTTTTGTTTCATGGAACACTGACCATATGGCCCCCAATTCCAATCCCATGGTTGCTGTCGCATGTGAGAAGTTAGCTTCGTTCACCCTTTCCTTGCCTGCCCGTTGCTGATTGCATCATAAGTGCTGACGAAGAGAAGAGGAAATGCAACAGTAGCCAGGATGTATCCGTCTTGTCTCTAGGGTCACGGAGTCCTCGAGACAGGCGTTGAAGGAACAGCCTGCAGTATCAGATCTCTAAGCACGGATGTCCACGCCATTTCCCCGTGTTGTCCCAACCTCCCAGCGATCAGGACATGCAACCCCAGGGCCCGCTAACCATCGGCCCGCCGGCATGGACCAGCTCTGTTGGCGGCACCTGCGTCCTGACGGAGCCGACTCAACAGAAGAAATTCCGTGGTGAGCGTGATGCCTTGCAGCTTGCATTGCAGGCACGAGAGCAATGAACTGAGACTGAAGTAACCTACGGCTACTCCTTATGGTAGCTTGTCTGCATTCTCGTCTGCCGCTGCTGGACCTCATCGGCTAGGTAAGGTATGGTAGGGAACAGACACCTTTGTCTCTGGTAGATTGTCATAACTCGGCCCCTGCAGCTCGTGTCTGAGTTGGGACAGCATGATGCCTCCCAGGAGCTTCAGGTGAATCTCGTGAGGCCAGACATGCTGCCAGCAATACCACGGTCACGCAGTAGCACGTATCAGGTCATTATCGACGAAGAAGAACCATGTCATGCATGTCAGATGGGAAAGTGTGATATGACTCTATTTTCGTCTGCGCTGTAGACGCCACCCGGGATACTCATTCTCATGAGATTCCAAGATCCATTCGGCCCTATATGGTATCATCACACCGCCAAGCTGGAACCAACCACCAGATGTAGGTTGCGGCGAAAGACCGTCCATAGATGGTGTTGGGGAAACTCGCGATGGCGACCCTCCACTCGGCAGTTCCCCCGCGCATGGCGCTTGTTTCAGATTTGCACGACAGAGATGGCACAGTCACGATGCTCAGAATCGGGCTGCCTGGGGGGCTGTCTGTCCATCTCACACTCTCAGCTCTGCCGCACCAACCCAGTAGCCATGCGAAGATATGCAAGGAATTAACAAAGCCGAGCTAAGAAGTTAATGTTAGGGCAGGACAAGATTGTGCGGCAGTGGGTCCGGCGTCTGGAGAAGAGAACAGTATGAAGCCTGCCCTGGATCCGATCATCGCGTGGCAGCGCCCATCGGTAGATCTCTCGTGTATGGGGCACGGATAATCTGACTACAGGAAGAACCAATGGGCGGAGGAATTCTTGCCCACCTTTTGAACCCCTCCGCATCTCTTAACTCGGTGCCTGCGGCTAATCTGTAAGTCAGTGTGGCTGAGCCGCTTAACAGCCGCCAACAAGCGCTCCCAATTCCGTTCCACGGCGACTGGCGAATGAGATCGTGTTGTGGGCTGAAGCAGCTTGGATAGGGGAGTGCCATCAACATGTTGGGTATGGAGTAAGGTATTGCCCCCAAATGTTCTCCTCCAGCCGAGCCACGGAGCTTTCCTGGGTGGAGCGGGAAGGGCCTATTCCTGTTCTCGCTTCTGCTCAGGTTCTGTTCGTGTTCGTGCATCTATGCCGGGGGTAGACAGCTTCCGCAGCCGAGGTCTTCACGCGAACTGCGGAAAGAAGCAGCGTGCTGCTATCGATCAGCCCGCCCGTGGAAGCGTTGCGGTAGGAATCGAACTTGCGCTCCTCCTCCAAATACTTGGAGTTAGATCGATGGGACTATTGATCAGGAGGCGAGCATTCAGGACTGAAACGAGCTCCCATCAAGTCCCATCCTTGGAGCCCCCGCCCGGAGCCCCCGCCCGGCGCCCATGGCAGCGGGCGATAAGTATGATACGTATTGAGAAGGAATCAAGGTGGACGCGGGGTCACCGGAACTCAGGGGATGCATTCGTCTCGCCTGTCCCTTGTCAAACAGCACCCTTAGTTTACTATGAAGTCTCGGGAAAGAGTGTTCTCGAAGGCTTCCACGCGGGCTCTGCGCCGTCGACGTGCTTGCCTAGCTGCCTGAAACGCTCTGCCGGCTGGCGTTAACACCGACGAGCCTGTCAGACAGCCGGTCTGACGCTCCCGTATGAGAGGCTGGAGATGAGATGGACAACATCTTCATGGGGCGAGGTTTGGCGAGCCGAGGTTACATAACCATGCAACTCAGCGGCACTGACGTTGGTGGAGGGAGAGGGTGCAGGGAGTGGTAGCTAGGGTTCAAACCTTGTTTTCAGGCACGTCTTATTCAGCATATCTTGAAACATCCGGTCCCGAGGGAATCCGACGTTAACTGCGCGAGCACACAGACTCGCGCTGTGGTGGAGATGCTGTCGTGAGGTGTGCTAAAAACGGATGAGTTCGAAACGAGCGGAAGAGGGAGACACACTCCAGTTGCATCAAGATTCAGCTGTTGGCTAGGTGGATGCTGCTGGATATCAAGGCATGCCAGGGACGGAGCGGACTCCGCTGTCAGCGGAGCGTAGACTGGTTCGGCATCCAAGGTACAGGTAGGCAGACGAGGCGGCCGTCCACCAGCGTGGGCATCGGCCGGACCGAAAAAAGTGCTGGGGCCGCACGAACACGGCACGGCTAAGGTGTGTTCTCGGTCGGTATAACTTGCCGCACCACGGGCATAGCGTCATGCTGGGCCAGCAACCATCGCCGGTGTTGCCGCCGGTGGTCATTTCTTGGCGTCCTCGTTGCCCGTGGCCCTCCTGCGGAAGAATGGCCTTTGGCCGGTCCTGCACCGTTTTTTGGTCCTTAAGCGAGGCGAGTTACAGAGCGTTACTGAACGCGCCGGCGAGTGCTCAGTGTTGCAACGCGTCCTACAGCTGCTGTAAGCTAGTACCAGCGTCGAAACGGTCTCGGCATCTCGGTCAACTTGTCCGCTGCGTGAGGTTGTGGTCGAACGGCAATATGTGGGCTTCACGAATTGTCTCATTTAGAGTCGGGAGTAACTCAAAGCTCAGGCTGCGTAGTGAGGACATGTTCGCATGCTGCTGAGGCGTGTTTTGAGAGTTGATGACGGTGACACATGTGGAGACGGATCAAAAGTGGGAAACCCACCATTTCGGCGTTTGCCGGCTGTGTCGCCAAGAACCTCTCACCATCTCACATCGGTGTGCACCCCACACCACGTCTTCAACCACTCACTTGTGGCAAAGTCTCGGCGTCGTCTTCATTCCAGGCAGCGAGTCCACGTGATATCCGACATCAACATCAAGCTGCCGGGTTTCTAGCTCGAGCGTTGCTACAGGCCTCGACACCTCTCAAAGACGGTTTCGGCACTTAGATCACCGGGGTGGACCGATCGGGTCTTTAACAAGCGGAACGGTTTGCACTTCGCACGCCATTGGAACAGGACCTCCAAAGCGCAGTATCATCTGGGAGGAACTCGAGAATAGACGGCAAGGTATAGAAGCGCATCGGTCGGAACTGTCAACTCGACGATCCCACCGAAGCCGCTTCTACAGAAGATGAGAGGAGTTTTGCTCCGGATTTGGTTGCTCGCCTGATCAGATGCACCGTCAAAATGGAGTTCAACATCGAGTAGGCAAACCATTATCGCATCCGCGCCTTCTTCTGGCTGACAAGATGGCAACAGCGATTTGCCCGTGCTTTTCCCCTATCCTCGGATTTATCCAGGCAGGTCATCTTCCTTCTGCTGTTTCTGGACACTCAAGACGCTAATCTGTGCCCAGAGCAATATGCGTATGTTTGGCCTCCACTTTGCGGCGCACTTCACTAACTTCCATGCTGCCATGTAGCTATATGGTGGACTTGAAGAGTGAGGATTTACTTCAAACATAGCTCTTGACTGACGTGCGGATTGCTGGCTAACGGATACGCTCAGAGACACTCGATGCCGGGGGAAACTGCGTGCTGGAGATGCCCTCGGGCACCGGGAAGACAGTCACCTTGCTGTCCCTCATTGTGGCCTACCAGCAGTACTATCCGTCACACCGCAAGCTCATCTACTGCTCCCGTTCGTCATTGCTCTACCCCCAACGACGTCAAATCTTGCATGGCTAACTGGCTGTCCAGGCACAATGTCCGAAATCGAAAAGGCCCTGGTCGAGCTCAAGGCACTCATGAAATTCCGTGCACAACGGCTCGGATATGAGGAGGAGTTCAGAGGTCTCGGTCTGACCAGTCGAAAAAACCTCTGCCTGCACCCGTCAGTGAAGCGGGAGAAGAGCGGTAACGTGGTCGATGCACGCTGCCGCAGTCTAACAGCTGGTTTCGTCAAAGAGAAGAAGGAAAAGGGGGAGGAGGTTGAAGTCTGTGTCTACCATGACGTAGGTTCCAACTTCTCTCCACCACTTGCCCGCTCCGTATGCTGATGTACACTCCAGAACCTTGACCTTCTTGAGCCTCACAACCTCGTTCCGAATGGTGTCTGGACACTGGACGGCCTTCTGCGGTACGGCGAGCAGCACAAGCAATGTCCATACTTCACCGCCCGGAGGATGGTGTGTTGCCCTTATTCTTCGGCTTGCCTCCCGGTGCTGACTACGTTCAGATGCAATACTGCAACGTCATCATTTATTCGTACCATTACCTTCTGGATCCCAAAATTGCCGAACGAGTATCCAAGGACTTGTCCAAGGATTGCATTGTCGTCTTTGACGAAGCCCACAACATTGACAACGTGTGCATCGAGTCCCTCAGTACCGACATCACGGAGGATTCACTGAGGAAAGCCACCAGGGGCGCCCAGAACCTCGAGAACAGGATTAGCGAGATGAGGGATTCGGACCAGCAGAAGCTGCAGGATGAATACGAGAAGCTCGTCGAAGGACTCAGAGGCGCCGATGATGGCCGCCAGGAAGACTCCTTCATGGCAAACCCAAGTAAGCCGGCTAACTCTACCTGCAGTTCTCCGTGAAGATCACTAATTTTCTCTTTGTAGCGCTTCCGGACGATCTGCTCAAGGAGGCCGTTCCTGGCAATATCCGGAGGGCAGAGCACTTTGTCGCATTCCTAAGGAGGTTTATCGAATATCTCAAGGTCGGTTCCTGTTCGGCCTCGCTCTTCCAATTTCCGGTACTGATTCCCCCTAGACCAGGATGAAAGTCCGGCAGGTGATATCCGAGACGCCGCCATCTTTCCTTGCACATCTCAAAGAGCACACGTTCATCGAGAAGAAGCCACTACGGTTCTGCGCGGAGCGACTGACCTCACTGGTGAGGACGCTTGAGCTCACCAACATTGAGGACTATCAGCCCCTGCAAGAAGTTGCCACATTCGCGACCCTGGTAGCAACATACGAGAAGGGCTTCCTCCTGATTCTGGAGCCCTACGAATCGGACACGGCCGAGGTACCAAATCCGGTTCTGCACTTCACCTGCTTGGATGCTGCCATTGCCATCAAGCCCGTCTTCGACCGCTTCAGTTCCGTCATTATCACCTCGGGAACAATATCCCCGCTGGAGATGTACCCCAAAATGCTCGACTTCCCCACCGTCGTCCAGGAATCGTACAGTATGACCCTGGCCAGGCGGTCTTTCTTGCCCATGATCGTCACTCGAGGGAGCGACCAAGCGTCAATATCAACGAGCTTTCAGGTCCGCAACGAGCCCAGCGTAGTCCGAAACTACGGAAACCTCTTGACCGAGTTCGCCAAGATCACCCCGGACGGCATGGTTGTATTCTTTCCCTCCTATCTCTACATGGAGTCCATTATCAGCATGTGGCAGGGCATGGGCATTCTCGACGAGGTCTGGAAATATAAGCTCATTCTCGTCGAGACCCCCGATGCGCAAGAGACCTCGCTCGCGCTCGAGACATACCGCACCGCCTGCTGCAACGGCCGCGGCGCGGTGCTCCTATGCGTTGCACGCGGCAAGGTCTCGGAGGGCATCGACTTCGACCACCAGTACGGGCGCACCGTGCTGTGCATCGGCGTACCCTTTCAGTACACCGAGTCGCGCATCCTCAAGGCCCGCCTCGAGTTCCTGCGCGAGACGTACCGCATCCGCGAGAATGACTTCCTCTCGTTCGACGCCATGCGCCACGCCGCCCAGTGCCTGGGCCGCGTCCTCCGCGGCAAGGACGACTACGGGCTCATGGTGCTCGCGGACCGCCGCTTTCAGAAGAAGCGCAACCAGCTGCCCAAGTGGATTAACCAGGCGCTACTGGACGCCGATGTCAACCTGAGCACCGACATGGCCGTCAGCAGCGCCCGGCGCTTCCTCAAGACCATGGCCCAGCCCTTCCGCGCCAAGGACCAGGAGGGAATCAGCACGTGGAGTATGGAGGACCTGAAGAGGCACCAGCAGAAGATGGACGAAGACCGGATCAAGGAGCTGCAGGCGCAGGAGGAGGGGGAGTCGAATCCGCTGCCGAGGACTGTTGACGATGGGCGGGAGAGCGACTACGAGATGGATGATGACGATGAGGCTGAGTTGATGGCACTGCATAATGACGGCTGAGCGTCCACGACCGGACTCCCCTGTGGGTTATGTATTGTGTTGGCTAGATAATGTGCCATGTATGGAGTGATGGGCTCGTGTTGAAGTCCGGCTGCGACTCAAACCCAAAACCGACATCAACGCATGCTCTCTCGACATAGAACCACCTCAGTAATGCACGCTGCGCTATTATTCAGTTGTCTATCAAAGGGTATCTATGAATGCAAAAAAAAATAAAAAAATAACCCCGCCATCATCGCCATCTAACGCAGCGTTCGGTGCAAGCCTCAAACGTGTATTCCAATGCTAAACCTCACGCAACTTCACCAAACGCCATGCTAACAATGCTGTAATCCATCCACGCCCAACCCACAAAGCGCTGAAACACGCCCATGCCCACCCGGCTGAAGATCAATGCTCCCCCACAAAACCCCCCTTGGCCTTCTTGACCGCCCTCATGGCTGGCAAAGTGTGCCCCCTCCCAGGCACCCGCCCAATCTCCAAACACAGCAGCCTGATCAAATCCTGGTTGGCCCAGTAGCTGGTATGCGCGCTCAGCATGTTCAGGTACTGGATCTCGAGCGGCCCGCCCCCGGACCTGAGGTAATAATCAATCTGGCCGTTATCATTCAACAAGAAGGCCTTCTTCTCGGCGATCTCCTCCCTCGTAAAGTCATGCACCTCGAGCTCGAGCTGCGACGGCAGGCGGGCGGCGGTGGGCGGTCTCTTTGACGATGACGACTCCACGCCATCACCGCCCGTCAAGGAGGAGGTTGCTGCGGAGGAGGAGCCCGTCCACCCGCGGACGGCGTCGCCGACGGATTTGAAGAAGGACGTGTGAATGCTCGGCACGTAGGCCACCTTGAGACTGGCGGCGTAGACGGGGTCGATGGTGCCATTGAGCAGGTAGGCGATGGGGTCTTCCTTGGCGAGAATGTTGTAGATGTTATCGACGGCGATGCAGCCGAACCGGCCCAGGTCGCCGACCACGTCCTTAGCGACCGTGTCGGCGGCGTCGGCGCCGGGTTTGAGGCGGCCGCGCCGCGGGACTAGGCTGCCGCGCTCGAGGAGGAGGAAGAAGCCTGCCGGGCTGCCAAGGAGGAACAGGTTGGTCGTGTCGAACTCGAAGAAGCGCGTCTCGGGGATCGGGGTGGAGAGGTCGAGCGGGCGTGGGACGCGGGTGGGTTGTCTGGACAGGACTTCAATCGCCATGGCGCTGCCGAGGGAATGTGCGATGAGGTGCACGCGTCCTTTGTCGGAGAAGCCTGGGTTGTTTCTGCACCATAGGCGGTAGACGCGGTTGGCTTCGCTGACGAGCGCGGCGATCATCTTGGGTTTGAGATGCGACATGTAAAACGGGATGTCGAACATGACATCCGAGATCATGCCCCTGACGGCGGGAATGGTAGGTGGCTCGATGTCTTTCAGGGTGAAGGCCTCCGGGGAATGGGCTTTCTTGTCTTCACTCGTAGGGCCGTCCTCGAAGTTCACAATGTGGCGCCAGTTGACTGGTAGCACCATGATACCGTTTTGCTCAGGCCGAAGTACACTCTTGACAATAGGGCTATTGAGCTCGATGTTGACAGCTCTCCGGAAGGCATTGACGGCATGGGTAAAGTGATAGCTCTCAACACGTTCGGACAGCTTCTGGCCAATGCCGTGGGCGACAAGGACGAGATCTGTGACCTGACCACGTTCCTTGTCGGACTGGCATCCTGGGCAGTCGCCTCGCTCGGTAGCCTGGGGCGCTTCTGCCACTGAAGTCGCAGTTGCCATGGTCTTGCTGCTCGAAGCTGCCCGCTTACCGTGCACGCGTTCAAAGGCAGTCCGGTCAAACCCACGCACCACAGGCAATCCCACGGTTATCCCCCTCATGATCTTGGAGACGGGCCGCCGGCCGTAGTAGACCGATGGCCTTTGGCTAGGCTTGAGCAGAAACGCGGTTGAACCATCCTTATAAATGACATGGTAGTTGGCATACATCCGGGATTCAAGAGGGGCGAGTGCCGTGTCCTGTTCGGAATGGACCGGCTCGAGTGAGCCTTCTGCGGCTGCCTCTCCTCGGAAACATCTCGCAGCGCAAAACGGGTCCGATGATATTGGCGGCTCTGGTTGTTTATCGTCCTCCTTGGGTTTGTGTCGCTTATCGGTGACTTCGGGCCAGAGGCGATGTGCCACCTTCTCCTCGCCGAGCGGGCCGACGTCAAGAGCAGACCTGAGCTCATCGCCCCACGTTTCGGTCCACGGCCGGAGCTCACGATACCCTGCTTCTAGTTGGTTCGCGACAATAGGTTCGACGGGCACCATGGTATCCCTGGAAGTGTCAGCCTAGGTTTCCACGCAGTGTTGAGGATGAATGCTCACCTGTAAAACCACGTCGCCCTTAAGACGGTGGCAATGTCGTTCACCGGAGACCAGTAGATAGGCTTCATCTGGAGGACGGGCAGCGAGACCATATGTAACCGTGAGATGCCTACAGGCACCTCAACCGAGTCCTCCTGCTTTTCCGCAGTTGGTCGCTCACGCGCTGACGCGAGACTGTCATCTCTGGCCCTACCCCTCGGTGTCATCCTCGCCAGCCTGTCATCGGGGGTAGCCACTCCTGACGACCTATCCGACCTCGTAGTCGGCTCAACACGCACAAATGGCTTCCCCGAGATGCCGTCATCTAGAACCGGCGGTCGTGCGGGAATAAATCCGCCAACAGGCAAACTCGACGGAAGAACTACCCCATCAGCAGATGCCGTAGACGACCTCGACCCGACACTCGTGGCAATCTGTACGACCGGACTGGGCCCTAACGCCAACGCCGCTTCGGACGCAGGCGGCATCGCGCCCTCGGCCTCCACCCTCAACCGTGTCAACTGCGCCATAACCCCTTCCAACACGCGATCATGATCCAGCATCTGCTGTCTCCGCCTCGTAACCGCACAAAATTCCCTCCGTAGCTCAGCCGACGCATCAATCGCCAACTCGGCGCAACAAACCGGCACGCCGCCATGCTCCGGCGTGACTAGACCCTCTCCCACCCCAGCCGCACCTCCAGCCACCGCCCCCGGCGCCAGGCCCTCCCGATCATGTTTCCCCCTGTGTTTCGCCGCCAGCGAATTCACGATCGCTGCCAACTTCTCGGCATTCTCTTTCGACAGGGCCGGGCTCGGGTTTCGGTTGCGCCGGGCGTGTTCGTGGTTGCGCTTGTCGCGATCCGAGGCGAGGCCGAGCCAGGCGCGCTCGAGGGCGGCGTTGTCGCCCGGGGAGAAGGGCCGGAGAAGGGATTTGGCGACCTTGGAGTCTGACGCGCTGACGATGGTGGCGGCCGAGAGGGGGTCATCGATTGGGATGAGCGAGGCGTAGAAAAATTGGGCTTGGATTGGCGGGATGCCTTCGAGGCCTTGGCCGGGTTCGGGGACAGGAACGGGCGCGAGACGGCAGGGGGTGATGAGGGTGTGATGGGTTGGGGACGGGGTGGTCATGGTTGGTGGTCTTGAGAATCTAGGCCAATATAGGGTTTGTCAGCAGTGTTGGGGAGACAATAGAGGATGGGTCGCATGCGAGAGGGCATCAATATGGTCGATCAGGGAGAGGAATGTTGTCCAGATCGGTTGGGAGTACATACCTTGTCCTACGGGGGGAACCGCGGATGAATATCAGGCAGCTGCACACCGCCAACTTTGAAGCTATGGCAGAGGCATACACTCCTTGTTGTGGCAGTCAAATTAGATCAATCTCGAGTTTGATCCAAGAAACTGTGAGAAGGGACAAGATGCAGAGTTTGGGTCAGGTCCGGTCCGAGACATGGTGAGGAAAAGTCCGGGCTGTTTGGTGCTCCTGGAGAGAAAGGCATCTTCCAATTGCTGTTGCGAGTTCATCAGTGGGCTGATGACGTGGTGAGCCGACCCGGCAGTGTCTGCCTGCCGCCGAAAGCCCAGCCTTCAGGCCAACCCCACTTTCTTCTGGCTGCCACAAATTTCCAAAAATCGGGCAGTTGGCCTAAAGATAGGTTCGATGGGATAACTCTCACCGCAATTGGAACCCGAGCTCATCAATCTGCCCCGAGTTGTTACGAACTTCAATTCCGGCTGAGCCTCCATTGTAAGAAGACAACTGGATACCCCTACTTGTTTGTTTAGGTAGGGGGCCTGCGCAAGTGCCAAGAGCCACCAAGTAGACCTGACGGATTGTTTAGCGGGGAGGCGGTCCCGGTTGGATGGAAGTTTACCAGACGCAACATGAAGTTATGCCCCACGGTCAGTCCGGGCGGCATGTGTCAGCCTTGCAGGCCGCTTCAGCATGCGAATGTCACGAGAAAGAAGACGGGGTGACATTTCGCCGTTCATTCTTTCCAGACATACACATACATACAGGTTTGCCTTCCCATTGTTCTATCAATATTGAAGGACTCTCAAATCCCCCCAAGCAATCATCTAGCCGATCGTCAGGATGAAGTTGTTGTTTCAAAAGATGAAAAAGGAGGGAGAGACGAGTCGGGACGAGTCGCGGCCAAGACCACTCTCCCACCGCTTCCCATCCGTCATCCAACCAACCTCACGTTCCCCAGGAATTGCAACAACTATCGCCAGAGGTGCATCAACGCCAGGCTCAGCTCCAGAATGAAACCGCATGAAACGAAAAGCCACGCCAAGCAATGGACCCGCAACGTCTCGCCTTCCGACGCACCAAGAAGCAATCCCTCCAGATCGTCGTCTGCGATACCCTCAACGTCTCTAGCATGGACAGCCTGTTTGCCATCTTGCAACAACCAGCATCCACCTTCGTCCAGGTCAACCCGGGCAAGTTCGTCCAGTTCACGCCAGCCTCGCTCTGCCCCGTGTGCCTCAACCTGGATCCCTTCCAGGTCCCGCCCCAACATAACCGCGAGCGCAGGGACCGGCCTTGGGCGAGATTCGAGTTCAAAGTCCCGCACGATACGCCCGTGGTGCATTTCCAGATCGACAAGGGAACCGGTCTGGTGGAATCGAGCCAGGGTGGGTGTCTTACCTGCAACATGGCTACGGCTTTGAGTGCTATGGCACCGGGATGGGGGGAGAAGAAGGCCTTTATTCATGTGTTCCTCGCGCCTGGCCTCCGCTGGTGGTTCGTTTTGAGATTGGTGCGGTGGGGAGCGTGACCGTAGGACCAGAGGAAGCACTGACGTACGGACTGTGCTGCCCGAGGGGCAATTGACGTTTGATATCTTCGTGAGAAACAACGATGAGCAGTGTGGGTACAAGTTCAGTCGAAGTTGAAATCTACCGGCCTAGCGTTGTTCAAGAGGAGCTCCGGTTGGTGGTGAGTGCTTTTACTTTCCGAGCCAAACCTCTTCGCATTCCTTCATTGGACAAGAACTGACAGATCTCTCTCTTGTCTGCACAGACTATACTCTAGATGAGTTGATTAGACTCGGTGTCGCTTCCGACAACTTTCCCCATGCCGGATCTTACGAATCCTTCCACTTCATGAAAGAACAGGTCGAGAATTGCATGGAAAACCACCAGTGCTCGCTCGCCGCACTCCTCACGCGCCTTCTATATCGAGTCATCTGGCTCAAATTACCTCACACTGCGAGTGGGACTCAGCTCATTGAGCCTCAAGGATCCGTTCAGGTCCCATACATTGCATTAAGCTACTGCTGGGGCCCCGTGCCCCCGGCAACCTTCCTCACCAACGAAGACATCTTAGCCGTGCGTAAGGCTGGCATTGACTACCACGACCTCCCGCCACTCTTCCAAGACGACGTCACCATATCCCGCGGTCTCAGCTTCCAGTATCTCTGGATCGACCGTCTCTGCATCATCCTGGGCAACCGCGGCGACTTTGCCCGGCAGGCACCCAAGATGGGCGACATCTACGGCGACGCCACCATAACTCATGCCTCGCTTCCGCAACAACCGAAAACGACTGCATCCTCACTCCCCGCGACGCCAAATGGGAGCCCATGACTCTTGAGATCAGCGCCAACAATCTCAGAAAGCTCCGATTCTCCATGCGCCATCGCTCGCATCGTCTCGGATCCGAGTCTCGGGGCGGCGGCTACGGTAGGATCCCGGCCCGGGCCTGAACTTGGCAAGAGCGCATGCTCTCGACGCGCACCAACTTCACCCAGTCAGCGCTCAAGTTCGGGTGTGATGCCCACCCGGTCTGGGAAGGGTTCGGGCCGGGAGTGACGGGCCACTCGTGGGGCGCGCAGCTCGAGAACATCACGCACCAGTCGTGGTTTGACTTCGTCGAGGAGTTACCAGGCGTGGTATCACCAATGCCGCCGATCGGCGGCCGGCGATGGATGCTGTCACGACGCGTATCATGCGCATCAAAGGCTGGAAGTCCATCCGGGAGCATGCCCTGATTGAGGACCCGTGCTGGGTGGCCGATGCAACGTCCGACAGGCTGAAGGTGCCGTGCAAAATGCACGACGACTTCTACGCGCCGACTTGGAGCTGGTTAGAGTTATCAAACCCGTTTCGTACGTCTCTGCCAAGGGGTGGCTTGGATTTAACGAGACAGATTCTCCCATGCCCGAGTTGCAGGCCAAGGACTTCAATTGCCAGCTGGCTGTTCTCACTGTCGAAGGCCGCGTCATCACACGCGAGATGAACTGCGAGGTGAAAGAGAAGGAGGACGCTCCAGAGGAGCCTGGTGGGGAGAAATCTTTGATCTCTGCATACTTCATGCTCGGGCTGGAGGTGACGGGCCCAATGCCCATGACCGCTGATGTCAACCTGAAGCCTTGGACGGGCCTAGTTCATGGCCAACCCTACTCGACTGTCTTTCAATCCCCGTACAGCGAGAGGACCTCGTGGATCAGCAATCGTCTGTGTCTCTTGGAAGCAGGCAGAAGCTGAGCTGTAGCATCGTGCTCTGGGTCGGTCAAGGAGGGTACCTGGCGCTTCGGAGCGCTTAGGCATGGTGCATGGATCAGATCCTTCGTGTTTCCAGGGGGCGGGAAGACAAGTTCTTCTTCAACTGGCATGATGTTGCAGAGCCGTTTTCACCACGCTCACCTGGAAACAGCGCATCTTGTTCATGCTTCGGGGAAGCAGCGGAATCAACAACTGGTTGCCTGTGTGTCTCGTGTGTTGAGGGCATGCTGGCCAGGCGCCAGGCTGTCTGGTCCCAGGAGAAGGTTGCGAGGTATGAAGTAGTCACAATGTCAGGAGGCAAAAGAGGCGAAAAATGACCACGGCACAACCAGGATTACTTTGTGCTCCATTTCTGGGTAAATACTTTTCTCCCTTGCGTCTCACCCATGAGGTACCTTAACCCTTATTCGCGAGCAAGTGGTTCTTGGGCACAGAACGGCCCCCCGACTGTCTGCAGAGAGTTGAAGTTAGAATGAAATGGGTGCGCTTATGGTACGGCCGCCGAGGATTAGGTTGTGAGTCCAAATGGACGAGTTAGTTGATGTCATATCGTCTCAAGATGATTGCATGCCCAGGCACTCAAAGAGATGGAAATCTCATTTATCTCATGATAGCCTTGTTCTGGGTGTTTCTACCTGTTCCGGATTCAAATCCCCTTGAAGAAGCCGACCCAGTGCCCTGATGAAGAACAAAAACTCGGTGATCCGACGCTTTGTTGAGACTCTGCCGACGCACGTAAAACCAGCCGTTCTCCTTACCGTCCTTGAGCAAGCAATATGTATGCCGCACTTGATTCTTTCTCTTGAAACCTCTTCCCGGTATCCCAACAGCTCGTCACCACATCCATTCTCGTCGACGGACCTTCGGCGTGGGAGATATCGAGCTGCGTTCAAGGCGCCTGTGACGTTTGCATTAGGCCAAGCTCGGCGTTCCCACATCGGAGGCCTGTCTTGGGCTGCATCCGACGCGAGGTGAGGACTGATCCGTTTCCTGCGGGGTGCCCAGTGGTTTTGTGGTCGGCAGAACTTTGGATTGTGTCTCGTGGGTTGGTCAAGTAGGAGGGAGTGTCGGCGTTGAGCGCCGTCAGAGGTTGTGGATTGCTTTCCCTCCTCATTGACAACACCACACCAAGACACCAGTGCTGTGCTGTCCCCGCACGACCTCAATGTTGATCCTCGCGCCTTTTCATCCTCCGCACCTTCAACCTTCGCAGACCGGTCGAGCCAACCAGCTCTCCTCTCCCCATGGAACCAGAGACATATCGACTCCCCTTTTGTGTGCTTCTTCATGTCATAGGACTGCTCCCAATTGACGTTGGAAATCAGGAATATTTGCGCGGCCCATGCTCATTCCTCTTTGTCGGGAAAGGGTTCTAAGATCCGTTTCCGTCGTCTCAGAAACTAGGGGCGATGTTCGCGCAGGTCATCTGGGGTCTTGAACACGCTGTCGCCGCTGATGATGACTGGATATCGCGGTTCGGGTTTGGGCATTGAGTTGTATATAGCGGCGGCCTGCCATGCTCCTGGTGCCCATTTGCTGCGAACGCTGTTCCGGTTCTCGAGCTGTGAAAGCCTCTCAACCTATGAAATGGCGATGGCACGCCTCAAGTCTTCAGACATGTTGAAGTGACAAAGGGGGGTTGCTTTGTTGATGGAAAGGGACGCAGACCTTGGAACCGGCGCTCCGTTTGGAAGGAGGATGGGAAATGCGTCAAGCACTCGGATGCGTTATGCCTGGCTAGAAAAGTGACAAGGTTCGACTCAGCTTGCGACATCCATGAGGTGAGTCACTCGATGGAATTCCTCAATACTCTAAGCTTACCAGGTGCCTTACTTCCCTCTTCTTCTTCCCCTTGCTTTTCCTCTTCTTGCTCTTCAATTTCCTCTTCTTCTTCTTCTCCTCTTCTTTTTTTCTTCTTCCTCTTTACACACGAAAACCTTAATGGGCCTACAATTTGGTGCCTGACATGTCTTGAACACACCTTTTCAACATTGTTGCGGCCCAGCTGCACCGGTGCCTTGAACGACGCCAAGGTGGTCGAAGACACCTCTTCCCCAACTTTCCGCACAGCAGCGGAGCTTGCGGACATTGAGCAGAAGATGAAGGACAAGGACATTAAGGATAAAATCAGCCCCGTTGTTGAAGAGGTACGTGGTGGCCTTGTCAAGCAGCCGAGCCTCCCCTCTTCCCACCCCGGGCCCCTTCGTTCGTGGATGAGGCCGACCAGTTACATGCTTGTCAGGTCAACTCTCGACCTAACACGCCAGTAATGGCCGCTGCTCAGCTCGCTACTGGTGCCAATACCGAGTAAGGTCCATGGACGCCTTTCGAGCCTGCTGATGTGGTAGCTTCTCGACGCCCTGGGTTTCGTGGACGTCCGTGGGACTTGGCCAGGACAGGGATGGGGTTTCAGGTTCGGTCGATGACCTGCTTTGAGTATGGATGGTACCGGGTGCAAGAAGTTTGACAACCAAATACATCTCAGTCTCGTCTGCCACACAGTCATGCTCTTTGTCCAGATCCTTCTTGCACGTGCACACTACCTAACGTAGGTACTCTCACTTTTCCCCTCCTTATCGACCATCTCAAAGGGGCCCGTCACACCGAGGCCGCCCAAGCTGGGGAGCATACGAACCTATCTCCGGCCAGCTCCATGCGTTCCATAAACCGCCTGTTACGCTGCAAGCCGCCAGTCCTAGCAGCCAGCGAGAGCACATGCTCCAGGCGGGCGATGGGATTTGGTCGCCGAAAGACCACTCTAATATCCGTAGGGTTTGTGTGGCGTCTAAAGCGGCTTATCCTTTGCGCCGCTCCCGAACGGAGGAGACCTTGTAGTTGTTCGGGAGAATCCCTAGGGTGTAAGCAACGTCGTTCTGCTTACGTTCGCCAAGATCTGCAGTGCAGAGCATGCCTTTTTCGGCCTCACATAATATATTGATGACTTCTCGTTGGCTAGCCCTATGAACAACCTAAGGTACCTTGTTCAGCGAACACGGCGCAACCAACAAGGCCACGATGGTTCTCCAGCTTCCAAGACGGCCTTACACAATTACACCGCACCTACAATCTCTTAATCATAGCAACCATGATGCACATTCGGTATAAAAAGGCTGCCCGTGAGCATGGTGTCTCTTGTCTTCGGCCATCTTCACAAGCTCCTCCAAGACTGCGAAGTCTCTATCATAATCTATCATTCTCTTGCCCTTGAGAACCTCTCTGCTTCTTCTCCATAGCTCCTCTCACCCCAATCCCCATGAAGCTCTCGGTTGTGCTCGCCCTCCCCTTTCTCCACCTCCCGCTATCCTACGCGGCTGTGGGCGGGCGCTGCGCGGGCACCTGGGGTCCGCAGTGCATCTGTCTCGACAGCCGCGAGTGTGAGCGCCGCGGCGGCCACGCGGCCGAGGGCACCCCGGGCGACTGGCCCTGCCCCAGCGACCCCATCAACGTCATGGGCTGCTTTCTTCAGGGCTGCGCCGAGGGCAACACGTATTGCACCTGGAGGGAGGGTTGTACCGGAACGCCCCTGACCAGTGAGTTGGATTCAGTCCCATGCGAATAGCACAAGCTTCAGCCGGAACGCAGATTCAGTTCTGTCTCCTGAGCTGGTGGCCAATCGACTTGGTACATTGTAATCGAGGGACTAACTTTCACTTCAGACCCTACTTGCCCCGGAGGAAACGACTACATCTGTTGCCGACGTTAGTGCCAGACCCGGGATCCCAGCATCTGCCCGCCAAGGTCCGATCGGTCGTGTTGGAAGGAAGCAGAGATGGTGTAATTGCTGGTTACAATACGTATATAGCAAGTTGAACGTGGTTGGAGTGATTCTTGCTCATCCTACTTGGTAAAACGCGGTGCGAGGTTCACCATGGCCCTTGATCCTCTAACTCCACCTCGTGCCTCGTTACTTCTCGCCGCCGCCCCGAATCCCCCCCCCTTCCCCCCAAGTTCCTTTCCCTCTCTTACTAATAAAGCATTTCGATGTCCCCCTGAGCCCAAATCTCGACCCGCCGTCCAAGGACCTGATTAATTTCGAGTCTATCAAGCCGAGAGACGACAGCTATGACGAAGGGACTACCTCCGTCCGTTAAGCGGCACATTGTGCCATTCTACTCCCAGCCCACGCTCACATCTGAGGATAAATGGTGCGAATGGCTCGGCCGTGCGCCTCCGGGAACGAAGGCAAACATCCGGCCCGTGACTGGTCAGAATTGACAGAGGGTGCAGCGTCTCCTTGGCTGGTGGATGGAAGACCTCCGTATCGAGGGATGTCACCGAGTTCGGCTACCATACTTATTTTCCACATCCTCTCCCACAAGCGCCCCCTCCCTCAACCATTTCTTTCCCTGATTTCCCCCGAATCTTTCTCCCCTTCTCTTCCCTTTTTTACTTATTTCCTCTGCATGATGCCACACATGAGATACTTTGAGGTGTCGTTCACGTGGTCGAGCAAGTCATATCTGACGTTTTGCTTTCGTGGCAGGGAATTTGGCGGAAGGAGATGACAGAGATGTTCGGCCCCTCTGCCCAGCCGCACAGACTCCCAGCCACAAATCTTCAATCATATGGCATCTACGGATTAGTTGATCCTTGATCAGTCGAGTATCACCATCCAACCTGAGCCACCGTGACGCGTCACCGATCCATCACCGCGGCGATGACATGCTCTCTGCATGGGGAATAGGCCGAGGACCGACCGACTGCATTCATTGTGTCAGTTTATTAACTGTACTGGAGGAACTCATTAAGAGAGCAAGTTCGGATATCCACAAACAAATCCATGCCTACCCTTTGCCACCTCCCCCTTTCCAGAGTTAAAAGTGTATCTCACCAGACCCCATCAGAGAACGGCCTCCGAGATATCCTGGCGCGCGGTAAAGCGGTGGGCGCTGAACTACGAAGATGGTTGCAGACTTTGTCGCACAGCAGCCCTCCGCTTGGCACTGCGTAGATGGACCCCTACACACGGGGCCATATTTATTTCACGGAACATTTCGCTTCCAGAATCTTCTGGCTGCCCAGGTCATGACGCATTTCTGGGCTGGACTGGTCATCCTTGCCAGGTGCTACGCTATGTGCCAAGACATGAGTCGAGGTGTCACGGACCTCGACGAGGACGTGAATGTGGCTTGCATGCAATTGTTCGAGTGCTCGCCCCTGCAGGTCTCCGGGACGCCATGGGGCCCCCAAGCTCTCGGTTCACACTTCGCAGACATGATATGTTCTGCAGCAGACTATTTTACCTCAAGGGACAGAGGCATATCGGGACCTATCATCCTCTTGTTCCCTTTGTGGATAGCCAAGGATGTGTATGCCAATATGCAGAATGATTTGTCAAGACTTAAGGAGGTTTTCTGCGTTGGGGTGTTTCAGGAACTTGGACGCCGTGGCATGAAAATCTCGGATGCTTTGGTTGGTCTAAGTACAAAACAACCTTAAGGGTTTATTGGGCGTCTCTCTGACGTGGCGACACTGTGGATTTTACAAACAGATCTCCATTCTGAGCGTTCTCTGTTTGCAGAGTGACCACCTGCCGATACATTATGTCTCAGGATGACGTGGTCATCCTTGCGATCTCAATACATTGCCCATCCACCGCTCGCCGAGATCACCTGACCACTAATCCACCGACTCTCCTCGCTAGCCAGCCAAGCGACAATCTGTGCGATGTCGTCCACAGTTCCAATCCGATTCTCGACAGGGGTTTGCGACTTCTGCATCTCGATGTACTCCTTGGGGATATTTTCCATCAGCTGGGTCTGGACAGGCCCCGGGTTGACCGCATTGACCGTGTGCCCTGCGGCTCCCAAATCCGCCGCCCAGCATCTGGTCAAGCCCTCCAGCGCAGCCTTGGACGAACAATAGACTGACAGATCCTTGAAGCCGTACCTAGCTCCGACAGAGCTGATGTTGATGATGCGTCCTGGACGACGGAGATGCGGCAGCACGGCCTGGGTCATGAGCAGTGGGCCCCTGACGTTCAAGTCGTAGATGGAAGCAAAGTCTTCGACCGTGATCTCTTGCAGCGGCTTGACAAGCTCTGCACCTGCATTGTTGATGAGGATGTCGACGCCGGTGCCGAATGCCTGGAATGTCTGCTCGAGAATTTGCTTGGGAACGGAGGGGTCTCTCAAGTCGGCCTTGATCTTGATGGCTTTGGAACCATTGCCCAGACCATCAATCTTCTCGATGAGAGCTTCCATTGTCTTTTAGCTGCCCTGAGACGTGTATGTGCCGGCTACCTATTTACATTGTCAGCTGCAACTGTCCGGCTGGCTTGCGGCTAGAGATCTCACCTTTGCACCGCGCCGGGCCAATTCGAACGCGATCTCGGCGCCAATGCCCCTGGAGGTACCCGTCACAATAGCTACTTTGCCTCTGAGGTCGAGGGATACATGTGGAAGGGGGTTGACTGACACCATCCTCAGTCGGCTCTGTGCGTATCAATGTGGACAAACTGATACGATAATTGCGATGAGTATCTTGGTTAGACCTGAAGGTTTTGATCTTGTTCATCGATTCGTTTGGAAAAGTCAAGCACACTTATAAAGACAAGTTTCTCCTGCTCTCAATAACAGCTTCACAAATGAGCATCGGAGTTTATCGTACACTCCCATCCTGATATCAAAGTGCAGCTGGTTTCTGAAACCCGCTCGGTGGAATGCTTCCCCTTTGGGCTAATCGAGCTGGACAAAAATACCTTATACCTGCAGATCGGCATGGGTGGGACTCGGCGTCTTGGCTTTGTTAGCCGAGTCTTGCGACGGTACGTACCAGTCGACCGGACCTGTCTGGCACGTCCATGCAGACCGGCTTGGAACCCATGCAATTATTGGAACTCTCTCCGGAGACAAGGCAGCGGCCGAATGTTCCATTTATTGAGCCTCGCCCCGTGCATAGAGACTCCTGAGCTTTGCCCATTGTGTAGTCTTGGGCCGCCTAGGCCGGCATTTGCCCCGCCCTGCTGGACGGCTCCCTGCACGGAGCTTCTCCTCCCCCCTTCTCCGCTCAGGAAGGGAACGGTTCTCTGCGCGAGGTTGCTTACACATCAGCTCGGCTAATCCGGATCCAACGATGTAATCCTCAAGGTCAACAACTCGAGGCCGCGAGGCGCCTCGAAGCCATTGGGGTCTGTTCTCGCCCCCGCCAACCGCTGACACATCCATGACAATGTCAGCGCCCGGTTATGCTAGCTTCGATAACATTGCGAGGTCAATGCAAGCTTCCGATGGAAGCGGACCCTCCCTCCTACGATGAATGGGCAGGCCGCATGTCTATCACTCAGCTGAATAGCAGGTATGAAAAGGGGTCACCTCCTTTTGTCGCAATATCACAGCTTTGCCTCTCTTTATGTATCCTCTCACCTCAAGATACCGTCACCTTGTGAACCGTTTGGGTCTAATCAGCCTTCACTGCAAGAACCACCCAAATACTCTTCGATCCAGGCTAGAGCCTCCAGCAATCAAAATGGTCAAGATTGCCATCGTCTACGTATGTTTGTCCTTCCCGCCCTTCACACACCGCGGCGTGCGTCAACCACATATGGAGCGCTGGATCCCCAGCGGCTCCTGGAATCGCACTCCTGCTCGTGCCACCTCAATCCTATGAATCGACACAACGCTGGTTACTGACTCCAAGTGTGCTGCAGTATTCCATGTACGGTCATATCAAGACTCTAGTCGAAGCCGAGAAGAGGGGCATTGAAAAGGCGGGCGGCACCGGCGACGTGTTCCAGTATGTCGAGACATCTCTCTAAGACGAAACTGTGCAAACGCTAGAACCCCGGACATTGATACATGCTCTCAGAATTCCCGAGACCCTCTCCGACGAGGTTCTCGCCAAGATGTCCGCGCCTTCCAAGCCCGCTGACATCACCGTGCTCGAGGACCCCTCAGTGCTCGAGAACTACGACGCCTTCCTGCTCGGCATTCCCACCCGTTACGGCAACTTCCCGCTCAGTGGAAGACCTTCTGGGACAAGACCGGCAAGCAGTAATCCTCGGGCGGTTTCTGGGGCAAGCTGGCCGGCGTCTTCATTTCCACCGCCTCACTCGGCGGCGGCCAGGAGTCGACCGCCCTCGCCGCCATGTCCACCTTGGCCCACCACGGCATCATCTACGTGCCCTTCGGGTACGCCAAGGCGTTTGCCCAGCTGACCGACCTCAGCGAAGTCCACGGCGGCTCCCCGTGGGGCGCCGGCACTTTTGCCGGTCCCGACGGCTCGCGCCAGCCCACCGCCCGAGAGCTCGAGGTCGCAGAGATCCAGGGCGCCGAGTTCTACAAAACCGCGCTCAAGCACTTCGGTTGACTAGATAGTCCCAAACGCGGCAAGAAGGCCGGTGAGAACGGAGAGGCGGCAGTGACAGAGCATGCCGCCGCGAGGAGCGCGAACGGCGTGACCGGCGGCCGGCGGTGCTACCAAGGCCCAGGCCCGGCAGACACCGCGGCAAGGGCAGCCGGAGAACGACGACAAGGAGGGCAACCTTTCTGGGCTGCCGTCCAAGTGCGTCCTCTTGTAGGGATTGAGAACCATCTTTTGATAGACGGATAAAGTCATAAATATACCATAATCATTCCCAATGTATGAGATCCCTTGCCTAGTCGACCTGAGTCGGGGAGCGACCTCCATCTTAGCCACGGCTGGCGATTGGGTGTGGTATAGAGCGGAACACAGATGCTCTCAGGGTTAAGCTACATGAGTATTCTATGAGCGCTAAAACATGCTGACGACCTGCTAAGACGGTTGATCTACGAGCCCGTGTCCTGCATTGTGTATTGTAACACCGGGTACAAATGAATGCCATTCGGGTGTCTGCTGCGGAGCTTAGTGTGAGACAGAGAGGCAGCGGGGAGACAAGAACTCCGGGAACGGAATGCTTGATCAAGATTGAACATCTGAAGAGCTGAGTCTCAGCAACTCGGGGTGACATAGAGTCAAAGAAGTATCGCCACCCCTTTGTGCAGGTTTGGAGGCCGTCCATATTCCATATTTCTTGATGGCCGGCTGGAGAAACCCTTAGAACTCCAGGCACCTTCCTTACCTTAGCTCTGAGCGAACCTAACCTGCCAACCAACACAAAACAGTCATTGAGCCACTTCGGTCGCCCGACGGGTTCTGCGGTCCTCAGCACAACAACGCCGGCTGCGCCGGCACGGATGCCCAGTGCTGTAATTCCGAAACGTGGGCCTGCGGCAATTCGGAGTATGTGGGCGCTTCTTCTCTTTTCTTACCTACCTACCCTTTCTGTTCAGTGTCGCCATCACCTCTCCGCTAACATACCGGCCAGAGAGGATTGTGCGGACGGCACGTGCTACGAGGGGTTATGCGCCGGCGACAAAGTCTACAGCACTGATGGCACCTGCGGCAGCGAGCATGACAACCGGCTGTGTGCTGGGAAATGGGGTGACTGATGTAACCGCAGCGGCCAATGTGGCACCGGCGCCGACTTTTGTGGCGAGAGCGTGTGTCAGTCGGGCAACTGTGACTGGTCGTGGCTCAGGCGCACTACGACGGTCACCTCCTCGGTGTCGTCCACAGCGTCGACCACCGTCAGCAGGAGCAGCACGAGCACCAGCACCAGCACCAGCACACGGCCTCTCCCGATGTTGTCCAGCAGCTGCAGTGACGGAACCGGAGCTGGCGGCCTCGCTGGGCTCTGCTCCTGGGCCTGCTCTCACGGCTTCTGCCCAAACCCCTGTACTTGCACCCCAGGCACGCCAGCCGCCCTGCCGCCCCCGACCGGCGACCGAGGCTACGCCCTGCTGGACCTCCGGGACGAGCCGGGCTTCTCCGACCTGTGCGACTTGGTGTGCTCGTACGCCGCCGACTACTGTCCAGAGCAGGTGTGCACCAAGACCCCCTACAGCACCGTGCAGCAGCCCGGCACCGTCTGCGTGCAGGGCGAGGGCGAGGGCGGCTACGCCGGCTTGTGCAGCTACGCGTGCCGCTACTACGGGTACTGCCCGTCTAGTTCCTGCACCTGCACCCTGTATGGCGCGGCCATTCAAGAACCGTCTATCCTTGGCACCCCGGGCGAGGCCGCACCGGGCGTCGACGACAGCTACGACGACCTGTGCAACTATACCTGCAACCGCGGTTACTGTCCCACGGAAAGTTTGCGCTTATTCGACCTAGACTTCCAGGCTTCCAGCTTGCCCAGGTTGTAGAATGTCGTTTGTTTTCCAGTCTCTTCGCAGATCTGCCTCCTCTGCGTTGGACCTTAATGTTCCTTGATAGACATGCAAGAAATGTAAAACGAAACGTTCGACGCTGGCAGACCTACCCATTTAGTGCCCACATTCCAAGTTGAGTAAGAGTTCCTGAACTCGTTTCTACGTCAAGTACCTGGTCGTTCGTGTTGCTTTAGCCTTTGACTATCTGTCCCGGGCCGCGTACAACAGTGACTGAATCCCAAAACCTAGGATCAGGTATCCTACACAGTATACCTTCAAGTTATTCGCGTTCTCCACAGGTATCAAATTGTGTCCGAATTTGGCAAGTTCCGGTCAGGGACAGGCTGTCCCCGACTCCCCTGACTCCATCCGATCCCAGCCCCACAACCGTCCATCCCCACCCAAGCAGGCCCATTTACCTTGCCCAAAGTTCTTCGTTTCCATGAGACCATGATCACTCGCTTCCTCCTGATCTTCCTCTCATTTTGTCCTTTTTTTCTTTAGCTTTCCTGGAGACAACAGAGGCCTCCGCTGGTTTTCCATCATGACCGACAGCGCGGAGACTACGCTGCCCTCCTACGAGGAGCAAGACAGCCCCCAGAATCGGGTGCTGCTCAACCCCAAGACGCGACGCATCCGCTGGACCCTCAATGGCCCGCTCGAGACAGCAATCACGCTCGCGCGCGACCGGTTTTTCGATCCGGATGAGGTGCCCGAGCCCTACCACCAGGGACATGCCTTTGCACAGGCGCCCCTCACCAAACCCAAGGTGTCGTCGCTCAAGCTCTACGTCGAGACGCTTGACGATTGGGACCACCTCTGGATGGAGATTCACAGAGATCACACGGACCCCAACGCGACGTATGACCCCGCCAATGTTGTCTACGGGCCGTTGCCGGGCGTGGACGAGGCCGAGCTGCGCGGCGGGAAGCATCTGTTGGTGTGCTGCGGCTTGAAGAGGCCGTGGGGTCGGAAGACGCAGCTGGTGGTCAAGGCGACGGGTAACTTTGTCACCATCCACGACTTCATCTCGACCGTGCACCCGTACCTGATGGCTCGGCGCGGCGATATCATCGAGACCATGAATCTGGATCCGGGCAGGACCAGAAAGCCCTTCGGACGCAAGACCAAGCTGATGGTGACATGGCAGTGCGCCAAGGGGGTGGAGATCTGGGATGAGGCGGATTGGAGGGCCTACCACACGCGCAACAAACCGAAGCTCCCCCTCAGTTCGTTGAATTTGCCTCCTGCACTGGTAAACGCCATGAGACTCGAGGCTCAGAGGAAAAGAGAGAGGCCTAGAAGCAAAACACTTGAGGAACTTTGGGGCTCGGATGACGAATGACGAATGACAGAACCGGGAGCTCGAGATACGGACAAGCGTCCACTGATAGAAATAATCAGCATCGGCAAGCCTGGTTCAATATCTGTCACTCCGTCGTGTAGAATTCTCTCCTTGTTGAGGAGTGGTGGTGTGCCAAGGAACAACAGCCGTTTGGGGGCGGCTTCTGGCTTCCTTCCCCATCATCACGAAGAGCCGGCTTGGCGCACGCTTTTGATTGGGTAATCGGTCTTGAACCCTTCCCACGGCTTGGCGCTGCTATATAATTTGCCAGAGCCACTTACACCTGCAATCAAGCCTCACCCGCGCCGCTGTGGTGTGGGTGAACGCCAAGCGACAATGCAGGAACTGGAGGGAGCCGGATAAGGGCGAGAGAAGCATGGTAGAGCACCAGACATGACCGCTGCTTGTGCGTTAGTAGGAGGGGCTTGAGAAGTGTGTATAAAGGGAACCACGGTTCTGCTTTTTCTTCCCCAGCGGCAAGCAACATAGACAACCCGCCTCCTCGCCTCGCACAAGTTCGAGTTCTACAATTGTATCTGTGCCAAATCAACATCATCACCCATCCCCCTCCTCATCCACACCAACCACCATGACATCCACGACCACGCTCCCCCCCATCACCCTCCTCCGCCCCAGCGCCCTGCTAATCCCCTCCACCGCCCCCCTGATCCTGGAGATCAACATCCCCATCTTCCGCGACGACCACGCCTTCCCCCTTACTCGCGCGCTCCGTCCGCAAGTCCCTCATTCCTGGGCGATCAGGGTGTTGTCGATGGAACTCCTTCAACTTCTCAGGGCAGTGGAGGTTCGAAGCTGGTTGCCATGAGTTTTCTTCTGGTCCAAAGTCGAGCCATTTAACAAGGTACTCGAGTTGTCCCTACGTGACGCGTGAATCCAGAATTTCTTCGACGTCTCATTCTTCTTCTTTGTCTTCAGCCTCTTCGTGCTGCGCAAGTCGTGCGTTCCTTGGTGTTGGTTCCAAAAGTGAAATATGGAAAACGTTCGTCCTCAGCCTCATCGTGGCTGGTAATGACAGTCGGTAGTTGGATGTCGATTGGCGGAGGGATGGGGGGGTGTGGGTTAAATCATCGATTGGTAAGCTTGTTCCAATCTGTGGTTGCCCTGTCTCCAGACGGCCCGTGGCCATGGCGAAACGTATCGTTGCCCCGTACCGCCTGCATGTTTGGGGACCAGTTCTTGCCATCCGAGGGCGACTTTCCGCCTAAGTAGAAGGAGAGGTCAGGCGACGCAAGGCGCCAGTGACGAAGACTCGCGCAAGCCGCAGACTTGCGGGAGAACCTAGTTGAAAGCCAGCTTGGACTAACTCCTGGCGATATTCTGTCACAACTCCACTCAATTTCCGGTTTTAAACTCCGATTAACGTTAGCCATTGCGACAATATTGCGATGTCGATGGGGAGGAGTATTCCCCTACGGTCGGCACTGAGGTGACGTACTACACCAAGCTTAAGGCTGCTCGGCGAATTGTGTGATCACTCTCGGGCGCCCTCCCTAGACAATGACGACCGGGAGGACCAGTACGAGGTAAAAGAGATCTGTGACAAGAGGATACGGGATGACAGCGGCTTAGATTCCCTGACTGCAGTCAGTCAACGGCCACAAGCATCCTGCCGATGATTCTAGCCACTAGGACGTCAGTATTCCGTCTGTACAGTGGCTCAAAACAGCCAACGCACCGTTCAGTAACATGGGGGCTCTTCTGCCATGTGAGTCTTGATAGTGTTTTCCAGCGCTTGTCACTACTGCTTCGCCCAGGTGGTTAATGGACTGGATGCAAGGTACTAAGGTGAGTCGTTTCATTCCATGCCCCTCTGGGTACCAAGCAACCGCGAGACATGAGATGGAAACCCGGCGAACAACGCTTTGTTAAATCGGTAATCAACCTGGAACCAACTACTACCACCATCGGATTCCTGTTCAGTTCCTTCTTGCCAGAAACTTGCAACCTGTACCTCAGCGAAGTAACGCGGTTTCGACAGCAGCAATGGACATCCGCGACGTCTCCAACCTTCCGCAATACTTCCAACTCCTCCGCGACCAGCAACAGAAGCTGCAGGATGCTCAGACCCGTAAGGGCCAGCGACCGGTGCGATTGCCTCGGGATCTTGTCTTAACTTTTGTGCCAAACCGAGTGCTTATCTTCTCTTACATCCGCAGCCGAGCAGTCCCGTCAGCCTAGGCACTAATACACCAGGACTCGTATGAGTGCCAATTGATATCCAGTACACCCAGCTTGTTAGTAGCCCTGTGTCCCTCGAGTATTTTCACCAGATTCTTCAAGTTGTAAACAACAGCAGCCTGTCAGTAGACTTTCAGATTGAATTGTGTGACGCGAAGTCCTGCTTCTAGCACCCCAGATGCCCAGGCCGCCATGAATCGACTGGCCAACGATTACAAGTGTGCGAGCAAATCTCCAACACCAGGCTACATACATCGTAACCGTTGTTGAACTTAAGTGGCTGCTGTTCATACGGGCTTCTTCAGAGACTTCAACAAGGGTGCAATCCGCGACTTCTTGCTCAACCCCACGCGATACTGCACCTTCTGGAGGCTAGGCTTGACGTCTCTAGCAGCTTGCTTCTCTTTCTCTTTTTCCTTCTCCTTTGGCTTTCCGCTCACGTCGACATCGTTGGCCGGGGGACCGTTCTCGTTGTTGTTTGTTTTGTCGGCGCCTTCGTCTCCCTTCGCGCCTGCGGCTGGATCGCGCTGGGAATTGTGAGAAGCTTCTGAAAGGGCTTGTGGCGCTACGTTGGGTTCAGCTTCGGTTTGTACTTCCTCGGTATGTTGCTGCTCGGGTTCTTGTTCGACGGGTCCGGCTTGAGGTATGGCGGATTCAGATCCGCGCGGACGGCCGCGCTTTCGCTTCGTTGGTGGCTCCTGAAGTCCTGCAAGCTTCTGTTCTCGCTGAGGTGTGGCCTCCGCTGCTGCCGGTTCGTCAACGTCGAGAGTGGGCCCCTGAGTTTTGGCGCCCTTCTTCTTTCGCCCTCTTTTACCCTTGTTGGCGGCTGGTTTTTGAGTGTCCACTGGCACCTTCGTGGGATCGACTTCGGTGGGTGTGGGTTCGGTGTCGGGAAGTGGTGCTTGAATGCCATCGCCGGCGGCAGGGTGGTCTTCTTCTCCCAGCTCGCCCGCAATATGCATGGTGTGCTGTGGAGCATCAGTGTCCTCCCGGCTGCCCTCCAGAGGGTCCAATTCCCGAGGTTCACTGTCCACTTCCTGGACAACTTTCCTCCTTTTCGTCCTCCGTGCCGAAGGAGTCGGCTCTAGCTCTGATGAGCCCAGGCCGCCAGATGATGCGATCTTCCTCCTACTCCTCGTTGCAGTCGCAGTATTCCCCGCTGCCATATCAGTCAGAACATCGGGCGATGACTGCTACTCGACAGTTAGTTGCCGTTCCCCAATGCCAACCGGTTAATTGATCGCAAACGAACCTGGTAACCAACGTCGTAGCTTAAAGACGTCTCGGCAACATCAACACCATCCATTTCCTCAAAAACGTCCGCCAGCCGCCTCGACGACCCAATCCGACTCGGCGTCGGGTACGCAATCGTCGTGGCCGCGCTCGACTTGTACAGCTCCCCTCTCCACATCGACGACTGCCCAGGCAAAAACGTCTCAGACACCTCCGGCAACGCCTCAGCCGACGAGCCAACCACCGCATACTCCCGATTCTGGCTCGAGGTGAGCGTGCTCTGGGCGACATACAGCGACGGCGGGGCGGTGTCGGGCATGCTGGACTCTGTGGTAGAAATACCGACTCCGAAGCCGGCCTTTTTCTTCCGGCTGCTTCTTGTCCGCCTGTCCAAGCTGGGTGGCTCTTCTGGCGGCACATGTACCAGCATCACAGGGCTGGAATCGGGCGGCTGCTGGACTGAGCTGGACGGAGTGCCGCGCTTGTTCCTCTTCTTCCTGGCAGGCGGCGACGACTGCGGAAGCGCGTACGGGTCCTGGGTGTCTGGCATGTTTTCGGGAGGCGCTCTATACTCGAGGCTGAGCTGCGCCATCTTGCGCTTTCCATATGTCCGGGTGGTTCTTTGGGACCAGGTCGAGGTTGGGACATCCCACACGTCGCTTGTGCCGCTGGCAGGCTCCTTGCTTGGCGTCGTGAGATCGGTCAAGTCAACCACCTCCGCTTGGGCCACGTCGCTTGACTGCTTCGACCTCCGACTTGCTGGCATGGGGTCAGTGATGGATGTGAGAGACGAGTATTCCTTGGCTTGGGGTTTCTGTCCTGGCGGCGGTGCTGATGATAGCTCGGTCCATGCCGACGCGGCGGGAACCACTGGAGCCGTGTCGGGAATGACATGATGCTCATCGACCGCAGCCTGCTGCTGGTCATAGACACGCTGGAAAAAAGAGGGGTCCGTCGAGCCCATGCCCGCGCTGTGCGACGCGTCAATGACGGTCTCGTGGGCTGCATCAAAGTCATTGCGGCGCATCTCATCTTCGTTCCCAGACAGAGGGCCGTCACCAAAGTCACTGCCATCGTCTTCCGAGTCGAGGATCTCCCGTCGGGATGCCATTACGGCTTTGTTCTTCTGTCGCTTGTTTGTGATGTGAGAGTTGTGGTGGGGCTGCCGATGGATGGATGGAATTTATTTCGCCCGGAGGCACGAAGCCTAAAGGGCCTTGGCACGCTAACTACATCCCATTCGTTGACGCTCAACCATCAAC